CCCACCCCCCGCCCCACAAACACAGAACTCATGTCCGCAAGCGTCCTGAAATCAACAATGATAATGCAACCGCAAGACCGCAACAGACACAACTTCATGATCTTCGGCGGCTTCCTCCTAAAGCAGACGTTCGAGCTCGCCTTCAGCTGCGCCGCGGCCTTCAGCCACGCGCGCCCAAACTTCGTCTCCCTCGACCCCAGCACCTTCGACCACTCCGTCCCCGTCGGCAGTATCCTTTACCTCCGCGCCACGGTCGCGTATACCGAGCCTCTGGAGCGCCAGCCCCGTGACGGCGGCGGCGGCGGCGGTGGTGGTGGTACCCCTTACACTAAGCTGCGCGTCCGGGTGGATGCCCAGGTCCGGAACGTGCCTCATGCCAGTCGGCAGCAGACGGGCCGCTTTCATTATACGTTCCTTGTGCCCAAGGATGTAGAAGTTATGCCGAAGGATTATGGTGAGTTTATGGTTTGGACTGATGCTCGGCGGCGCTCGGAGAATGCGGCCGCTGCTGTGTCGCTGGGTGCTGAGGAGCTGAGTGCTCTGCGTGGTTTGACCGATAGTGTTACTGAGTAGAATCCGGGATCTGGTCTGTATTCCGTGTGAGGTGGGATCGTAACACTGCCTATAGTTTTTTATACGTACAGTAACTAATGAATGCACTTGGTTTGTCCGGGGCTTTCGATACTATATACCATATACCTTGCGTGTTCAGACAGTACTTAGTACTTGACAGAATACAACTCCAAGTACTAACCGTGCCAAACCCCTCTATAAGTACTAATTGTGCTGTAAATCAAGAGAAACCCCGTTCCCGCACTGTCTGAAGAGAATTCCTCCCCAAGAATCTAAGATATATACATCAATCAACCCCCGACCTAGCACCAGCTAAGCCTCCCAAAGAAAAAGCTTCCAACCTATACAAAAGTGAGCCCGAGCCCGAGCCCGAGAACTAGAAGCCCACCCACCCCGTTAAAACACGAGAGCGAGCTGGCTAAAGCGATCAAACCACAAGTGAACCAAGTAGTCAAGGAGATCAAGCACATACACACAATCAACCAAAAAAAAGACACAGATGAGATTCCCTTCAAAAAAAAAAAAAAAGTTGCATGCTCAATCCCAATCAAAAATAATGTTGGACCGGACCGACCGACCACACACACCCAACCTCCCACACCCTTTGTTTGCCCAGAAATATTTGCCGCCACCGTTTCCGCCCGGGACTCCGTTTGTTTTTGCCCCAAAACCGAACACATTGGGGATGAAATCAAGAAAAAGGAAAAGAAAATTGGTTTGTCATGTCACATAAATATCACCGATCCGGGTTCCGCCCTTCGTTTTGAGTAAGATTCAAAGATATCAAAACAAATGTCACCATGTGCTGCGGTGCTGAAGATTTGACATCGCTGACACTAAACTGGCACAAGGACTGATGCCTGGTCGATAACGTTCCAGCTGGGCTAAATCCCTTGTTGATAAAACCATGGGACCGCTCTTGTGCATGGCTGTCGGATTCAGATACGTAGGATGGTAGTAGGCCTTGCACCACTCAGGAGTTCGCAAATATAGAAATAGCATCGGGAAATTGTGATGCGTGATGATGGTTGAAATGGACCGACCAGGCAGGCCGTGGGCCCTTGGTATAATTCGTATTTCCAAGAAGATATGTCCGAAACCCACCAAGAGTGAATCATTCGACTCAACTGTCGGAGAGGCAACACCGGCTCCATGTCAGCAACCACTAAGAACCTCGTTGATCTTGTTGGACACAAGCGTGCCTCCATTCTTGGGCTCTGGTGGAGCTTCTTCCTTCATGCATGCATTTTCCAGGATATTTGTCCACTTGCCACTCGTGCCCGCATGGCTGTGCTTAAGATGCTGCCGGAAATGGTCTGCACGGAAAAACTTCTTCGCATTGTTGCATTCGCCGAATTTATGTACGGCGGTGAGATGTTCGAATCTGCGATCCCAATCTGGCTGAGGGTGATTGGGAAACTCCTCGCCGCAATAGCCGCACGTGTCATGTGACGGGCCGGCGCCGGTTTGCGCCGAGCTCGACGACGGATGGAATGCCGCTTGATAGCTCGATAGAGCCGCACATGACCACGAGTGGCGTCGCAGGTGAAGTGAGTTCTGATGGCGTTCGGCCTCGTTTTTGTTCTTGAATCGATTGTTGCAGTATAGGCATGAATATTGCTTTTCCATCTCATGTGTACTGCAAAAGGTTAGCAGATGTTCGCTACTGAATCCAGACAATTAGGGCGGCTTACCGAAGCTCCTCGGGGCTATCAAACTTCTTTGGCTTCTTAGGGCAGCAGTCGCAAATATACAGTCCGCCAAGTTTGGGCCCCGTTGGTTTGGGTGGAGGATGATTCGTTTGTAGAGACATTTTGCGCGCCGTTTCAACACTCGACGGTTCAATAATGCTAGGTCCTTGGATGACTCGTGCAACGGGTGGAGTAGTCAAGTGGGCAGGCGAAGTCGAATTCAGTATCGACTTGTCGTGAAAGGTGTCAAGGTCAGAGTTAGGTGAAAGCCCTCCAGGAGACGGTCGGTCATAGCTGGTCATACTGCTTGCTCCTGCAGAGAGGCCTGCCGACGAGTAGGACCCGGTGGTTCGTAGACTCAACGAAGAAGCCGCAGAATGACTCCCGTGACTGGCAGCATAACCAGGGCTGATCGTCAGATTATTTGTGTATGGTTGACCACTTGTTCGTCGTTGAGTGAGATCCCCATTGCTGGTAATAATGTGAAGTCTGTGTCGATCGTCACCAATCGGCTCGCGAGGAGGAGATGATGCTCTTCGTTTCATGCCGGATTTCGAAGCATCTGAATACGGCGGTGTGGCTTCACGGAGGTAAAACATGCGAGACGGTAGCGAATCGTCCGTTGAGAAATCCCCTTCGATATCCGAAAAAACGCCATGGTCGTAGCTACCTCGATTTGAACGGCTGGGAAGACTGATGGTTTCATCATATTGGGGCGTTGTTCCACCGCGACGGCGGTATACATCCCGCGCATACCCTGAATGATCGAAATCCACTGCTGATGAAGGAGCGCTACTCTCGACACTGGGGCTTCGGCCCCCAATATAATCCCTCCACCCAACCTTGGTACCTGGCGAGACTCCGCCTGATTGATAGCTTCCGGGCCACCTTACGTCGAGAGTCGAGCTGTCCGAGCCTCCAGGAGAGGGGATACCCCCAAAATTTCTGGTAGGGATGGTGAGCGTTGACAAGGTGCCTCTAGGTTCGCTTCCACCACTGATCGACTGACGCGGGGAAAGTGGTTTCCCGATTTTCGACAACAAATGCTGATCGTACGCGTCTGACGAATCTTTGACACTTCGGCGCGAGAAATCTCGCTCACCCTTCAAGATCGGGCTGGGGCTTTTGATAGTAATAGCGTTTCGAAAACCTTCTTCCATGGGCGGTGGAGGTTCAATCCGAATGTGTGCTTCCGGACTCCTGGAAATAGTAAGACCGCTCTGCCGGCCGTCTAAATCGTCCAGGGCCATTCGATCACTTAGCGACACGGAATCCGGGCGGCGGTGGCTACCAAACAGACTTGAACTAGGGTTGATGGGGGCGAGTTTTGTTGTTCCTCGGGAATTCGCATGTAACCAGCCAGCGTCGTAGCCGTCTTCGAGATCACTAATACGCGGCGGTGGGGGCAGTGGCGGAGGGGCGAAATTCGTACTCGGATTGTTGGGAATAGGCATAGGCCCGTGTGATGGATAAGAGTGTCCAGACATCGTTCCTATTGGGAGGGCAGTTGAAGTTGGATGATGAGGCTCACTGTCCTTGAAGTCGTATATATTGATCGAAGGAAGCGAGATTCGCGGCAAGTCCATCGTACACCGACAACCTTAGATTGCTGCTCATCGACAAGTCCAGAAAAGACCAAGCTAAAATCGAGCTGAAGGGCGCAAACACGTTCCCAAAGCGAGCTGGAAGAGATGTGGCGATGTGCCAATGCGCGCGTCTGTGGCGGCCACTATAGAGATGGCGGGCGAAACGAACACCCGATGACTTGACAGGAGCACGTCCAAACTCTGGGTGGGAACTGCAAAGTATCACCAATTGGGTCGGGTGATTAACCAGGCGAGTCGGTAGCAGAACCGCAGTCGAAAGGTTTGAGGTTGTCTTCGGAAAGTTAGGTGAATTATGACCTCATATACGTAGGGCTGAGGCGGGTTAACCTTACCTCGATCGGGAGGTATCTGGATAAATTCCGACGTTAAAAGTGATCAAAAGGGTTGTCAGTCCTGGAATTCGATAGAAGTCTTCCACAATTGCGCATGACCACAGACTTGGTTGTGTGCCATCAAATCGCCAACATCGGCAATTTATCGACGGAAGACGGCGCAGACAGGGCCGAGCATACTGAGTTTAAATGAGAAATGCGATCAATGTGTAAATATTTAGGAATGACCAGATGCGAAGAAGAGAAGCCGTAGGCAGGTCAACCATGCGATATCTTCAAAAGTTCATAAGATGTCCGTTTATTTTTTGAGCCACCCTTGCCTAGAATCGAATCTGTTCTGACAAGAAGATGAAGAAGCTGCTGTGAAAGAATATCAAGAGCCAGAGGCGTGAGGGAGAAGTGAGATTGGTAAAAGAATGAAGAAGGGAGGCAAAAAAAAAAGAAGAGAATCGAATGTCACATGCACCTGCTCTCAGCAACCACAACGACGACGATGTGAAGAGAGAAGACGGGCCACAAACGGGGTCGAGGCGCAAGGCGGACGAAGGTTCAAGGTTGAATTAATAGATGACGGGACTTTGGGCAGAGAAGTGGAAGAGGAGTACGTCAGGTTCTGTACTGCACGGCAGCAACCAGGAAGAAAGGGAAGAGAGAAGGAGGAAGAAGAAAAGGTGTGAAGTAGTGTGTAGTAAATTGTGTAGGTTGAGGCGAGTTTCTTGAGGTGGGAGAGGAATGGGTGGTGCAAACCCCAGTCTTATTGGTGGTCCCTCCTTACAAGGCTCGTGGGAAGGAGGACAAAATGACTGTCAGGCCCAAGGTTAAAATAAAACCAAATACCTTGTTTTGCCTGGTTGGTCTCACGAGCACTCCTGTCTTCTTCCCTGAGGCTGTTCTAATCTCCTTTTCCTGTAAGCGCCCAGTGGGATGAATGAGGGGAGGGAGAGAAAGAGAGAGAAAGAGAGAGGGTTGCGGAAAGAGGAATGATGGGTGAATGAATGGATGGAAGAGAGAGAGAGAGAGAGAAATAACGATCAAGAAGAGGACAGAAAAACCCAGACAATATTCAGGTAATACCAGAATTGGTATTTGAATATCCGTTTCACACTGCAGTCTGGTCCGGGTGGACACTTTCCAGTCTTAGCCCGGCCAACGATGTCACAGCAATATTGAAGGTTTGAATTGCAGGGAGGGGGAGAGAGAGGAAAGAAAGGTCTATTGCAGAGTATGTGAAACAGAAGCTTCCGTCCCTTGTTGTGGCCTTTCGACATCTCGTCTCCAGCAGCAATCATTCAATCAATCAATCATCAGCATCAGCATCATCAATTCGAGATCACTTGTCAGATCAGATACCATCAATACTCGGATAGTACCACCAAAAGTTAAATTACGCATTCCCGTACCCGGGGACACTTTCAAGATACAGACATCCGCCCATCCATACATGCTACTTACGATACCATGCCTCCTCGAGCAAGAAGTCAGTGGCCAGAGAAGCGTTCAGTCAGGCAATTTGCTACAAACTTACCAGGTATTCATTGCCTGTGCTGATCAACTGATCAATCTGGTTATCAATGGTCAGTGTAAACAGTCATCAGTATCATTGTCTGATCCAAACCAAGGACCACGCAGTTTGGCAGAAGGGGGCCGACCGGCTGGTAGGTATGGATCAGCCGGAGTTTTAGTCGACACTTTATCTCACAAGGGTGTTTGTTAGTTAGTTAGTCTTTTGGAAGTTAGGCCCCAGATTGAAGTCTGTTGAGCAACACGCCCTGATACCGCCAGGACAGGCCAGTCATGAATGTCGTCAGCGGTGTCTCTTCCGGGCTCAAGCAGGGGGCGTGTCAACTATGATGGAGCTGTTTTTGTCTTGCCAGGAAAGTCTAATCCGCCCTATGGAAGGCATATTCGTTCGGTACGAGGCGCTCACTGCGTGGGTACTGTACCTGTCGGACGGGCTGACTGGTGTCCCTTCGCCTACCTCTGGCTCTCTGACTCTCTGCAGGCGCCTGGGCCATATAGCTGGAACTTAGTGAGTGCTTCAGGAGCATCACCATTCGTCAGTTTCTAACCCAAGAAAAGGGGCCCAGGGGTTAAGGTGGATATTCTGGCACTGTGACTGACTGAATGACGTTAGAAAAAAAGGTCTTGGTTAGTTATCAAAGCCCAGCAGCTGCCGATAAGGCTCTTGGATCCTGCATTGACGAACGACTCCACGTGTTTGTATCCAAGTGACTCCATCCCACCAGCCGTCAAGCCTTTGAAAACCCGACTACGGCATTGGGCTTGAGATGATCGAGACGAATGGACATCCTTCCAATCCATTCTAGGTCATCCAGAACTGGGCAGCATGGGTCCAAGCGAGTCAAGTATTGTCCATTCTTGTGCTTCACGGCTCCAGGACTGAATCTGGAGCCCTGAGCGGTGAGGGAACGGGCTAACCGGATTGGACGGGACAGTGCAAGGACAACTGGGGATGGAATGAGGCAGTGCTGGCGGGTTCATCGGACTTGGTCTCCTCGAATCCTAGCCCTGATTCTCGCGTTCAGTTGATTCCACTATCCCATAGGCTGCTTTCTGGCTCAGGAAACTCCAGTCATGCCGCTACGGAGGGTTGGTCGAGCAGTCGAGGTACTGGATAGAGCCGCGAGTGGGTGATAAAAAATTGTGAACCTCCAAGCAAGGTTTGTCTGCTGGTGGGTTGATAACCCACAATGTCTACAGGACTTCGGAAGTAAGGTCTGTTCCCTAATCGGTTGAGCCTGGCTATCGACGTTCCAGTTCTATGATTTGGCATCGCCGCATGAGGAAGCATCTGGCATATCGCCTGGCCGCTGCAACCCACAAAGAGATTTGCTGCGGGTCAGGAGCTCAATTCTGAAGATCTTAACGTTTTGGAAGGTGCAAGTTGGAAATGAATGGCAAGGGAGCTATGGACACCTCGGTAGTACACTTTTCTCTGCCTTTGCTTCACAGATCATTATTCTTCCGCTTATGGTGCCAGATGAAGATCGTTCTACAGTACTTACCTGCATCCCTACGTCAATTCTGCAAAATAACCAAAGGACGGCAGTACGGTAACGGGAGGTTTGCCTTCCTTTCCCCAAAAAACCAAACTTCCTCACTTCCTCCCAAATGCGTCACCCCGAAAAAACCCTTTCAAGGGGAATGGTCATCCTGTACCTGGGACTTAATCTACATGATGACCTTACCAGGCTGGTACCTCTCTGACGGAGTCGGGTACCGAGTTGCATACAGTAGCAAGTCTAGTAGGCAGATTCAACCGACTTGACTTGCAACTGGGGCTCCACCGTGCGTTGTGCGGACGAGCGACAACGATTGTAAGTGGCCCTATTGGGCGTGCTCCACCGCCCAGCTGGGTCTAGCGCGCCCCATTCTATCGTTTAGATACATGCACTGCCACATTCAAGTTGCTGTCATTTGGCACTTCCCCGTCCGCACCTCTGCCAATCCGAGGTTCTCCCTGCTCTGGGAAAATGAGCAAGACCTCGCTTTGGGACTGGAGATTTGAATTGTCAAGAGAAGGGTCTGGATTGCTTGCAATCAAAAAGCAGAAAGGGCCCAAAGTCTGTGGAAAGAAACTCGAATGGAAGCAAAGGAATCGAACTGGACATGGGAAGATCAATCATGAGGATTCTAATCATTGGAAAGAGAGACATGGAAGGGGCCTCGGGAGGCAAAAAAAGAGAAAAAGAAAATAGAATAGAAAAAAAAAAAAAAAAGAAAAACCATAAAAACTCCTGCGGAGCGTCAGTGATCTTGTTTTGCTCACTTTTTGGTGGACCTTCTGACTACTTCTGTTGCCAACCCCTGATTCTCTCTCTCCTCTTTCATGACAGGGTCGGTGCTCGTGTCTGTGGTCACTATTGTCCGGCTCACATCGGGATCGGATATGACAAGCGACGACGTAGAGAAGCCTATGGCCTGGATCCAACCACTTTCCCAATATCCACGGGAGGCAATAGTACTAAGTAAAGTAATATGAGCGGAGAGGGGGCAACCATTCGATGGCATGGCAAACCGACGGCACGGATCTATACCGCTTACTATGTGTGCTATTGGATAGGAGGAGAGGGGCATGGCATAATATCGTCAGATGCCATCTTCTAACCAAACCTTGCTCTCTGCTTCCTAGGTGGTTTGCCACTATGGCTCTCTTGGGATCCGCGAGGATCCAAACAAGCCAACCCGATCTAGGACCTTGATACTGGCTCACACCCTCGCACAGGTGGCTCCTCGGTATACCAGAAAGGCCAAGATCGAGTGCTGCGGTTCAATCGCCATCTACCTGTTTGTGTCGTCTCGTGAGGGGAGCGCGAGAGGAGGGTCCATTACGCGCCGCCTTCAATCCATAGCTTTAGGTAGTGGCGCACCAGCCGGAGAGAGCTAAGATGATGAAACTATTTGGCCCGCTCTGTTGGATAAGAGAGAAGAGGCGAGGGGAGATCATATACCTTGGACAACAGAGTTCCCCAGAAAACCCGGTATCATTGGCTTCAAGTTCGAGAACGGCTAAAAAGAAACCAATGGACGGATGACCTGGCAGAGGCACATCACCGGTCTTCTTCACTCTTCCTATGGCCAGTCGGTTGAACGTTTCACCTATTCGATACCATTCTTGCTTTCCCCCTCCCCTGTGTCTATATATAGTCGGCTTAATCTAGTCAGCTGATCATATGGTGGTTCTAAAAGGGAATCGTGCACGGACAGAAAGATTCTACAAACGTACAGTAAGACCGAAGTCGGACACGAAGACCTCATTTGCACCAAGGCCATGTGTACAGCAGACTCAGAGAAAAGAGAAGAAAGAAAGAAAGTAAGGTTTGAGATGAAAAGGGTAAAGACCGAGCAGAAAAGAACAGAATAAAAAAGCGCCGTCAGCCTCAAGCCTTAAGGGGCTGCAGACTACTAAATTAAGTCCGGTTGTGCACAGGCCTGGGTGTGGTACAATTTGGTTGTGACAGGTCTAAAGTGAAAGACTTTCTTTGTCCATTTGCGGGGGATGCAGCAGCAGGCTTTGTCGATGGCAATGACTTTCGGACCAAGCTGAATCGGCGCGTTACACAATGCACGGGTACGCCATCAATCAGCAGGGCTGGATTGGAGCCGATCTTCAGAAGAAGAAAAAGAAGGGCGAAGGCGCATGCATGATCCTTTATCCATAGGTAGAAATCTCGGAAAGAAAAAACCACTAGCACAGAGTAACGCGCTGCATGAAAAAAAAAAAAAAAAAAAAAGAGCTAGGGTCCTACGTAGCGTGCTGCAACTGCTGCCGTTTGATACTGCAGGTCTTGGATTCTTCCATTCAGATCATGGGGAGGCGTGCGTGGGACTAGCGAGCTGGCTTGGTTACACTGGGATTGTTGATAACGTAGCAGCAGCAGCAGCAGCAGCAGCAAGCAGAGCTCGGGCGGTATTGTTTGCCAAGGGTCCTTCTGCTGATTCCTTCTGCTGTTTGAGCGCTAATTCGCCCTAAACCATAGAATTGACTTAATTGGCTGGGATCGTTAAGCGACATCAAGCATTATTTACCTCGGAGTAGTGGGATAGAGGTGCAGGGACAAGAGGACTGGCGTCCTTCTTGGCCCTGTCATATTGGCGACATCCAAGCCTCGGGTATTGTCTGGGCGCTTGAAGAACGAGATTCAGGCAGCTTGTTTGACTTGGAACAAGGGAGACCCTTGTTTTCATGCCTGGCTAACGATTTTCTCTGCTGTGAGCTATTAACCTGCAGACGACTCAGCCACGATGTGATTACATGTCACTCATTATTGGCATTATGACCTCCAACAGCTAGGGGACGAAAATTGAGTTCCCTGGTCCCGAGTCCTGCTTTGGAGGCCTTGGCGGTGCCATGCAAGCCAATAGTCTCCTGGAGGGCTGATAATGACGAAGAGATAGCGGGATGGGCTCTGCAAGGCATGGATAGATTGACCGAGATTGTATTGCGTCGGAGGTATGGATTTAGAGATGTGCTTGGCCCGGTGGCTGGCCGGTGAAGGCCATTATTCCCCGTGATAATCAGTGCTTTTGTACTACGCTTGAAGATTGGGACCAATGAGTTGGACTCTTGTGTAGCCAGGCCTTGGCGCTGTCGTAGCCTACACGAGTATTGCGTCGGATGTGGGAATGTTTCCCCGGTGAGCAGATGGGTAGGCTGGACTAAGCTCCTCTCCTCCATGATCTTGGAGTATTGTCACACATTTAAGAAAATGGAGTGTAGGCTGAAGACCGTATGTGCTACCAGATGTATCCCGTTGAGGGAGTGGTTGTGTGTTATCGCAACGATAACACGGCCATGTCCAGAAGTTCTTGGCTTTCATGGGGATGATCTGAAGTGGACCGGCATTGGTGGAGACTCGGAGAAGGTTCGTGCCTCAGGTTCCATCCCAATCCCCCGGGCTACCCTTGCCCTTGCCCTGGACCCTAACCCATCAAACATTTTACCGCCTTCTACCCTCAAGATTCTGCCCTTCAGGACCCCGCCGTATGAATCTTGGCGTCGACCATATCAGATGTTTCATGTTTCCTGGCCTCGGCCCAACCCTTTGCATCATCTTGTCCTTCAGCTTCTCAGTTGTTATTCTGTCGGTCACACACTCTTATACCCGCTTATACACATATATAGACTATAGAATCTGTGTATCATGGCTATGAACAAGATTCCTGGCCACAATATCTATGTTGGCGGGTGGGTTTCCTTCCATTTACTTTCAGTCAAATCCCACCTGCTTCCTCTGCCCTCTTTCCTCTTTTGATACGCTAATCGCCTACGATGAAATGCGCTTATGCTTGGCCGCACCGCTAATTCTCTTGACAGGGTATTATCACTCAAGAACCACGCGGCGTTGACTAGAGCGAATATCACCCATATTGTTTCTGTGCTACGACTACAGCAAGCAGACGAACTGTTGGCGCCTTATCAACGCCACTGCATTGAAGTTGACGATGTAGACGATGAGAATTTGCTGGAGCATTTCCCCGCTGCTGTCAAGTTCATTCAGTCGGGACTCGACAGCGGTGGCGCTGTACTTGTGCATTGGTCAGTTCTCTACTCATCATATGCCACTGTGTTCTCTTGCCCTGTTTAAATTAACTAATGCTTTTTTTAGTGCGATGGGGAAGTCACGCTCTGCAACTGTGTGCATTGCTTACATGCTACATCAGCAGCGTAGTGCGCTGACGCCGCAGTCGGCGCTTGCCATTATCAGAGAGAGCCGACCCCTTTGTGAACCCAACGATGGTTTCATGGAACAGCTCGAACTCTACCACCAGATGGGCTGTCCCGAAGACGTTACAAGCCACCCTCTGTATAGCAGATGGCTCTACCGTCGCGAGGTGGAAGAAAGTGTAGCATGCGGGCGGGCGCCGGAAATGAATACCGTCCTATTTGAGGATGAGCAACCGCACAGGCCCCAGGAATCCACCGGCCGCACGACGGAGATTAAATGTCGTAAGTGCCGGTCAGTAGTCCTTGTGCTCCCCTCCTTTTTGTCTTGATGGCTTTATTATAATGTGACTGACCAAATGGCTAGACGCAAATTGGCAACTACGCCGTTCGTTATTCCCCATGGCCCCCAGAAACCGGGCGTATCTCTCGCGAATACGGAGTGTGCACACATTTTCCTTCATCCATTGACGTGGATGCGTCCCAGTCTCTTCCCTGACAACGAGTCTGAGGATTCCGGCGCACCCCTTGGCTCGCCGCCGGCAGATGCGCCGTTATCCGGTCGTTTGACCTGCCCGAACAACTCCTGCGGTGCCAACATTGGAAAGTTCGCCTGGCAGGGTATGCGGTGCAGCTGCGGCGAGTGGGTGGTTCCCGCTATCGGCCTGGCGAAAGCCCGAGTAGACATATCCGAGCAAGTGAATACGGCTCGGGGGCCAGCCCAGGCAGCCTTTGGCATTCGCCTTCCGCCTGGAATGCGGCCTAATCCCACTGATGAGGCCAATGGGAGGGGGAATCTCTAAGCCTTCCACCAAGATTACACAAGGCAGCAACCAGACCTGACAGGGTCGGCTCGAGCATTGCTGACATCCTCGGGGAGTGGTCCTATTCCGGCCACACGGTAACCACTTTACATGTTGGCCTCACGTGGGGAGGCAGTGCGATCGACCGTAAATCAGTCGCAGACTCGCAAGCAGCAATGCTACATCGAGCCTAGTGTGTCAACGCGTCCGAGAGTCTCTGCGGGAGCTTGCGTGGATAATTAATAGTCGAAGAAAGACAGAGCAAACGCCCGCGGCGTGGCAAGCAGGCGGTTCCTTGCTGTGATTCGCGGGTTGAAGGGAGGCATTTAGGCTTTATTAGCGCGGTCAGAGCCGCAGGCGAGGGAAGAGAAGGGAAGGAGGTATGAGGAAGATGCGCAGGTTACGCGCACGCATACGATATGATAGACTCAAGTCTAGGCTCGATTGACACTGGTGTTCCGAAAACAGTCGCGGATGGAAAGGATGAAAGGACCCTGATGCCGATCCTCCAGCGGGGAGACAGGTATGCTAGCGCCGAGGTGACCTCACCTTCTCGGCAATGAGGGCCTGATTCAATTTTATAGTCTAATTTACCAGCCTGCCACAGTTGCGCAGCCAAGTACTCTAACCTTATTGTTTTGATAATAACCGATCCCCGAGGAGCAGAGCCATTCAATAAATCAACCTCAGACGCTCAAGCGCAAAGGAGAGCGCTATGGCGATGAAACATGAAACCGACTTGAGAGACTCTTGAACTTTTACTTTTTCTTTTTTCCCATTTTTGCCCACATCAGGATTGAATCAGGGCTGGATGGTAACCAACCCCACATCCTCCGACCAAAACCCCACGAGGCTGTTCCCAATGCTCTAAACCTCTTTAAGACGAGCCCCACGAACCGCACAGGGACCCCTCCAGAGTCCACCTTTCCTTCCGGTGGGCAGCCACCAATGATCTGCAGCCAGTGGTCGATCGGGGAAGAAACCAAAGCAGAGGTTGCAGCGTTGCACAAGTTCCTGGCGTCTTTCCGATGGAGGGATGACTAATCTACTAGGGCCTGTCGACTGGTTTCTGCTTTCGCAATGTACTGTGCTCGGAGCCTCGGACAGTGCGGAAGCTGGTGAGAGAGCAAAAGAGAACCTTGAAGGGAGAAGGGAAGAGAAGAGAAGAGGGGGGAAGCCTGGTAAGGTCTAGGCTGGATCACTAGCGCCGGGAAGGGGGCTGTGCAAAGCTCTCTTACGCAACTGGGGCACGCTAGCCATGGTTGCAATTTGTGCTCTTTCTGGTTTTCTGGACGGTACGGTACGGACTGGTATAGTATGTAAGATACCAGCCTTGCGTATTTTTCACCTCACACAACCAACCCTCCAGCTTTCTTGTCTTCAGTGTCACACTGTCAAGGCTGTAGGGCAGACCGCCCTATCTGGTTCGGCAAGGGTGGCAAGGACGGTCCAAAACGTGGAAAGGAGACAGAAGAGCATAGAAGGAAGGAACTTTAGGTAGGTAGGTCCAGACCATTTCTAGGTTCATCAAGTGCTTTAGTCTTCATCATATCATGCTCCATAACTATCAGTATCATAGCATATCACCACTGTATCTTCACCCAATGTTGCAACAGACCAGGCAGATACTTTATCCAGTCAGTTAATGACTTGATGCCTAGCAACCAACTAGTACGGAGTAGATAGCCAAGGTTATCTAAGCTATTCATGTATGTCTGATTTGATCACTCCCCATGATCCATTCAGGAACCAACGGCTGCTCGCCCCTCTTCTCCTCTTCCTTCCTGGTCAGTCTTCGGAGCCTAGGACAGGCTACCATGCGTGTGATGGCTGTGGAGGGGTCGTGATGATCTGTGACGAGGACCATGAATTATACTTACCTAGTACGTAGTTAAGTCAAGTCAGTAAGAAATGACAGTTGACTATCGCAAGCTTGTCGTCTTTTCGAGGGGTATAGGATGACGTCAGCGGGACTCCCCGGCTTGAGTTTATGCTCTGCAACATTGAATGATCATCGACACGGGCAGCGTCAAAGACTAAGGACAGTTCTCTACCGAACCATTTCCTATCTCTCCACCATAGAGAAGGTACGGCGGTACCTACTGCTATACTACGAACCTCAACCCAGGCAACCGGTCGCACCACTATAAATCGATTCTCTCAAGGTCCTTAGAAGAAAACGAAAAGGGATCTATTCCCGATTCAGACAGTAGTCTATTTCGACCCAATGTCTTCTTCTCTTGCCTGAATCTCTTTGACAAGCTATAGCTATATAGATTGTATAAATATTGCGCAGGTATCAACCGACTACGAGGATCAATCCACCTCCTAAGTAAGTATTTCCTGACCCCTCCAATAGAGGAACAGTCGTAGAGGAGTAGTGAGTGAGTGCAAGTGAAGATGCAGGAGACTCTGCTACTCCGCTGCACTAAACCCAACAGGCGACTAGAGCGAGGAGACTAAACAGCACTGCCTCAACCGGGGATCCACTATTTTGCATGGAAAATCTTGGCTTTGGTCTTTTTCTTCTTTCTTTTTTCCTTTGCGGATTTTCGTTTGCACTGTCATCCTGAACGAGGAAGGATGGATATTGCTTATCTCCGGTTTTCATACTGCTCAACAAGTAATCGCTATAGAGGTGCAGGTGGTAAATTAGCTACCTGCCTGGAATTGATTAGTCTCCGCAGGACACTTCAAGTTTAAAGATCAGAAGAGGGGAAGAGCGTGGAGTGGAGGTTAATGGACGACATGGGCTTGTAGAGGGGAGTAAGCAGGGAGGAGCGGGGATTCGTACTCTATGCGAATCACTTACCACCCTGGATTTAGATAGGGGATAGGTTGACGACGCTTGGTGGAAGTATCATTTCCCTCCAAAGACCTTCCTTCGTACTTTGTCTGCATAAGCGGAGAAGATGAAATGGGAAAGGAGAGGATTTTTTAGATTAATTGCCACTGAGATGGGGTCGCATCCCCGCCCTTTCTGTCTCTGTTCACTATCGGTAAGTCTTCTGTCGCATCCATTGGATTAGAGGTTATTGCAACTTCGTTGTACGGTATTCTGCTATCGATACTAGTGAGCAGTGTATAACGGATGTTTGCGTAAGGCTGGCCGGTTTGTGACCTGTTGGGCAGGAAATGCCGGCGAGGGGGTCGTGGCCATTCTCTGCCTTATGCCTTATGCCTTATGGGAGGATGGACTTTCTAGAAGCCGCCTAAGGCTGAGACGTGGCTCTGTTACTCCGTACTCCGTAGCTCAGTCCAAGCTTCCCGCCTCGCTGTCAGGTTGTGTGTAGTATATGCAGGGCATACGCACTGCATGTGAGGTTAGTTACAGTAACAGCAATGACTTGATCATGTGGCAGATCGATACTGAAAGACCCGCTTTCCATCTCTTGCATTGGTTTTCTCAACAAGTATTCTCAGTAGTCAGGTTAGAAACTCGACTAGGGAGTTGGTGATGAAGACAGAGCCTAGAGCTATGTCATTCCCGATTTGCTGTCTTGCTTTCGGGGAAGTGTCTTCGAGGTATCTGAGACCGGCATCGAAAGCACTTCTCACGGACAGAGCAATGACCTCGTAGCCCATAAGGCAAGGCATTTTGAACCAGGCTATCCTAACCGCACATCTCGGATAAGACACGCCGGTAGTCATCACATGGCGAGGCTGTGTTAGAACCAGACACGCGCGCAGTCTGGAAGCACATCAAGTTATTGCCCCAAGGGCATGTGCACAAGCACACGACACGGCCTCAAAGACCACCAGAGGGAACAGACGGGAAAAACGAAGGATCCTGCAGTCGTTGCCGATTGCGCCTTGCGACCTCAACATTGCGCACCCTATCAATTCGCATCTGATAGAAGTTCCTACTCCCCAGATCAGTCAGCATCCAAGACCGACAGATGAACGAAGCAAAACCCAGAAGAAACATACTTATGCAGCGCAAACACCCTCGGCGAATCATCCGTTGTAGAAGCCGTAGTACTCCCAGATTTCTTAATCGCATCGATCTGCAAGCGCATTTTGAATCAGCCAAACCATTATCATCCAACCCCCCGTGCATGGCGTTCCTCCGTTTGACCCAGACGCGCAAACCTACTCTATCATCACGGTCCTTCTCCGCAGCCTTACTCTCCTTGTCCTCTCCATCTTTATCTCTCGAGTCCTTGTCCTTGTCCTTTTCCTTTTCCTTCTTCTCGTCCTTGTCCTTCTCTGCTCCAGCCTTCTTCGCTTTCCGCGCCTGCTTCTCTTCGTACTCCTTCTTCACCTTCTCGATCTCCCTGGCCATCGCTTCGCGCTTCGCTTTCGCCTCAACTTCCGCTGCGTCGATTATCGGCGAGCAGAAGTTCCGGTCGGTGAGGTGGGAGGGGCAGGTGTAGAAGAAGTCCTGTGCGAATGAGGGATCATTAATTAGCCCATCAATCTTATATTGGGTATTGATATTGGGAACCAGTTTCAATGTTCGGGGGCAGAGAGAGTCGGTATAACTTACCTTGTTATCAGGGGTGATCAGGACCGAGGTCGAGGGTTTATAGCAGATGTAGCATGCTTTGGCGGAGGTATCGGCTACGTGACGGAGATGGTAGGTGTTCTGAAATGGCGAGGCCATATTTCTTGCAAGTGGCTGGGCAGAGTCAGGATGCAAGAAAGGAGAAGTGAGTGAATTTGCCTGTATTGAGGTGCGTGGGGGCAGTCGATGGAGTTGGCGCGGGGAAAGGGAGTCAAGTGAAATGGTTTGGGTGCGGAGAAATAGTTCCACTGCTGATGATGTCATGTGACAGGTGAACAATAAACTACATCGACTTCGAAACCATGTTCTGTCTCTCGAATACTAGAATACAATACATTTGATTCATGGATAGACTACCTGCCCAACTAACGCCAGAGCAATGCATACATAACAGTCAAGACTGACTCTAGGTCCAAGTCGTAACTTTTCGACAAAACAACAACCCCCCTTTCTGAGGAGAAAATGAACGAGGAAAGGAGAAAGTAAAAGGGGACGAAAGGGATCTCATCTTCTCTGAGATGAATGAGACGAGGAAGTGGAATCAAGCTTGGATACCTGCTCATCACCATGTCCCTCCTTCACATGTGACATCTACAGCCAGGAACGCCCGACCTATAGACTCTCACCAACCACCCCAGCGGCCTCCCTGGCTAGCCGCAAGTCCTTAGCATCCAAACCGATCACGATGAAGTATTTGCTGAATGCAGACAGTATATCCGCCAGAGAGCGTTTAAGCGTCGTCAGGACTAACTCTACATCGGGCACTCGACGAGCCTCGGCCTGTGCCTTGGGGTTGCTGGATGGCGGAAAATCCACATCCGTCCAGTGCGCATCCAGTCCACCGTTAATGAAGGGCTCCAGTGTCTGGATGGTCTCGGTAAATAAGCGGATAATGCCGGGCACGTCCGCTTGGACTTTACCGTAGGAATCCTCTTCGAGACTTTTGATGGAGAGGCAGGTGATCGAGTCGATGGAGTAGACAATAGAGCATACATTAGCATGCGGTGTGCCGAGGACGATAGCGGACAGGCGACGGGCGTAGGTCTGACGGAATAGACGCCCAACGGGGGTGCGAAGAAGATTGGCGACGAGAGGATGCAAGTTTTCGGGCTTTCTGGTGGTCAAGGGGCCGGTGAGAAGCTTCAGTTCCTGCTGGGCTGCGAGGAGCTTTTGCTTGTGTTCAGTGGGCAGCAACTCAGACGCCCGATCAAAAGCATCGCGAGCTTTGGCGCGGGCGGTCGGGGTCCAGTCAGGGTTGCTGCCGATTGACTTAACCGCATTGCCGAATTTCTCCGGGCGGGAGGTGGTCTTGGACGTGGGAGCAAAGATATCAGCTTCATCTAGCTCCTTCAGAGGGTCGGTGAGTCGGGGAAGTGTGCGGAGAACGGGCTCATCTTCAGGGAGGTCGGTGTTGAAGCCAGTGGTTGCCCCTTTCTTCTCTTCCTTCTCTCTGTTGTCCCGATACTTCAGATCCTCGTTCTGCTCCTCGACCCGTGTCGAAACGCCCTTGATCACTTCTGTGGCCGCGGTAAGAATCTGAGACCAGGCTGGTCCATCTTCGCGGTCAATATCGTTGAAAATAGCCTTGCGACGGTCAGGAAATTGCTGGCTAATGAAGAGTAGCTCCCAGAATGCGAAGGCTCGAACAGTCTCCTTTTGCGCTTTCAGACCGGTCAGAAGGCTGCCGTTGGGGTCTTTGGCGTCTGCTGTCAATGGCTGGCCGCGCTTGAGGGGCTCCTTGCTCAAAAACAAGGAAAAGAAAACATTGGCGCTCTGCCAGCATGTCGTCAAAAGCGCCCCTGAAACCACGGTCCTCAACAAAATCCCTAGACTGATTGGCGGAATGAAGCCCGGCGGATAAGCGGCAGACCTTGGGAAATCCCAGAAGAGCTTGGCGAAATACAAGGTGGTACTCCACGCCGGACGGCGGAGGAAGATGGTGTAGATTAAAGGGCAAGCCAAAGCAGTGGTGACACTCCTCTTGACACCGCCAACAATGGCCGTCGGCAATGCAGCTTGAATGCGTTTGGGGATAGATCCCACATTGCTCTTGTCCTGCTCAGACCGTCTGGCGACTGGAATAGGAACTTGGTCGTGATCACAGTACAAGTGAATAAACGACTGCACGATTGCTACTAAGAAGTGGTATGTGTAAAGGTAAATTGCTCGTTCGTTCAATGTTGCGCGCTCATGGGGTCTAGCATCATACTGTTAGCCTGGACACCATCGAAATCGGAAAGGTTTTCACCACTGGCGAAGCACATACCTAGCTCGATTCACCCATTCCAAGTGTGCACTCAGCGGCGACGACCATCTGTAGATCTCGTTGAACCACCAGGCCGAGAACAAGTACCATCCGAACGTCTGGAAAGCATCGAGTGGGATAAGTTGTTTAAGCGTGCTGATCGGCGAGGCGGTCGTCCTTGCGCCAAGGTGCATCTGGCCGACACGCAGAACAAAGATGACAAGGCTGCAAAGGGATAGAAGAACTGTTCGAATGCCACATGCTCCAATTGGAAACCATGACCATAGGACTGGTGGAATATCGTAAGTGGTTAGCGGTCGCCGGAACCTTGTCCTTCGATTGCTCCATCCATCTTGAATTTGAACTTACATGATGATTTCTCACCAATGGCGAATGCAACTATGTAACAGACCAACAGCGCCAGCGCAGAGGCATGGACGAACCTTCTGTGTAGCGCCGAGGTCAATATGCGCCGATAAGGGCGAGGCCGTGCGACAGCCATGATGAGGTTCTGGATCGAGACTGCAGTATGATCTCTAGGTAGAGAAGAATGAGACAAATTCACCGCATGTTCAGAGTACCACAGAATAGGTAGCGGTTTACTCTCAGAAGGCCGAAGCTCCAAATAGTCCGGACGGAGCTCTGTCGAGGAAAGGCGGGCAGCGGATGCGACGACAAAATGAAGCTTTTCGAATAAAGCATCAAAACACACACCAGCCACAGCTGGCTGGATCAGGTGACCGGGCAACCCAGAGTCCGTGCGTCAGGTGATGGCGGCCTGCAAGGTCAGGCGTTAGGAATCAGGCAACAACGCCATCGGCTTCCCCCCTGCTACCGACGTATGTACTGTTGTACATGTGCCTGCTTGCATCAGCCGTTCCGTTAATTCCCATCCGCCTCGTCCTTCCTCCTTCGATCCACTCTCGCACCTAGAAAAGTGTTCTTCTCAGCCATGTCTTTCGATCGCTTAGATTCCTTAGAGTCGCAGCCTACAACTCTGCGACGATCCGATGATCCGCATTATCGCGATGACCCCGAGTTTGACCGCTTGACTGAGAGTCTCTCCAACCGCCTATTCACTCTGACCTCGAATATCACCCGCTTATCGGACCAGATCGCTCTCCTGGGTACGCGCCGGGATACCGAGCGTGTGCGTGAACGAGTTCACAGCCTTTTGGAGCAGACTCGGGTGGGATTTAAGGATGTCGGGGAGGCGATCAAGAAAGTAACCACTTGGGAGGATGTCAATGTACGTTGCCTTTCGTCTGCATTGTCAAGCACCTCTCCGTTGCTGACATACATTCTCTAGCCCTCCCAAAAATGGACGCAACAGAAGCTCTCCTCTGAATTCAGAGCTACATTGGAGGAATTTCAGACCGTTCAACGTCGTGCTTTAGAAAAACAACGTGCATCTGCAGTGGCCGCCCGCACGGCGGTGGAAGACGGTGAGCATGCGACTGAAGAAGGGTTCCAGCAACAGCAAGAGCAGCTTCTTGAGGAACAGCCCCGGTTAGCAAATCAAGATGAAGTAGACTTCCAGGAGTCTCTAATTATCGAGCGGGAGGCGGAAATCCGCAACATTGAACAAAGCGTCGGCGAGCTCAATGAACTATTCCGCGATGTTGCCCATATCGTTCATGAGCAAGGAGGCCAACTCGATATTATCAGTGAAAACGTGGAGAGAGTCGGGGACGACACACGTGGTGCCAATGTTGAGCTGCGTAGCGCAAGCCGGTACCAGAAGAATGCGCGGAACAAGGCCTGCTGTCTCCTGGTCATCCTGGCCGTTATCTTGCTGATCATCGTTCTTGCCGCGGTGCTGGGGTGATTTCTGTCGGTCCCCGCCGCTTTTCTATGGTATGCGACATCGCTGTTTGACCCAGCATCAGGTCGCAATGCTCCTCCCTTTTGATGATATCATCTTCATGTACCTTTTATGTATATGCGTATGCTTCCACCCGTTTGGCAGGCCTCGTTGTTTACACTCATGACCCCCTTAATGATCAATCGGCGCTTATGGAGCAGAGGATGTTTTGACTATCTATAATGGTTGTGCTGTCTTCTATGCTTGTTATGATACATAGCCTTGTTATACATGGATTGTACACCGAGCTAAATTTCCCCAAGACCGTAACCGAAACTCCTTGTGTTCGCCTGTACATGTGCACCGTAAACCAATCAGGAAAATGCTGTGAGCTGCTTACAGTCCCATAAAGCGACTGAAACGCATCCGACAGCCCTCCCAGGTGTTCAACTTGGGTCGGACATCCAAATAAAAGCTCAGCTTACCCGGCCCAGCATTGGCGGCCAGTCCGGTGCCGGTGGCCCCTCCCGATGTCTTGCCTTGGTAAAAGTCGATAACGTACTCGACTCTATCCCCGCCGCACCTTTCCACAACCCAATCATGACGGTCGAAGGGCAGCTGGTAGCCCATCAGGTTGTTGACCCGCGCCCGAGGGCTCAAGAATTGAGGGTCAACGCCCAGACCCCGGAAAGAGTACAGTTTCGGACCTCCACATTTCTTGCTGCCGGGATCACTGCCGGGAGCTCGACTCTCCCAGTCCAAGATCTGCTGCCATGCACGCTCATTGACGGCATTGTGGATGGGGATAATGGACGCGACGGTGGTGGCCAGCTCAGAGGCCGATTCTGTGGAAGAAGGCGTGTTGCCCTTGCGCATCAGCGCTTCAAAGAATTGTCGCTCGGACGGATAGATCCAATTGCCGGAGTTCGGGTCGTGACCTGTCTCGGCCTCGTCGTTCGATGGTGCGCCATGCGATGCGCTCGGAGACGAGTATGGAGAGGGCGGAGCGCTGGGTGATGCGGAAGGTGACGGCTGGGATTGAGTATCGATCGCTCGCGGTATGCTACTGATCTCGCGATCGGTGGAGAGCGGACGTTGCATTTTAGCCTTCGATTGAGCGTCTTCTGTAGGCATGGGGTGAGGAGGAGCGCCTCCGGAAGCTTTGTGTTGTTGCAGCCATGCCTCGCGAGTTTTGTGATCAACAGGGCATGCTCCGGCTGCTGCAGCTGCAGGCTCGGGTGAAGGCGTACTGGCACCGGCGCCCATGAGTGAGGAAGAGATATATAGGAGGGTGGGTTAAAGGGACGGTGATGTGACAAGACCGTGCTGGGGGTGTCTGGCGAATGAGAAGTACGAAGATATAATCGAGGATGGAATCCAGGAACTTCAACTGAAAAAGCGGACAACTCCGAAAAGGCGGAGAAAAAATGGCAGCTCACCGCCTTCAATTCCGAGCAACAAAAAGAGCCCCTCAGTCTCTTTGCCCAACGGGGAAATCCATACATTCCCCTCCGTCCCGTGTGCCCCCCTGCCTCTTGGATACTTATATCTTCGACTCTTCGACGCTTCATTGACCATTGACCTCTGAATTTTGGTTCAACCGACTTCTACATCCATCATGGCTGCTTCCGCTGAAAGTCTCGTCTATCGGGCCACCACGACGGCCCCCGTCAACATCGCTGTCATCAAGTATGTTTACTACTATGCACCCCACCGCCCCCTATTGCGGTCACTCAGGATCTATATGACAGCGCCGAGGAACTGACACGAGTCTTCTAGATACTGGGGCAAGCGTGACGCTGTTCTTAATCTGCCCACCAACTCTTCCCTCTCCGTCACTCTCTCCCAGCGCTCACTCCGCACCCTGACCACCGCTTCTTGCTCGGCCATCTACCCCGCCCAAGACGAGCTGATCCTCAACGGCAAACCCCAGGACATCCAATCCTCTAAACGCACCCTTGCCTGTCTCTCCAGCCTGCGCGCTCACCGCAAGGAGGTCGAAGCCGCCGACTCCTCTCTTCCCAAGCTCTCCGCCCTCCCTCTCCGCATCGTCTCCGAAAACAACTTCCCCACCGCCGCCGGTCTTGCCAGTTCGGCTGCCGGGTTTGCAGCCCTTGTCCGTGCCGTGGCCGACCTCTACCAGCTCCCACAATCTCCCCGCGATCTCAGCCGCATTGCCCGTCAGGGCTCCGGCTCTGCCTGTCGGTCCCTGATGGGCGGGTACGTTGCCTGGCGCGCCGGCACCCTCGAGGACGGTAGCGACAGTCTAGCCGAGGAAGTTGCTCCCGCCGCTCATTGGCCCGAGATGCGCGCCATCGTGCTTGTCGTCAGCGCCGAGAAGAAGGATGTCCCGAGCACGGAGGGTATGCAGACGACCGTGGCCACGTCGAACCTCTTCGCTACCCGCGCGAACACGGTTGTCCCCGAGCGCATGACGGCCATTGAGACCGCGATCCAGAACCGGGACTTCCCCGCCTTCGCCGAGATCACCATGCGTGACTCCAACGGCTTCCACGCCACTTGCCTAGACTCCTGGCCTCCGATCTTCTACATGAACGATGTCTCCCGGGCTGCTGTCCGCCTGGTCCACGACATCAACCGTGCCGTCGGCCGCACAGTCTGTGCTTACACTTTCGATGCGGGCCCGAACGCCGTCATCTACTACCTCGAAAAGGAGTCTGAGCTCGTCGCTGGAACTATCAAGGCCATCCTGGGCGCCAAGGCTGATGGCTGGGAGGGTCCGTTCTACGAGCCCCTCAAGGATCTCAGTGCCCCCGGCGTTGCCTTGGACCAGGTGGACTCGCGGGCCGTGGATGTGCTCAAGGAGGGCGTCAGCCGTGTCATTCTCACCGGTGTCGGTGAGGGCCCGATCAGCGTGAACGATCACCTTGTCAGCGAGAAGGGCGATGTCCTCGCGCACTAAATCAAGGAGCTATCGTGCCAAACTCGAGGTACCGCGGGCGCTGATTGATAGTCAGACCGCGGACTACCTTGGGATAAAAGATACCCATACCGCTCCCTCCGATGTTGAGAGTGAGGGGTTCAACTCTACATTCAGAAAGTCTATATTCTCGTTTACTGCGAAGCATATAATTCAACATTAATAATCATGTTAACATTTAATTGAATGAGTTTCCATCCAACATCTCTATGCTTTTTTGTGACCTTTTACCAAACCATTGAATGGAAGAAATAGACAGACAAACCACAACCAAGTAAGCGTCAGAAGCCTGCAGGCTAAAAGCCCTAGTTAAGCAAGGCGGACAACTTCATCTCCTTAACAGCGGGGACCTCCTTGCCCTTGCCCACGTTGGCCGTGGCCGTCACACTATCCCAGAACACGCTCTGTCCACCTCTGCCCGTACCCAGAGGTTCTTCCGCACCGCCGAGATCAGCATTCTCAAGCTCACCATCTGCCGCATCCTTGGCGCCGTTATCAGCAGCAACCAAAGCGCCGAACACCTCCTCCCGACTGTCAGAGCAGAGCTTTAGGACCTCCTGCATCGCCTTCTCGATGGCGGCGGCGCGCTCGCGCATGCCCCGACGCAGCAGCGCATCAATGAGCACCTCCACCTCGGCGACGGTCGCGTTGGCCCTCTCCAAAAGACGCCGCACGCTGTTGACGAGGTACTCCTCCTCGTAGACGGTGCCCTTCTTGCCGCGGGCGCGCTTGCGCTCCTCCTTGCGGCGGGTCTTGGACGTGTGGCGCGAGGAGGTTGTCTTGCCGGTCTTGCCGGTGTTGCCCGTGTAGCGGGTGAACATGGAGCGGCCGGCCAGCGTCGACGCATCCGTCGGCGCCAGCGAGACGTTGTCGGGGATGTCGACGTTGCCGTCACCGCCCAGCGCCGGGTCGCCGCCGAAGTAGGCCAGCGGGTCCGTGGCGCGACGCACCCGCAGCTCGCGGATTCGCGGCACCTGCGAGTTGAGCTGCGACCGGAAGTCCGCTAGCAGGTCCGTCATCGCGCCCATCGCGTCCGAAAGCCCGCCGTCGACGATCTCCGCGATCAGCGTCTGCTGGCCGTGCAGGGCGAGGAGCCGCGTCGCCTCCGAGAATTTGGCCCCGCGGCACAGGAGCCGCGCCGCTGCCGGGATGTCGCCGAGGTGCTCGGCGTGGATCTGCGCCGCCGAGATGTAGTCCTTTGTTTCTTCGGTGAGCGTGGCTGCGAGCGTGCTGGCGTGCGTGGAGAGTTCCTCCGCCGAGAGGGGCACCATCATCGCGCAGTAGATGGATTCACGCCAGAGGTGGGCGAGGTGGTAGCATTTGTAGGCGTCGGTGTAGAGGGACAGCGATTCGTAGGCTGGTGAACGGTGAGGTTAGCTGGAGGTTCGAGATTAGTGGAGGGGTATGTGTCCACGTACCAATGCCTGCTTCCTTGTACTTGGATCGGTCGAAGAGGTGGTCGGCGTACAGGTGGCTTATGTCCCGTAGTTGCTCGGCCTGGTACCTGTACAGGTCGATGGCGTCCTTGTATAGCGTGTGCTTGATAGCATAGGCACGGAGCTCCTCATGAGCATTTAGTGCATGGAGGTGCTTCAAGGCCTTTGAAGTGCGTCCGAGGTAGTTGTCAATCTCGAATTGACGTCGAAGCTCGGGCAGTTGCTGCAGCTTTCTCAGGAACGGGAGGTATTCGCGGGGGTCCTGCGTACTGTGAGCTTGCATCTAGGTGAAGGGGAATCGGGGCTCTGACTCTCTGGGCTTGCTGAGCAACAAGTAGAGTGAGCTCGAGGTCATAGAGACCCAATGCATTGTTGTACAAGAGATTAGCATCCGTCAGGAAGCACATGTGCTCCACCGCATCGTCGGCTTGTTCGGAGCTTTGGTCTACTACCCAGTTAGTAAATATCCCAGATGTGCGAAGAACAATATCCTTACCCCTTAGACGTGCAACCAGCTGAAGACCTGCCTCAAGGTCGGGCGGGGACTTGCAAACGTGAGCAGTGATCAGGTTGTGAAGGTTGGTATCCAGGCGCTTCTCAAGTGTAGTCAAGAAAGCATCGCAGATCCGGTTGACTTTACTGCTCTTGCTAGAAGGAGCGGCTAGCGCAGCGAGAGCGGATTCTTCGGCCTTCTTCTTCAGGGTGTCTTTGTACAATGTCTGTGACACATCCTCCTCACTAGAAATCCTCACTAAGCATACGCTTTGTTAAGTCTGAAGAAGGGCACTCGTACCTCAAACGGGAGATAAATTCATCGATGAAGTCGATTCTCTTGACCTGATCGACAAACAGTTGAATATTTTCCATGAACTGCTCGGGTGCATAGTCATGAATGATGTTCATGTCCACCATCTGACTACGGCAGGTCAGGAACGCGGCCCGATAGTTTTTACGGTCAATAAATGACCGGATACCCGCAAGCACGAGGGCTCTGGGATAAATGGTCTCAATGTTGCCACGGGGCATCTGCAAGATGACAGCGAACGTCGAAGGCATGACCGTGACCAAGCGTCCTCCGCGCTCAATGCTTCTGCAGCGTTCGTCCGTTTCAGGAGTATCGGGAGGTACATCCATTTCTATGTTACCCACGTCAGTAATTGTAGGGCGAGCACTGCCATGGTTAAGCGTACCTTCTGCTCTCGTGAGGTGTACAAATTTGATGAGATGTAACGAGGTGGTGAAAATGACGTGAGCTTGGGTGACGATGAACGAGGTACAGTTCTTAGCAAGTAGGGCCTTGTTGGCATACAAAGCCCCCGACTTGGTCATAGAGATAAGAAGTGTCTTGCGAAACGTCAGTAATCGGGATTAAACGGTCAGCGGACGACAAAATACCTCATCTTCAGATATCTGCACAGCTTGAGCCCAGTACGTATCGACAGAGGGACTTTGATTCCATGGTACAACCTCGAACTGCTCGGGGGATGGCATTGAGATGGAAGAGTAGGTGATCGGCTGGGTTGGTCCTAGGTTATGAGAGAACCACAACGATTCATGCCCAAGCGATGCGAACATGGACACAATTTGTTCTGAGTCAACTGCTTGGTAGGCGACCTTCGTCTCTCGGGTCTCAAGCGTAGTCCGCTCTATGCAGGTGTTGTTGGGCCCATTGCCCTTCAGAACGTAAACTTCGGTCTCATTGACAAAAACGATCTGACGAGGCCGGCTGTCCGGGGCATCCGAGAGCGGATAGCTGGACTCGAGGATCGGCACAGGAACTGGTCTAGTCTTAAGGGACCAGAGGAAGACGGAGAATCGATCATTCTCGAGGATAGCAATACGCGTTCCCGACTTGCTAAATGCCACATCAATGATGTTCGAGTCAAGAGTCACTTCATTATGAGCCATAGGAGGCGGTACACCGGCCAGCCTCAAGGGAGTCAGCTTCAGGTTTTCTGTATCATGTTAGCACCCTAGAGTCCTAAATGAAGTCGAACACTTACTTCCGTCTATGACACCGACAGCACCGACATCAGTCGGGCTTGTAGTAGAGCCATGAGCAACGTCAAGCACGAACTCCACGTCCAACATTGACTCTACATGACAATTAGCATAGTTCTGATTATAAGTAGCATGGGTTCCGCACCACAAGCGCCAGCAATAAACCGCAAGGCCTTCTCTTGATGCCACTTGAAAGTGAATGGATTTGTGAAACCGGGGTTCACGACAACAGGGATCTCCTGCTTCAAGTAGTAATGGTAATTGCCCATAGTCCAGAATTGAACGCGATCCTTGAATTGAACGGCGAGTACGGTCGAATCGACGTTCCAGCTTAGATAGATATCCGAGGCCCATGTCAAGCGCTCTTCTTCTGTCAAGCGGAGGGTGAACTCGCCGTGGCGCAAGCCGTTTCGTTCAAAGAAGACCACGTCGATTCTATCATCGCGTCTTTGAATACCGGCGATGAGGTTACCGTAAGGTCTCCAGCTAAGGGCGCCTTCCAGTCCATCAACTGGCTCGCTGATACTATCTAAAGACCCCTCGCGTGAGTAAACTCGAATCGCGCGCCGGATGCCAGCCTCGACGCTGTTCACAGCGACATAGGCACCATCACCCCGCCATGTGATAGTGGTCCTTCCGTCATCGTTACCGCTCAGCTTGCCCTCGTCCACTTTCTCTGGAACGGTGGGATCGCGAAGAGCCTTGGCCCGTTTGCCTTGGAATTGGGTCTCGCGCTTACCCCAACCCACAGAGACATGCTGGGAAGCTTTGAGGTCTTCTTGCGTGAAGGTGATCTCGGCCACATTTTCGAACTCCCTGGTCATGTACAGGAAAGTGTTTGCCCTGGTAGTCAAGGCGAGAAGCTCCTCGTCAGGAGACCAAGCGGCGGCTGTGATACCAACATCAACCGAGCCCACAATCTCGATTTTGTCCTCGCCGGGGAGAGGCTCCTCGCGAACGATGACAATATCACCACCTTCCAGAACTAGGCAGGCAGTCAAGTTATCGGCGAAGTAATGTAGTGACAATACGCGATCGCATTCCAGCTCGGGAAGCGGGCATGGCGCATCCCAGGATGCGATGCACTCGAATACATCGGCTCCTACAGGGTCTGAAAAATAGGCGTCGTGACGCTTTCTGCGCAACTCGATGACTGCATTAGTTGCAGTCGGACCAAAGGTACAAACAACGGCGTCGGACGCAGTGTCCCACGCGGTAGCTGTGAGAGGAAGCTCGTTCTGAAGTTGCACCTCAGCGAGGCGCACGGTTTTAAGGTTGCGCATCTTCGGAATAGCAAGTCTTCTACCCCGCGGCCATCAATCGACGACCGCTTGGAGATATTGCAAGGGAAACAGAAAACCTTGAGATAAAATAAAATTAGAGATTCAAGCTGGCCGTCATAGAAATTAAATTTGAGAGAAGAATGGTGTTTCTGTTCGATTTGGTGGAACGGCAAACCAATGATTGCTCAGGATAGACTATCAGATGCCGAGCCAAAGTTTTAATTTTCCTTTCTTAGACAAAAATCGACCAATGACTTCATCCATATTCTAATAAGGCATCAGACAACCCGCACTACGCACTGCAACTTTCTCTCTCTCTTCAGTATCCAGGAAACTACAATCTAAGCGAGTCTTTAAATGCAATTGCTGCCACAGTTTATTTTCCGAATCAAAATCGTGCTCAATTCATCGACTTTATACAAATTCCCGAAAACATCCGATCTAGGATACACATTCGACCGATTCCCGAGTTCCCCCCATTCGGTTGCGCGCGGAAGAAACACAGCACAAAAGGGCGTTTAGCGGGTCTTGTAGGTTTGCCAGACTGTAATGAAAGTAAGTTAGAAAACTGCGGAAGAGAGGTGCTTGTAGAGCCATTGATAACATACCGGCGATACCGAAGGGAGCACCGAAACCGGTGACTGGTAGAGAAGAGTTAGTGGCATTGAACAACGTAGCCATCCGGCGACGAGGGGAAGACAAACTCATGAAAGCCCAGTATCTCCAGAAGAAGTACTTGGTGAGGGGGTTGAAGGGAAGGTTAGAGCGAGGGCCCTCAGCGTAGTGGTAGGGGCTGCTGAGCTGGGCACGGGTGGTGGAAAAGCCACGACGGGCGACGAAAGAGGTGGCCATTCTGGCGCGAAGAGCGGAGGCAGCGTACATCTTGACCGGTGTTAGGCTCAATTGAAAAGCGATTGGGGAATTGCAAGCAGTTACGCACTTTGATGAAGCAACAGAGCACGAGTGTTGGGGTAATCTTACTAGGAATCAACGGGGCGGAGGAAGAGCTGGGTGGAACGATACTCACGCTCGCGGCGGCTCCCCGGAAGCACCATCACGTGATATACGCTCGGAAAGAGTAAGTTTCACCGGCGGAGAGCAGCTGCCCGCCGCCGCCTTTCATTGTGGTAACCAAAAATTTTGGGGCCGATCGCTTGCCTTCTCTTTGTCTCGAAGAAAAGCGTCGCAACTGTCCAGGCCAGTCTCCGTTCTTGTTTTCGTTGATCGGCCACCATGGATGAGCTTTTCGACGTCTTCGACGATCAGCCCCAGGCTGTCAAGCCGGCTGAGGGAGCACCCAAGAGAGCAAAGAAAGACAAGAGCAAGAAGCGACAGGTCAATGGCGATGTCAAAGCAACCGCCGCCGCACCCGCCGACACGGAGGATGTAGACATCCCCGACGCCCCCGACGCCCCCGACGCCCCCGATGCTTCCACAGACGAGAAGGAGGCCGAACCGGATGAGAAGGAAGCGAGTCCTGTTGCCGACCCTAACGAACAACCTGATGCGAAACGTCCGCGCCTCGCGACAAAGGAAGCTGAGCCTGTCTTGGCCGATTCATTCGAGACGGAGCAGGAGCGCGAGGTCGCTGGAGCCACCGGATTGCAGGCCTCGGCTGATTCCGCATCTTTGAAGCTATCCCACCAAGTTCGACACCAGGTCGCCATCCCGCCGAACTATCCCTACGTGCCCATCTCTCAACACAAGCCTCCGGAGAACCCTGCCCGCGTATGGCCATTTACCCTCGATCCTTTCCAGCAGGTAGCTGTCGCATCCATTCAAAGAGAGGAGAGTGTGCTGGTCTCCGCCCATACCAGTGCCGGAAAGACTGTGGTCGCCGAGTACGCTATCGCGCAGAGCTTGAAGAACAATCAGAGAGTCATCTACACCAGTCCGATCAAGGCGCTCAGCAACCAGAAATTTCGTGAATTCCAACAAGAATTTGGTGACTGTGGCTTGATGACTGGAGATGTTACCATCAATCCGACGGCTACATGTTTGGTCATGACTACCGAGGTGAGTCCTCTTGCGCTGGGACAGGATTTCCGACCACAGTTCGTTAACGGGTCACTTTTTTTTTCAGATTTTGCGTTCCATGCTTTATCGTGGCTCCGAGATCATGCGCGAAGTAGCTTGGGTCATCTTCGATGAGGTCCACTACATGCGCGATGCAAGTAAGTCCTACGAACCTAGCACTTGCATTTACCCGGCAAATGATTGACTATGGTGCAGCTCGAGGTGTGGTTTGGGAGGAAACGATCATTCTCCTGCCCGACAAGGTTCGATATGTTTTCTTGTCCGCGACAATCCCGAATGCTATGCAGTTTGCGGAATGGATTGTCAAGATGCACAACCAACCCTGTCATGTTGTTTACACCGACTTCCGACCAACTCCATTGCAACACTACTTCTATCCTGTTGGCTCCGAAGGCTTGCATCTGATTGTGGATGAGAGGGGAGTTTTCCGCGAAGATAACTTTCAGAAAGCGATGAGCAGCATTGCCGATAAGAAGGGCGATGACCCTTCAGATGCCATGGCCAAGAGGAAAGGAAAGGGCAAGGACAAGCGGTTGAACAAGGGCGGTCAGAATGACGAAAAGAGTGATATGTATAAGATCGTCAAGATGATCATGCTTCGAAACCTCAACCCTGTCATCGTCTTCAGTTTCAGCAAGCGCGAGTGCGAGAACGGTGCCCTTCAGATGAAGAACTTGTCCTTCAACGATCCTTCAGAAAAGGAGATGGTTCAAACAGTCTTTGACAACGCCCTTAAGATGCTTTCGGAAGAAGACCGGAATTTGCCCCAGATCCAGAACCTCCTACCACTTCTGCGCCGTGGTATTGGCGTCCATCACTCTGGACTTCTTCCCATCCTTAAGGAAACCATTGAGATTCTGTTCCAGGAAGGTCTGATTAAGGCGCTATTTGCTACGGAAACTTTCTCTATCGGTTTGAACATGCCGGCAAAGACTGTTGTATTCACGAGCGTGAGGAAATTCGACGGCTTCAGTCAACGCTGGGTTACTCCATCAGAATTCATCCAGATGTCTGGTCGCGCTGGTCGAAGAGGTCTAGATGAACGTGGTATCGTCATTATGATGGTCGGAGAAGAGATGGATCCTGCTGTTGCAAAGGAGATTGTGCGCGGTGAGCAGGATCGACTGAACTCGGCTTTTCACCTGGGCTACAACATGATTCTCAATCTTATGCGTGTGGAGGGCATTTCGCCCGAGTTCATGCTCGAGAGATGTTTCTACCAGTTTCAAAACACAGCCGGTGTTGCTGAGCTTGAAAAACGTACAGTCTATTCATTTTGTCTTGCTTGTTCTCATGCTAACTTATGTTACAGAGCTTGCGGAATTCGAGGAAAAGCGTGCAAACATGAAGATTGAGGATGAAGGCACCATTCGCGAGTATTATGACTTGCGTAAACAGCTTCAGAAATTCAACGACGAGATCCGGACTGTCATCACGTATCCCGACTACTGCCTTCCATTCATACAACCTGGTCGCCTGCTTCAGGTAAAGCATAAGGATCATGATTTCGGCTGGGGTATTGTGGTCAATACCAAACAGCGCAAGGCACCAAAGGGTTCAAGTGAGGAGTACACCCCCCACCAGCAACACGTCGTCGACGTTCTGCTCGAAATTGCTGCTGGCAACTCCGTCGGCACTAAGTCTTTCGAGGACATGCCGGCTGGAGTGCGGCCGCCCAAGGAGGGCGAGAAGACTTCCATGGAGGTCGTTCCAATTGTCCTTAGCTGCATTCATGCCATTGGCAAGCCGCGCCTCTTTCCTCCGAAGGATTTGAAATCTAGGGATACACGGAATTCGATGAAGAAGACTCTTGCTGAAGTACACAAGCGTTTTCCGGATGGCATCGCTACTATGGATCCGCTCGAGGATATGGAAATCAGAGACGACAGTTTCAAGAAGACCCTACGTGTAAGTGGAACCATCTACTAGCAAGGTGGCCTTTACCTAATGGTACAACAGAAAGTTGAAGTTCTTGAGTCCCGACTTTTCACCAACCCCCTGCACAACTCTCCTCGTCTAGCGGAACTGTACGATCAATATTCAGAGAAAGTGGAACTCGGGAACAAGGTCAAGGAGACGAAGAAGAAGATCTCCGATGCCATGTCCATCATGCAGCTCGATGAACTGAAATGTCGCAAGCGGGTCCTGCGTCGATTCGGTTTCATCAATGAAGCCGAGGTCGTGCAACTGAAAGCCAGGGTTGCCTGCGAGATCAGCACGGGTGATGAACTCATGCTCAGCGAGCTGCTCTTCAACGGTTTCTTTAACAAGCTTACGCCGGAGCAAGTGGCCGCCGTTCTGAGTGTCTTCGTGTTTGAGGAAAAGACCAAGGAGACCCCTGCTCTGACACGGGATGAGTTGGCAAAACCCCTCAAGGAGATCCAAGCGCAGGCTCGGATCGTCGCCAAGGTCTCGCAGGAATCCAAGCTGGCCCTTAACGAGGAAGAATACGTCAACAGTTTCCATTGGGAACTGATGGAGGTCATGTATGAATGGGCGAACGGAAAGTCCTTCTCTGACATCTGGTAAGTCAATTTTCACTTTTCTTAAATCACGAATCTTGCTTTCGCAAATTGCTAATTTCCATTTCCTTTTAGCCAAATGACCGATGTTTACGAAGGCAGCTTGATCCGCGTCTTCCGCCGACTTGAGGAGTGTATCCGCCAGATGGCACAGGCAGCCAAGGTCATGGGCAGCGAAGAACTCGAGAGCACTTTCGAAACTGCCTTGACCAAGGTGCGCAGGGATATCGTCGCCGCCCAGTCCCTGTACCTATAAAACACTATACTATCGTCCTTTTTCCCTTCGCGTCTCAGATTCTTCTTTCTCTTTGACTTTTCATGGTCGCGCGGTTTTACATTGGTGGTCGCATCTCTGGCGTCAGGCTTTACAAAAGGTTTCTGTCTGGCTTTTGCCGTTTTCACTCTCGCATCATTTATGTCTAAATATCTCTACCTGTAAATGAGGGTGTCATTTTGTGCGACACTCAATTCTAGACGACGCAGTCCTGTTTCAATCCCAGCTGGCCGTTCCCAGTTGACCCACGATCGACTCGATCTTTTTTATTTTCTTCTTTTGGGCCAGTGTATCAATCGTAGTGATAATGAGTTGATTACCGAAAGGTGAGCTATCAAAGCGAGGGTGTTTCTTGATTTACATGGTGTCAGAGGTTCGAATATTCTGCGTTGGAGAATCGTGAGTCGATTACAAACCTCTTTTTGTCGCCGTGGAGAACAAAGGAAACAGACGTCTTCGGAGCCCATTAACAGTGTTTGTCCCACCAAACGGCGTTTACACTTCTTCCAACGAGCAATGTGTTCAGGTGTAGTCAGGATTTAAAGATCGGGAAGAATCTCCAGGACTCTCTTCCTTAACGCCAAACCTCCGAGCGCACTGTCAAGGCGATGGATAGCAGTGACCCGTACCGATAGGCCCAGCACTCGTATGACGGAGTGCTTTGCTTCTGCTCAGACATGGAGCATCGTAGTGAGGGGGTTATTCGCGGGATAATCCTGATACACCAATGCTGGTGGGGTTGAGGGAGTTTGGTGGGGGTAGGGGGGGCTTGAAATAGCCGATCGATCTATGAGCGGGAACATCAACCTTTCCTTGCTACTATCGTTACAGTGATGGTGACAATGACTAGCGTTCGGTTAGGGTTCTTTCTGTAGTTCTTAGCGTTCCTCGACTCCGGTATCGGGTAGACTAAGCCTGAAATCGTAATTCTACTATTCCCGGCCATGGAGATGAATGGATAACCCCGCATACCATAGATTTAAGATGGTGGTGGTTGGGGGTTTTGTTTAGCGCAAGGTTCGCTTCTGCATTGTGCTCGATCTCTCTATCAAAGCACGTACACTAAGCCCCTTCACCAGCGGGTGTGCATTGATGTGTGGCTGAACCAGAGTTCACGAGGTTTCAGGATCATGGCTGTGAATATCACATTGGTTGTGAGTTGAGCAGTGGCCTTGCCGAGTGGCCTTGGTGTTGCTGGGGTGTTGGCGGGAGTGAACATGTCTGTTCACTAGAATTGGATGGTTCGCTCGGGGGCAGGGGGAGAGACAGCGAGAGAGAGCAATGTCAAGGATTGAGGACCCTCGGGAACTACTGGCTTGCTTTTCCCCCCTATGACGGTGGCAATTGCTGCTGTCATGGTTATCATCGCTCAGATGCGTTCGTTCTATGGGAGTCAAGCGGCGTGGATCTAATTTCCGAGATGAGACCGTGTTCATACTATTGCAGTTGTGCAGAGAGCAATCCGGTTTCGCTGGTGTGAGATCGACGACATTTGAGCCGTAAGGAAGGAATCAAAGAGAGAACTGGGTGGGTTTCTCCAGCATTTCTCATCCTTTTATCGGACAATTGTTTTTAGAGTTGACGCTTGGTGAGTTGTGGTCATGCGGGCGAGGACTATGCGGATGGATTGAGAGACATTGCTGCGGACCCCGGAAATTAATACTGTGGAATTGCCTTGCCACGGGCTATGATACTACTTCTTGCAGATAATATGAGTTCATTATCGTAGGTGAGATAGATGAAAGAGGAGAGAGGGACTGGTTTGACTCTGAGGTATTGAGAAGCTTTGTTGAAGTATATACCAAGTAGTACTCAGTAGTAAAGAAAGTGCATTTCAGGCCTGTGTTGCCTCCCGCAACCCGTCCTGGTCTCCACCGCCTCTGTTTCCAGGCTCTCAGGCTCACTCTCTCTCACTCTCTTTCTTTCTCTCACTCTCTGTCTCTCTCTCTTTCCCCACCACGAAGGCAAAACAGTCATTAACTGAACCGCCTCTCTTTCTCCTTCTTAGTCTTCCCTCTCCTCCTCTTCCTGCAACTCCACCTTACCCTCTTTCCCTTGCTTCTTGCGTCTTTTTTTTTTCCTCCCTCCCCTTTATCTCCCCATAAACACATAACACCCCTCTCTCCTAGGCATCTCCTCGTGCTCCTAGCTGACGACTTTCCTCCCGTCCTTCGTCCTCGTTTTCTTCATCAGCTACGACTTTCCTCTCCTTTTTCCTTCTCGCCCAACGCAACCTTAAGCGGTCGGTGGCCATCATGAACAGTCTGGTGGCTACACCACCTGTACCTCCTCACCACTTTTACGAACCCTCTCGTCTCTCTCCTTCTCGTCCAAGTAAGTCCAATTTCTTATCAGACCCCTGTCTAGCCGTCCCGTTCCCTAATCTAATTGTTCATCTATTTCATCTAGTGTCTACCCCAAGCCACACTCCCAACCGGAAACGGAAAGCCGATGATGATGGCAACGATCATGATGGCCGAATGTCCGCATCTCCCACCAATTCTCCCGCCTTCACCCCTCGAACCCTTCCACCCAATAGACACCATATCAAGCGTGCTCGCCCAAATGTCAGCGGACGGCCGCTTTCTCTCCCCCGCTTGCTAGAAACCTTGGACACCGATGCTCTCCGGGGCGTCCTCCGGTCCATGTGTGAGCGTCATCCAGCTTTGATGGATGAGGTCATTCACACCGCTCCTCGGCCCAGTGTAGCATCCGCCCTTCAGGTGCTGCGGAACTATCAGTCCAACCTTCAATCCTCGTTCCCGTTGGGTGGCAGCTCCGAATCAGATTACGCCTATAACCGAGTCCGGCAGCCTCTGGGGAATTTGTTGGATGCTCTCAGCGACTTCACGCCACATTTCCTCCCGCCAAATGAGACACAAGCCTCGGTATCCTTGAGCTATCTAGATGAGGCGACCGACATAATCCACGCCTTGCCCCGGTGGCACACACCCCAGAACAATCTAGAGCGGGACTCTGCGTACGACGAGATCTGCAAGGCCTGGATTCTGGTGATTCGGGAAGCTGCAAAACGTGGAGGTGGAATCCAGTTACAGTATGGTGGTTGGGATCAGAAGTTGGCCAAACACAACCAGAACTCCGGCGGTAAACTGCAGGCAGCCGTCAACGAGCTTGGTTCTAGCTTAGGGTGGATGCACAGACCGGATGCCCAAGGCTACGGAAGCCCAGGAGGTAATGACCTTGGATCCATCCGCGAACAACTCCTGTCGGGCACATACGGGCTCGGCACCCCCGTCAAAGTTGGGCCATGGTAACGCCGCCAACAATTGACTGCTATACTCATCTCTTCCCGTCGACTTATCCCTCCGATCTACCCTAAAAACTCCATTCTCGCGACACCTCTTTACCCGCCCTCCCGATTCAGAGCTAGTGTCCAAACCTCGACCGTGCAATGTCCACGTATGATACGATCACGATACCTTATCGCATGAAACTAGAGTTGAGGGTCAGCTTGGCGTTTTGCAGTGTTCAAGCAAACTTTTTTTCGTCTTCTGCTTTAATGTGTCATATTTTTGGAAGCCGACGCCTTCATCGTCTGCCCTCGATCTAGATTGCCAGATTTCAGGCTCCGGGTTCAAATTTTTTTCTTTTGTGTCCAACAAATTCCATGCATCCATGTCCGTCTTGCATTATATAGTCTGGCATGGTCTTCTGTCTCTCTCTTTCTGTTCAACATTCCCTTGTCTCCTTCCTTTCCTGCATCCGTTTTCTTTCTCCTCTACGACACATCGGAACCCAAGCACTTCCACCAAACGCCTTCCACATCGTGTTGTCGTTCACAATCCTGTATACCCCTTTTCTCAATTTGTCCCCTCCACTAATCACATTTTATCGGTGTCTGGCTTATTTATTGGGCTTTTGCAAGGAGGCTTTTTCTACACATTCTGCCGGTTGTTCCGGGCCAAAGTTACATGTCAAATTAAAGCAAGAAGCAACAAAGAGCATTCGTTATAGCAGTGGTGGAGATTTGCACAGCTCATTAGGAGCGAAGCGGGAAGGTTCAAAGCGCACGGAGAGGCTAGACTTAGTGTACCCGGTCCAATTGGGTGGCTGCTGTTCCACAGGAGCAAACGTAGGTGAGGACTGAGGCTGCAGTGGAAGGTAGCTGATACGTACAACACAACAAGTCAGGAGCTCAACCCCTCCAAAGTGGCCAATGGGACTCTTTTTTGTATCATGCATTCAATCAGTAAATATCCAGGCACGAGAAGATGGAACGACCCTCCGTAGCCTCATGGGGTCATTAATACGTATAGGATTAGCTGGGACCCACCGACGCTGAACCCGTAGCCCTTGCTCCCTATACAACAGAGATGCTGAGACACCTCACGGCTCATGCTAGGCCATTATTTATGAGTACACCATCCGCTACCCGCCATCCAATGAAAAGCAACGAGAGATCGTGAACCAAATGCCTCAAAGCACCTACGTGTCCCGTGCCCACCCCGGAATTCAAACCTATGATGCAAGCAAAACAAGGGACAAGGGGGAATGGGTGGGGTGGAATGAAGGTGGTAAAGGAAGGCAGAGATCCCGGAGGGTATAACGGGTAGACACATCCACGCATCCACACATCCACACACACCAACAGGTAGGTGTGCATACATGCATACATACAACGGTGCCAGGTTTGCTTTTAGGGGGAGTTTAGGGAATTTCTTTTTTTTTTTGAGAAGCAAAAAATCAGGATAGTGCATGTCTCACAGCGCGGAACAGCCAGCCTGCATCTCCCCAGCCGCCTTGGTCGCCTGGTTTGTCTAATACGGAGAGGGTTTCCGACTCAGCGATGGAGATTGTGTCTGTGTCTTCTGCGGCTGCGGCTGCGGCTGCTGCATCGGGTGATGCGGTGTCGTCTTCTTCGTTGTCATCCTTGGCGTTGTTCTTGACGGTGTCAGCGGATCGTTGGGAGTGGTGGTCGGAGATGGTCACGGTTCGGGGTTCGAGGTCACTGCTGTTGCTGCTGCCGCCAAAGGGAAGTGGCCAGTCTTCGACGCCGAAGAGGGTCCATTCGACCATGCGGTCGATCCAGCTGCCTAGTCCGAAGCCGCGTTCCCGTGTGAGACGTTGCAGTTCTTGCTCGTCGAGCTCGTCGGACTCGGAGTCCGAGTCGGCGTACGGGTAGTCGGAGGCGAAGGAGGCGAAGTCATCGTCCTCCTCGTCCTCGTCGAGTTCGTCGCGCTGGAGGGAGGCCATCTCGGCACGGATGCGCTCGTCGACAAAGTCGGGGACCAGGTGCCGGTGTTTGTCCTGTTGCTGTTGCTGTTCGACCTTTTGGGTGCTGGTGCTGGTGCTGGCGAGAGGCTCGACTGTCCTGCTCTCGCGGCGGGAGGAGGTCGCGGTCGAAGTCGTGGTGGGCGTCATGCCGATGCTAGTCATGGCGAGGTCTGCTCTGCTGGCCATCCGGCTGCTTGGGCGGGATCGTGAGGCCCGTCTGGATCGCGAGTACGCCGCGGCTGGTGTGGACCGTCCGGAACGGCCATGTCGGGGACTACTGCCTCCAGCGGACCATGGGTTATGGTGGTCATGCTGGTTGAGGAAGTCCAGGCTGAGGTGCTGCTCGTCGGAGACCAGGCTCGTCGAGCTCTGTCGCTTCACGAGCCAGCTCTGGCCTTTTTCCTCGCGAGTCGACGAGGCGAGGGCGATGCCGGCGCGGAGCATCCATTCTGTGTCCTGATGGTGCTGCGGCGGGTGACGGGGACGATTGGTGCTGCGGGTGGCACGGTGGGTTTGGCCGTGCAGTTGTTGGTCATGGTGGAGGGGGTTGCTGGCACTCTGGGCTTGCAGATTGGGGTCGCTGGCGTGGTGGAGGCGACTGGAACTCTTGCTCCGAGAATGGTGTCGCGCACGGGACCCGCTGCGGGAATGCGAGTGCGAAAGCACCCCCGGAGTGCCAGGCACGGAGAAGCTAGCCAGATAAGACCTTGCGGTGGGCGGGTCCGGGCTATCGTGGTGACCCCCTTGGTGGGGATGGTTGAAGTAGTCCGAGGCCTCTTCATCGTCGTCGGTGAGAAACCGAGGATTCAATGGAGCGAGAGAGACATGATGCAGCGAAGGGTATGACCGTCGAGACCGGAACGCGCTCTGCGTTGGGAGCTGCGGGGGGACCTGTGTTTGCTGGGTGTTGGTGATGGCGGTGATAAGCAAGACGGAAGGGGAGGAAGGAAAGTCTATATTCTCGGGTTTAAGTCAGATAGTGCTTACCTCCATCTGGCAGGATTGGATCGACTAGATCGGATATCACCTGGGAGGGACTAAGATCCAGTACGTAGTTAGTCACGGTGGGGAGGGAGGAAGGGGAGAAAAGGAAGCGAGAGAGAGAATCGAAAGAGAGACGAAGGGAGGGGAAACTAAACTGACTAGAAGATAATCGCGTCCTTAAGAGGCAATGTTGGAAAATGTGCAGACCGGCTCGAAGCCTTGGCCCGCGCATGTGAAAATGCGGGCGGGCAAGGATGGAATGACAATCGCACCACTGCACTGCACCACTTCCATTCATTCATTCATTCAGTCGATCAGTCGATCAAGCAATCCTTACAATTTTACCGAGGTCAGTTCTCGGGGCTCGAATTATGTTCATGGTTCAGTCTTTGACTCCAGTCTGTGTTCATTGAGTTGGGGTATACAACCTTGGCCCAGTTACCGAGTCCTGGTGGTTGAATCAAAAGTGGAATCGGAAGTGGAAAGTCAACTTACTACCCATACTGACAGGGTCTAAACCAGGTTACAGCTTCTATGTATATATCAGGCTATCTTATGCTACCAAATGGTGCGGTTGTGGACATGCAATGACCGATCCTATATATCTCGCCAGTACCACATCAATTGCTTCATGCGCTTCGCTTGCCGCTCCTGACCTAGTCACTTGGATCCTCGAGTATTGTACCTTGTACGAGCAAACGCCACCTTCAAGTCTGTGTATGCCCCAGGAGGATTAGGTTCAGTATCATGCCACGAGGGAGTTACTTATAGAGGTTGTTTAACTAATCATGGTGACGAAGGATGGTGAGTGAGCAGCAGGAGCGCCACACCGCCCTGGCGAGGGACGATCCCGCCCGTCGGATTGCTTGTCCATCCATTCATCATTCATTCTTCCTCTTCAACATCTCCCCCAACGTACGTCCAAGCTGAAGCTGTCTTTCCCTTTGGCTCCTTGGAGATCATCGTACAACTCCTTTGTATCTCGCTCTTTCTTACTATTCCTCTTGTTCCGCGTCTACTGCATCCTGTAGCAATAGACGCCGCCTCCCTGTTCTGGCTGGGCGTTATCTATCTGGGCCCGGTTCTCTTATCAGGACCTCCCCGAGCTACTTAGTTTTTACCCGTTCGCTGTTCACCAGCTATCGTCATGGCTGATGAGGCAGCCAGGCCTCTTCTAGACGGCGATTCCAGACCCGTCTCTCCTCATCGGTCTCCATTGCCTAACGATGGAAAGACTTCTTCTCTCACTTATCAGGAGCCTCGACCGTACGAATTGTCCGATGAATCCGCTCCTCTACTAGTTCGTCGGGATGACGACGATTTTCTGGGGTACGGCGGGACCGACCCCAGACGACGTTCTTCCGAACTGTCACGCCCTCGCTCTTCTGACATTCCATTGAAGAAACGCCGCGGCAGAATACGATGGCCGATCCTCTGTGCCGCCATCTCACTCATTGCAGTGGCTGCGATCTTAGTCTTCGTTTTCATTGCTCCGGCTGCTGTGAAGGAGTATGTGAAGGATGCAACAGTCTTCCAGCCCACCAATGTCTCAATTGACTCGACCACTGCCACGGGGGTCCGCGCTCGGATACGAGGGAACCTGATTCTCGATGCTCAGCGCATCAGGAAGACACCCGTACGGAATCTGGGTCGGTTTGTCACTTGGATTGGAAGAGAGGTCGAGACGGGTGAATCCGAGGTCGAGGTATATTTACCCGAGTACGGAAATGTCCTGGTGGGCACGGCGTCTCTGCCCTCCCTCAACATCAACATCCAGAACGGCCACATCAACCATGTCGACTTTGTTGCAAATTTGGCCGCGGGTGATATTCAAGGCATTCGCTCAGTGGCCATGGATTGGTTAGATGGCAGACTGGGGCGCGTTCGTCTGGATGGGAAAGCCACAATGCATCTTAAGTCGGGCTTGCTGGACCTGGGCGTACAGACGATCACCGACTCGGTTCTCTTGAGAGGTTCGTATTAGACCCTACATGATGATCTCTGTTATCAGACACAACGAACTGACTGAGTCAATAGAGGGCGACTTCCCTCCTTTGCCCACGGTCAATGTGACCAATTTCAATTTCCACGATGCAGACACCCCTGGGGATGAAGGTGCAATGGCTGTGGATGCGTCTATTGCTGCTTTGGTTGAATCGCCCTTTTCTCTTAGTATCCCTCCTCTCGGCTTTGTAGTATTGGTGCCGAACTGCTCACCGGGCGACCCATTCATTGCAGTTGCCGCTGCTATGACTGAGGGGTTCCCAGTCATTCCTGGCCAACCAACCCAGATTGACGTTAGCGCCCTTATTGAAGGTCTCCCGGACGATTTGACGAAAGCTTGTCCTGGGAAGAAGAACTCTCCGCTTGACCTTTTAGTCCGAAACTACGTCCATGGTCTTGGAATGACGGTTTACGTTCGTGGAGCCGACGCCCCTTCGTTCGATACTCCGGACTGGATGGTGGACGTGCTCAAGAGCGTGACGGTACCATTTCAGTTTACTGGCCACGCCGTGGACAACCTTGTCCGGAATTTTACTATGACGGACGTGCACTTCAGCTTGCCCGACCCTCTGGCAGAGCCGGACTCGCCTGAATCCCGCCCAACAGTCTCTGCGCTGGTGAAGGTCCTGGTAGGGCTGCCGAAGGAGGTCGGCCTCGAATTAGATGTGCCCCGGGTCCGGGCCAATGCCGATGTTTTCTATCTCGGCCACAAAGTTGGGATTCTAGATCTTATGAAGTGGCAACCAGCCAACTCGACTTTGCTAGAAGATGTTGATGGCACCTCGGCGTTACTGGTCGATTTCGCCATCAAGAACGCTCCTTTGGAAGTGACCGATGACGATGTCCTTACGGATCTTCTGCAAGATCTAATCTTCTCTGGTAAATCTGTCAAGCTGGTCGTGGCAGCGAACGTAGACGCGGAAGTCTCCACAGGACTCGGAATCTTGACTATCCGTGAAATTCCAGCAGAAGGGGAGGTTATCGTCAAGCGTTAGTCGCTTAGCCGCTCCGCAATACAAGGCTACCATCCAGCTGACTCTTATATAGCCCCGTACGGTGGCTCACTCGATCAATTCAAGCCCCAGATTGAGTCGCTCAAGTTAAGCGATACGAGTGCTTCGTCACTTCTTGTGGAAGCGAGCGTCAATGTCACAAATCCTACGCCGTATGCTGCTTCAGTACCCTTGATAGATTTTGTAATGCTCTTCAATGGCTCAAGAGTAGCCCACCTGACGGCAAGAAACGCCAAGATCGCCCCCGGCATGAACAGCGGTCTCCGCGTGGACCTTTTATGGAGCCCTCTCGGCCTCGATGGGCCATCTGGCGCCAGCGCTGGCCGGGACCTTCTGTCACAGTATATCTCGGGTAAGCTGATTTGACCACGCCGCGGCCATGTTGGTACCTGACTAGTACTACCGCAGGGTCTAACACTACCGTTACCGTACGAACACACGAGAAGACCATCCCAGCACTACCCGGACTGGGACGGGCCCTTTCTCGACTCGGCCTGGAGGTGCAGATCCCTCATGTGCCAGTACCTCAGGCCCCGGGACATCAACCCGATGCAGGCAAAGGGTCAATGGGATTCATACAGGACGCTACGGTATTATCTACTTTCATGGACACTGCCCTTCTCTATGAGCACAATGCAATCTGATGCCATGTAACCCGTGGTGTGCGTGTTCAGTCTTGCATGGATATACATCCTCTTGGTTGAGTTGACTAATACGGTTGAGTGCTGCTAGATGCACCTGTGGTCATCGACAGCCGAGTTCACCCTCTCTTCGCCGTTCCCCAATACCACCATCGAGATCACTTCGGTAGATGCCCAGGCCTTTTACCAGGCAGAGAGCGAAGAGGCCGAAGTTGGCACGATTGATTACCGGATTCCCTTTCCAGTGCCACCGGGCCTGTCTGTAACCCCGCGGTTGCCGGTGGATCTGAACCTAGGCGGGATTGGCTACGATGCGCTGAAACGAGCCCTTGGCGGCTCTCTCGAGTTGGACACCGTAGCGAAAGTTGGCGTGCAGATCCAGCATTATAGAGAATGGGTGATGTATCATGGCAAGGGCATTAAAGCCAAGGTAAAGCTTTGAGTCGGTCATGCTGTGACTCACTGAATCAAAATCGTTGGGACTAGTGGAGTTTTGGGACTCAGGGGTTTCCCGCAGGCATAGAAGTTCTGTATGGTCTCTATACTGAATGGTATTCAATTTGCAGCACGAAGAAGTTACTGGCGCTTCGTGACTCAACAATCTCTATATCATGAGTAAAGGTAGTTTTTCATACGATAGGCTATACTCGAAGAAAGTGGCACCTTGTCTTGGTCGCCCAAGAATAATTGATTAGACTTAGTACATGACTCATAGCTCGACAAGGGCTAAAACAAACTCAGAAGCTTCAATGACGTATTATCCGAAATAGATTCCTAGCTCAAGTGTTTTGACAAATTTACAGGGATGGAGTCTTGCTTGAAAATAAAAAGAAGAAAAAAAAATACAGACTGGTTCTCATTGCAGGATATTCGACGTTGGATATTTTGAGGTGGGGAGGAAAGTTTAACCAGGGGGAAGGGTGCTAGCATCGACAACGTCGGCAGCGTCCTTCTCCAGCTCCTCGGTAGGCTCAAAGAGAGGAGAACGGGGCAGGGCCATCAGACCGGTACGGGTGGATTCGAGCACACCGAAGGGAGCGATAAGCTTCATGAAGGAGTCGATACGGGAAGGCTTAGCGGAGCTGTTGTCGACATTGCGTATTAGTTTTTGTTATTCGGCAACTCTCCCCGGAACAAAGACACATCATATGGGGGAAACTTACACTTCGACAATGCAGTTGTTGGTGCTGATATCGAGGACCTTGCCGCCGAACTGATGAGTCAAGCGGGTGATGGCATCGAGATGCTCGTGCTTGTGGCGGAGAGCCTGACTCTGGGGCAGGTTGCGAGGGTGGAACTCAGTCTTGGCGATGTTCTTCTGGGAGGCACCGGACTGCTCGCCGGGGGTGGTGATCTCGCGGTGGTGCTGGAGCAGCTCCTCGAAGAACTCGGGGCCCAGGATGCTGACCTTGGCGAGGAGGAGCTCGCGCTGCACCAGCGCCGAGTCGGTGTAATCCAAAACGGCCCAAACGGGGACCAGGTCATCCAGCTGGCGGCGGGCCTGCTCGACGACTCCGTCCTGACCCTGCAGCACGATGGTCATGCGGGACAGATCCTCCACCTCGGTGTTACACACCACCAGACTGTCGATGTTAAAGCCGCGGGCGGCCAGAATTCCCGACACGCGCGACAGCACTCCCGGCTCGTTCTGCACCAGACAGTTCAGGATGTGGCGCTTGGGCGGGTTCGTCGGCGTCGTCGGCGTCTCGTACAGGATAGACGACACCGCCGTCGGCGCGTCCCATTGCGGCGAGGTGTCGGACACGGGCAGCGGGAGTGGCGAGCGGCGGTGCAGCGCCTTGTAGGCGAGTGCGGAGGTCGAGCTGCTGGAGGCTCGCGCCGAGGAGGAGAGGGAGGAGACGTTGCTGAATCGCGGAACAGTAGCGGCCAGGCGCGAGGTCGAGGTCCTGCTGGTCACAGCCAGGAAGGCCGTCGATGACGCTGTCGCAGACAGCATCACGGGGCGCCGGAATGCCATATTTGCCGTGATCAGGGGGGAAGGGGCCCTGCAAGACGGTAAAAAAGGCAGGCTGAGGGGGGAGGGCTTATGGGCGAGGATGCAAACCGGGGGATCGTGAATTAAGTTTCGCAGTCATCGATGGGCATTTTATTTGTCGGGGCCGCCTTCCGACCTCGGGGTTGCTGACTCAGTCCTCCGTTCGCCGGTCGCTCTCAGTGAGCTTTACCATATTGGGGTTAGTCTGCTGTCGGCCCAGACTCTTATCACGTGATTTGGGTTTTACCATTCGATGCATCTTTCCGGAATCGTTTCATTTCTTCTTCTCCTTGTCAGTTGCTGGGGATCGTGGCTTTGCTTCATCGTCATTGATTGCTCACCGTTGATATCACTCTGTTTAACCCTTTCACTTGTATACAGTTGATTATCCTGGCCCGATTCTTGGCTGCCAAGACCTCCAGAGGCAGTCCCAGTTGTTACACTTACACTTACTTCTCGACACTAACCTTACGGACTAAGGCACCCACCACCTTAGCGTCCTCTCTAACCTACCAACTGATCGCCTCTCTGCAACTCCACCGCCTCTGCCCGGGAAAGTCCTTCGCAACCAAGACCTAACCTTGCTTGCTTTGGGACCCTATTTTAGCCTTCTCCTCGCTGTCTTCTCGTTACTTCCGACGCTCCCTTCTCTTTGCATTCGCCGCGCTCCTTCACAGATACCTTTCATATCTGCTTATCCTCACTTCCGGGCCATTTTTTGATCATGGACGAACACCGCCCAAAACGTTCTCGCTTCGACCAGACCGAGCCTGATTCGCGACGCCCGTCGCGCTTCGATCGTCGCTCTCGGTCTCCGTCGTCGCGACAAACGGAATCTACCAGAGCCCGCAGTCCCCTCAGTCGAGAGCCTCGCAGCCCCAGCGCAGACCCCGCAAAGAAATCCGATCCTGCTGCAGCAGCTGGTATGTCTTTACAATGTGTGGCGGTGGAATCGGACAGTGCTGACATGGTTTGATACAGCTGCCGCTGCGGCTAAGATCAACGCCCAGTTACAAGCCAAGAAAGGAATTCAGCATGTCGACGTTCCCCCAATCCGCTCGGTACGGAACCCTGCAGACTCCGAGGGTCGCAAGCCGACAACAAATGAACCATTATGCTAACTACCGACGCTACATAGTCTGGAAGCCCTATGCCCAAGTCCGGCTCGCCGGCGGACGTTGACGCTTCAGGCAAGCTGAACGCCGAAATCTATGTCGCGGATGGAGACTACATCAAGGACATTGAAATTAATGATTTGCGCAACCGCTACACGCTGACCAAAGGCTCTACTCAGAAGATGGTAATTACTCCTATTGCACTTGCTGATCTTCCAGGCATCTTGTTCGCTGGTCGGCGGCCCTACGTTTCCTTCCCTTTGAATTCCCCTGTTCCTCTTCTTGTGTGGTTGTGACTAAAGCTTACCCAAAGTCAAACGAACTCATGCACAGCATCCCACTTTCCCTCATTTGCATCTGCTGACCTCCGCTGCGTGACATCTAGATCAAGGAAGAAACTGGCGCCGGTACGCCTCCATCTCATAACTCTAACAACTGTTATTTGCTCATGAAGGAAGCTCATTGATTCTTTTTTCAAGATGTCACTACCCGAGGAAACTACTACCCTGATAAGAGCATGGCCACGGCCGCGGTATGTTTTGCCCTCGTTCTCAATTAGCGCTTGTTCGACCGTCGAGCTGACAAACTCTGTGTGTACCATAGAACCCGCCTCTTTATCTCCACGTTACGAGTACGAACAAGGAAGGCCTCGAAAAGGCGGTTGCTCTGATTGATGAGCTCATGCAGAAGGAGCTCCCTAACTTGGTCGACGAGCGACGATTCCGCCGACGAGAACCGGAGCAAGTGGAGCGCGATGAATTTGGCCGCGTATGTGATCAAGCCGCAACTCCTCAAATGCTCTTAAGCTGATGATGTATAGCGCAAATGGCCCGAGGAACGTATTCCGGTTGATCTTGAGCCTATCCCAGGGTTCAACCTCCGGGCCCAGGTCGTCGGCCAGGGTGGCGCATACGTCAAGCACATCCAGTCGAAGACTCGCTGCAAGGTCCAGATAAAGGGCCGTGGGTCGGGCTTCATGGAGCCGAGCACCGGCAGAGAAAGCGATGAGCCGATGTTTTTGCACGTTGCGTGAGTAGCAGCAGTCTCCTTCAGTCCCTTCATCACACCTAACCGGACTATAGTGGCCCCGACCCCGCCGATGTTCAGAGCGCCAAAGAGCTGTGTGAGGACCTCCTCGGCAATGTTCGTGAGCAATATCAGCGCTTCAAGGAGAACCCGCCCCAGCATGGTTACGGCGGCTATGGTCAACGTGGCGGTGACCGGTATCACTATGGTGGTGGCGGTGGTGGTGGTGGCGGCGGCGGCAGTGGCGGAGGCTACGGTGGTGGATATGGAAATCACCATCACAGCCGGGATAATACCAGCCATAACTCCCCGTCTGCGTCTGCGAGTCCATCCGCACAGGGTGCTCTAGGAGCCTCTGGCTCTGGCACGCCCACCGCGGCGGACTACAGCGCCCAGTATGCTCAGTACTATGGATCGGATCCGTACGCCGCCTACGGTGGGTACCAAAATTATGTCGCCTACTACCAGTACTACCAGCAGGTCGCCGCTCAGCAGCAGCAACAACAGCAGTCCCAGAGCCCTGCTCCTCCGCCGCCTCCTCCTGCCAGCGAGGCCCCTCCTCCCCCACCACCGGGCTCTGGTTCTCCTCCGCCTCCTCCACCCCCAGGTGGCAGCTACAGTGCCGTAAGTGTTCTCTTCCGGTCAAGTTGAGATCTAATCCATCAAACATACTGATCGTTGGATTTACCCTTCTAGGTCCCACCTCCCCCAGGACTGTAATGTTCTAGCCACGCGCTCTCTAACATTATCCAGGGCGATAAAGGAGATATTCCCAATTTATTAACTCTCGGCCCTCCAGACGTTGATTATCAACACCTGCAAAGCTGCAGTGAAGAAGCTACATCTAGCTAACTATCTATTCAACCTATCCGCTCCGGGACTAAGTCAATACTTGGCTTCTAACCGACTGACTGATCGCTTGGCTAGTATTTGTAGTATCATCTCTTTTTTTATTTTACTTACCTACCTAGCGCATGCTACTATTACTACGGGTCGGTCTTGCTGCTAAACGTTTGTAGAGTCCCCACAAAAGGGGTCCCAGAGAGGGGTATCTGATGCGAATTATTCTTGTCGATTTACTAAAAGCTTATTTTTATATTGTTTTTTTTCAACAACTATAGCTTTCGTCCTAGACATATTGATTCTCGATAGCATGGAGCTGTAGGCCTGCACGACATGTGTCCTGAATAATTCCTGAGATTCCGGGGTCAAAGGTTGCAGTAGACTCATTGTCCATCCTGATTTGCTTTGCTTAATCGGTACATGAGACGCAATGATGAGAGCATGAGGAGCGACTCATAATTGATGAGCGGGTGGACAGTCATGACAAGAATGACCAGATTCATAGCAAAAAGTCGTGTTTGTACAATGTTCCATAGAACAGCTGAAGTAGGGTGGACAAGACAGCCATCAAGCCAGGAGGACGTCCCCGATAATCAATCGAACTGCTACGGTGCAGTTACAATTCAAAGATCGCCAAAATCCCGATACCCCGGAAACATCTCGGGAAACATCTTCTGCATGTACCAGGGGACATGCATATCGACAAAGTCCTCAGCGTGACTCTCCGGCGCCATCCTCGCCTTCCGCTTCGCAACCCCCTGCGACCCCTCTTTACAGAAGTCACATGCAAAATCGCAGGGCGAAGCGGCGTTCACCTGCGTCGATGTCGCGGCCTGCGAACCCATCCTCTCGAGCTCAAGGTCGCCGAAGAACTCCTTGATCATCTCGTGTCTACACCGTGTCGCGGTTTCGCAGTAGCCGATTACCTTCTGAAAGCTGGCTAGTCGCGCGAATTGGTTTTGGACTGTTGCGTTGTTGCGGTTGCTGCTGCCGGTATGGTTGTTGCTGTGGTTGTTGCTGCCGCCGCCGCTGCGGTTGCGGGCGTTCTCGACGTCGCGTTGTAGGCGGTCGAGGATGCGGTCTCGTTCCTGCGTGTTGTAATATACGATCGAGGCGGCAGCGCGGCCGTCGCGCCCAGCGCGTCCGGATTCTTGCACGAAGCCTTCGAAGCTGCGCGGTGGGCTCCAGTGGATGACGAAGCGGACGTGCGGGCTGTCGATTCCCATGCCGAAGGCGGTGGTTGCGACGATGATGTAGAAGGCTGGTTGGGTTGGAGGGGTCTCGGCTTTATTGTGGTGGTTGGTGTTGATGTTGCGTGATTGGGGTGTGGGTTTGGTGGATGTCCATTCGGTTTGGATGCGGGTTCGCTCCTCTGGTGAGAGGCCTGCGTGGTATGCTACGGCGTGGATGCGGCCCTCCCAGACTCGTGAGAGGGCGCTGGCGAGCTTCTCCGAGATGGCTCTGAGGGGCACATAGATGATTCCGGAGACGGGGGGTAGCTTCGCGGCGTCCTCGGCGCCCAGTCGCGCCTCCCTGCGGGTCTGCACGGACCGGAGCCAGGCCACGAAGTCTCTTATTTGGAACTCTTCAGGCTCGGTGGGATCGCTTGCAAAGTCGTCCAGATATCGGACCTCGTAGTGGATGTTTGGTCGGGCGGAGGGGGTGTTGAAGCTCCTCAGCCGGAGGGGATCTAAGCCCAGGAGCTTGATGATGTCTGCGCGGACACGCGGGGTGGCTGTCGCTGTCAGCGCACTGATCGGGACGGGCGGGTTGGTCAGAGCACGCCGGAACCAACCCAGCTCCTTGTAGGCTGGCCTGAAGTCATGGCCCCATTCGCTGATACAGTGGGCTTCGTCGATCGCAATCCGGATCAGCTCCCCCTGAGAGTGGATGGTCTGCAGGTTCCGCCGGAAGGTCTCCGTCTGGCAGAGCTCCGGGGTCACGTACAGGAGCCGGGTCCTGGGATGGCCGGACAGAAGATCCTCCAGGATGGCTCGTCTCTCGGATATCGGGGTCTGCGAGTTGATTGTGGCTACCGCGACTCCGATGGCTTGTAGTGCCTTGACCTGGTCCATCTAGCACACATTCTAAGTAAAGGGCTCGTGCTGTCGGGAGGGAAATCGTCGCGACTTACCATAAGCGCCAGCAGTGGACAAATTACAACAGTCACTGTTAAAGGGAAGGTGAAACCAGTCAGCTAGTGTTGTCACCCATCACGGAAGCGGTAGCTTTGCTTATAGTGATCGTGATAGTGAAAAGAAATGGTTTGGATCAACCTCCATGACTGATTACGGCCGGGAGCTGGAAGCACAAGCTCTTTCCGAACGAGGTATTAGCCTGTAAGAATACATCGTGACCCTCAACCGCGGCCGTGATCACATCCCGTTGCAGTGGCCTGTTCGTCTGATATCAGCAAATCTGCCATCGGAAGCCAGAGCATGGCGGGCGCCTACAGGCCGATTACGCACCGGAAAGAGTTCTTCTGGAAAATTCGGCGCAGATAGAAGTCCAGGTCCACGTTACGGCGCTGCAGACCTCCGCTGATCATATTCACGGCATTTCAAATGGGTTGCAAACGGGGAATCGGAGATGGTGAGATCTCACGGAAGCGCGACGCGCTCCGAGGACCGAATGTGAACGCGATATCACGTGACCGGCTATAACTATTGCCCAGAATAGTAAAGACACAAGAAGTGCAGTGGATAGAATTACTGAGTTCTAGCAGGGAAACAGGTTCATTCCGAACATTTTCATTAGATGCTGTTGTCAAAAGAAAAGGAAAATTGATAATCCGAACGATTCGTAGAAATGCTGTACAGAACAGGAACACACAATGTTGAAATCCATCGCTATGTTCGCCATCAGTCTCCGCCTGAGGGTATATCTATCTATATCAGGTCTATATAATTTACACGCACCCAAATTGGCCACACCGAAAGATGATCACGGAACGCTATGATTCCACCGGACCCTCTTCATCTGCTTCTCCAGTTCCTCCTTAATAGCTATGACGTCCTGCGCCCTGCGCTTCCCGGGTTGCCAGAGGCGTTCCATATGAAGCCATGCTTCCATAACCTCCTGGGGTCCACAGCAACGCCCGAACGCGCGGAGGATGACCACGATCATGCGACGACCAAGGAATACCCCGTTCTCGATATGACGCTCGAGCTGCTCGTCCGACGCATCGGTATCGAGGGGCTCGTCGCGTGTTCGCTTGCTGGATACCTCGCCAGGTGCGACAACACCCCCGGTCTCCACGTGTATGCCCTCTTGAGTGGCGGGCCCTTGCGCATCGTTGGGCGTTTCTTGCAGTGGTAGCCGGGTGTACAAACCAGTTGACGCGTGTCGGACCAAGGGCTGTGCGAGTGGAACGTACGATCCATGCAAAGGATTCTCCCATGTGGGGGGTTTCTTTCCTAGTCGAGGATTGTATTCTTGTTCGACTCGCGCTTTGGATTCGTACAGAGCTCGCAAGTACGTCCTCCATGCAACTCGCAACTTGTCTGCAGTCCAGCCCTCTCGTCGCCGCCCGTGAAGGGCAAATCCCTCGAAAAGAAATATGTAGATTAACCCGCGCGGTGGCACCGGGAAAAGCTTCTCCATGTCTGAGATGATAGACATCAAGGCTTCGATGTCGCCTATCTTATGGGCGTACAAGGACAGAAGAATGCGGAATGTCCGCGTGTCTGGAGTGAGAGCGAACGCTTCCTGGAGAGTGCGATAGTGATCCGGCAGATGATCTTTGAGAGGCGCAGAGACCTCTAGGAGGCGATTCAGTTTTCTAGATCTTGTCCGGTAGCGTACGAAGCTGGTGGTCAAATTGCCACGAATCGCGCGGGTATTGGGGGCCGCAGCCTGGTTCTTCAGCATCTGCGCATAGATGGCCTCGGCAGCTTCCACATCCCCTGCACTGATAAACGAGGCCATTAGACAGTTCAAGACGGCAGTATCCACAATCTCGCCGCTTGATATGAAGTCATTGAACGCTTGCCGGATGCCATTGACATTTTGTTGTTGGCCATAACGATAAATATTGGACACTTTGCCGGTGCGTCCGAATTGGAGACCTCGCTCTTCCATTTCCGCGATTAATTGATCAGCGACGGTGAACTGACTGGCTTTGATGGCTATGTCAAAGAGGATGGTAAATACAACACCGTCTGCTTTGACTCCACCCCAGTGCTCCATTTTCTGCCAAAGACCGATAGACCTTGCTAGGTCTCGCTTAAATACTCGGCCTGATGCCCGACCTGCAAGATGTATAGCGGACGTCCATAAAGCGCGAGACACGGAGAGCTTGGCATCAACCATGTCATCCAGCAGCGCAATGAATCGTCGCGCTTCGACCCAGCGACGGTTCTCAGGGGTTGCGAATCGGCGTAGCAGAGCACCTCGGCAAGCTTTCGAGAGGTAGGCGACTCCCGGTGAAGGGAGATCTCTGTAGAGTCTAAAGACATATTGGTTTGATTTTCCCTCATCCCACAAAGCATCCCGCAGTCTCGTCACAGTATCGTACTCCACGGCATCGCGCGAGGTAGCTGCATTGGTCGGCAAAGGTCGCACGGGGGACGAGTTCACCATAGTTCGATCTCGCATGGCCATTTCTGCTGCTTGCTCCCAATCGAGTGATTCGTCGAACAATGTTTTATAGAACCGTGAGACAGAGTTATATAATGCCTTTGCAGGTGAGGTCTTCCCTCGGTAGCCATACTTTTTTGGCTCTCTTTTTTGGTCCCGTAACTGGCCCAAAGTTTTATTCTCAATTAAGTCGCTGTGCGCAGGCTGTTCTGCCAAGTTCTCTTCTGATGTTTTGTCTGCGGCAGACTTGATTTCGTGTTCTTCCCGTGACACTCCACTGAACTCCCCGTGCGCAGCAAAGTTCCGGTACCCGGTAAAAGTTGGTCTGAGTGTTCGCGAGCCAGAGCTCTCCAATGGGCCATTCACCCAAGCATAGCCCTCTTCGTTGTCTTCCTTCATCCTCAATGCGACGCCCGAGTTGAACATCCGTTGTGTTCTTGGGCGAGGCAAACATTCGGCAGATGAGCCCAAACGATCAAGATGGCGCGTCGAGGGCATTCTCTTGGTCTGTCTCGAACGCCGGTCCTGCCAGCTGACCACTTTACCTCCGGTCGAGTTGGAAGGCACTGTCGAGAATGTTCTGCTACGAGGCGAGTGCTCGCGGCAGTAACCGGCCATCACCAAGGAACCGACGAACACGTCGGCTATAGACGCTGCATTGGGGCGCGGACGTCTGCAAGTAAGCCGTCTAACGGAGGCATTGTAGGAGAACGAGTCGGGATTCGACATGGAAGGGTGGTAATGGGGGGACTTGCACGTATCCAATCGCTGCGAGAGAGGCCGCAGATCGGGCGAGTTCGGGGACCTAGTGGAAGGAGGCATGAGATGACAGACATCGTGGCATTGGATTAGCCATGCATGTCCCGAGGAAGTCTCGAGCAAGGAATTCTGGGATATTCAGACGGCGGGTGTATGGATTGCGACAGGGGAGGGCGGGCAGATAATCGAGGTGTAGGAAAGAAGAGAGGAGAGAGGAGGGGAAGAGGGAGAGGAGAGGAGAGGAGAGGAGAGGGATTTCCGTTCCAAGAAACAAAATAGATGATATAGCACCTGCAGTTTATTCAGGATCAGGAACTTGGATTTGGAATGGAAGAGATGGAGGAGCTCCGCGTTCAAATTATTATTACGGGCTCTGCAACTCTCACAGCCAGTCTCTGTCTTTCTGCTCCAGGGCGGAGCCGGGTTTCAACCAATCGGAGACGCGCATTGGCAATCAGTGGCAGTCGCTCTTTTCCTTCCCGCCGACTTGGAACCCATTGAATTGCAACCTCTTCGGCCTTCGAGTACAGCCCTGGTTCATTAAGTTGGACCCTCCTCCAGGCCTCACGGAGGACCAGAATCCAAAAAAATAACAATTCACTCTATCCAAGCTAGCTTCAATTGGTTCCTGATCAGGTCTGTCGTATTTCACTGACGACCTTCCGCTTTTCTATCCATCCACCGAAAAGATACTGCACGGCCTCCTGCTCCGCTGCCGCCGACACCGCCGCCCTCCGATTGCATAATGGGTAAATACAATTTCACAGCGCTTCGCGTGCGCGAGAAAGCTCTTCTAGAGAAGGCTACGTTTATGCGCGAGAAGCTTCCTCCCTGGGCCGATGTTATCGCCGATATTCCTCCCGCCCAAGCCCTCGTCCGAAACCAAGCCCACCAGCATCAATTGGTCCGCCAGCGTGTGAAGTCCGTCCCTGGCAAGTCACAACCGCAGACCGTCTTCACGGTCAGAGAAAAGCCCATAAAGTCAAAGAAAGCAAGCCGCATGTTCCTGCCCACTGAGATGAAGTTCGAGGAGGATCGGCTACGTACGAAATTCTTCAAGGACCATCCTTGGGAGTTGGCCAGACCCCGAATCCTCGTTGAAAAATCGGGCCAGGATTTCCGTCGCTACAACTGGTCCAAGCTCCAGCAGCGTGGAAAGAGGCTGGATGGTGAGAGGTACGTTGTAACACCTTGCTATCCGAATTCGGAGGATCCGTACAGTCATGCGCCGGCTGCTCCAGCTCCTCCCTCCGAATGTTATGCTAACGTGATTCTTCTTGCGTGGATAGTGTTGTTCAGCGCCAACTCTGGCTACTAAACAATGTCCCTGATATGACGGAGAGCGTCTCCTACGATATTGCACGTCGCGAATTCTATCAACTCCGCCTGCGCGAAGATATCGAACGACGAGTTGCGGTAGAAGAAGCCGAGGCTACTGGCGCTGTCTTTGGACCTACACGTCAAGAGATTGGTATGCAGATCGAGGACCAGGTATTTGAGCGCTGGAAGGCCTGGGCCTCGGCGGGCGTCCATGTGGTGGAAAACAAGCAGCGCAGCAATATGTCCGCGGCGGATGGCAATGAAGACTTGGGCCCGGAAGAAGCTGAACCTGTCGTACTTTCGGCTGAGGAGGAGAGCTTGTAGAGGTATGTTGGTCATGGGGGGACTGAAGGAGTGGATTAGATGGTACGACGTGTGTGGATTTGATAATCGGATGGTTTATGTACACTACGGGGAGTATTGATATCTCTGTATCTATTGTGATAGTACTGTTTGGCTTTTTTCTGTTTCGCCGGAATATCAATTTCTCATTTCTACCATTGCTATTTATCTGGTAAGTACTTGGAACGAACCCAAGTTCCATGCCCGGGCAAGATCAAACAATAGCAGTGTCTCAGTGTTTCAGGTGTGGCTTTCCGGGCACTTTCTCCCTCCAAGGACCAATCACCGGGGCGCACTTATCGGGCTTTCCACCACCAGGAGTTAAGTTATCGCCCGGTCTTTCTTCCACTTCCCATCAACTGGACTCACTACTAACCGCCCCCCAAGTTCATTCATTGGAACTTCACTGAACAAACCTACCTGACTGCTGGCCATCTCCTCTCCTTCAATCCTACTCGATTCCCTCTTTTACTCTTTATCCGTTTCCTACATTCGTCTTCTTCCCCCACTACTTCTGTTACTCAGTCGATTCTGCGGTGGCTTTGTTCTGACAGCTGCAACCTTTTTCTCCGCGTTTCATTAGTCTCCCTCGTCACTCCATCCTTCCTTGACTTCGCTCGTTGATCTCTCCAACCATCTACCGCCATTTTCGAATTCTGTACTGGCTTATAAGTCGCTGGATTCGAATTTCGAGTCGCGTAAATTAGCAGCATAAGCACTTTCAGTTTTCTTCCTGGCTTCCGCCTTTGTTGGACTTGAGCAAGTCCTCGTCCACTTGAAGCCTAACGAGTGCCGCCCGGGCCTGGCTGCGCGCCTCACGCCAACCTCACACACGGTCGCCTCCTTTATATCCTCATGTTATCCTTTCTCTCTACGACACGTCACTGAGTTCGATCACCTATCGATCATGCTTTGTTCCGGCAACAGCACACACCCCGGAGACATTTTGGCTATCTGAATGCTTGTTGGAATTCCAAACAATAAGTCACCGAAATAGTCAGCGTCAGGCCGCTCGCATAGACCTGCTTGTTCCGTACATCTCTTCAACATGCTCTCAACAATGGTGCGCCCGGAGGATACCATCAGGATGCCCTTCGCCTACCGTGGCGATGCGGATGATGACGAGGATGACAGACAGTCTCTGGAACAGAGTCTACCGGCCTCCTTGGTGCCGGCCTCCCTGGTGCCTGCTTCATTGGTACCTGCCTCCAGGGTCGATGCTTCAGCCAAAAGTGAGGATGAGGTAACACTTGTGAACGGGACCACAGGTGACGGCAGTGGCAGTACAAGCAAACATCCACCACCAGGACCCCGCTTGTTGACAACGGAGGAGACAATAGAGCTTGCCCGCCGGGCGGTCGAGAATGGAATCCAAGAAACCAAACGCTCGCTTGCTGGAAGCGAGGCAGTGACTGATGTGGTCAAACCGAAACTGACAATAGACTTGGGCCACTCCAACATATCTCGAATCCCCGAGTCAGTCGTGGATACTATCAAGGACGAAGTTGAGCGGTATGCTATCCCCCAACCTCAAGAGACTCGATGCTCAAATAGCCCTCAAAATATAAACCGGGATGCTGATAAGTTCAAGACTTTCTCTATCGAACAACCAGCTGGTTCACATTCCCTACCGATTTGCAGAGTGCCGCCATCTACGATACCTCAATATCCGCGCGAATAGCTTTCGTGAATTCCCCAAAGGAGTGCGTTCCAGCCCAAGGCTGACGGATTATTGCTGCGGAGGCTAACATAAAACGTCAGATCTACAAGCTGCCGCTCCTCGAAATTCTGGACATCAGTCGTAATAAGATCAGCCATCTCCCGGAGGAGATCAAAAAGTTATCCTCACTTCGGGTTCTATCGGTAATGCAGAATCGTCTCGAAGACTTACCGCTTGGGATCTCCGACATGAACAAGCTCCAGATTCTTAAAGTTGCTGGTAACCCCTTGCGGTACCCCCTGCGACGGCTTCTGGAAAGCTCAGAGACAGAGTTCGCCCCCTCGAGCCTGACTGACAATGAGAAGGAGGTCGCAGTAACTGCAGAACTAAAAAGATTCCTGAAAACGAAACAGCCTGTTGCGCCCCTAGAAATTGAGAAATATGACCCCAGGTATGTCACCTCTTGTCTATTGGTAGCAACGAAACTAATATCTCAGGGCTTTCAGCGAGGTCATGCTGGATACCCCTAAACCTCTCAAACGTGGAATGAGCAGTCGCTTTCCCGTAATTCCCAGTACCGGAGACGGTGCCTCCGACCCCAAGTCACCCTCGCTAGGTCGACCACCACCAATACCAATGAAGTCTCACTATCGTATCGCTTCCGGACACAATCCTGCATTCCACGGTGCTATACTTCAACGTCCTGGGGCCAAGCCTTTTGCAGGATACAATGAGCGCAATCGAAGTAATAGCGAAGGCATCATCCAAGCCTCTCTCGCAGCGCGCAACAAGCGGATGGGGGTGATTCGGAAAAACACGGATCTTGGCACGCTCGACGAGACGCGTCCCTATCGAAACAGTCATTTGCGAGGACTAAGCTACGGTTCTATCCTTCGTACCCGACCGTCTGGCGCCCTATGCAACAGCAATTCCTCCAGTCCCAGTAGCCCAAGGGAACGCAGGCGCTTGAAGGACGGCTTTGTGAATCGAATGTCGAGTCTACCGGAACAAAAAGCCGAGAAAGTGACAGCGGAACCCATAATCGCAAGCGCCAAATGCATTTTATTTGCTCTCTTCCAGATTCAATCCAACGTCACTTCTTTGATCAACGTCATTAAGCGTGAGGACGCCCGCCGAAACAGTCTTGAGATCGTTTTTTATAATGCTTCCACCCATGTTGATCGACTCAATGAGGCGATAGAGAACGCCGAGCATTCTCAATCTGAGGAAGCAGACGTGGCGCGGTTGGCCAACGAGGCTGTGAAGCGGGAATGTGAGACGTGCATTATCGCCTACACACACGTCGGAACGCAGCTACGAAACAGCATCGATAAAATCGTCACAAATGGCGAGTCGTGTTATGTGCGCTCACTGATATTGATGATTTTTGGAAGCATGGTTGAGCTGCGTAATGCGTGTGCACATCTGGGGGTCCCGATTCAGAATGGCCAGAGACCCCCGGGCCCTCCCGCGAAGTTGCCCGTACCAGAAATCAAAGAGTCCGCCGGTCCGGACCGGTTTCTGGGGCCAACCGTGACACCAACAAGGGGAAGGGAGCAGTCTTTCTCGACTCGTCGGTACCGGAGTGATACAACGATCCAGCATCCTCAGATCACAATGAATGGGCCTTTCCAGGCGGCATCGCAGTACCAGTCCGCAGTCAGCTCACCCGGGTTTGCTTCGACGCCGTTCTGCTTTGCCGCAAGGAGTCGGTCCAGTAGCCGGTCCAACCACATCAACACCTCTGTACCGTCCTCGCTGGCAACCCCTCGTTCAGGCGAGTCGTTCCCAGCAATTCCCAGCTCCGTCATACCCCGAATTAACCCAATGACTGGCCTGGATGAGATTGAAGAAGAGCGTATCTTCGAGAAGATTTTCTGCCAGCTCAACTCGGCTTGCAATGCTGCCCTCCAGGGCCTGCCTGTGGCCTTCTCCCAACTGGTGCGATGTCTCGAAATAGCGGAGCATACGCGGAAATCAGAAGGTATTGTCATGCTCTGGAAAAATCTCATCCACCGTTGTCAAGTGTGTCTTGATGTCTCCGAGGGGCTGGGCTCCAGGCTTTCCAACATGAAGGTGAAGGAGCCCGGTGGTGGAATGCGGAACTCGCGTGATTTCTGGCACACGTGCAAAGCATTCCTGCAGTCTTTTGTAGACCTTGTCATTGACATGAAAGAGGTCCGAAATATGAAGATCCTCCCTAACGACATTGTCAACATGCTTCGTCCTATTCAGAGATCGAGTAGAGAAGCTGGACGAATGATCGATGCTTCACCTTGGTCTTTTCTTGCGGACATGAATCCAGGCAACCCGCACGCCATTATTTATGGACCTCCATTACAGTCTCAGCACTCACAGCATCAAACCTCGTTATCCACCAATACTTTCCATCACGGCCCTAATTTGTCTCCATCGGTTCACCTTCCTGCAACGCCCCTTAGTGCTGCCCTCGGTCCCGCTGCGCAGGCGACCGTACCCTCCACCCCTGCAAGTGCGTACAGCGATAAATTCTTCGAAGGGGATGTCTTCCAGAGGGCCGACTCTTTACTCTCGATGCCAAATCAAGCACCTTTCTTCGCTCGTCGTTGAACTTAACTCTATTGTCACCATTCTTCACCGGCTCTTAAACCGTTCGGGACAGTGGAAACCTGCCGAATGGTCTCCATTTCGCCAAAATATCGTGTTCGTGGCTTGATCCGCAAGAACGATATTGATGATTGTATGCACCATCACATGTTTACCTCTGCATGATTTGCGCGTTGTTCCAGGCATCCTTGTTCTTCTCATCTGTGTCGCGTGTTTTATGTTATTGTTTGTTCTCCAGGTACACCGGGATAAAGGAGGACATCGAATCAGGACTCGAAAACAGGCGGCGTACGGCTTTCCAGCGTCAAGTTCCACTGGGAAGGACTTTGCATAGCGTTCTCTATCCTTGTTTTTCTTTTTTTACTTTCTGACCCATGCATTATGAAGATCAAGGCGAAATGAAATCATCATGTTAAGTGTTTTACTTGAAACCTGTTATTTTCGCTGATAGAGGGATATACAATAGCCAATCCAGATTTCTCCGGACGATTTCCTGTGCAGGAAGAAAAGCAAGTCTTCTGGTTCCTAGCATCACGACGAATCTTACTCCACAGATTCAATGTTTATGCTCGGAAGCTTAGGCGCGATAATCACCCTCGCAAACTTTAAAAACCAATAACGCCCCTAACCGTGAGGGTTCCTCTTTGTTTTTTTCTTTCCCTGCAACGATTCTTCCCAACACCTCGCCCCTACTGCATTGCATGCATGATGCAGGTTCCCCTCTTGGACCTCTCCCCCCAAATTTCGTGCCTGGGTGCAGGACGCAGAGATGATATATCCACGCACAAAAGTTACAGACTTACAGACATCTGTACAAAGACGATCGACAACTGGGAAAAGAAGCTCAGTACAGTTCAGTTCAGTTGCAAGGAAAATGAGACTCTCCCCCCTGGGCACCCCATCCGGCCGCGCAATTCGATCCGATTGTCGGTCTATGCATGCTGTCTTGTTCTATTCTACTCTGAATCCCAATCACCAGACCCCAAAACAACATCCCGCACGAAAGCAAACATCTCCCGCGGCTTCTTAGCAAACACCGCATGGCCCGCGTCCCAGAAGAGATGGTATGTGACACCTCGCGAGGAAGTCCAAAGGCCTGCTGCTCCTGCTCCTGCTGGTGCTTCCGTGGTTGGCAGCTCGTCGCATTTTTTACTGGTTCGACCAGACGGTGGTTCCGCAGCGCAAGAGCGGTTACGCGGGGGCGCGGCGTCGTCAGTGTAGAAATAGTTCCGCGCGAAGGACCGCGAAAATCCCTGCGCGCCTCGCCAGGTCATGTTCTGCAGGACCAGCTCGATGCCGTAGTGGTTCAGGAGGAAGTCGCTGTCGCCGGCGTAGATGTGGAGGGCGAGATTATGCGTTGTGATGAGGTCTGGTAGAATTTGCTCGGCGGGCGGTGCGGGTAGTTGGCCGTCTTTGAGGATTAGGGTGCGGAGGGTGTCGTTGCAGGGGTGGTAGGGTTTTGCTTGGTTGCTGGTGATGGAGGGGTTTGGGGGCCGGGGGGATGGTGGCTGTTGGGGTTTGTTCTCCTCCTGCTGTTGCTTCGCGGTGGGCCGATTGGAATTGGGGCTGTTTGCCGGGGATGGCAGAGGGGGAGATTGAGATTGTGATGAAGGAGCATGGGTATGGGGTGAAGCTGGTGTGAGCAGGTTCAGTGCGACCTGGACGTCGGGTCGGCTGAAATATGAAGATAGTAGGGGCAGGGGGTCGATCGCTGTGCAGTTGTTTGTTAGGTCGTAGATGTCGAAGCATCGGGACGAGGAGGAGAGGTATCTTGATGCTGTGGAGAAGATGGCGCAGGATCCGTCGCAGGTGGTAGAGTTCAGGATGGAGGAGAGGATCTCTTCGGGGGTCGTTAGGGGTGGTTGTTGCATTGCGGCTGCTGCTTCTGTGTCACCGCTACATGTTTGCTCTGGTACGTCGTTATCGTCGTCTGCATCGTCGGGGATGGGGATTGGTCCCTTGGGAGGGAATTCTGCTGCGCTTTGTATAATCTGGTCGAATCCGCAGATGGAGTCGGCTTTGATGAAGGCTTTGACGATGTCTGGGGGTGTTTGAAGTAGCGACTGTTTGGAGCGCAAGTATGCTACCGTGGGGATGCTGGACATGGCGATGGCATTGCCAAAGGTCGCGTCGCCCAGGGACATCGAGCGCAGGTTGAGAGGGAATGAAGCCTGGTGGCGCATGATGGTTGCCGCGATATACGGGATGTAGATCCCAGCGTAGGACTCGCCCATCAGGTGGATCTGCTTGGACCTGAGGTGCGGGAAATGGGCGAAGAAGGACTGTAGCCACGCATATAGATACGAAGTCACTCCTTCATTGTCTGACAGTGGGTACGGTTCACTCGCAGTGGAAAGTCCCGTGCCGACGGGCTGGTCGATATACAGAACATGTCCCAATCGAGTCCAGGAGTAAGGATTGCGAACGAGTTCTGTCGAATTTTCAACGAAGGAGAGAGGCCCATTGCCCGACATCAGTCCGATCAGAGACGAACAGCCAGGTCCGCCATTGAACCAGACTAGAAGGCTTGCGTTAGCTATCGCTGCTGGAAGAATTGCTGGTGTTCGCAGGGAGACTGACTGATCAGGTTGTCATCGTGCGCGATGTCTTCGGCCTGGAAGTGCCAAAAGAACAGCGAATTACCAGGCTCAGTATCAGGAACCGGAATCCGGCCGGCCCAACTGGTAGGAAGAGAAGGTGCACCTGGCAGTGAATAGACTTCGAATTGGGCAATATCCAGATGTCTATGAGGCAGAATTGAGCGAAAGATCGTTGGCAGTGCCCAGAGGGTATTGATCAAGGAGTATATGACGGCCAAATTCATGATCTCGTAAGTGCCTACTGGGCAGTCACCGTGATGCTCGTCTCATTTCTCTTTTCATTAGCTTTCTCCTATAATAGATTACACGCTTGAAGACAAAACATGCTGAGCCTCCATACTAGCAGGATCTGCGTAGATCCGGATGTTGTTCTCAATAGACTCAAGCTTATTGAGCCCTACAAAGAGCCACGGGTGGTACTACCCGTGGTAATACCAACTAGCCTGGAGACTGGGGAAGCAATACTACCATGATCTTGTTTAACACAATTGACACAATTGATTACACAGCTGTTAACACTGTTCCATGTTACATGCCCTGCAGTACGTATAAGGATCACCTGACAGCCGTGTAGGGCTCGGGGCTAGGGTCGCCCTGCCTTCCTAGATAGGTAATCATCATTTTGATCATGGATTGATGTTCATCGCTCATTTTATTCATGATCGCTTCACTCAGGCAGCACTCGCAGCAATTGCAGCACTCGCAGCGGACCCCTCCTTCACAACAACCGTTCATCTCCATTCATTTTCCGGCATATCTGCCTGCTCTGACCTGACAGGCCGGAAGTTCTAGTACTAAAGTCTTGCCTCTCCCCGCCCCGCCTGCGAGAGCGCAGCGCGGAGCCAATAATGGGTCTAGACTTGCGCGACGTCTCGACTCTACCCTGCAGCCTGCAGCCTGGGGCACAGAAACCGGGTCTATGCTAACACCGCTCTTCTTATAACTTGCTTGCGAACGGGCTTGGCTTTCCCCAATTGCCACTTCGCCGTCCTGACCTGGGATAATGAGGCGGCCACGCGTGGAGTATCTAAATCGTTGTGATCAGTGCTCAGCGAAAAGTGAGGCGCTAAGCACCAGCATCAATCAAAAACTTTTCTCGCCCCTTTATTCGCGGCGCGCGGAGGGTCGAATGTTCCAGCCACATTATTCGGGATGACGTTTTTCGCTGGGTTTACTCTATCATTCGTTCGCATCGGCTACCATTATCGTCGACTTGGGGAAAAGCGACGCGGGCTGCCAATTGCCGCCGATCACTGATCAATCCCACTTCTCAGCAGTCGCAGTCTCAATAATGAATCCCACTAGCAGAGGCCACACGACCGGAACCTTGAACATCACACCTTCATGCTGAGGAACATACTGTAAGACGGGGAGGACTAGCATTGCTGACTCGGGTTGACCTACCGATGCTACCACGCGTGTGATCCACCCCGACCGGAACTGTCTGGCTACCGTCGAACGTCAACATCTACATATCAATCTGCTAGGGCGGGTGGATCGGGGCCATCCCCATGTCCCACCCCAATGGAAGAAGCGAACGGAAGGAAATCAAACAAGGTGGCCGACGCCTGTGACTGAAAAGGGGCTTCAGTAGCGCGATAATAGTTCCGCCGGCGGTCACCGAGCCAGACTTGACTGCAGTCCCGAAAGTGTCGGTGGGCAAAAGCGGACCCTCCATGGGCAATAAATCCGCCATACGATAGCTGGACGCGGATAGTATAATGATCAGTCCGACGCCCGACTATAGAAGTTGGAACCAATGGGCCAGGATCATCTGGTTTTACAAGACAGAGTAGAGATGCAGAGTTGCCGAAGACTCCTCGGATGACTTACTACGAACTGACTACTGACTCGTTAGTGTACACGAGGCCAAGCAAGCAAGCTGATTGCATGATGATAATGAATACCAATGCTCCGTGATCCATCGACATCCCATGCTGCATGGTGCCTATCCTTCAGGCCCTGCAAAGAGAGAAGGGAGGGCGGAGGCGGGGACGAAAAGAAAAGACAAACCACCAGCATTATTGTGAAGGGCCCCATACATCCCAGGGCAATGGTTCGTTCAGATCGCATCTCAGATAGATTATCTAATAAGGTAAGAAGGTCAGTAACTGCAGAAGTTGGATGGATCAAAACATTCAACATACATGCGGAAGAGTGAGTCTAAAGACTAACAACTGACCACCAGGTGGTGGTAGTTAACAGTTCCGTATGGAATGTCCGCCCATCCCCTGCTTGGGATCTTGTCTTCGTTCCCCTACTGTGTTCAACGCATAATAATAAATAATGATCGTAACAAACAAAGAAGAAACACAACACAACACAACCAGACAGCACAAGGACTCGGATTTAGATGGATCCGAGCTCTAAATCCATCCGAGCACAGTCAACGGCAGGCTGCATTCAATTGGCACAGAACGATTGAGCGGGAATACACCGAATCCCCCTCCTATAGTGTATCTACTGTCTACTGTACAGTACCTACTGTACGGTACTTTGTAGATGGTTAGCAATCATCGATAACTAACTATCCCTTTTCTTTTTCTTTCCCCCTCCCCCTTCTCCCACCACAACATTCATTGGCAAGGCTTTCTTTCGTTGGATTTGTTTTTCCATCCCCGACTTTATTGCTCAATGCAACCAGGCGAAATCAACGGGTGGCGGTCTATGCATGGGAGAAATGGGGAGTGAACTTCCTCCCTATCACATTTGAGATTGTTTTACTCAGGGACTTGACTTTCCCACACTGCCGGGTAGCAGCATTGAAACCGGCACACGCCCGAGGTCTGAGATCGCACACGATACCGTGCCCTGGTTGTGAGGAATGCTGCTGCTGGGGTGGAGTCAGGGATTATTGCCGCGGTGGGAATTGACTTTCCCTTTCACCTTTGCACCTTTGTACCTTTGCGCCTCTGCGCCTCTGCGCCTTTACGCCTCTCACTGCTCGCCCTGGCGCGGTTGTTCCAGAGGAATGATCCTTCCTTTACCCACACATACCCCTAGTATTGACGATTGAGGCCGGCCTGAAGAAGCCAGAAGGGCAACCCTCATTACCAAACTGTCTTCTTCTTAGTCGTCTCTCTCTGCTTCTCTTCTCACTATCTTCTCTTCCTAAGCATCCCACGTCATCCACTATGTGACTGTGCCCGTTCCCAGGTGCCAGACAGAAACCGGAAAGTTCGTAGTTGCTGCAAGCGTCTAGATTAGATCAGCCTCACTTTTTCAGTGCCCCTGCAAAAGGCACTCTTGCCTCTCTTCCTACTCTCTTTTTTTCCACCCTCTCTGACCAGTCAATTCATGCTGTTAGTCTCATACAATGCGGTAGTGCATGACCAACCTTCTCTTGCACTAATCACTGCCCTTTCTTTTCTGGCTTTCTCGGTGGGATCGGTGTAGTTCCCTTGGCTGGTGTCCTTATTGTCTTTCTTTTTTGTCCTTCTCATTTGACACTGATCTTCCCTCCCCCTGTGTAGTGCAGGGTTACTCTTTGGAGTCTTCAACCGCATGCTTTGCTCTTACTATTGGGCGTTATCAGAAACACTGGATATCCCGGCCTCTTTGTTCTTCTGATCTTGCCGATTCGCCCGGTTGATAGTGTTGTCGTCGCTTGTCGCCTCCTGTCCGTCCGCATTGAAGGGCAGTCTGTTTGCTCTTCTCCTTCGGCATTCCCTTCATCGTTGTCGCGTAGCTATTGGACCGACATTGTTCTCCGTCGTCTCACTTTGACGGATACGGTTTCATCTTGTGCTGGGGTTAACAGCTGTGTCTTTTCTACGAAGAACAGAAGATTCAACGTCGCCTGCTACCACCAAGAAGACAGGATCTCTACATACACTATATAAACGAAAGGAGAAACAAGCAGGAACAGAGAGTGAGGGAGAAGGATATCCGCTATACAACCCCGAACTGGTGGACTTCGTCTATCCAGACCATACACTCTGCCAACCAACTCCCCAACAACAACAAACTTCCCGATTGAAGATCGACACTAGCGATCGACGTCGTTAAACTAAGATCAGGTGCGCACTATTTTCCCCTCCCTCGCCTTGAATTTGAAACCCTGTCGACCTCAGGCAAGGACTGACTGAAGGATTGCTGGAAAGGGATCGCAATCAGTCTTTCTCCCCCTCCCATCCCCTCCTCCTCTTTCGACCCCGTCGTCGTCTAGTTTAGGGTTGCGGTGCCTTGCGTCTATCACCAAGGAAATGCCCGTTATCCCCACGATCTAGGTGCAGCCACATATCATCCAAATCAAAAGTCTCGCTTGGCCAGTCTACTGTCCTGACACCCTGAACCCCAACCCCAGCCATCGCCCTTTCTTTCTCAACCTTACCACATCGCCTTTTATCTGCTTGGGCACCAGTGCGATCGGATGGAGATGGACCTTCAAAAAACGAAGGAGGCCCGCCGGGATGCGCCGGGCAAGCAGGAGGAGAGTACCGACTGTCCTTTAGAAGCTTATGGAGGAAGCGGCCATACGAAAGAGTCCCCTAAGAATGATTCGCTCGACCATCGCGATACGAACGGCTGCCCGGATTCCGCAGAAACGCGCCAACAACATCAACCGGGCAGTCCACCCTACCAAGATGCCTCCCAGTCTCCGTCTGCCATGCTGTTGGCGGCCAGCCGACCATCATCGTCATCGTCAAAGACCCTGGATATTCCAATGGCCTTTGGGCTCCGACCCGAGGAGCACAGACTCCTACTTGCTGCAAAACGCTATCCCCCGGTAACGAAGGGCACGCTGAGCGAGCTGGATCTACCGTGTATCATGAGCAATATCAATCTCCGGATGGATGCGAACTTCGACCGAGATCTGCATTTCAAGCCCGACTTAGACGGCGAGAAGGGCAGGCGAAAACGGAAAGAGGCGGCGGATTACTGGGAGGCCATGGCCGTGGAGATCTCAATCTACGCCTTCTACTCGTCTCCGGAAGCTATCAGTATGACTGAAAATGCTCTGGGCGACCCGCGACAGACCTTCGAGCCGCGACTTCCAGCCATGTTCGAAACCTTGCAGGATGTTTTGAAGACGCTGGTGCCCGAACGCGATCATCCAGGGGTGATGCAGAATCTTGAGGTGTCTCTACTCATGCAGCAAATCCAGAAGGGGGTGCTGGATATGGTCCGCGTCGCCACTTGGTTGGCTGCGCTACTCAAAACACATTGCGCTCCGATGCGGGATGAATGGGCGGACCGTATGGTGGAACAGATCAGGTCAGGATCGCAGTCGCAGAACCCGACGGAGATCGTCAGCGGCCTTCAAACGCTGTTTTCTATCCTTGAGGCCATGAAACTGGTAAGGAATTGGTTTTGACTGCCGCTCTTGCGCGCTGCGGGGTCGGATTTGGAACAAGAGAGAAGCTGATTTGCTTGGCCTTAGGACGTTGCAAACCACCAGATTCGCGCCTTTCGGGTGCTTCTGATCGAGGATACTGTGCCATTCTTGCAGGAGTACTTTCGAGGGAAGATTGAGAGGGATAACTTCCGGGTTGAATCGTCGCGACTGTGGTATCTGGGGATCCGGGATCGGGAATTGCGCCAGATGGACAAATCCGCCCACACGGACGGGTTCTGGCCGATCTCGGTGCTGTTTCGAGGGGTATCCGACCTTTTACTCCAGTTTCACAACCCCGAAGCGTTTCCGGAGACCTTCGTGTTTGACTCGGACCGGCTGTGGCAACTGCGGACCTGCCTCCAGAATCTGATCAACCTGGACATCTGCTGGTTTATCTTCGAATCCTACATTCACACGCAGAAGCGATACCTGTCCGCCCCGGCCCAGACGTACGCCACCTTCCGCTCGCGCATCGGATCGCTGATGGAGGAGAACGAGGAGTGCGCGCGGGGCTCAGTGGCGTGGGTGCAGAACGTGCGCTGCATCGCGCTGGAGATCGCGCGGTTCGCCTGTGCGGCGTGCTGCAGCGACGGAACGGTCTCGGACGAGGTGATCGCGTCCATCGAGGACGCCCTGATCTTCCACCTGTCGAACGAGTCCAACCTGTTCCAGTACTTCCAGGGCTCGCTGCGCGAGAAGTTGCTGGCCGCCACGTCCGCAGCGGCGAAGAAGTACCTGAACATGTCCCCGCTGGCGATCTGCGAGTCGCAACGCAATTTCCCCGCGGCCACCACCACCACCACCACCAGCACGGCGGCCGTGATGGCGCACCAGCAGCAGCACTATGACGTCGAGCGCATCTCCATGCGACTGGCGCATATGGGTGTGCTACACTGGCGAGTGTGGGCGCCGATTCTCTACGTGCGCGAGAGCGTGTCACCGACTGACGTGGCGACCATTCCGTCGAGCGACGTTTATGACGTGGCACGCTCCGCGACTCTTTGATTATATGCTTTCTTTCCCCCTGGTTCCCGGCTTGCAGAACGGGTCTTTTCTCCTTGTATTTTGGTTTTTGTGGCACATGGGCGGAGTTCAAACGTTTCATGCAGTTCTTCAGCGTGTATTTTGTTTGTCTTCTTGAATATTTTCTTGCATCGGGATGTTCATTACCCGGTTTTTAGGCGTTTGACAATGGGGAGGAGAGAAGCGCATACTATATAATCCTTGTTTCTTTCTTTTTCTTGCTTGGCGATTACGGTGGGAAAGAGGCAGGGCAGGGTAGGGTAGGGTGTTTTTGGTTCCAGTTTTCAGGGCCATACTCTCCAGAGGGAGATATTAGATGTGATTGATTCCTAGCTTGGCCTTTCACAGATTGGCGTATTCGTTAAAAGCCTTATTTAATATTCGAGCTTAACGCTTAGATTCTGTTCCTGTTATTCCTGTCTTTTCCGTGAATCTGAGTATAGAGCTTGCACGATGAGAACTCCTACTTGGTTTCAGGAGTAGTGTATACGATTAATTCTTCACCAAGTTCCTTTTCTAATGACGGGAGTAAACTATAATAGTTTCTTCCCCATTGCAATAGAGGAACATTCCCAACCAAACAAACACATAGTATATCTCAGTGTATTACTGCCCAGGCAAAATCGTAGCCTCTGGCGCCGGATAAATCAATTGCTCATGGCCGCTATCCCCGCGCACCTTTTTTTTTTTTTTTACATTTACGCGAGCAGTCAGCGATATCCATTTCTTCGAGCGTGTACAGGAGGGTCCCGTCAGGAACCATACCATACCATATACGGGGGCGCGCCGTTCGCGCCTCGGATTTCAATGAATGATCTCGCCTGTTTTGTCTGCTCGGCCGTCTAGATTGTGGTTGTTAGTGTGGGAATGAATGGGGTGGAGGTGTGGTCTTCGATTGGATTGGATTGTGTGGTTGTCTGTGTATGTACGCACGCACGCACTCACTTTGTCCGTTGATCTCGATCCCGCTGCCTACTCATGCTTGCATTGGGTCCATTGTGACTTATAGATCGATTGAGGGATTGTATCGGGGTGGGTTGGTTTTTTGCAGAGTAGTGAGAGTGAGGTTGAGGTATCTTTCTCGGTGGGTGAGGGAGACAGCGCCGGAGGTTGGGCGGCTCTGCTCTATAAGAATACTAATGCAGGTCATGTCATCTGCGCTATTGGATAATACCTAGAATGTAACCTTTGTGGTCATGTCTCGATGGTCTTTTGCTGGTCATTCGTAGTAAGGTTTGTCTGTGGGGTTGTTTGGTTACATCAAGATGTTTGTTTCTGGAATGAATCTGGATGAGATGGGATTGGTATTAGGGAGGTTATAGGCGTGACATTCTCTGGCTATTCAATCGATGATCCATACTTAACTTTGCTTGGTGGGGTAACCATTGTTGGGTGGGTGGGTTGGTTGTTGCTTGTTCTGCGTTCGGGAGCTGATGCTTAATTCAGGTTCCTGTAGCAGGAAGAAAGAGAGAGCTGAGGAGATGCTTTGGGAGGCTCGAGAGGGGTTCTATGACCTGGTTTACTAAGTATGCTTTCTAGTTGGTAGGTATCGCTGACGCTGGCTGATCTCTCGCACATAAATGAGTAGCTTGGGTTCAGCTGGTCGAGATGTGTCTGTTGAGAACTGAATTGCAAGGGATGAGCATTGACACGGATGCAGATGTGAGGGATGTGATTTACGAGAGAGGTATCTTCAATATATGCCTGCTGATTACTGTCTATCTGTAGATCCCCGCGGAGGGTCATGATCTCCGAAATCTTATGTAAGCGACCCCAGATTGCATGGATCCTATCATTTTCAGTCTCCATTCCTACTATGGAAAACAGTCTCCGCCGGCAGACAGGCAACTAATACTTCCAAACAAACCACCATGAAACCTACAAGACCCCAATGACCGTTGATTATATCTCCTAGGATGGACATCAAGCGCGCATCTCCACCTTCTACAACCTCATTACAACTTCCATCCAAATGCGCACCACCGCCCCCCTCCGCCAATGCGCCTCGACGATCCTGCGCACCCTGAAAGCCGCGCAACTGCAGCGCATCGCCCAGAGCACGGGCATCAAATCCTCCGGCACCAAGCCCGTAATCGTCGACAGGTTGGAGACGGAGCTCGCGCAATGCGAATACAGCGCTTTGCTCTCCCCTCCCCCGCAGGGGGTTGCAGCGCAACCCCGGAGGATGAGTATCCTCAGCATCGACATGGGAATTCGTAACCTTGCATTTGCGCATCTGCTTGTCTCTCCTCCTTCTCCTGCCCCATCTATCCCAGGAAATCCCCCCCCAAAACCACAAATAACCCTCAACGCCTGGCGCCGCCTCTCCATCCCGGAACTAGACAACCAAACCTCATGGACATCCCCACCCCCTCTCTCCCCAGGATCAGATACCCATCCCAGCCCGAAACCCGAAAATCAAGAGGAGGACCCCTTCTCACCCGCCCGCTACGCCCGCCACGCCTACACGCTCCTGATCACCCTGCTCACGCTGTACCGCCCCACGCACGTGCTGATCGAGCGTCAGCGGTTCCGGTCTGGTGGAGCCGCGGCCGTGCAGGAGTGGACGATTCGCGTGGGCGTGTTTGAGGGGATGTTATATGCGGTGTTGTATGCTTTGCGCCGGGAGCGGGAGCGCGGGGGCTCGGCGGCGGCGGTGGTGGTGCCGAGGGTTTGGGGGGTGGAGCCTGCTCGGGTTAGTCGGTTTTGTTTAGCTGGTGGGTATGGGGATGGGATGGGGGATGGGATGGGGGATGGGTTGCTGGGGTGGGATTGTGAGATTAAAGGGGGTGAGGATCAGGCTGAGGATACGGTCCAAGCAACTCAAGCACCGGGGAGAAGGGGACGAGGACGAAGGAAGAAGGCTGCAGTTAAAATCCCAGAAGAAACGCAAGATGAAGAACCACCCGCAGAATCACCACCCAAAAAGAAAAGGAAGAGCACCAGAGAAGTCAAGAACATGAAGATGGACCGCGTGGGGAACTGGCTGCGTAACGCAACTTCTCTTCTGCATCGCGGCCGTCAGGGGCGGTTGGCGGTGGCGGACGAGGCCGAGTTACACAGCTGGGTTGAGGCGTATCTCGCCAAGTGGGAAGGCAAGCAGGGTGCACGACAACGAACGACACCCCCCGACGGTGGCGCTGCGGCGCCGGATATCGGCAAGCTGGACGATCTGGCGGATTGTTTGGTTCAGGGGGTCACTTGGTTGGAGTGGCAGGTTATGCGCCATCGACTCGTGGCGGATCCTGGACTGTTGGCGAAGGTTTAGTCTAGCTTCATCTGTGTATACTGTACCCATCTAGATCTTAGTTCCCTGTACATACCTAGTTGTACTCTACAAATTATACTCGGGCTGGCCAGCCGACAGTCACCATCATTACTCCACATGCAACCCACTACACAGAGCCTTAACCTTGGACACTTCTGAACATCGAAACAAATCAATTCGCTGTCTAATCAAATAAAACATCCGCTCTCGTAATCGAAGATCATCAATCGGATGGTCATAAATCCCCACTTAGATCTATTCTTCACATAGATACAATTGTCACCGAAGCGACAAATGCCCGACACTCGTCCTCCAGCTAAGAAAACCCCGCTTTGGCCGCCCGTCGTACAAAGATCCACGTCCCATGAGAGGTTCTCACAGAGAAACTAAATGAAGAAACAGCTTCGTTGGGTAATGGGTGGGACCTGCACGGCCTCCGTAGAGAATTGAACAACCACCGGCCATTGCGTAGGTCTCCCTTGCCTAGCCGGATAAGACGAGAATGGAAGAAATAGACTAGATGGCTTGAAGATAGAAAAAAAATTGTCAAGTTTGTACCAGAAACATAAACATCAAAATCCTCTCATAGGTACAAGGCCAGCGCAAGCTTTACGCCACGGGGTCAATTCTCAGTACAGACGAAGGAGCCGCACTGAAGGCCTTAGTAGACGCGGCGAAAGTTGGAGGGGAAGGCAGCCCTGCTGCTGGTCTGGAAACCAGTGGGCCGGGCAGCACCGCTAGGGTAAGGGAAGGTGCCGTTGTTGTGGCCAAAGGGAGGACGAGGGGTGGGGACAACAGTGGCAGTGCTGATAGCAGAAGCCTCGGAGGTGGAGGCGGCAGCAGTCTCCTCAGCGCTGGTGGTAGGCTCGGCAACCTCAACGTTGGTGTCGGGGGTGGCGGTGATAGCAGCGGCAGTGGTAGGGGCAACAGTCTGTTCTAATTAGCACCGCAATCATCTGCTCTCATGCGACCAAACTTACCACAGTGACAGTGTCGTGCACAGTAACGGTGACGGGAGCGCAGGTCTCACCCGAGGAACTCGAAGAGCCCGAGGAGCCGGAAGAGCCTGAGGAGCCGGAAGAGCTACCGCTCGAGGTGGCGGCAGAGCCAGCGGCACCAGTGGAGGAAGGAACAGCCAGAAGGGTGTAGGTGGCATACGCGGTCGAGGTCGAGGTGAGGGTGGTATCTTGAGCGCCAGCGGCGGCAGTGCTAGAGCTGTGGCTTACGGGGGTCTATACCAATCTATTAGTGGCAATCCCATGCGAATGACCATCCAATAAACATACCACATAGACGGTCTGGACGTCAGTCACGGTGCGGTGGACGGTAGTGGTCACAATGGTCTTGGAGGCACCGGAGCCCAGGGTGTAGGTCAAAGTGACGTCCTTGGTGGAAGTCTGAGTCTCATACTGGGTGGAGACGGATTCAGCGCTGGAAGCAGCGCCGGAAGCAGCGCCGGAGCCAGCGCCAGATCCAGAGCCCGAACCAGCAGCGGTGCTGGCTGAGCCAGAGGATCTGGTCACGCCAGTGCCGAGAGGGACGGGGGCGGCGGTGATGACCGAGGCGGTCGAAGAGTAAGGGAAAGGAGGCACGGGGGCCGATGAGTGACCGCCGGGCACAACGGAGGACTGGCCGACAGGCACCACGGGCACGGAGGAGGGGCCAGCAGGCACAGCCGGGGCAGAGGAAGGAGCCGAAGGCACCACCACAGCCACGGAAGAAGCACTAACAGGCGCAACAGACGGGACGGTCACGGACGAGGGACCAGCAGGAACAACGGCCTCGGAAGAGGACGCAGCGGGAGCAACGGGAGCGACGGTGGCAGTGTTCTCAGGAGCAACAGCCAGGCTGGTAGTCGCAGCAACAGCCTGAGTGGAAGAGCTGGTGCCAACGACAACGGGCTGGGGCTGGATAGTAGTGGGACCAGCCGGGGGGACTGCAACCGAGCTGGAGATATCGCGTCCGTGGAAGTGCAGGTTGTGGTGGATGTTAGCCTCGCCAACCGCTGCGAGAGCACCCAGAAGGGCAACAGAGACCTTGGTAGTAAGCTGCATGATGGTAATCTGTAGTAGTGGGGTTTGGGGTTGGAGATGTGTGTATAGAGACTGCGGCGGGGTGTTTTTCAACGAATGTGAGCTGCGAAATCTATTCGCAACGTGTGATAATGAATGACTGGGTTCGAAAGAACGAAGGCAACGTCTCTAGCACAGAGAACAGTTGAGAGAATGTAGCAGTCTGACGGAATCAATCCGAGACGGAAAAGAGAGTCGTTAAAAGGAAGAGGATGGAGAAGAAAGAAGGACTAAGAAGACTAGAAGAGAGGGGGGGGGAAGAGAAGAAAGGAAAGGAGACAGACACACTCGGAGGGAAACTAATATCTTTTTCATTTGATCAACACCCGATGTTGCGGTGGATATTACGATTCAATTACCAGGTACCATACGAAGTGAGGGTTTGATGCAAGCCAAAGTCGGTGAGAAGCTGCGCTGCAGGCTGTAACGTATGGTTGCATCAGGCGATCTGATTTGAAGGTCGGGGGGTATTTACCTCGTGCGCTAGAGAGGATTAGTGAGCTTAGTCTGTCTCATCCAGGCAGAAAAGGTAGAAAGCCGGGCCGTTGTAACAATTGTTGATATGATTTAATTTCCTGCTACTCCATACAGTGGGCCCTGGCGCAGGCACCATCCGTGGATTGGAGGTTGCAGAGATGATGCCCCGTTTCATCCCGTGAATTCACTCGTGTAATTGGCCAGTAACTGCAAAGCCCCCTGCTTAATCTCCTTGTGGGTCAGTTTCCCCAACCAATGGACCGCACGGGGAGGTGTGGTGTTTTTTTCTACTTCTTAGTCTCGGATGTGTGTTTGTGTGTGTGTGTGTGTCCCACGGGCTGTACGGCTGGCTGGACGGATGGACGGAGGAAGGACTACCCAATCTGTACTACGTACTCCCTAAAACTCGCCGTGTATTGTATGTGGTGCACTGTACCTGATTTTCGGGTTCTCGCCCCCTCTTGAGCATCGAAACAAGCAACAGCCAGGAACAGAGTGCAGGATTCTTGTACATTACACACCCAACAAGTATCAGGGGGTGAGAGGACTCAAGGTTTCTCCGGCGTCGGATGAGCATCCCATGGATCACGGTCATCAGCTTAATCAATGCTCAACCCTAATCGCCAGGAACGGGAAATGAGCTCCAATTTTCCGCTTGCTGTACAATCTCCAGCATCGATCGCCACCAACGTACCACCAGACATTGGCCTATCCAGTCTCCAGCAGCTACTTACCGAGCGTCTACACACCACTCTGCCAAGCTCTATACAGCGTATGAATCCACGCAGTCTGCGTACGAGTGACGAGGCATTGCAGAAAAGCGGGGGACCAGGGAGCACGGTGAAGAACAACTCAAAGGGGGAGAAAAAGGGGGAAGAGGTGACTTATCACCGAGCCGTAACCACCTAGACGAGATATCATGGACCACGAAAGATAGACTATGGAGTCCTCAGCCTTGGTCCAAGCGTGGAGATAGCCCGAGCCAGCAAGCAAGACCACGTCCATCGCTTCGTGGTGGCGGCCAATTCGTATGGTCAAGCTCGGCGCCAACCGGGCCCGCTGGGTCGCCCGACTAGTGGTACTTTTCCACCTTTGCTTACCATCGGGCTTCTTACTACTGGGAAACTAGAGAACTTTCTCTAAGCGACTGATCTTCCCGCTCGGAGATTTCCAGTAGGCCTAAGCGAACACTGCAGCAGGAGAGACAAACACACAAACAGAACAATAACAGGGCGCATGTCGATAACAGTGTGGCTGGCTGCAAAAGCGTTGGCATGACAGTGTTGATCCGGAGGGAAATCGACCAGCAGGATGGATCAATTCGAGGGTGATCATAAAAGAAGTGGAGACCCAGTTGTATTGCCGAGAGTCTAGAGTCTAGACACGATCCCACAAATTACAATCATCTACCGTAGAGTGAGTACAGTAAATGAGCAATAAGCGCCTCGATTGTCGATTCATTATCAGTAGATTGTTGATGACCGTGGGTTGAAGCGGTCACGCAAACGAAAAACTCCCCAGGTGTTCGTCCATCCATTCAGGGTCATATTGACTGCCGCGGACGTCTCAGAAGAGAAGACCTAAGATACTCGGTTGCCTGAAGACTGGTGCTTGCAGGACCCGAGAAACCGAGAAACCGAGCATTGAGTGGCTAAGGGGATGATCGCCCTCGCGGCTACACTCGCACAAGACCGCTAGGAAGAAAATTCGGAGCCCCGAATTCTAGCCCTTCGGGATGAGGCTACGGTAGTAGTCTAGTCATACATCGGTGAAATCCGTTGGTGCACATAGGCAAGGTACATTTGCTCCAATCCAATGTCACTGTCCAACACGGCTGATGGATTGATATGCTTGAACATTGAGATGCCTGTGATTGGGATCAGCCCGCGCATTAATCTAGACGGAACACGATGGCCGTTCAGCCCGGCTCACTGGCCGTCCGCCGTCATCCATCGAGACTTATCAAAATCAGAGGATAAGCAGAGGAAGCGTGATCAATATCGGCTTTACCGCCACTCAGCCGTGTGGGTGGGTTGGACAATCTCCCCGTCCTGATGAGTGATTCTCGGTTGTGTCGTTTACATACTTCCAGTTTGCTCTGCAGCCACCCGTCGGAACCTTAAGACCTTGAAGGGCCTGGAAAGGTTGAAAGGGTCCGACTGTCCTTCTTTTCCTTCCATGGATTCTTTCATTCTTCCCGTCGTCCCACTTTGGGCGGTCAGCCATTCTGCCGTTGGTTGTTGCGGCTCTGAGCCTCTGACGTTCCTATCCTTGGCTGTATCTTCTTGACTTTCTTCCCCCTCTCTCCCCCCCTACTTCTCCCCCATTCTTCCAGGCTTCCCGGCATGAAAGAATCTTCAGGGTGTCTAAGAATAGTCTAGCGATCGGATCAAGCGTCGCTTACCCGCTTCAACTATGGAAAGACCCTCCTTCCAGTCCCTGCAGGCACATTATGCTTCCCGCTTGAAACAGTTTCAAACATCAAACCGGAACTTCGAAGTCTTGGCCTCTGTCTCGCCCGGTCACGATGATGATCCTGTTTCAAGCCCCGACGTCTTGTACGTGCTTGACTCCTCTTTCAACCCACCCACGCTTGCCCACCGTCGGATCGTCAGTTCGGCTCTCCTCGGGGACCCCAGCCGTTCTCCACGACTCCTTCTGTTACTGGCAACCCAGAATGCCGACAAACCATCCAAGCCCGCCTCTTTCGAGGACCGTCTAGCCATGATGGACTTATTCGCTCGTGACCTTCTTTCACACCTGCAGTCAACAAGCTCTGAAACTTCTCAACCGAGCCTTCCAGTAATAGACGTCGCCGTCACTAAAAAGCCGTACTTCATGGACAAGGCAGCGGAGATAGAAGGGGCTGGGATCTACCCCAAGTCCCTCGAACAAGTCCATCTCACGGGCTACGATACCCTGATTCGCATCTTCGACCCCAAGTACTATCCCCCAGAACATACCCTGCAGCCATTGGAGCCCTTCCTTTCCCGGCATCGCCTACGGGTCACGCTACGCCCTGATAGCAACTGGGGGAGTCGGGACGAGCAGGAGGCATTTCTGCGGGACTTGGCGGATGGTAAGAAAGATGAAATAGGCGCGAAACGGGAATGGGCCCCGCGAATTCAGCTTGTGGAGGGGAGAAAGCCGGGGGCACCGTCGGTGAGCTCAACCCGAGCTCGAGAAGCGGCCACCACAAACCCACAAGATCTGGACTGGCTGGTCCCGTCGAGCATACAGGAGATGATTATGTCTGAACGACTATACTCGAACTAATCGACAGAGCCTGACTGGGTCGCGCGCAGAACCACTGCCGCAAGGCTCAGAGGTAGCCGGTCGCAACAATTGTAAATGCATACTGTACACATAGACATCACATACAGTGGTCCGCCTGCCGGAAATGATTTGCTTTTATCCCAACGACGACCAGAACACCATGCCCAAAGCGACGCCTAATCCACGTTTGGCGGAAACTGTCGTACACGAACCTTGGAAGGTTCATGCCGTGCATAATCGGTCCAATCTATGAAATCATAGCCATATCTCTTATTCTTCATCGTTTTCCCGCTTGCCCAGGGTGTAGGCAAGTCCACCACTGACCATGTTGACCAAGCAGAGACCCATAGTCACGCCGCGCACAATGCCCCGAGCGCCCCATTTCTTCATGAACGGCTGCTTTCGCCGCCCCGCAAGCAGAAGGTAGAGCCCAGACCAGGCGGCGCTGATACCCGCTGTGTCGGTTTTGAAGCCTTGAAGGTTGGCATAGCTAGTGAAGAGGAGAATCGGAGGGAAGAGCATGGGCAGTGGCTGGAATGGGCGCATGTGCTGTGCTGTGATAAGAGAGGCCAGTAGAGTGGGTGGGAATGCATTCTCTATTTGATAATGAATCAGTGATTTGATTTGTGAACATGTATAAAGGCGTAATTCACTATTTCACAAAGCGAAAGATAGCCCGGATGCTTGGATTAAAACTTACCTCCCCATGCTCTAGCTGTCTGGACTAGAGACTTCTCAGTCTGTTCTACTGCGGAGTCCGAACCAGCCATGATTGTGTTAGCGGGACTTGATTAATGAATCCAATCAACATTCAAGCCTATCTCTGAGTTTATAGTTAGCTATCAGTGCAAATGATCGTGAGTATAGCGACACCTTGTGGTGCGATCAACGTACCAACATATGCAGAGGTGGTGGGCAGAGCGGAGGAGGGATGACGATCCGCCGCGGCAACGAGCACAAGACAACCATTCCTGACTAACAAGCCACTGTCAACGCTTACCCGGGGCTTAGCGTCAACATCTGAACCTCTCCAGAACTCACCACGTTTATCAGTCACGGTTTATTCTTCTCAATCCCCGACCGGCACGCTGCAGTTGAATCAGCTAATTGTTTGCGCCTGGAAGCCTAAGCTGGAACTGCAGCCTTTAATCTATTAACAACAAACCCCCGCTCCCTCCTTCTATTGTCGTTTTTTTACGTTTGTCCGCTTTGGCTGGCCCGCTCTCCCTCCTCCGAAGATCCACGCCCTGAAATCACACCCGCTGCGCCGAGAAATCAACAGCACAGGAAGCGAGAGCAGCGCATCGCTGTGGTTGATTGATTTTTGAATTTATTGGGAGAGTCATCACTGAAAGACTCCTGCGATGCCGTCCGCCACAGCGTCTGGGGTAGACAACGGGGGCGCAGCGAAATCTCGAGATCACAACCAAGGCAACCAGGACCGCAAATACACACCCGAGCAGAAGGCGGCCGTGCTGCGGATTCGGAAATGCTCGACCACGGCATTCTATGAAATCTTGGCCGTGGAAAAGACCGCCACGGATGGCGAGATCAAGAAGGCGTATCGCAAGTTGAGTCTATTGACGCATCCCGACAAGAACGGATATGAAGGAGCGGATGAGGCCTTCAAGTGTGAGTAAAGCTGTCGTCGCATCTTGGGCATACCAGTGATTCTAATTACGGGCGGATGTAGTGGTTTCCCGTGCTTTCCAGGTCCTGTCCGATTCCGAAAAGAAAGCCAAGTACGATAAATTTGGTGGGGATCCGGACAGCAGATTTACCCCCAGCGCTGGACCTTCGGGCGCTTCGCCCTTCAGTGGATTCGGTGGTGGATTCCCTCGGTCAGGTGGTGGTGGTCCGATGTTCGAGGAGGAGATCTCGCCAGAGGAGCTCTTCCAGCGATTTTTCAGCGGTGGCTTTGGCCCCATGGGCGGTGGCTTCGGTACGATTCATAGCACCCTTTGGCTCAAGAAAATCTGTCTAGACGTAAACGATGGCTAACTTCTAGCGTGTACAGGCGGCCCTCAGTTTGTCTTCAATATGGGTGGCGGTCCCGGATTCCGCGTGCATCAATTTGGAGGCCAGCGGCCTAGGAGAAGACCCCGCGAAGCCAATGGCCAGTCCGAGCCGGCGCCGTCACTTTGGTCGACTTTCCAACAACTTCTCCCACTCATCCTTCTCTTCGTTCTCCCGTGGATTTCTTCTCGCTTCTCCGGTGCTCCTGCTCCTTCAGGCCCTTCGTACCGGTTTGACGCCGCGGTTTCTCCTCACACCATGCATCGCACGACGCCCAAGCTCAACATTGATTACTTTGTCAATCCGAAAGACGTCGATGACTACAGCGCCCGCAAATTCCGCCAGTTGGATCAACGAGTAGAAGTGGATTACGTGACGAAACTGCGGTATGAATGTGATAGCGAGATACATACTCGGGATCGCATGATCCAGGACGCTCAGGGCTGGTTCTTCCCGGACGTAGAGAAGATCAAGGAGGCACGATCGATGGAGCTGAAGAGCTGCAAGCGACTAGATTCGCTGAAGGGGAGATTTTAAAGTCTGGCTCTTTCATGGCTACTGTTGCACTTGTTCCTGTTCATTCCTGAGCGCGGTTGGCTTCGCATCCATCGTATACTAATATCCTATGCTGCGGTTGGGCTCCCTTTGCCCCAATGTCTCTATGTGCTCTATCACGATCAAGCCTCTCTGTTACCACCTTAGATGTCTATATGTTCTTCTCACGGTTGTGATGGCGTTTCTCCATGGACTGATAATGACATTTTTTGCGTTTGGGCTGGAATTAGTTTTTTTATTGTTGAGAGTACTGTGAGTGATATACTTAATATCATAAAAGCGCACTGCCTCATTCCCACCTGTAAGGCATATAATTAGGTACTTCAGTCATGATGTGATGTAGTCTATCTAATAAGAATGAAAGATGAAGAATTACAAGGATTGTAAAAGTGTACTATTGAAAAAGTGTGGAGAGAAGGGGAAGGGGGGAAAGAGAGATTGTTGTGCCCTGGAGCGGGGAGGGAAGATCAACTCAGCTTAGTTAATAATCAGCATCGACCATGACAGAAAGTCCGTCCGACTTCCAGCCCGCGCATGCAGAAGTGACATCTCTCACTCCCAACCTCCGGCTTGTCCTTATCCTCGGTCTATCCCCACCAGACCTCTGAGGACTTGTCGAATCTCGGTTGCTGGCTCTGCGCTCGTTTTCACACTCTCTTCATCGGGCCGTCAAATTCAGCTGGCATTCTGCACAAAATCGTGACCCGCTGACCGAGGAAGGTTTTCTGTTGCGGGCTGCCCCGATCAGCATCACCAGAGATGTCCGATAGCCAGTCTGAAGCGGACAAGGTTTGTTCACTCATTCCCCTTCAGAAAGAATTGCTTCAAGAGCCCGTCGTGGGCCTAAGATCGCTCTGACCTCTCCCTGTTATCTACAGATCCGCAGCAAGCGCTTGGCAAAGCTGGGAAATCCCACTCCATCGTCGCCCGTCGACGGCGCTGCGTCGAGCCAGCCCGCATCGCCCTCGCAGCCCTCGCCTGCATCCAGATTCCCAGACCGACCCCAGTCACAACCGCGATCCAACCTGAGCAGTGCAGCTCCTTCACGGGCCTCGTCGCCGCAACCACAGTCCCTGCAATCGGAATGGAAGCGGATCAAGATCGCACCTCCCACTGCCGCCAGCGCAGCCCCGGACCGGTCGCAAACCGTTACCCCAGTCTCGGGCACCCCACCCTCAACGAGAGCTGACGAGAGCATTGAGTCCTTTGCCGATCGGACGCTGAGCGCCGTTTTCAAGCTGACTCTGAACGAGGCTCGTCAGAAGGATATTCATGGACAAAGGTTAACCTTCCTACCCGGACTGCGGGGGGAACTCGAGGAACAAGGCCGCGACATCCGCATTGAGCTGTCGGTGCTGGACCAGGCGCTCTTGGAGGCAGCTTCTAACGCCCCGCAGCAGAAGCCATTGGATTACCTGCTCCCGTGCTGGAGGCGGATCTCGAGACTCCACAAAGGATTCCGTCGTCCCCGGGAGGATGACCCGAAATACAGCGTGATCTGTGAGGCCCGTCGCATGTGCATGAGCTACTGCATCTTTGCAATCACCATGCCGGAAATGTTCGGGTGGGTTTAATTTCCGTGGACCACGCCACATTCGAGGATGAACGGCTGACATATTCTGTTCTCCAAAGGCTTGAGACTTCGGAAAAGTCGTCTCTTAAACCCTATCTCCTTCTGGATCCTGAGGAGGATAGAGGTGTGGATTTCGAGTTCATTGGCGAGGCTGTGAGCCGATTCAGCGAGGATGATAGCATCAAGCCGGCTTTCATCGCTGCTGTGGAGGAAATGAGCCAGGAGCTTGCTGGCTTGACCATTAATGACGATTACAAGCCCTACCTCACAGTATGTTCTCTTCCCTTCGCCACAGGAGCCTTTCCTCAACCTACTTGCAGGCTTTGCGGAACCTTGTGCACAACGCGGCCATTGCGGCTGCCATCACTGAGTCGTCCAACTTCAATGAGTCTCGGGATCCGGCTCAATTCGAAAAGAGCACGCTTCTTGGCCCATGGTTCAGTCTATCTCCGCTTCAGAGCAGTGTGACGATGACATACTTCTCAAGCCCCAAAACAAGAGATCAATCATACATCTTGAACGCACAACGGTCAATCCGGATGATGCAGCATATGATCAGCTCGGATCTTCTAGATGTCATCAACCATATGATCCGAGCTTCAAAGGATGCCAGGGATCGGGTGCTGGACTGGTTCGCAGCCTCCCTGAACATCAACCACAAACGACGGGCAATGCAAGTGGATCCCACCACCGTATCTTCCGATGGGTTCATGTTCAACATCACAACTTGCTTGGACCAGCTCTGTGAGCCGTTCATGGATGCAAGCTTCACTAAGGTTTGAGAGCCGGTATATCGTTATTTGGTTACCAAGCTGACCATTTCTTCATCGTATAGATCGACAGGGTCGATGCAAACTATCTACACCGCAAGCCTCGGGTGGATATGAAGGACGAAACCAAGATTAATGCCGATCAGCATGCCTCTGATGCTTTCTATGCCAGTTCAACAGAGGGGACGTCCAACTTCATTACAGAGATCTTCTTCCTCACCGTGGCCGCCCATCATTACGGCAGTGAATCTCTGACCACAAAGCTCGAGCAGCTCGAGAAAGACCTGCGACACATGGAGTCAACCATCAACAAATTCGAGTTGGAAAGGCATCGGTGGGTGAACAACCCGGTCCAGCTCAGAGTGTTCGAACAGGCCCTCAAGAAGTACAAAGACAAATTAGATCTGGGCCTGGCCCTGAAATACAGTTTGCAGGGTGTCTTGTTTGACGATCAATGGCAGGCTCGGTCCATGCTGTTCATGCGATATGTGGTTGTCTGGTTACTGCGGGTAGTATCAGGCACCAATTTCCCGAAAGAACCGCTCAAGCTTCCTTTGCCTGAGCAGCAACCGGAGGTTTTCCAATGTCTGCCAGAGTACTTCCTTGATGACATCGTCAGCAACTTCAAGTTCATCATGTGGGCCATGCCTCAGATCATTACAGCCACGCAAGGAGACGAGCTGGTTATGCTCTGCATTACCTTCCTAGAGAGCTCGGCCTACATCAAGAACCCCTATCTCAAAGCAGGTCTCGTCTCTATCATGTTTCGAGGAACCTGGCCCCGCCCTGGAGGCGGTCGCGGTGTCCTCGTGGACTTGCTCAATTCTATGCCTTTTGCCAACCAGCACCTGCTGCACGCCCTGATGAAGTTCTACATCGAGGCTGAACACACCGGCACCCACACCCAGTTCTTCGACAAGTTCAATATCCGTTACGAGATCTTCCAAATCATCCAATGTATTTGGCCCAATACCCATTACCGCAACAAACTCTACAACCAGTCCAAGCAGAACCTGGACTTCTTCGTTCGCTTCGTCAATCTCCTGCTGAATGACGTGACCTATGTGCTCGATGAGTCCTTTGGCGCTTTCATCACCATCTACAAAACTCAGACCGAACTGCGCAATGCGGCAGCAATGGAGCCTACGGCGCGTCAGCAAAAGGAAGAACAGCTGGCGGCCGCGCAGCGCAACGCCAAGTCATATATGCAGTTGACCAATGAGACAGTTTCCATGCTGAAGCTGTTCACGGACGCGCTGGCGGATTCCTTCACGATGCCTGAGATCGTCCAGAGACTGGCAGACATGCTTGATTACAACCTGGACGCCATGGTAGGACCCAAGAGTGCCACTTTGCGCGTGGACAATTTGCAGGAGTACGGGTTCAACCCACGGGCTCTGCTGAGCGAGATTGTTGATGTTTATCTGAACCTCACGGGCAAAGAGAGCTTCATTGTCGCTGTGGCTCGTGATGGTCGGTCTTACAAGCCTGCCAACTTTGAAAAGGCGGCCGAGATCCTGCGGAAATGGTCCCTGAAATCGCCCGAGGAGCTCAAGCGATGGGAGCAATTCCAGCACAAGGTGAAGGCAGCCAAGGAAGAAGACGAGCAGGCCGAAGAGGACCTTGGAGAGGTCCCTGATGACTTCTTGGGTATGTTGCAGATGTCTTGGACTCATCTTACTGGTGCTAACTTGAATTGCAGATCCTCTGATGTACACCTTGATGGAAGACCCTGTGATCTTGCCCGGATCCAGGGTATCCATTGACCGCTCCACCATTCGCTCTCATCTTCTCAGTGACCCTCACGATCCTTTTAACCGCGCTCCGCTGAAGATGGAGGATGTCACACCCGGTGAGTGACTTGGTTGTTGGCAAGCTACCAAAGAGCCAAGGCTGATTCTCGATTTCTAGATACGGAACTCAAAGCCAAGATCGAAGCTTTCAAGGCCGAACGGATGGCAGCACGCAGGCAAGCTAAACCCGCCGACCCGATGGACACGACTACGGGTTAATTGCGAGCGGAGAGGAACGGCGTTGGTGCAGAAGGCATTTCCGCGGGGCATGTCCTAATTAGCGCGTTGACCATGTGATGAGATAACTGCTTTGCTGCTTGCTTTTTTATCGAAAGAAGGTCGGATTGGGAGTTTTCGTTTTGCGTGCGTTGGATTATCATCATAGAATAGCCGGCTCGGGGCAGATGTTCTGCTGCAACTCGATCAAGTGCCCCGTGGTCTATTTGCATTGCCGGGATGATTTGAACCCAATGATGTTATGGTTTTGGAAATCTAAGCATGAATGGTACGGGCGCAATGGACAGTTTTTCTATTACTGTGGGCTTTTCGTATGTCGACACTTGTGTACTGTACTGTACTGTAGCTGGGGTTTTGCAGTGTATGGGGATCCTGCATTCCATGGGTAAGTGGGCTGTTGTTGAGTGGCATCTACGGAATGCTGCTACAAGAACTACTATTGTCACTACTGGTGGTGATGGTCCCACCATACGCTGCACTATCTTGCACCCCGTGGCGCTCATGGACATCTACCAGCCCGGGCGCCTGCTCATGAGCGATGATGCACAGTCACGGCCACAAAGCCGGTGTAGTGGCTCGTGAAGGCGGATATTGGGGTCTCTGCGGCGCGGGCGTTACCAAGGTTTGGGGCGGTCCGTTGAGACGTTGTATGGTCTTGGGGTGCTGTTGCGTTATGCTAGCGCGGGGGAATCAATGCTATATGGAAGTATTGGGCGGATATAAGAAAAGTTGAATGATTAGGAGTTGTATTTGAGAAGCAGGAGCAGGAAGTCTACTGCGTTGTCATGATGCAGTCATTGTTGGCTCTTAGTCAGCATTTAGTCATGCATAACTATGGATGACCTCAAGCCTCAAGTAGTTGACATCTACATCTACCTAGCTTCACCAGTACATAGATACTGGATTACATTAGGGATACCATCAATTGCTCCACGATGGGAGCCATAATCTCGTCCTGCTGGGCCAACCTCCCTCCACTGACAGACATCCTCCTCCCCACGCCGGAAGTCTACCGCACCTTACTGAACATCTTCCAATACTTTCCATTGGTCCGTCCCAAGCTTCAAGCTTCCCTACTTATAGACAATCCACTTTGTAAGGCTAGCTAACAAAGCATAAATATAGTTCACAACCATCCAATGGCTAACCGCCTGGCACCCAGCGGGCAAAACCTCACTGAAGCGCTCGATCTTCAACCTCCCAGGCCGTTGGGCCTGGTTCGCAATGGAGATCACCAGCCCACTGAACCTGCTCTACATCCTATGGAAGCTACCCTCCAAACTCGATCTGCCTGAGTCTTATAGCCTTCCCTGGCAGAACAAGCTCCTTGCCGCCCTCTTCGTAGCCCACTACCTCAACCGCGCCGTCATCTCCCCCTTCCTCGCTGCCCCAAGCATGTCCCCCATCCACCTCTTCATCATGACCTCCGCCATGCTCTTCAACTGGTTCAACTCCACCTGTCTCGCCTGCTGGCTGGTTGGCTACGAGATCCCAACCATCCCGGCTTATCACCATGCTTACCGCCCCAGCGGCACCGGAGCCGCAACAATCCAGTCCCTAGGGGTGCTGATTTTTCTTGGGGGCATGGCAACGAACATCTACGCAGAGCGCACGCTCTTCCGTCTCCGTCGCGAGGAGGCTGCGCGTCGTGCCGCCTCCTCTTCCTCTTCCTCCCCTGAAGCTAACTCGCGTTCGCAATCAGACAGGAAGGGAGAACCCCCCTCAACATCCAAAGTCTACATCCTCCCGCCCAAATCCCACCCCCTGTTCTCCGCAATCCTGTACCCGCACTATCTTGCCGAGTGGATTGAATGGACGGGTTTCGCGCTTGCGGGGACGATGGTTCGATCTATTTCATCGGTGGGGTGGGGGGGCCTCGCGGCTGCGACAGCTAGTTCTGCTAGGGCAGCACCCCTCCGGCTCGCGCCGTGGCTTTTGCCCTTCGCTAAGGGGGCGGCGTACGCCGGGCTGTCGGTGCCTGTTCCGGCGGTTGTGTTTGTGGTGAATGCGGTCACGAATATGCTGCCGCATGCGCGGTGGGGGCGGCGGTGGTATGTTGGGAGGTTTGGGGAGGGGGCGGTTGCGGGGCGAGGGGCTGTTGTGCCTTTTTGTTCTTGGTTATAGTTGTAGTTCCTGTTCTGGGTATGGATTGAGGGGGGTGGGAGGCTGAAAGGAAGGGGGGTCCGGGGGTTCTCCCCCGGGACGCTTTCAGTTCTGGTGAGGGGGTAGAATTTGGGTGGTAACAGGATAGTGAGGAAGAAAGGGAAGGGAGAGAATGGGGGGGTTGTATGATTATTTTCTTGATGTTGGGTTAGGATTTGACTGTTACTTGCTTTGGGAAGTGAATAGGTATCAGGTGTGGCGCTGGCGTGAGGTGTTTGTACCGTATAACACTATATTCAGTTGTGATGATTAGATTTGATAAGAAATGTATGGGGAAGGATTGTAGGGCACTGACACATACATTGTAGGCATTAACTAAGGAGACTGCAGTATCGAGTCACTGGGTAAGCTACGAGTATCAAAGACGAGTTACACGATTTAACTACGAATTTACGACATAAGGAGTACTGTTAAGCAGCAAGGCCACTAAAGTGAAGCAAATGCTTGAATTAAATTGCCAAAGAGGTGGTACAGTAGCAACCTCTTCGTGTGGTATCACATTGTTGAAATATTATGTGTAAGACACCGGCGAGCACCAGACATCACCGAGCATTCCCGCTGTTAGAGCAGGAGGAATTGAAATCTTGGCGCTGATGTTTAATGCAGACGCCGATGTTGAAATCGTCATAAAGACATGTTGAAAACTCCGGGGACCCCATCTAATGAAACCCTGAACCCATATGTTGAACTTTTGGTATCACATCGTAAACTCATCATAAGAAAATAGACGGACAACAATCGACAGATTGTTCTCTCCGAGACGACGGGTTGAAAATCGTCGCCCCAATCATGGGCTGATTAAAGATATGTAGAAGAAATTTAGTTGCCGTGCTTCTGGCGGAAGAACTTGGCGGCCTGGACCATGTTGGTCAGGGCGGCCTTGGTCTCGGGCCACTGGCGGGTCTTCAGACCACAGTCAGGGTTGATCCAGAGCTGCTCGGGGCGGAGGTACTGGAGCATCTCCTCGACACGGTCCTTGATCTCCTGCTCGCTGGGAACACGGGGAGAGTGGATGTCGTAGACACCGGGGCCGATGTGGCGGGGGTAGGCCTCATCGATGAAGACCTTGAGCAGCTTGGCATCAGACTTGCTGTTCTCAATGCTCAGAACATCGGCATCCAACGCAGCGATGGCGTGGAAGAAGTCCTGGAACTCAGAGTAACAGAAGTGAGAGTGGATCTGAGTGCCGTCGGTGACACCGGCGGTGGACAGGCGGAAAGCCTTGACGGCCCACTGGAGGTACTTCTCACGCTCCGTGCCAGCACGGAGAGGGAGACCCTCACGGAGAGCGGGCTCATCGACCTGGATGACCTTGACGCCGGCAGCCTCAAGGTCGACGACCTCGTCACGGAGGGCAAGAGCGAGCTGCTGAGCCTGGACAGACTGGTGGACGTCGTCACGGGGGAAAGACCAGCGGAGACAGGTGATGGGACCCGTGAGCATACCCTTCATGGGCTTCTTGGAGATCGAGACGGCGTACTTGGACTCCTTGACGGTCATGGGAGCGGGACGGGAGATGTCACCGACAATGATGGGAGGACGCACGCAGCGAGAGCCGTAACTCTGGACCCAGGCGTGGGTGGTGAAGACGTAACCGGTGAGACGCTCACCGAAGTACTGGACCATGTCGTTACGCTCGGGCTCACCGTGGACGAGCACGTCCAGGTCGAGCTCCTCCTGGATCTTGACGACCTCCTCGATCTCCTGCTCAATGAACTTCTCGTACTCAGCAGCGGTGATCTCACCCTTGGTGAACTTGTTGCGCTGGATACGGATCTCCTTGGTCTGGGGGAAAGATCCGATGGTGGTGGTGGGGAAGAGAGGAAGCTTGATGGACTTGGTCTGCTCGGCGATACGAGTGGTGAAGGGAGACTTGCGGTTGTGCATCTCCTCGGTGACAGCAGCCTGGCGGGCCTTGACCTCAGGGTCGTTGGTGCGCTTGGAGGAAGCACGAGCCTGAACAGACTTGGCGTTGGCCTCGAGCTGCTCACGGACAGCGGCGGGACCCTCAGTGACAGCCTTGGCGATCACAACAACCTCAGAAAGCTTCTCGACGGCGAAGCTGAACCAGTCACGGACTTCAGCGTCGAGGTTCTTCTCGCTCTCGAGAGTGTGGGGAACGTGGAGGAGAGAGCTGGAGGTAGCGACAATGACGCGCTCCTTGCCAAGCTTCTGGATGGCCAGCTCAACCTTCTCGATGGCAGCCTTGAAGTTGGTCTTCCAGATGTTACGGCCGTCAACAACACCAGCAGACAGAATCTGCTTGGGGCCGAGAGCACCAACGACAGTGTCGAGCTGCTCAGGGTTGCGGACAAGGTCAATGTGAATACCGTAGAGGCTCTGGAGAGCAGGAAGGACATCAATGTTGTGGACAATGTCACCGAAGTAGGTGGCGAGGACGAGACGGGGAGCCTTGTCACCAAGGGCACCGAGCTTCTCGTAGGCGGGCTTGAAAGCGGCCTTGGACTTGGCAGGAAGGTCATAGACGAGGACGGGCTCATCGATCTGGACATCCTCAGCGCCAGCCTCCTTGAGCTTGGCAAGGAGCTCGACGTAGAGGGGAAGGAGCTCCTCAAGCTTGCTGATAGGGTCGATGGTCTGACCACGGTCGGCCTTGGCCAGTGTCAGGAAAGACACGGGACCCAGGATGACGGGACGAGTGACAACGCCGGCCTCCTTGGCCTCGAGGAACTGAACCACGGGCTTGGGCTCAGCAGCGAGCTTGAAGGTCTGGTTGTCCTGGAGAGTGGGCTTGACGTAGTGGTAGTTGGAGTCAAACCACTTGACCATTTCCTGGAGAGGGGATTAGTTTTGGTCTTAACCAGAATCAGCACACCAGTGTATCATACCAAGGCGGGAACATCGACAGCGGCCTGGCCGTCCTGGGCAGGCTTCTGGAGACCACGGCCCATGGCGAAGTATTCATCGAGAGAGTCGAGGTTGTACTTGCTGTAGCGCTCGGGGATGACCTATGGATTATGATGTTAGCTGATGTTTTAAAACCCGAGTGATTGAGGATCTGAGACATACACCGAAGAGCTGGATGTGGTCGAGGACCTGATCGTAGAAAGCAAAGTCGTTACTGGGGATGATGTCGACACCGGCTTGCTTCTGGAGCTTCCAGTGCTCAGCACGGAGTCGCTTTCCCTCGCTCAGGAGCTCATCACGAGAGATCTTTCCACCCCAGTAAGCCTCAGTAGCCTTCTTGAGGTCACGGAGCTTTCCCATACGGGGGAAACCCAAGACAGAGGACTGAACCATCTTGACGAATGTGTGAATGTGAAAGGGGGAGAGAAAGAAAGCGGAGGGGGTGTTTGTTTAGAAGAAGTAGAATAGTTGTAAGGCACACAACACAAGATAGAACAGACAAGTAGAATCAATCCACTTGCTGGGGAAAGGAGATGGAAGAGGGGGAAAAGAAGTAGGGAGGGAAAGATAAAAACCCAGGGGAGAGATGGGAGAGAGAATAGGAAGAAGAGAGAAGAAGGATGGGGGAGGGGGATGGAGGGGGAAATATAGGTTTCGGTGGTGGGGGAAGAACGAGGGACGAAGGAGGGGGAATCGAAGAACAATCCATGCAAACATCGGAGGCCGAAGATTTGGCGGGGCTCGTGGCCGGTAATAACCGGTAAGATTACCGCCCCTCCGGGCTGTCAACAAACTCTCCGATAGCGAGTCCGATAGGGAAATCGTGGTAATGTTCGGTTGGGCCACCGCAGTTTCACCCTTGGGTATCTCTGCCTTGATCTAATCGTATTATCAAATCATCGTTCATGGACCGACTGCGGAGAACCACCAAAACACAGACGACAGCTCAGCAACTGACTGCATCAATGCATCAATGCATCCATGCAACTGCATGTCCTCATTCTTTGACTTCGGATGCTCATTAGCAGGCCAATGATTGGCACCATCCGCGGTAAGGGATGGTATGAGACTAACTACGGAAAATACTCGTAATCTTGTCGCCGAAGATAAGACTAACCCAGCAAATGAATAGTGTCGAATGGCGTGATCGAATTAATTGCGTGAAAACTGAAAAGTTCGCAAGGGGAGAGTAGCGTAAGAGTCATTCCCTCCGGAGAAACAGTCGGCGATGGTCTGTCTGGTCTGTTTGTTAGTTGGTCGGGCGGCTTCCGCGATCGGCCACTAAAAAAAGCCTGGACCAGCTGCTGTTCTCCGGTGAATTACGAGTATGAGTACTTCCCTCCCTTTCTCAGATCAACAATGGAGCTGAGATCTTCTCTTTTTCGCCACTTCATCCTGCTTTGACTTTCTGACCGATTTCCATTTGTCCGAAGCCTCAAAGCCATGCTGGATAAGGACAATGGGCAATGTAAAAAGATGGGGTCCGCCACCATTCGGAGGCCCGGCGATTGTGTTCGCGGACCAATTCGCTGTCCGGCGCTTGGGCTTTTCATGCCCCGGATAGCTCCAGCTTGTGGTTTGGTTGCTCCGTTCCTGAAAGCTGCTGACACACGCGCACTTTAAGTTGTTGCTGCGATCATGCTGGACAGACTGATAAGAAGTGAACAGGGAGGAAACGTCGAACTGACGAGCTGATGCGCTTTCCAGACTGGCAAAGAATGGCAACAAGTCATAGAAATGAACGAACGCGCCTGCCTCAGTTGGTCCGGTTGTGTTCACGCCGCCCCCCGCCTTCCCTTCAGGAGCAAGTCGAGACAATTCGCAACAAGCTCGCCATGATGGTGGGGGGTTTCTGTCCTCATGCGCTCAATGAGTCGCTTCATCACCATATATCCATTGCCGCAATTGTCATTGCCATCTGATCAACAGTGCTGAACCCTCCGCAGCGGTCGTCGAGCATGGGGATTTTCTGTTGCCCCCGGCTCCGTGGGTACTGGAAGAAACCAGACCCGCCAGGAACGGGGCCTTCGTATCCACTGCAACCAGTGGCCTCGCCTCCAGATGGAGCTGTGGAAAGTGGTAGTGGTAGTGGTACAGCGTGACTCAATCCCTGCCTGCACTTTCATCTGTTAACCCTTCGACCGTGACAGGCCAATCTGCCTCCAGAGATGATGCCATCCACTCTTCCTCCACTGGGACCTCCGTTGCCGGCTTGTCGGAGAAATTACGCAAGCGGTTCTCGAGAGAACACAAAGACCTTCATGGAGCTCCCAAACGAGCGCAGAGAACATCAGGGTCGTCCAGTTTCGCCCACGGTGGGCTGGACACCGTCTTTCCAGTCGGCATCGGAAGCAGTTTGATGAGTGAGAGGGGCTATGACAGTGATGCGCAGTTCATTAGCACCCCGAAAAAGATCAATCACACACGGGACTGCTTACTCGCCGAGAACCTCACCCACGAGACCGCTTCTCTTTCTAAATCACACTCGCGAGGACATGGAAGGGAAGGACTCTCTGCGGTGGGAAGTACATCAGATGTTGCAAAGGGAAACCCAGCGAACGCACATGGCTTGGACCAAACCATAACCATACTGGAAGGAACACGGAATCCCTGGTGCTCCCTGGATCAGGCAATCTGGACTGCCCACCCCGCAACAAGTCCCCCATCCCCCTCCTCCCGCGTGGCAAGCAGTACAAGTCGTCGAGCGCAAGCTGTACAGCCTTATCATGCTGGCTTCACTACCCCGATGTCCACAGAATACTCGCCGTGGGACAAGCAGGATGGGTACTGCTCAACTTCTCAGATAGGGACCCCGAAGTTATCGAATCTCCTCTATAGCTCTCCAACTAATACCGATGGGAACCATTTCTCATCCACAGGACGTTATGATTATGGCTCGAGGACTCCAAGACACACCTCACCGGTGCCAAGTCATTACGCAACATCTGTAGACTCGCTAGCTGGCCCTTCGTCGGGACTTTCGGTTCGGAAGAGAAGACGGCAACCTCCACAATCGGCTTCGGGCAATAATTCCGTTCATCTGGGAGATATGGATATTCATGGTATGTTGGCCTCCCGCACAACCTCTCCTCGGGTCCTTTCGGCGAAGCATTCCTTCGAGGGGAATCCGTGGGCCAGTGATGCCAGGCTGCGGAAGCAACCACAACAGCTCTTTGATAGCCACCCAGCCATGGGCATAGCCAAGGTGGTAGACATAACCAAACCGACATATAGGCCTTTCCCGGAACAGGCATCTTCATGTTATTCTCGGCCAGATAGCCAGTATTCAGCTGGATCAAAAATATACTTGGGCAAGACAGAAATGGAGCACAGTACGACCAGGCAATCCCAGAGAAGCATTCATCCCACTCGGGACTGCTCCCCCCGGCTGCTGGAAGATATGATCAATGCCGAGGCTCCGCATTCTAGATTGGTAGACAGCCATGCCGTTACCACGTTAGCATCGTCCGACATTCACCCTGGTTATTCGGGTACATCGTCAAGTATCAGCTTCCCAACTAACACCGACGCAGATCTCGTATCGCCTCGGAAAGTGAGCGTGGGCTGGATGTCTGGTGGGCGACGTCTCGGCTATGGGTACACACTAGTTCCTGCTCCTGAAGAGAACGACGGCCCCTCGAAGCAACAATCTGTCCCATCTGTTACCCCTGATTCGAACCAAGAGGTGCCATCTGAGGCAGATGCGCGGACCGAGAAGGCAATTCACAGCGAGAGCCAGCCACAACAGATGGATACAACGTTCCCGTTCAAAAAAGCGGGAACGGGTCTTGACATCTCTTCCATCATTGGCCACATTCGCAGCTGGTCCGGGGCCACCAATGAAGCTGCAGGTGATGAGTCTCCTAAGTCGTCGCTCTTGGGGAAGCTTGCCAAGAAGAAAAAGGATCAATCCGATCCAGAGCCAACAGCCGGTGCAAGGGATCCTTGGGATTTTTGCGCTTGGGTCGATCCTCATCAATCTCCAAATGAGCAACAGCCCCCACAAGGAAGTCCGTCAGCATCGAGTATGAGCACAGAAGGACGAGGAATATCTCTAGGAAGGTGGTCCACCCTGCGTCGCACTGGAAGTCTATGGACAAAGGGCCGCAGTATGTCAGCGATCGCGCGCGACCTTGAGGCCAAAGCAGCAGCGAAGTTGAATTCGTCGGCTGGCCGGTTCCCTGTGATCCAGAAAAAGGAGGGGCAAGCCATGAAGTTTAAGGTATTGGACCGTAAGCGCCGAGCTCAAACGGATGAGGACGGTGAGCCGATGGTACCTCTAAAGCAATGGCCTGACGAAAAGCACACAAAACCATCCCAAGAGGGAGATGGGTCAAGCATGCTTGGGAGGGACCCTGTTCGCAAGCAATTGTCGGATAAGACTGGCTCGACCATGGTCACCGAGGGCTGGGATAGCAATTACCAGGACTGTGAGGAGATCCTTTCGGTGAATGAGTGAGAACGTGACTGGCTAGGCCGACTTCACTTTCATTTGTAGCAAAGTTATACCCTGAAGTTCACTGTCCAGGAATGAAGTAGACTGGTCAACACTGTGGCAGACATCAAAGCTTCACCTTGAGCATTGATATCTCAACTTATGGAGAGCGAGAGTGCATGTTTTAGATAACGCGAAGGGGACGGTCGTGTTTATGAATGCTAGATGCGGGGGTATTCTCAAAGGACCTTGGGGACAGAGAGCATGTGATGCAAGTGACTATCATCAAGTCAATGGAATTCAATGCATCTTAATCTGCATTCTGGAAAGCAACCGTGTAGGTTCATATAATCGTACAAAGGTATATTAAAGCACAAAAACGCCCCGAACCCTCTCCAAACGCCCATTACCACCAGTGTCACCCACAAGCGACATCACTTCCTCTGCCGCTTGTTGCTCTTATCGCTCGAATTGCTCAACACACTCGCCGAGCGTTTGTGCGACGTCCCCTCTTGACCCTCCGCCGAAGCCGCAGGGCCCGCGCTCGCGCTCGCAGGTTTCTCCGCTGCATCGGCGCCCTCCGTCGCCACAGCGGAAGGAGCAGCAGTCGACGGACCGTTGGGATCCGGAGCCGTGGCAGCCTCGGCGGCGGCCTCGGCCGAGATCAGCGGTTGATCCTCCTCGTGGAGCTCGGACTTGACCTCAGGCTTGGTGGAGGAGGTGGTGGCGGTGGTGGTGGAGGGAGTGGTCTTCTCCTGGGCCTCCTTGGTGCGGCGTTCGCGCTCCTCCTTGGCAGCCTCCAGCACGCGGATCTCGCTCTCGACCTTCTCGGCAACCTTGCGGGCGTCGAGCAGCAGGTTGACCGAGTGGATCAGCTTCTCGAACTCCTTGCACACGCGCTCCGTCGGCATGGTGAGCCGCAGCGGCACCGCCAGCTCGGCCAGCGCGGCCGCCAGCTTCTGCGTCTGCACGTTGGACTTGGCCTGCGTGAGCTTCTGGGCGCGGTCGCTTCGGAACTGCACGCCTGGCGCGAGCCGCTCGTGGTGCTGCACCCCGTACTTCGCCTCCTCGGCTGTCGTCAGCGTCTTAACTGTCTTCTCGGCTTCCTTGGTCGCGGCTGCTGCTGCGGCGGCGGCGGCTGCGGCGGCTTTTTTGTTCGTGGGCGCGGCGGAGGCGGGGGTGGTGGTGGCGGGCGCGGAGGTGTTGGGGGTATCGGCTCGGCTGTCGCGCGCACTGCCGGGGGCGTTGGATGCCGGGGTCTGGCCGGCTGGGCTGGGGGCGGCGGCGGCGCTTTCGGGACCGAGAATGGAGCGGCGCTTCTTGCTCTTGTCGGCTTGTAGGAGCGTCTGCAGGAGTTGCGACAGACCCTGGCTGGACTGGTACATGGTGGTGTTGCCCACGCTGATGGGGACCTCGAGGCGGGAGTAGAGCTCCCGGCGCTCGGTGATGAACTCCTGCTCGTTGGCAGTGATGCGTTTGAGTTCTTCCAGGAGGATGCTCTCCTCGCGCACCTCGTCGGCGGTCCGGTTGAGCTGGAGAGCGGCGAGCTCTTTGCGGGAGCGCTCGCGCTCCGGGTCGAATTTCATCATCTTCTCGTGCAGGTCGAACTCGGCCTCCGACATCTCGGACGGAGGGTGTTCCAGGGCGAGCATGGATGCGGCGATGAAGTAGTACCGGGCTTTCATCTGCTCCATTGTTCGAAAGCGTTTGGCCGGGACGAGGGCGGACGTGTTCGTCTCCGCGTCCACCGGATGGGGCTGGTAATCGTAGCGGTCGGCTACCACTACCCAGCGGAGATCGTATTCCTCGACCAAGTCCATCAGGTAGTCGGTCTCCTGGCGGGTCCAGTCGTCGCTCTTCAGATGGCGGTTGTACTCCTCGTCGGTGTAGCGGTTCGGTACGCGGGCTCTGACATTGTATTTGGCGAACATGTAATCCTTTTCCACGGCCTCGGATGTGTCCTTCTCATCCTTGGTTCCGTCAACGTCCATCTCCGACCCCTCCAGTGCCGGTTTCGCGGGTTCGTTCTGTCGCTGCCAATGGCGCAGCACGAGGCCGTCAGATCGGGCGCCATTTTCGAACGGCGCCATCCGCCTGCATATCCAGCTCAGTCAGTAATCAGATTAAGCATAGCGAGTGGGGAGGAAGGCCTACCAAGGGCGGACACGCAGTTTGCTCATCCATTTCGGACGGCCCTTGTAGCGGTTCTCGTTGATCGCGATCGGAGGTGCCCGCTCGCCTAATAAAGCGAACAGCTCACGGGTGATACCCTCTTCCGAGAGAGCATCATGTCAGACAAGTCGATGCTATCCAATCACGGGGTTGGGACGTACCTGGTCGCTTCTCGGTCACTTTCTGCTTCTTGAGCGGACGTGGCTGGCCCTCCGCGGGCAAATCCAACATGTCGCGAACATCGGCGGCGGCCATGACGGGCGGACCCCGGGGGAATCGGGAGGATCAGGAGACCGAATCAAACGTAGATTAGCCGTTCAAGAGCTATATGGAACAGTCCGCGCGACGCAAGCTGATAATAGCTGCAGTGAAAGACGGGGGAGATTAAAACGCGGGTTTGGCTGGTTGGTTGGGTAGAGAGAGGGAGGGATGGGAGAGAGACGGGATTGAAGAGGAGAGAATGAATTCGCGCCAAGACTGATTCGGCCACTTCTCGATCTTCCCTTTCTTGTTTTAACTTACACCTAAGTAAAGACCCCAATCTGTCCTTCTCCTCCCCCTCCCCTCTCCTCCTCCTCCACTTGACTTATTGTTTCTACTTCTTCTCGCTTCCCATTTTCCTTTCTTCCTCAGATTGTATTGTTTCAATTCTTCCCGGAATCAGGAACCCCGACACCATGGCTCCGTCTCGATCATCGGCCTCATGGCTATCCTCTGCGCTGGCCGTATGTGCCATCCTGTGTCTAACGGTGCCCGCCAACGCGCTCTACTTCTTCATGGACGGGCGCCAAACCAAGTGCTTCTATGAGGAGCTGCCCAAGGACACACTTGTCGTCGGTCAGTCTTACCTCTTACCAATTCAACCCAACCCAACACAACACAACAAAACACCTCAGAGCAACCTCAACCCCAGATCAAGCAATCAGAGTCAAGCCACCACCACAACAGCCACCAAGCTAACCAAACCCCAAATAAACAGGCACCTACTCCAGCGCCGTGATCAACGAACACTCGAACACCTACACGGTGGACCCGAACCTCAAGATGCTAATCACCGTGGACGAGATCTTCGACAACGACCACCGCGTGGTCTCCAAGCGCGACGGGCCCGCAGGCCGCTGGACCTTTTCGGCCGCCGACGCCGGCCTGCACAAGATCTGCCTCACGCCGGAGACCAACGCCGCGACCGGCGGCTGGCTGTCCGGCGCGCAGGCCGGCGCCGTCCAGGTCACGCTCGACATGGCCATCGGCGAGACCAGCAAGATCGAGTCGGAGGACAAGGACAAGATGCAGGACATTGTCCAGAAGGTTCGCGATCTGAACGGCCGGTTGCAGGATATTCGGAGGGAGCAGGTGTTTCAGCGGGTATGGTTTCTCCCCTAAACTTTTCCCCCTCACTTTCTGTAATTGGAAGATGGGAGACAAAGAAAGTTGTGTGGCTAATTGGGCATCAAATAGGAACGCGAGGCCGAATTCCGTGATCAGTCTGAAGCTACCAACTCCCGTGTCGTCCGCTGGACGCTCATCCAGCTGTTCGTGCTCTCCGCCGCTTGTGCTTGGCAACTCTCGCATCTTCGGTCCTTCTTCATTAAGCAGAAGCTTACATAAATTTTCTGTCAATGTCGAGGGGTTGGAGTAAATTCTTCTTGTTTCATAGGAAAAGAGAAAAATGAAATGGAAAGAATGGAGGAAAGAGAACGGCCCCGCTATATGGTCGGTGTTTTCTTTTCAGCGATTTAATAATCTTCCCGAAGTCATTTTTCCTTTCCACAAGTTATGTGTCTTATGGGAAACATATGATATGATCTCTATAACTTTCATCTTCCAGGTTCTTCTTATATTGCCGGTGTGTAGCGATATATCAGATATGATGATATCATATGGGTCTCGTAGCATCACGCTAGTCGTCTGGATTGTTTGTCTGAATACTAAGACATGCTTCTCTGGCAGCGTACAATATCAGAAGCTGGCCATTACCACTAGTGTATCAACCTTTGCTGAACCAAAGATCACTATCGAAACGGATTTGTATTATATCAAGTCCATCGAGCTCTCGTCTATAAAACTCTCCATCTTCGCCCCGGTCACAGATCATTAAGGGTGCACAGGATAGCTCGTGAAAAAAAAACCATCAGACAAAAAATTATTCTAGAAACACCACGTGGAGAAAAGAAGTCCACGACAGAAGATAGAGAGGGCCACTCAAGCCCTCGCTGGCGGAAGCAAGGAGTAAAAGGAAGGTCAACAGTGAGGTATCAAGCGAGAAGCGAAAGAAGTAAGAGTTCGAAACAAACCAAGACCATTTCATGTATTCATTGTATCATCACGCGGCCGTGGGGTATTGTTGCTGCAGAAGCCCAGGATCAGCCGCTCCAGGTCGGAAAGCTTGTACGGCTTGGTCATATAGCCCTTCATGCCGACCTTCGTGGCACGGTTGAGAGCTTCGTCTGTGACATCGGCACTGACAGCCAGGACTGTAGGAGGCTGTGGTTGGCAGGCAGCGAAGGTGGGATGCTGGTCGGACTGAGTATCGAGGGGAAGTTTATCCCTGTACTCGTCGACTAGCTGCAGGATCTTGGATGTGGCTTCATAGCCATCCATTTCTGGCATCCAGAGATCCATCAATACGACGTCCACTAGTTTTCGTTTCTTGGTATGACTAGGTGGCTTGGGAATTGTGAAGCCGTCAGGGCCATTCTCCGGATTCGGTGACTGACACGAGCCTTGTTCGCCGGGACGCTGAGTCTCAAGAACATCTTGCATAATACGCACGGCTTCTTTGCCGTTGCAGGCCTCATAGATGTCCTTGTAGCCAAGTCGTTTTAACATGTGCACCAACACACGACGGTTAATCTTGTTATCCTCCGCGACGAGAAACGTTAACGGGTGCTTTTCCCCGAGACGGCTGTCATGGGTATCGCCGTTGATGTGACGCTGTGGTGGTGTGCTCCTGGGAGGAGGAGGTGCAGGCGTCGAAGTCACCAATGGAGGGTCATCAGTAAGACAGGGCGACGGCTGCTGCATTTGCGGGCCAGGAGTCCGCGGGGTAGGCAACAGTGCAGAAAAGTCTGGCGTGATATTGCTTGCACTGCTCAGCCGTGTCGCATCAGTAAGCTGGGGAGGCGTAAGCAGTTTGGGAGGCAGCAGAGGCCGATCTGCTGAAGGTTCAGGCTGGTTGGCGGGAATTCTGATCTCAAACTCCGAACCACGATCGGGTCCCGAGGTCGAAGAACGAACACAGATGAGGTCACCGCCCATCTTTCTTGATAAGCCTTTGGCTACAAGGAGACCCAAGCCTAGCCCATCTTTGCTCCGGGTGGTGGATGTGTCTTCCCGAGCGAAGGGCCTGAAGAGTTTCGGTAGAAAATCATCCGGGATACCTGGGCCTGTGTCCTTGATGCTAATTAAGACATCGTTCGCCTTGCGGCCAACAGTGGCAGCCACAGTAATCATACCGCTATTGGTGAACTTGACCGCATTCAGGAACACGCAGGAGATCAACTTAGCCAGATCCCGATCATCCACGAACAGTGTCTCCGGCAGCGCCGGATCCACAGACCAGTCGATCGTCTTCGAAAAGACCTCACCGTTGGATGACCGTGAGCGGACCTCGATTCTCTCTCCTTGCTGAGTCGCATTGCTTACCGCAAAATCGGGTCGACCACCGACATGCAATGACTCGTTGATCACTAAACGGAGAAGATCACGCAGTTTAGTCATGCGTAGAGCTGGAACGTGCTGATTGATATTAATGCCTTCCAGTAGTAGGTGGGGTGCCGAACGCCGAACAGCCAAAGACGGACGGGGATCAACCACGTTTGCCATTACCGCTTCAATCTCGTGGGCAGGGGTAGCCTGGAGCAGTTTCTCGCTTTCGTGGACTGCATTTTTGACTTCTTCGCTGCGAGGTGAGAGACCTCTTGGCGCGGCGACTCGCGGCGCTTTTGACTTCGGAGGCTGACCGGCGTTCCAGTCCGGAGGGTTGCTACGTCGTCGCTTATACGGATTGACCGTGATGTTGCTTCTTTCCACAAAAATAGTTGGCCGAGTCTCACTCGCACAGACCGGACTCTGCGTCGCACCACCGAAGAAGTCATCCCGTTCAAACTGAGGAGTCTTCGGAACTTGCATGTTCATATCGTAGGCATGAACCACATTATCGGCCGCTTCGACAGCCCTGCGTGCACTATCTGTATTGTCCAAAATATTGCAAGTTAGCGTCAGGTGATCCGAAGGTGGGAATAACAGGCTGACCTTGAACCATTTCAATGCTTTCCTTAAGCGTGCGAAAGACATAGCCAGCCTTGGGAGATGGTTTGTCTTGGATGGCTTCGCGCACAGTTGCATGCATAACGTCCAGCATCCCGACCACACCCTGCATCGGCGTCCGGAGCTCGTGGGACAAGCTCCTCGCATAGGGCTTGAGTGGTTGAGATGAGAAGTCGGCAGATCCATGGACGATCCCGAAATTCACATCACCCACAACACTTGTCTTTCCTGTAGGAGGGTTTGTGCTCTCCTGGCCAGGCGCTTCAGACACTGTAGGGTGAGCATCGTCGCGGATCCGCTGCACAACCAAGTCCTCTAGTGAATACAGAATCATTTCGAGAAGCGACCACGAGAGATTACGCTTCTGCAAGCCCGGTTCCGACCACATAAGTCCGAAAAAGGCAAGACAGTTTGTCCCCGAGAAAAGCGGCACGGCCAGATATCCCTCAGCGGCAAACGGAAGCTGGTCCCGATCAAACGAAATGAAGGAGCCCAATTTCTCGGGAATCAGACATGGCTTCTCACGATCCATGTGTGAGAGAGGATTTCCGCCTGCAAAGTACCTGCGTCTCTGCATACCCGCGGTGTTGTTGCCGTCGTTGTAATAGAAAGCCGTGCCGAACAGTCGGGTTTTGTGGCCCTCTATCTCACTTGTTGATTCATCGTCCCGAGCCCTGCGAGCGACGAAAACATACTGAGCCTTGCATAGAAGACTGATTTGCTCCATTAATTGATGCCAGAATTCTTCCGATTCCAAGGGGCGAAGTTCTTGCTTGAGCTTCATCAGCCGTTCGATTGCGGAACTCTGAGAGGCCCCGATATATCGGCGACCGGACGAATCGGCCTGCGCATCGTCGTCGATAAAAGTAGTTGCAGGCACATCACCAGGAAGGCACTGAGTGGGTAGCAAAGACATGGTAGGGCCGGATGCGAAGGAGGTTGACCATTCTGGGTCTGCGGAGTCGGACATGATGTTCCGCGCGTATCGATCGCCCTTTGTAGACGAGACGGAAATGGTTGATGTGTCAAATTCAGAATCCAACGAATCCAGATTTTGCAGCCGGGCGAATTATAATATAGGGGGACGCCAGGACACTGAAGGAGATTGATGAAATATCAGGGAACTACGACCGGATTCTATGGAAGGGACACAGCGCATGGCGTTCAGTCTGGAGTTGGTCAAATGAGATGTTAGCGAACGTGGATCACGGGCAAATAGCAAACAAGTAAGTCTGGATGAAGTGTTCTTCGCGAAGCATATTCAGGGTGGTTCCATGTTGAACTTGGTCAGGACATACATCACTTATGCTAGGCGATTTGAAGCCCACGCTGAGCAGCACCGCGCGGCGGTGGAAGGGAAAGCCGAGCGAGAATCAGACGGCTGTTGACGATAAAATTTCTGCAAGAGACTGCTTGAAGGGAAAGAATCGTCGCTAGAACGTGAATATATAGCTGAGAGGAGCGAAAGGCTTCTTTTTTCGATTGTTCAGGTAAACGTTGAGGTATTCCTTGGATTTTCCCTTTGTGTTTAGCACTGAAGTTTCTGTAAATGAATCACCGGATGCCTCGGTCTGAAGTGCCGGACCAGCGTCGAGGAATCTAAGCGATATGGAAGGTTGAGTCTTCAGTAACCTGCTGACCGGAAAGTAGAAACACTGAAGTCAAGATCGCTCATTGACCCGGACAACCGTGGTTGAGGTGAAGGACAAGAAGGACAAAAGAAGGCCAGCATGCGAGTGACCGCACGGGGAAGGAGATCGGGGGGGGAATGGGAAGTTTGGGGGGGTGGAAAGGGAGAAGAGAACAGGCCCAGACCAGGATGGGGAAACCCAGAATGATCAGATTGGAAGGAGACACAAAAGACTAGACGTAATCCATAGTGCTAAGACCGTTAGTCTAAACCTGAGTAATAATTACTTAGCAAGCAAGCAAGCAAGCAAGCAAACGCAGGAAGACAGAGGAAGTTGGGCGAGGATGGTTCAAGTGACTTAGTTTGAAGAGGGGAAAGAAAGCGACTCAGAATTCGATGGGGCCAGTATGGGCCGATCGCCAGGTCTAGACGCCGCGGGGAGGCTGAAACTTCACTCTTACTCGGGCTCGCGGTTTATAACATTCCAATTGTCACTTGAGATCGCGACAATCCCCTCCCCGACAATATAGATAGTCTACTGGCAATTGACATGAAAGTGACCATGGATGAGAATCTATAAGATGGATCATCAACAATCCCAACTAGGTAATGACCTCCATCACTTGACATCTCCGATGCTTCCATTTCCATGGACCCATTGCCCGCCGCCTTCCCGGCCCAAACTTTTTGCCTCTTTGACTCTCTTTGCCTCAACCAGCAACCAAACCAACTCTCCTACACAACCTACACTATCTGCGGCATCTTCCTACCTCCTGTAATATCGCAGATCTGTGGTCGGTATGATTCCACTGCCCGGAGAACAAAAACGGGAAATCGCATGCCACGAGTCATTGACTTATCTCCGACATACTTGAACGTGGATTCATGAAGATGAGAACCACTGATGATTCAATGACACCCTACAACAGCTCTTCGCGGTTTGGCACGAGTATCACCCGTGCATTTTCATAGTCTTCTGACAAATCCCATCCATGGTTCCAAGATGCAGCGGCTTCGCCCGCTCATGGTGCCCCATCGCGCCCAACTCTGCTCGTTGCAGCCTGGTAGATCCCCTTATACCCCTCGACCGATTGCCCCAGTTCCTCGAAGACCATCTGGGCGAGCTTACCGTTCCGGTAAAGCACCACCCCGTTGTGACTTTTCACCTCCATCAAGGGCCCCATCGCACCCTCGTATCCGGCGTCGACCACGCCGGCGGCGATCCCGACGCCGGAACGCCAGAGGGATGATCGAGGGAATATGCTCCCCATGTAGTTCCGAGGAATCTGAACGATTTCGTTGAAATCGATCAGGTAGGCGCCGGGTGGGAGTGTGATGGCGTGGCTGGTGCGGTCGAAAGGCAGGGTGGAGGTTTTGGCCGCTTGACGATTGGTATTGTCGAAGTCGATGGTCGCCGTCGAGGTCCACTCGGAGACCTGACGTAGAGTAAGGTCGACACCGCAGGGCTGCTGTTGCTGGGCGACTTGTCGTAGGTTACGCACCAACTGGCGGGTCACGACTTCCAGTCCGCTGAGAAATCATGCTGTAGTCTAGTTTGGGGCTTTGGTCGCCGCTTGACGGTTGAGGGGGGGGGACTGACGTGCAGATTGTATATTCGGGGTTAGGATGGAGGTCTGTGAGGAGCTAGAAGAAACGTTTGTCAATATCGATAGCTGAGATAGGGGGATTGACCTGCTCCTGATGTTGTGACTAAGGTCTAACTAGTTGACTACCAGTCAACTACTGTATGGCACATTTGTGACATATATCTTCAATCACATCTGTGGAAGCACTCATGGAAGCTGTTTGACTTGTCAGATAGTAAGTACAATAATTATATATCCGATGACCCCTCGCGCGCCATCTGTCCATCCTAATAGAGGTGGTTTTCTCCTGAAACACCGTTGGGCAACTGGAAGTGTCATGCTTGAAATAACTATCATACTTGGATTATCGGTATTGATACACCACCAGCTCGTGACTTGATATATCCCTATCTCCGAGCATGCAGACTTGTTCAACCAACCACCTAAAGAGCTCAGGCCCGAGACTGCCTTGGCATAATTGACTCTACGCACTACTGTAAAAGTCTAGGTCGGCATCGTCGATCAGCTGATCTCTCTCAAGCCAGGCTGGAATAATCTGTATACTTTGAGTTTCAACCTACAACACAGGTAAGACCTACAACGGGCTTTACTTCTCTAAGAAACTTCGGTACAATGGTCAGTGCAACTTAGTTGTATTTCCGAGCAGGAAGTCTACAGTCCCATCAATCGCCGAACCAGGGAATCTCTAAGCCGTGGCTGACTTCGGGAGTTGGTGCTGACACACCAGAATGTAGAGCTTCTCCGACCACATCTATATAGTTCCATTTCTGTAAGATCATCAAGCTTAAGCCGAAGGAGCTGGAATGTGCGTGCCGTTATCGAGGTCCCCGCACACTCCTTTCTACCTTGGCAGTATCGGCAGAACCAGAATGGGGAGAATTGATGGAAGCGTCATATTAGAACAGACAAACAGCATAACTGCAGCAGGGAAAAAAAGAACAATTCATGATCCAAGTAATTATCTCGTCTAATCTTGCCGTCCCTTCAATAGTCTCTTGGTGACCTTGTCTTTCTCTATGATGTACACCTGTGCACCCCAACCGGAGAGGGCGTCTCGGTCGACCGCACTGAGAAGGGCTTGGGAGATGGTCTCGAACAGGTCCTCCGCAGACTGTCAAGGAACATCCTTAGTTAGCAAACGGTCCGGCGGGGAGAAGATCAACTAAGGGGAAAGAGACATACCAAGTCCGGCTCCCACAGACCCTCGCAAGTACCGAACAGCTGCTCACTCGCGGTTCCGCTCACAATGAAGTCCTTTGCGAAGTCGATACACCCGATACTGTCGAAACCGCAGATGAAGGGCTTGCCTGTTGTGCTGTTGATGCCGGCAATGACGGGACTGACAAAGAAGGGGCCGAAGCGTTTCTCGTACAACGAAGAGCTAACCAGGTTGGCCAGGGTCTGGGGCGCGATGTTCCGCTCCTCGCGGAGACGGTACATGTTCACTTTGAAGCGGAAGAGGTCCGACACAGTCGCCACATCGGTCGCCAGACCCGTCAGGCCGAGGAAGGTCGAAGGGCCGTAGTTGAAGATTTTGGGGAAGTTGTTGGAAACGGTCAAGGCTTGCATGCCCAGGCGGAGATCGCAGGCAATGGCGACGCAGTCCTTACCCACCATGGCGACGCAGGCACCGCCATCTGCACAACGGAGAGTCAGTAAACGTATAATCCACTAGTGAGTGAAGTTGTCCGGGATGCGTACTGATATCGAAGGGAAAACTCTGGCAAAGACGGGTCAGTCAGCTTGCTTGCTCAGCTCAGAAGGTGAAGGTCACGCAGGGCGGACGTACCATTATTGGGGTCGAATTATGGTCTTTTGGGCAAGAATATAGAGTGGGATGAGAGAAATACAGCAGAGAGAAGTAAGAGAAATGACGAGGGGAAGATGAAGGGGGGGAGGATGACTGGGAAGGAGAATTGGATGAGCGGAGGATGGATGGAGATGGACGGAGTTGAACTGAAGCTCTGCCAGCAACGCGTGGAGCCGCCGAGCTTCTTCCGATGACGCCTGCGCCCGCTGCCTACGCCTACGCCTGCACTCCATCCCTCCCTCTCACTTCTTACCTTCACCTCTGTCCTGTCAACCTCGGCCCTTCTTCTTCCCTTGTACAAATTAGTTGGTTACCGTTGTCCTTTGCTATTAGCCTGAGCTCTCCAGACAATCTCCAGGTTGCTGGAAACCCTCCAGTCTATCCCAGCTTGCTGTTCTTTCTCTACCCCAACTGCCACATCCCGCAACTTTTCATCCTCTCACCCCACCATGAGCTCCCATGTCGTGGTCCTAGACTCAACAGCGCGAAGGGCGACGGTCAAGACTACCCCGGGCAAGCACCTGACCGACATCCTGCAAGAGGCCTGCACCAAACTTGGTGTAGACCCCAGTCAACATGGGCTGAAGTAAGACCCCGCCGTAGCATCCCCCTCTCCCATAAAAAAGTGCACTTATCTGACACCGTCTTTGTCAAGGTACAAAGGTAAAGAGCTCGACATGTCGCTCGTCTTCCGGCTATCGGGACTCACCTCCGGTGCCAAGCTGGAGCTGGTTCAGTCGTCCCGGTCCCCGTCTGTCGTCACTGTCGCGTTACAACTCCCCGAATCGGAAGCACGAGGGGCGCCCAACGGACGTCTCATGGACAAGTTCCCGAGCACAACAACGATCTGGTTCATTTTGCGGAAATTCGAGGCGGGCGTTGCGGGCGGTGCTACAACCCGCAATCTGACGGGCCGGGGTGTACCAAGTGGCAATGAGGGCGCAGGTAGACTATACTACGAAACACCGGTGGTTCAAGTGCTACAAAGGGAATTATCCTCTCTCACAGACTTTCAAAAGTCGCTAGCACAGTTGGGTTTCAACAGCGGGAACGTGCTACTGAGGCTCAGCTTCCGGCGAACGGAAGAGCCATTAGAGGAAGCGATGGTCAAGATCCAGGAATACTTCCAGTCCTCCGAGGACATAGTTCCAAAGCAAGAGGAGCTGCCTGCATCTACAGAAAAGCCCCTCGAGAATGGTATCCCCGAACAGCGGGACCCCGAGCCCGAGACCGAATCTGCCAATACGTCCACGGCCGTGTCGGTGCCAGAACAACCCGCCCCTCCTGCACCCCAATCTACTATAACATCCGCAGGTCCCTCCGAAGTCCCCGCTGGCTTCTCCCGGCCCGTGACGGTCTTCTCTCCCCCATCCGGCGACACGCCTCAGTCCGCACAAACCACCTACAACGAAGCCGACTACATCCCATCAGTAGACCACGCACAAGCCCACCAACGACGGCTCAACGCCGCTTCGCGACCGCAACGACTCCCCACCGACGCCGAGATCGCCGCCAAAGCCGCCGCCGAGCAGGAAAAGTTGGCGGCCGTGACCGAGGTAGAGGTGAAGGTCCGTCTCCCCGACCAGAGCCAAGTCGTCGCCAAGTTCGGCCGGCAAGACACGGGGCGGGCGCTGTACGATTTCGTGCGCAATTGTCTCGCCGCGCCGTTCGCCGGCGCCGAGAGATTCACCATCACATACCTTCCACTGGGATCCGTTGGCTCGCGCGGCGGCGGCGGCGGAAGCGGCCGGAAAATCCAGGAGGTGATTCCGGACTCCGAGCAGACGCTCCTGATCCGAGATCTGGGCTTGGCAGGCCGGGTGTTGGTCAACTTCAGCTGGGACGAGAGTGCTTCCCCGGCGGCTCACGCGGGCCGCGAGCTTCTGAAGCCCGAGCTGCGGACCCGGGCCCAGGTGATCAAGGTGGAGCAGCCCCCTGAGGTGATGGACACCGCCGAAAACGTGCGTAGCCGGACACTGGGGGCCACCAGCAATGAGAGCAAGACGGGGGAGAAGCGGAAACCCGGCGGCATACCCAAGTGGTTGAAGTTGCCTGGCAAGAAATGAAAGAGATGATTCATGATATATCCATCATGTAAGGAAGTTCGACTTTAGATAATGAATGAAATGTTTCACATGATTGTATGAAATTGGTCAGATTACAAGGTTTGGCCGAGAATCCACCCTACGTAGATAGAGAGCAACAATCTAGGCAGCCTCGGAAAGTGCAGATGCCATGAAGAACTCTCTTCTCCTTATCCCTGAAGATCAAGAAGCGTGCTGGATGTAATAGCTAAGATTTTGAAAACCACCCATCACATCAACGACTGATGTCGAGATAGATATTGAATCAAGCACAAGGCCTAGACCATGACACTTGCAACCCACCGATCTCAGGATAAAGCATACCGATCCACCACACTCTATCAACATCGTCCAACCTCTACACAAGCACAATAAAACGGTAAAAATCAAAGTGGCCGAAAAGTATGGGTATTTATTATTTGGAAAAGTAAGCGTGGTCGTGGTTTTCTCTCAGCTGTCAAAGTCACTGACTAATCTTTTTCTTTCATATTCCATTATGGTTCCTTCTTCAAGAAAGAAAAGAATGATGTTTTCGTTATCTCATTCTTGGCTAATCGGGATAGAGAGATCGGGAAACACATGATGGGGATTTTTTTTCGGGAGAAGGAAAATGAGGGAGAAAAAAGACGTTTAGTGAGCGCCAACACGACGGGCCTCGGCGATGACCCGCTGCATGTCCTCAACCTTTCTCTTGCCACGGCCGAAGGTACCGAGCTGGATTGAAGATGGATGTTAGTATTTACAGATCGCGGGGGGATATAGGGAGAGGGATGTAGTGGTTTGAAAGGTTGGGTGTTTGAGATGGGTTCGCTTGTTCGGTCGGTTGATTGGTTTGGTTGGCTTGGTCGTTCGCGGTGGAGTGTTTTGTCGGACACTGCGGTTCGATGAGTGCAAGTAGTCGTGGAAGGTGTTGTCACATGTCGGATTTCGGATGCGATAAGATGTTCATCAAGTAGAGCAATCGATATCGAGCGAGATCGTCGAAGCGTAATCAAAAGAGCGCAAACCGAATCGTGACGCTGACCGAAACAGAGCGAACTGCCCGCAAACCCCTCTCCTTTCAAACCATAGATCCGATGATAATGCAAAACGTACCCTCTTCTTGGCGAGCTTACGGGCGCGCTTGTCCTGAGTGTTTCTCAGGAGTTCGATGATGCGGCGCTCATAGGGGGCAAGACCGACAACCTCGCGGGCGATCTCACGAACGAAAGCGGTACGGCGGGAAGACTGGCCCTTGGTACGGCTGACCCGGGTCTTGGGGGTGTTAAGAGGGGTGGTCTTCTGTTAGGCCGAAGCATCAGGTCAGTAAAGATGTTCCTTTTTTCCTCGTGACTGAGATCTCCAAGTCGAATCATGGAGATGAAGACGACAAGCAAGAAGCGCGATTTGATCCAGCCGAGTCGGTCGAAATCGGGGTCGAGTTCGATGCGGAAAAAAAAAAACTCCATCCTTTTCAAACTTCCATATTTCCCGTCCTCAAGATGGTCTTCTCGACAGACAAGAGAATCCCTCATTCCGACAGTATTTCACCCTGCACTTTGACACAAAAGTCCACCATCCTCTAGTGTATTTCCAAGCCCCCGACAATTCATCGAACTCGACCGGACCAAATCTTCTTGTTGCAGGACGTGGAAAAAGAAATCAGACAGGGGGACAACGTACGTGACCCTTGTTGAGGCCGACCACGATTCCGGAGCGTTCCTGAGCCATCACGACGGTTGTGTTGCGGTTGGCGACGACGTTGATTGCTGCTGAGAGGTTGTCGAGTCGACGTGCGCCGGTGCGGATGGGAATCGCGATGGAGTCTGCCAGTTTTTGGTTGGCCGTTGCGGGAGTGCGTAGCGAGGGTAGGGCTTAGGGTTCTTGTGGTTATATCACGTGTTATGCTTTCTTCGACTCTTATCGTTTATCTCTTATCCTTATCAGCTCCTGCCTCAGGTGTTTAGTTGGTGGAGAAAAGGCATTGCCTTCCCCAGCCAAATTACTACTACTAGATTCATTGCTTTGTAGGCGTGGTCTGCATCCTCAACTCTTGCTTGAGAGATTCTTTAGAATAGATGACCTGCTTGCATTCTGAAAAGTTAGAAGCTCATCTCCCCGTCTCAGGGCCCGTCTCAATATCCACTTCTACAATCTTCAAGATCCCAGTTCTAGGCCTTTGCTCCTCCGCCCCTCTAGGACATTGGACATCCACACTATTGATCCCATCTGACACGCTCCGATTGGCAATTGCTTCCGTGGTGGTGTAGCATACACCCCGATACGCCGCAACGTCACCCATCTCCCAGTAACTGTCCGCGGCGGACTCCGTACCCGTGAAACTGCGTCCAGACCTCCAGAGTCGCCGCGGCATGCGCAGCGCACGACCTGGTCTCCGGTCGGTGGTGGTGGTAGTAGCAGCAGCAAGGGGGTCCTTCACCTGCGTCGATGCACTCCCAGTACCGATGCTGGAGACCCAAGCCCTGGCTTTCTGGGAGGAGTGCCTGAAGAAGGTCGGCAAGGCGGGTAGGCAGCTAGCGACGATTCCCGACGTGATTTCGGCGGTGCTAGTTTGGAATGTCGCGGTGGAATTAGTATCGCTTGGACATGCGGCAATGTAGTCATCGTTGAAGACAAGCAACCGGCAGGAAACAGGAAGCGCTTACGTCCATAGAAACTCCGGAAACCAGTCGTGCGTTCGGTCGAGCGTGGTGCGGTTCTGGACGCTGACTACAAGACGCATCACGCTGCAGATGCACGCGCTAAAATTTTTTAATAAGGTGTGTCAGGGCCCGGACCGGTCAGATCGATCTGGCTTTAGCAGGATCTGAAAAGTCAACTTGGATGGAAGGTGGAGGGTCTAACGTACAAGATACCAGCTGCGAACACAGCGGAAAGGCCCATCTTCTTCCACCAGGTCATCTGCAAGCGCCAGACACAAACGATGGGCAGCAGAAGCATCAGAAAGTCCGAGACCACGTTCACGATCGATGTGACTAGGATAGGGATGTTGATGTTGATGCACTGCCCGGGGATGTCTTTGTCCCAGATCTTGGAGCGTGGTTTGCATTCGCAGATCTTTACGATGGTATCTGCCAGGTAGAAGAGGAAGTTCAGCCAGATCAGGGCTTGGATGAGCCAAAAAGGGACGTTCCGGGCTGAAGGTGCGAAGAGGCGTAGGTATAAGAGTAGGATGGATAGTTTAGTGATGTAGATCAATGGGCCGTAGAGGACTTGGGATGCATTGGCCAGCTACACCCACCCTCTCGCTTGTCATCAGCTAAAGCGCAAAGACTGAAATTCGGGTACACTTCAGACCTTGGAGAACTCTTTCAGGTCGGATGCAGCTACAGCCCATTGATGCATGCCGTTTCCGTATCGATCGGTCTCGAAGGTGATGGCGGCATATCCGATCAAACCAAGCTAGCCATGTCATCATGAGCGACCAAGTAACGCGAGATATAGCATGGCAGACAGCCTCGAACTTGCATACCCAGGCCAGGAAACAAGTCACTATCAGACGGTGACAGTCAGTAAGTTTCTCGGTGGACTGCTCACGTTGCAAGGAGCGCAGTACATACAATCCTCCCATCCCGGAGCGCGCGTGATGGAGATCTTCGAGTACAGACGCATTCCAACACAGCAGGTACTGACGGTGAGACATACTGTCTGGGTGAGTATATTCCACGACTGTAGCGAGTGTCGATAGCCATATGTCAGGAGAGAACCAGGGGGTGGAATGGAGGCATTGTTGCTGGAATCGCCCATAGTTCCGGAGAAAAGAACGAGAAACGAGTAGGATATGACTAGAGCTGGGAATAAGGCCTAGAAGCATCTTATGTTCATAACTAAAAAAGACCCAAAATATAGATAACATCGGGCATCGTCAACCATAGCTGACTCGATGATACATATATGCGGGTTTGCTTCGAATTGCTACAATGGCTGACTATCGAGTTACACAACCGATTTACCACCACTTACCATCACTAAAACCACCTGCCGTGAGCCGGCGACGCAAGGCGAAGACCACACCTGACAAGGAATGTGTGCGTGGCACAGACATGGAATCGGAGAAGAACTGCCCGTCATTCCATCCTGTATTCCTTTTGCTTCGCGAAATGCAACGGCAGTGCAACGTTTCTCGGCCATTTGCCTGCCTTGTACTTGGACGTACTTCTACGGATCAGATATTTTAGGGTCATATAAAGACAAGACTCGAGCCCGGCAGGGCAAGTAAAATACAGGAGAGCGAAGGATCGTGTACTCTGTCGATCGGGATCGGAACGGAAACAAGGGATAGAAGGATGTGCGTTTTGCTACACGCGTAGGCGCCCTTGCAGAAACGGATCGACATTCACGCCACTCAGCCTCGTGGTCTAGGTTGGGTCCGTCTTACATGCCAAGGGACTTTCAGCTGTCTCTGATGATCTGGGGCCGTGTGCATTTCGCAGGCAAGAATATGACCAGGTTGCACATCAGACCAACTTGAACATGGACAGTTCATGAATAATGTCCGATTGATCACTAAGCTTGTCTGTAGAGATAGGTTCGACGAAGCACTATATAATAATGTTCGGCGGTTGCCGTTCTATTCTTGCGTCGGGAGGAACTGGAGGCTATTGAGCTTTCACAAAGTCACGGCAAGTAGGCCGTTCAGCCCTTCCTCCCAGCTCTCCATGAGCTCACCGCAGAAGACCTCCAGTTGAGACATGTCAAATGTCTTGTCCAACTCCGAGGAGAGCTTACTGCCTTCCGGCCCGTTGCCGGTACCAGCGAGGACCAGGTCGATCAACGAGCCCAGTCCACCCGAAGCCGAGACGTGAGACTTGAGGGTACGACCGCTAGCCCTAATACTCTGGAAGACTTGGCGTGTCTTCTCAGCCAGTTTGTCGACTCTTTCACGACTTATTTTGACGTTCTTGGATCCCTTCCTCGTGGCCACTGTGGCGAAAAGAGACAGAGCCTTCAGTGACTCTAGGGCCATGTACTGATCATGGAAGTATTTCCATGTCGGTGCAATGGGTGTTTCCGGCGTAAGAAAAAGCGCTGTTTTCGAAATGACCGGCGATACCTTCGCATCACCCTCATCGAGTTCTTGGGCCCTAGAGTCTAGCCATGATTCAACCTGAGCAAGACATGCGTCTAACTGATCAGCAGTGACAGCTTTAGAACCGCTCAAGGACAAGGCAAGCGTCAAAAGGCTAAGGTTCGTTTTAGCGCTTTCAGTTTCCGACGGGGTCAACTCCGATTTCGCATTGTCCCCCAGGATGCCCTCGAGGCTTGGGAGCTGGGGCTCAATGGTCACTGGCTTTTGGCTCGCCAGGGACTTGAGAGTTCTGAAAAGTTGGTTCGTCGCCTTCATGGATTTGATCCAACCGTTCTGAATCTGTTAGTCATCATGATGCATCGTCGGAGAAGACAGACTTACACTAGGCAGAGGCCCCAAGCGCATACGCTCCTCGAATGTAGGCTTGCCGGGTGCTTCACAGTTCATGAATGCATCAAAGACACGTTGGTCGATTAAGGGCGACTCATCTCTAGCTATACAGTGCGGCTCTGTGAGTATGTGAGTATAGTAGGTATAAGAACGTTACTTACCCATTTCTTCGAATCGGCCCATGGGATCTCCACCAGCCAGTCTCTGTATGCGCATGACGTCTAGCGCCCACATTCTGCGGCAGATGCTCTGCTTCAGACGCTTTTGCAACTCGATGGTACCTTCTATATTCACATAGCTGCCGTAGTCTAGGCCTCTAGTGCGATGTCTGGTAGATGTGAGATCTGCTGACCGAAAGAAGTTCAGGGCCTGCACGAAAGCGGACTGTGGGTTGAAGTCTTTATATTCGGCTCCCTCGACTGGTGGGGCGGAGTGTGGGTGAATTGTTGCCAGACGGGTGAAGAGATTGTGTGCAACGGTTTCGAACTGCAGCTGCTTCACTGAAAGTTTACTGAAGCTGCTCAGTGCAAGGGATCCTGCACCCAGGCGCAAATAGATCCTAACAATAAGCAGTAGAGCCTGGTAGTTGTGCGGGGAGTCGACAAGGAGGCGTTCCAGGATTGCTGCTGCGCGAATGAGAACGGTGTCCGAGATTTGTTGGTCAGTATCAGAGGTGCGCGGTTCGCTGAAGCGCATCAGGCTCATGGCCGCTAGGATACATAAGTCATCGCTCGGCTGGCTTTCAATAGTGGTAGGAGCCGAGCTTTTTGCGGGGCGCTGGACCTCACGATAGACCTGCAGACAACGCACGACGAAATCTTCAACCTGGGGCTTAGACACGTTCTCCTCGTTGGCCGAAAGACAGAAACAATACTCAAGTTTGAGCGCGTTGATCTTCGCGACGCCCTTCGCAGAAACTCCCTGTTTTGATAGATGAGTTTACCAGCTCAACGTGTAATCGCGAACAACTTACATCAGTCTTCTCGTTCTGTCCTTCCAACGTATAAATCACAACATCGGTCTTGGAAGCTTGATCGAGCGAGGCCACATAGGTCCGCAGGTCACCAAAACAGTACAGCTTGTGCTTGTTGAGATCGAAGTACTGTTTACAGGCGGCAACCAATTCCTCGGCCTTTGAGCTATCAGATTGGAAACTCCAGTGCACCATGTCAAGCCGAGCCAAGTGCGCATTGCGAGACTTGGGCACAGACGCCACAAAATCGCGGATGAAGTCTTGCGTTGCGGTAGTAGTCCTTAAGCAACCAGTTAGCCGGCCAGTCTCACCATTGCTTAAAATGCATGTTGCGTGCTTACTCTGGAGAGTTGATCTGCTGAGTTGAGGTGAGGAGCAAGTGCCAAACCGCCCAGTCATCGCGTTCTTGAAGGGCCTTCGTTTCTTCCTCGTTGCTTGGGATCGCGAGCAGGCTCTTTGCATATTCCAGACCTTCTGTCCACATCTGAGCCTTTTCGAGACTGGACAGCTTCACTCCAATAAATGACCAATCATTCTGCACGACACGCGAGTTCAACCCCAAACTGTCACTGTCGAGGATCTTGACGATTTCTGCATGGCGCTCCTGAGATTCGAAGATCTTAACAAGCAACAATAGCTCCTCGGCCGATTGAATAGCTCTGGGAGGGCTCAGCAATTCCTTCTGTTTGTACGATTTCAAACATCACCATAATGTCCTGACAGATATGTAACAACGCATAGGAAGGCTACCTGAATAGCAGGTGGCATAACGTAGAGGAAGACAATCGTAACATACCGGATCTTGGGGAACGCTCTCGGCCGCTTTGGAGATCATGCGATAGGCTAGGGTTCCAAAAAGTTTACGTTCAGCCTCCGAGGCACAAGCATCAACGGAGATCAGGTAGCAGAGGAAGATAGCCCAGAAATAGTACTTCCTGGTCTTGGGAAAGTTGCTCTGGAGAGACATAGCAGCCTAGATACCGACCCAGTAATCCCGATTAGCGTCACTGCTCTGCTGGCAAACGATACTGGGAGATAGCGCACCTTTTGCGCCGACTTCCAATCGTCACCTTCGAAAGCATACTCGAACCACCGCATCTGAATGTCCACGTCCTTGGGACTAGCCTTTGACGCCCTCTCCCAAAGGCTCCTCAAAGTCCCCTCATGGTCGCTAAGCTTCTCCAGTGTCTCGTGGAGGATGTCGAGAGTCTCCAGATCCGTTGTAGGAGGCTCGGCTTTACACAATTCGAGGGTCTCGGCGATCCCGCGGTTGCGATGGGTTTCGTCGGCATGCCGGTAAAGGACATACGCCTTCCATGCCTTTTTGTCACGAGTCACATCGATTAGCAAAGGAACAACCATATCGGAATGGAATCCATTCAACGCGGCCGAGGACGTCGCTCGGATCGAAGTGAACAATTTGACACAAATCGCTGACGCATTTGCTCACCTTGAGGAACGGTGTATCTTCGCCTTTCTTGATACGCTTCTCAATCAATTGCAGGGCTTGCTTCAGGTTTTGTCCGTCAATGGCATCCTGGATCTGCTTGTTCCGCCGATAGAAGACGGCGTCATTGGTAGAAGACATGGTGACAGGATCGGGGAATGACAGTGGTCGAAGAGTAGGGCAAGAAACTCGTCTCAACAAAGCCTACTGTGTAAGTATCAGTAGAGCGTATGCTGCGCGAACCAGCACAGCACACGGTGTGCGAAAGAGTGGATTTGCAACGAAAATGAGGGGAAATTGTTCGAGTTGCTCCATCCATCTTTATCGTCTTTCTGCTGATTTTGGTGGGCGGGGAAGCTCATTCGGAAGGCGGTGACGGCGGCATGTGGCCTGCCCCTGCCTTCTGTTAAGCGATGACGCAGACTTCCATAGCCTGAGAGCTATTAGAAGATCGGAAATGTGATACCACTCGATAATTCAGGTGAACTATACTCGATAGACAGAATACTTGGATTACAGGTCTATTGTACTGATAAAATGACTGGTTGGGTGGGGTTGAATTTTCGAACATCCATACTAGTACTGAAGCCCCGCAGAAGATATATAACTTATTTCAAGTAATCGGAAGATGGCACTGGCAAGTTCGCTGGCCATATTCCCTTCGCGAGTATTTTGCTTTGTACGGCGTGTGGCAAAGCATCATAATTGTGTTATTGTAAGCGACAAAATAGAAAGTCGCTCATTCCAGTAGTAAATAGATCAGATGCAAGTAGTACACATGAAGCCGGAGTCGAAGAGAGGAGATAGAAGACTAAAACATTTAAGTGAAGCGTAACGCCTGTCTGAAAAACCGGCCCACCGTGAAGGAGTCATTTTTCACCCCGGGCTTCCATTGTTCTTTGGCTTAATATCGAACAAGGAATGCCCCCATACGAATATGGTCGACAATCCCTGCTTGCCCCAAACAAAGCCAGCTTCTGGTACCATAGCATATCGTGCACCAGGACCTCGACAGTCTCGATACAATCTCGATACATAATGGCTTGCGGCACAGTCCGATGCTGGCTTTGGAGACTTCATGACATCGTGGAACAAAAAAGGGACAAGGGTTCATGGCAGCTCAAGGGGTAGGCTGCCGTTTCTTGCCTGCGTACTAGACTAGGAAGCCCTTTTCTTCTGCGTCAACTGTGTAGATAAGAGTCAGCAAGGACGTAAACGGCAGGAAATCCTTCCCAGCAATGTCCAAAGCCCCGGGAAGGGCATTCGGCAGGTGAGCTAAATTGGGGAGGTGGCCACTTGGATTTAGCAGGTATCACTCACCCATTGCTTTTTACAGTCACGATAAGCCCTGATGCGTCCGTCAGCACATGATCTACTAGCAGAAGATGACCACAAATGTGACAAAGGCCACCAGGTACAGAGTGCAACACTTGACTACCCGCGCTTTCGATAAGACTGCAGCAAGCGCATTACAATTTTCGAGTGTGTGGAGGATGATCAGATGAATTGCAAGGGCCTGAAGTACATACTGAAAGTAGTCATGACACATCTCCCTATCGAAAGCATTGCGTTTCATGCATTTCAGACTCCTATCCGCGAAGTCCTGGCATGGATCGAAGTATTCACTTGCAGATTTGCTATTGTCTAGTCAGTACTGAGAGCAACACCATAACATCCACACCGAGTTTCAGAGTTTCGAGTAGAACAGTGTAAGCAAGGTAGTGACCGATAACAACGGCCGGAGTTTGTTGCCCGTTCCCGTCTGGGATACAAACTACATAAATGGGGTCCGAGTTGCCAGGCAAACAAAACATTTAGAAACAGCCTGATACATGACATCGGAGAGAGGCATGCCGAGAAAAGAGCTTCAATCCATCCCAGAAATAGAGGGGAAAACCTACTTGGAGAATTTCCGCTCCACTCGCTCCCAAGAGTTGGATTGGACCGAGTCTGAGGGGGCTGGGGATGGCGTCGATGCGGCTTGCTGTTGCTGCTCTGAAGAGGAGGCCATTGTTGGCGTAGTGATTATTTGAAGGAACTCGATGAGAAAAGGCCAGTCAATAAGACACCTAAAGAGTGATGCAGTGCCGACAATGGCTATATGGTATGCTAAGTACCTGGCTGGTATCAGGTGGTAGTAGAGAGAGTATGCTATGCGGAGGACAAGTGAGTGATCAATCAATTGGCAGGCGGAAAATGCTGGACCCGCCGTTCTTGGCGTGGGGAAACCGTCAGGGGCCCCTACTAAATCTTAGTCATTCTTCCGAGGCCCTGATGGGCCGATGTACGGAGAAGCCTGGAGGTATTCAAACTATGTCAACTAAACTACTATACTACCCACAATGACTGATGATCAACCTCTTGCAACTCTTTCCAGCCTGATTGAGTCGCTGAAAGGAGCGCAGCATGTATTGGACTGATGCATATCTGCCGATGGATAAGCTCGTCAACCAAGGTGACAAACATCACAGGACAGGCACCTTTACCCCTCCTTAATCTAGCTATGATCATGTGCGCCTTTTGAGCCCTTCCTCCCGGTCAACTTGATGAGACAGGCTTGCTTGAGTTTGAGTCTGTATCACTTGTACCCTAACTTTGGCTTTTGCCCTCCTCCTAGTCGGGCTTGTCTAAGGAGCTCATTGGTGGTCAACCCTTGAAGAAAATGGCCTTAGATAAATGCTCACAGTCAGGGTTTGTCTCTCCGGGTCAGAGTCAACTGGATACGTATTCAAATGAAGAGAGTATGTTGTAAGAGAAAAGGATCCCATCCAGGCAGTCGTGTCATAGAGCCTGGAGGCTCGGATATCAAGTGGGGCTGGCCACCAGGCAGATTAACATCAAACGGTTTAATCGAGTCTAGGCGTGTCTTGCCGTATGGTGGGAGCGACAGCCGACGGGGGTTGGAATACGAGATATTCGAGGTTGAGAATATAATTCATGCAGGTTGGGTGAACAACGCAAGGGCGACAGAACGTTTGTCAGAGCTAGCGTAGGGGCAAGAGAGGGGTTTGTGTTATCGGAAGCAGCACGGTAGCCAGCCACTCCATGCATGCATCTGATCTGATAGCTTACCAGCCACGACATCTACTCCCAAATCGAGTCAAAAAGTCCTTCCACCAGCTAGTCTTGGCATAGAAGCTTCGGATTTTCTCCCTTCCATCCCCCACTGGCGACTGTCACCAGCTCCTATAGGTCCTTTGATGCCCGACCGATCGCAGTGATCGCTCATCAGAATTCGGGTCCAGGTTCCATAGCCGCAAGGAAAGCCTTGGTGTCAGGCCCACTTTGTGATGCAAGAGACTTGATGACCTTGGGGATGTCTGCATGGGCCTGGTCCGGACTTCCTAAAAGGTTAATGACCATGCTCTGTTGCGCTAGTGGCCTGGTCACAGAGCGCATAGAGAAATTATGAGTCGTTCAGTCTGGTTCTCAAGTTCCACATCCCGTTCCATGAGGAAAGAATTCGGCCCAATTGATGAGATACCTGCTTGCCGCAGAAAGATAGTATGGGTGGAGAATTCGCTTTTTGTGCCAAACCCAACATGGGAATAGTTTCCTTAGACTGAAATATTCTCGAAATCCTCCCTTGCAATCTCACATTGATCGAGCGACATAAGCGTAGCAAGCGTGTAATGGGTATTGCGACTGCAGATGATGAAAGACAATCACACGGCAATCTTACTTGGGATAGCATATTGGTGCCTCTGTATGGTGCGATGCATTCCGCTCGCAGGTGGTGCCTAGAAGCCATTTGTTTTGCACATACAGTATCGTCACAACCATCCAGCGAGCTCAGGATAGCCAGGTTGGGGTGTGCCACTTACTTCTGACATGAATATAAATAACGGCCTCTGAAGTCCATCCAGCCTACCTCAATCATCTTCTTCAAGAAGTGCAGCTTTGCATACCTCGCTGTTTTGACTCGACCATCCAGTTCTATCTCATATCTTGTCTGATCCAAACTTATACCCGACACATAAAAGTATGTCCTCGCTGCAGTTGTGTTTCAAGTGTGCAATAGCTGATACTGATTTGCGAAACTCGCATCTTAGAGCAATGGCGTCTGCGGAGACCTCTACCATGATACCAGCGCCAATTCTGGCAGGGCCTATCCAACCCAAAGAGACGGGAGTTAGCCAAGGACAGAAGTCAACTTCGATATCAGGAAAACCTGCCTTTGAACCTTCCAAGCATCTGGCTCACACCGCTCCTTCCAAAGTGTACAGCATGAAAGAGCTCGGCTATTCGGACAGTCGAGGTGTTTCCCCCGTGGGAGTCTCTGAGCCGTTCCCATTATTTTCTGCCGAAGCTATTCAGCAAATGCGGGCAGAGGTTCTGAGCGACGAAGTATTCATGAAGCACAAGTATTCCAGTGAGCTCGCCCAATGCCAACTGCGAGGATATGCGGCAGAGTGAGCACCCTAGTCATAATACTCAGAGCACTACTCACATAATTGCGTAGATGCGCACCGTTCATCTATGATGCTTGGAGAAACCCAGCCACGCTGGCTATAATTTCCAAGATCGCTGGTGTAGATCTCGTGCCTGCAATGGATTTCGAGATTGGCCACGTCAACATATCTGTTCACAGTGAAGAGGAGAAGAATGAAGCCATCAAGGCGGTCATGGAGAAGGCGACGCGGCAGGCAGATGAAGGCGTTGCAGGATGCCCTTGGGAGGATGAAGATCCGATCGTGGACTGGCATACGGACAGTTACCCCTTTGTCTGCGTGACCATGCTTTCCGATTGCACGAACATGATCGGCGGCGAGACAGCTCTGAGAAAGGGCAATGGCGAAGTAGTCAAGGTCCGAGGACCACAAATGGTAAGTCTGAAGTGCTTACTTTAAGTGTCAGGAGGCTAACAGATTATGCTAGGGATCTGCCGTCATTCTCCAGGGACGTTATATCGAGCATCAAGCGCTTCGTGCTCTGGGAACAACGGAGCGCATCTCTATGGTCACTTCTTTTCGTCCACGCGCTTCAGCCATCAAAGATGACACTGTGCTCACCACAGTCCGTCCAGTCTCCAAACTTGGTGACCTATACCACCAGTTTGCAGAGTATCGCTTTGAGATCCTGGAAGAGCGCCTGCGAGATGCCAACCGGTTCATGCGCGACCAGAAGAGAGCGACTAGGCCCTTTGATACCCGCCTTCTGAAGCAGTTCATCAGGGACCAGATCGCGTTCTTGGAGCACATGGACAAGGAGATTGTTGAGGATGATAAAGTCGTTAAAGGTGTTGTTGATGACAGCCACCTTGTTTCGGAAGAGCTCAAACTGCGGCGTTCTAAGAAACGAGGTTTTGCTGCAGTGGAATAGGTATGGACCGGACATCTACTTGGTTTCATTGATTTGTCAAAGCATTCTTGTAATTCTCCTTTTCGCGCAAGGGCCAATCTGCATTTTCTCACAGGGTGCTTTCGATGTATCAAGCGAAGGGTCGCGACTGGGCCAGATTTACTATTTCGAATTAGTTATTTCCAGATGCTGTGGGAGTTTCGTCGCGTTGGAAAATCGGGCGTTCTTTTCTCTTTACTTGGAGTAGGAAGCGTTTAGAGAGGTAGCACTGATATTCTTGTTTGATAGTCTTCATGTTCGTCAAATCCAGACTGAAGTGAGTTTTGCATGTGTTGTTCACACCAGGCGCCTCGTTATAGCGATGGTCTGGCTAGAGCTGCCGTGTCCAGGGTTGACCTAGCAATGGTTGCGAATGTAGTTTCTTGACATGCAGAACCAGCGCTCTTTGATTCTAAGCGCTACTTGAAATCAGCCAACCAGCCTGACTGCTTAGGCGACAAGTCGATACGCTTAACGTTCAGGCGAGTCGCCGGTCCCACTAATGTCGAGCTCATCTGAGGATATTGTAGCATAAAGCCGACGGTCTAACACCGCCCTCTGAGCTGGCGTAGCAGAACTGGCTGGATAGATGATTCGTAGTGGTCGAGCGGATGAAAGATGGAATTCATGTCCGACCTTCCAGAGTGCTCAAGCTAAGATGAGACCTTTAGTAAATGACCTCTATGCTTTTCGCCGAGTGAGATGTATTTTGACTGCTGTCCTGGAAGTAGAGAGAACGCTCAGGTCTTTGTATACCGCGAGGCATCTTGTCCATGGGGAGAGAAGAATTCCCGCGACGAGTTCCCCGTCACAGGAGAAAGTACGGAGTAGCTGGCGGCAAAATGATGCTAACGCCCGAGATTCAGCTGAATACTCCCAAGCAGAAAGCTGTCAGCGAGCCCGCGGCGATACGTTCAATTGTTGGATGCTTCACTTCATTGGGTTGTTGCAACTTCGAGTCCGCCCGTTCCATAGTTCGCGAAGGCTGTCATGAAAAGAGAGAGAAGGCGCGATGTTTGTTTAGTTTGCGTGCGGAACCCCCGACCGGGAGTGAATATGAACCGTTCCTCAGGCAGAAAATACTCCCCCAATCTGCCGGCCTCCCAATCATGCCGAGTTTTGCTTCTCTAAGGTTCTCTTCTCTCTCCTCTCTTCTCATTGTTCTCTTTTAAGAGCTGCATATCGCTCAGCTCAGAACCCTCTCACAACAACTGATCTGGTCCTGTCATCTCTTCAACTTGAATAGCTCAGTGGCGGTTTCTTCCTGCCATAGTTGGCTATCTGCCTCCCTCCTCCCAGTAATGTCGGCGATCTTCTCGCGTACCTGAAAGAGTCCATACTTGACCGTCACCCCTTCCTACACAAACTGGGCCTTCTTCCTCATAAATTCGACCTGTGAGAGCTTCGCGCACTTCGATCACTTTCTCAGACATCTTTCATTCGCGCATTTAACGGCTATACAAAGGCAAGGAAACGAAAAATGGCCCAAACTGCTGCCGCTGGTGCCGTCTCAGACAATGGTGCCGATAACACAAATGCGCCCGCGATAAACACCGGAGACAACGCGTCCGGGGTGAGCAACTCCCCAACACTTTTAATCTACTAGGATGTTAACATATATGTTTGTAGCTTTTTCAAACGTTACAAGGCCACGTTGACAGTATTCGGTCCCTCATACAATGCGGCGTTTGCATCCGGCCGCTGTACGAACCCTATACTTTGGCTTGCGGGCATACGTTCTGTTATAGTGTTGGTCGCCATCTTCCGTGAGCTACTTACTCGAACGACATCTGACATTGTGGTGCAGTGCCTAACGTCATGGTTTGTCGGTGGGCGACACAATAAAACATGCCCAGACTGTCGAGCTCCAGTGAAGGCGCAGCCTGCACCTGCTTACCTGGTGAGTCGCCTGAACTGAGGATTACTTATTGAGGGCGACATAGACACAAGCTAACATCTTGAAGGTCAGAGCGGTCGTGCATATGTTCACCACCCAACCTGAGTTACTCGACAAGGGTGAGACCACAAACGAGCACCAGCGCCACCAACGTGAGGAAGCAGAACGATTAGAGAAGGACAGACAGAATACCCATCCCAGGGAAGGGGGGCTGTTTCGAGGAACATTCAATAAAGCGAAAGCCAGTGCACCCATCATGGATTACGACGATGATGTACTGCGTTGTCCTAACTGTGCATGGGAGTTGGAGGAAGACGAGTGTTTACAGTGCGGTTATCAACGTTATGAAGAAGATGATCTCTCGGCAACAGGTACCTATTATAGCGACATCGAAGGGACGGACGACATGCTCATTATGGATGACATCGAGGACTTCGACGATTATGACGATGAGGATAATTATGGCTGGGATGAGCTATATGGAACACTCCAAAATCCTTTACCGGCAAATCTGCGCGATATAATCAACCGGCATGACCCCCATTATCGGGCATTGCAAGGAATTCGACCTGGCGGATGGCCTGCAGGCCCTTCCTCGGGAATCGATGACAGTGAAATGGATGATGAAGACGATGCGGATATGGATTCATTCATTGATGATGATGACCCAGAGCATCAGCATGGTGACTACTCCGAATCTGATCGGTCCACAGTCGTTGGGCATCACGAGTATTCAATAACGCGATCTGCGGCCCGTGATAGCGCCTCACTCGACGAGATGCTGGATGGAAGCGAAGATGGTAGTAGCGGAGAAGACGAGAATTCGGAAGATTTGGATAACTCGGAAGACTCGGAAGATGATGATGACGAGCCCATCAGGCCTGCTGTCAATGGTAGCCGGCGTAATCGACTACCGACATATCGCGTGCCCTCGAGCTCTCCCGAAACAGAGCGGTCAACGAGGGCGTCTCGTCCGACTAATGCAACCTCTAGAACGGCATCTGGAGACACTCGCCGTACCCAACATCCGCCCGCTAATTCAGACGGGAACGTGATATACATCACCTCCTCCTCTGACGATGAAGGCCCCGTGAGACCTATGAGGAGGAATAGAAGAGAACGAGGAAATTGCTAGCCCACCTCCGTGGGAATCGATACTATGGCTAGATGGCTTTAATTCTGAGTGCTGGCCGCGAACCAAACGTTAACGACTTCTTCCATGACTGTCACTGTCTACGCTATACCCAGAGCCGTGAACGCGCCACACAAGGCGCTTTTCTTCCTTCAGGGGTACTTCCCAGTGGCGAATGCTTCGAACTCCAAATACCCCCAAATTCTTTTTTGTAACGGCTGTCCTTATCTTTTTTTCACCTTTGATAGGCATGAGAACTCGGCGAAAATAGGATGACCATGGATTTTATTAGGGCATGTATTACCAAAAAATCTTAGGCTCTTGCTTTGCTATAGCTGGTCCGTTTCGAAGAATCACGTTTGCTTCTAATTCGATACTAGGGGCTAATCCTTGATGAGGATTGCACTCTATAACGCATTGCTTCTGCTGCAAGGAATGAGTCTGTATCGGCATGTTGCCACTTTCTTCTAGATCACTACTGAGATATCCTGTAACGCTGGCCTATATTTGGGTCTATATGGACTCAACGATGGTTTCGTGTCTATCTCTTTTCCCCATCGTTGAAAGATACATGAACCGAGCTTCTGGAGACTTCAATTAGGCATGTGTAATCGTGTCAACAAAACAAAATGTCTGATAATGCTCGCCCAAGGATAATACCCAGCATGCGCCCATCGTAGATAGGGATCTAGAATTCAGGGCTCTAGATGCCTCTCTCCCCATTCCCCAAGTCATACTGTAAATGAGTCCAATAAGCAAGCAATGCCAATCCCACTCTAGCATAGGCGCCGCCCTTAGCGCCGGCTTGAGGTCCCGCTAGTCGCAGTCGGCGATTTGCCGCTAACCCAATGATCGTATCGCACGCTGCTGGCCGGGGAACATGCCCACTCCCCCGCCTACTGTTTGCCTTGAACGCGAATCGAAGTACGAGTACAAGTATTTTGTCCATTCACGAACCTGATATATACACATTTCGGCAACGCCGCGGCACGTTGGGAGCAAAGAGAAAAGAAATGCGAAACAAGTCAAGAGCAAAGGAAATCTTCCGGATGCACAAGGTAAACTTTTCAAAACCAAGGGGAGAGAAAATGATATGCAAAGACCACGAGGCCCGGGAATAGAATACACATGGAAGAAAAGAATAGGATACACATACGCCGCCTCACAATGATTTCATTCGGGGTTGCCTTGTTTTTGTCTGTTTGTCTTGCTCAGTTGAGCTTATCGCCGATGAACGGGACTTCAAATACGACGGCGCCGTTGCGGCCGTCAGCCGAGGTGCCTTCGTGGAAGTTGTTGGCGAAACACTTCCAGCGTCCTAGGCGGTGCTCCTTGCCTACGGCTGCGACGATGCACAGGCCGCGAACTTCGGGTTCGGATTTCGACTTGGACTTGGACTCTGTTGGCACCTGGCCGGGTTTGGCGGTTTCTACACGGCGCTCAAAGACGGCGATGCCGTTGATGACGCCCTTGACGAGGGGTTCTTCGTCGTCGGAGGCGCTTGCAGTCAGCTGGGCCGGTGCGCCTTCAACATCCATGCGGTCTGAGCCCGTGGGCGTGTCGAATGCAAGCGTTTGTCTCAGTTGCTCGGAAGGTGTATCTGGTGCTAAAGGCGTTTTGGATGCGCCTCCTACAGCGCCCAAGGGAATAATCTTCCGCTTGTCGCTAGAGATCTTCCATGCGCGGATAAATCCATCCCAGCTACCGCTAAGCACGATGTCTGTGCCAGGGACTGTAGCCAGGGCAGTAATCCAGCGAGGCATGCGGCGGAGATGGCGGGAATTCGAGGCAGCAGTGGCTTGATCGACTTCTGCGGAAAGTTCATCCAAGGGTGGGAGGGGATCGAGGCCGTGGGCGAGAGGGATCGTATGCAGGGGCTTCTTCTTGTGAACGGACCAGAGTGAGATAGAGCCCGAGTCCGAGCCGGTGACGAAGTGGTTTGGGGGGAGAGGTGCCACGCAGTCAATGTTGTTTTCTTGGTATGAGGCGCTCTTAGACCCGCCGCGGAAAATCAGCTGGGATTCCTCAATGACCTTCCATAATCTAGCTGTGCGGTCGCGTGCTCCGACACTGATACACTGATCGATTGTCATGGCGGCAACACCAGAGACATGATCTTGGTGGCCGAAAAGCGTCTCAACGTAGGCGTGTCCAGCAGTACTCAGAGACCAGGTTTTGATGGTCCGATCATTTGAGCCAGTAAACAACTGTTCTCCGGAACTCATGGTGGAGATGTGGCGGGCAAAGGCAAGACTGCTGATAGAATCGCGGTGATGTGTGAAGGTTTTCAAAGGAGTCAAGGTTTCAGCATCCCAAACGATCAATTTATTGTCTTCTCCGCCAGTAGCCACAAACTTTCCGGACGGTGATACGGCAACAGACAGGATGCTTTTGTTGTGACCGTGCTCCTCGCCAGTTTCAGCAACCTTCCGCAAGCCCCGGACATACTTCACTTGCTTCGGCTTCTTTCGCTGTGGACGAGGACGGCGCTTGGAATCTCCATTTATCGAAGGCAAGGCGTTTGCGGAGGTAGGTGCGGCAAGCTCCCATTTGATCAAGGTCCGATCCTTCGACACAGTGTAGACGTAGGGTGCATGAGCTGCAATCGACGTAGTTGATTGTGTGTCTGCTCTGAAGAAGGAATGCGGCGCTTTCGAAAATGCTAGGTCCGATGCAATCTGGCGATAGATGCGTCCTTTGAACTCGTCCTGCCCCGGAGTGTCAGCCCTATCGAGCGCCTTGTAGACAAAATGGTAATACGTACCACATCCTCCTTCAATCTCTCTGCGATCAAATCGCGATCAATCTCAGCGGCATCGAAGCCAATATCGTCCACTTCGTCTCGGACATTTTCCAGGTAACGCTCCGCAAGCTTTAATCTTCGGTCGGCGGCGGTCTCTCCTTCGTCGGATTCCGATGCGCTGTCGTCTGATACGCCAGAGGCCACGCTGAGATTGTCCTCATCTAAGTCACTTCCCGAAATCGATTCTTCATCCTGATCCCTCCGTTTGCTGCCACTTCTTCCTGTTGCTTCTCCATTTCCATCAACGCCTCGTTTCTTGGACGCGGGGGCTGCGGCGCGATCGTCTCTCTTTCTTTTCCGCTGGGAAGCGGGCACTGTGAAGAAAGAAGACATTTCCCAGGGTAATTGGCTAAATCTCCAGCGACCGGGGGACGTAAAATCAGAGAGATCACACGTGAACAAATGAACATCGACACCCCGATCCGAACGGAGATACTCGCTTGCTCACTTTTTTTCTGCCGGTGGTCTGTGCAGGCGGAAAGCGCATCAATGTAACGCCTAAATGCTGACTGAGCAAGGCAGCTCCGGCCTCAGGCAGCCGGGCTCTCGTAGCCGCAGCTCCAGGCAGTCAAAGCTCCGCGCGGCCAGCGACGAGGTCCTAATCATCATCTTCCTCTCCCCACATCTATACATCCTCTTCTCTTTCATTTCCTTATTCCGCTACCTTTCCAAACAGAGAACGTCAAGATGTATGCTCTATCTCTCGCTCATTGAGAGATTCTCTGTCGGCTAACATGTACTTACAGGGAGGTACTACTCGGCATCACTGGCAAGGACTTCGTCATTCTGGCGGCCTCCAAAGCTACCATGCGAGGTCCCACCATTATCAAAGCCGAAGATGATAAGACAAAACAGCTGAACAAGCACAACCTGATCGCCTTCTCCGGTGAGGCGGGAGACACTGGTGAGTTTCCACGGGCTAGCTAGCAAGAGACCTTGAAGTCCGCCCATTCAACTAACAGTCCAATTCACTAGTGCAATTCGCCGAGTATATTCAAGCCAACATCCAGTTATACACCATGCGAAACGATACCGAGCTGGGTCCGAATGCAGTTGCCAGTTTTGTCCGAGGCGAGCTGGCACGGAGTTTGAGATCCCGGAATCCTTACACAGTCAACCTTCTGCTGGGCGGAATGGACCCCATCACTCAGAAGCCTCATCTATACTGGATAGACTACCTGGCTTCCGTGGCTTCTGTACCTTACGCGGCTCACGGCTATGCCCAGTAAGTTCACACAAAAAACCGGTCACCCATCGCCGAGACCCCGTGCTAAGATTCTCAGATACTACTGCTTATCCACTCTTGACAAACACCACCACCCCGACATCTCCCTCGATGAAGGTCTCAAGCTACTGGAAATGTGCACGGACGAGCTGAAGCGCAGGCTACCGATTGATTACAAGGGGGTATGTGACAGGACATTTTCTCCAATCGCGATTTGACTACGATTTACTGACAACCTCCAGGTCCTTGTCAAGGTGATAACCAAGGATGGTGTGCGCGAGTTGGACTTTGATAATAACAGGATCGTCAAGAGTGCCTAATGTGTTGTATCATACCAATGATTGTCTTATGTTTTCGGTTTACGGGACTTGGTTTTCTGAGAGGATCGGTTAGCATGGCAGGATATTTCCCATGACTTTGACCGGAACTTAGTCTTGCCCATGATTACGCCAAGGTAGAGATTAATAGCAATGACTATGCGAAATTAGAGCCTTCATCGCGTAATGTAACCAGCTCTCATCTGATTGTTGACGGTGCTACTCCACGGAGATCGATCGATGATGCTGTAATCCATCGCCGTATGACGCTGTTTGACATGTTTGCATCGACCGGTTCCTATCGCGTCTTCGCAGTTTCAATCCCGCAACGCCGCATGCTTCCTGTTTAATTTCCGCCATCCACTCAGTCATGATGTCGAAAAGGCAAGCGGAGCTGTCGCTAGATGAGGAGGGTCTCTCTGCGGGCTCTCCTGTCTCGAAAAAGGCGCGCGTGGAAGACGGTGACCTGCCTGAAGACGATCCGCGCGGTAAAGCTCTGCCGCTTCGTCACGCCAATGGGCAGGACATACTCGCAGCTGCAGAACAGGAAGGCGAGGAACTCGAGGAAGCGGCGCAGGATAACGGAGCTGGGACTTCTGATGTCGAGACCGATGACGACAGACCGGCCATCGCAGCCCCGAAACGCCAGAGTGCACCTTTGGAGGGATACAGCGACCTCTACCTCGACACCATCAATCGCGAAATCCTCGACTTCGACTTCGAGAAACAATGCTCCGTGAGCTTGTCCAATATCAATGTTTACGCCTGCCTCGTCTGTGGAAAGTACTTTCAGGGAAGAGGCCCCAAGTCGTATGCATACTTCCATGCGCTCGAGGTCGGACACCATGTCTTCATCAACATGGGAACCAAGAAGGTCTACGTTCTTCCTGAAGGATACGAAGTCAAGAACAAGAGCTTGGACGATATCAAATACGTTGTAGATCCGCACTACAACAAGGAAGATGTGGCCAAACTAGATAAAGAGGTTCATGATGCGTTCGACCTCGCAGGTAATCGTTACCGACCTGGTAAGAGCATCCCAGTCGCATCTCTCAATTGCGAAAATTATCAAACTGACAATGTACAGGATTCGTCGGCATGAACAACATCAAAGCCAACGACTACCTGAACGTCGTCGTCCAACTCCTTGGCCACGTCTTCCCCATCCGCAACTACTTCCTATTGCACGACTTCTCCCAACCAGGCACGCCCCAACTCGCCGTTCGATTCAGCACACTGGTGCGGAAACTATGGAATCACAAGGCCTTCCGGTCGCACGTATCACCGCACGAGCTCCTCCAGGAGATCGCCCTGCGGTCGTCGAAACGCTTCACACTCACTCAGCAATCCGACCCGGTGGAGTTCCTCTCCTGGTTCCTGAACAACCTCCACCTTTCCCTCGGCGGCTCCAAGAAGCCCTCCAAGACGCCCACAAGTGTCGTCCACGCCGCCTTCCAAGGCCACCTCAGAATCGAGAGCCAGGCCATCACGGCGCATTCCGATACCCAAAACGCACGCCTGGTCTTCACGGAGTCCGGCACCATCAACAGCCAAACCACCCCCTACCTCATCCTCACCCTCGATCTGCCCCCGACGCCCCTCTTCCAATCCTCCAACCGGGAATCCATCATTCCCCAGGTGCCGCTCACCACCCTCCTGAACAAGTACAACGGCATCACCGCCTCCGAAAAGCTGGCCCAGCGAGTCCGCCACCGGCTCATGCACCCATTACCCCCCTACCTCCTCTTCCACATCAAACGCTTTAGCAAGAACCGGTTCGTGTCCGAGCGCAACCCCACCATCGTCACCTTCCCCTCGCCCCGCTCCCTGGACATGTCGCCGTATGTCGAACCCAACCCCGACGTCTGGCCGCACAGCGAACCGATCCTGTACGATCTCGTCGCCAACATCATCCTTGACCCGACTGTCGCCGCACCAGGTGCCCACGAAGAAGCCGCGGCAGATAAAGGCGTTAACGCCGCGGGAGGTGGCAGCAGCGGTGGTGGTGGTAGCGGCGGCGGATCGTCGTCCTCCTCCAGTGGTGCGGGCGGGGGCAGCGAGAAGGTCTCCTGGCTCGTCCAACTGCATGACAAGGCCATGGCTGCGGAGAATAGCCGCATCCAGAAAGAGCATGCTGGGGAGCAGCGTGGGCCAGAATGGTTGGAGATCCAGGATCTGTTTGTCAAGAAGGCAGAAAGTGAGACCCTGTTCACCAAGGAGGGATATCTCATGGTCTGGGAGCGCCGTAAGGTTCCTGGGAAGGCGAACCGCAAGGGTAAAGCTGCGGCCAAGTAATCGTAGAAAAGGCCTTTTTGGGTTTGGCTAGCTATGCGTGCTTGTATTTCAGGTCTCTGGGTTCGCACGTATGCTAATCAAATTACTGTATAATTAAATTCTTATGATCACGATGAAGGGTAGTAGCCCACTCTCACTATTCTTTACATAAGTGTCCTTCAGACTAGCCTTGCCAAAACCCCTTCCGTAGGTCCGAAAAAGCTACCAAACAGACTGTACCAAATTGGTGAGTGATATGCGGGCTCGCTCATGCATAGATACTGCATATATACTAGGTACAGGAGATAGAAAGCCGTATCCGAGCATAAGAGCCAGAATGCTTGGTATTCAGGGAAAGCTTTGCAGACTGTAGTAGGTGTGTTCATAATGATCCCCATCCACAGAACTTCCTTCCAATTCTGATTGCAGCACCGGAGATGATACCCCATACGCTGGCATTTACGGCTGTTTGCACTCCCATCATCAACGCAACTTTACCAAAATACGCAAGGGTATTGGAAAGTGAGCTGCCATTTCCCCAGAGCCCCATGCTGTGAACATCTGACCGGAGAGCAGCTGGTGCGCCTGTGGCTGACAAATAAGAAGAAGCAAGTGAGCGAAGATAGAGAGACTCGAGGGGAATGAACATCACGGTCGTGATTATAGAAGCTAGATGGGAGGCTAGGGAATCGATCGGATGGGACGATAGTATGGTGACACGATGGGCCGTAGGGTGAGGGTCGGCTGATGAAGTTTGTGGTGCTCTGTCATCAGAGGCGTGCGGAGGTGTTCCAGAGCTGTTGTTGTTGGTAGACGCTTGGGCTGCTTCCGAGATTCGCTGATGCGTAGCCGTCTGGTTCGGCAACCCCGTGCTATTCGGTAAAGCATTTCGAGGATTCGATGTGGGAATTCCAACAGGGCGCGGTTCTGTTCCCGGACCTTGTGTTTGAGAATTCGGCAGTGCAGAAACCGCACCAGTTTCTGCAGATCCTGGAGATATACCTCGGGTTAAATTAGAAAGTCCGTCGCTGTCTACGGCTTCTGAATTGACAATTGTGGCTAAATTCGAGCCTTGGTTGGCCAGCAGATCGTCAAGCATGTTTGAGATTGCCTGGTCATCAACTAGCTCTCCATTCGAGGGCGGCTGCCCAAGTTCGCCATTGACTCGCGGTTCCTCTGCGCCAGGGTTTTGCCTATGTCGGTTTCCTAGAACCTCTAGCTGCATCGTGATCACATCGGAGTTTTGATGTATTAGTGAAGCACGCACGAGAGGCGAAGCCGGGGAAGAGGTAGCGGGTGATGAAGGCCGGGAAAAAAGCGTGTTCGACCGCGAGATCCTTTGAGTCTCAGTAGCATTATCGCCTCCTTGCACAAGCCGACCGTTCTGTCCATCTTCGGTGGGTATGGCCATCGCCCGTCGCAATGGCGCCATGTCCGCGTAATCACCGCTGCTCATTTCTGTCGGAGACTGAGACATTCTATTCTCCTCATTTGGAAGTACTTGACTCTCGCTGAAGATGACACCTGTGCCTAGAGTGCCGCCGGTACCTGAACGACCATCAGATTGAGGAGCGCTAAGCCGCTGCGATTGTTCTGACGGAGGATGAATTCCCAGCTCATGTCCTCCCTGCGGTCCGACAAGCGTTTGACGCTCCTCCTGTGACTGTTCAATGCCTGGTGCGCCTGTCCCCATTTGTGCTATCTCACGGTGGGCTTCTGGCGTCTGTTCTGAGCTTGGTGCTGCCTGCTGTGTCTTAAAACCAAACCAGGACAGGATCCACGACCGAAAGAAGTCGACTTCGTAGGTCAAGTCTTCCATGAAGGAAAGGCTACTGCGACGGTTTTCTTCATCAGCTCGACGACCAAGAGCTGGCATCATCCAGTCAACAAGATCATTATCATATGCCACTTTAACCGAGAGATCGTCTGCGTAAATGGGCTTCGGTAATCTTCGACGAATCAGGCGATAGAGTCTGATCTCGACGACTGGGCGCAGATACACGTAGACATAAACAAGAAGCGAGGGTGTTCTTAGGACATTTGCAAGAAACCCAGCCAAAGAACCACACGAGTAATCACTCGGTAGCATAGGAAGCTGCATCAAAGCATGCTCCCCAAAAGGTAGAAGAGGCTTTAGCCCTAGTAAAGAGTAAGGGTGAACGAGGTGAAGCGACTGCAACAAGGAGTACATGTAAGTCTGTATAGCTAGAACAAGTAGACTTCCTCGGGTTCTGCATTTACTGTTAGCTAGTGGAAGAGAATAACTTTATCGATAAGCTCACGCTGATTGTAAGATGTTCAGAGAAGCCCGTACGAGCCTCGACAGCACATTATCATTCGGGAACAGATTCTGACAGGTTGCAATTAAGCGATCCAAGGGATGATGTCGAAGAAAAGATAAACATGTTGAGACTGCCCAAGCTGGGATGCCGGCAAAGTAGAAGCCCATAATCCCATGATTATTGCGCTCTAGATGTATTATGCTGAGCAACGGGACATGCGTGTAACTTCTGAAAGTCTAGTGAAATGGTTAGTACAAATCCTTCCATACCATCCATCATCCGCAGATTCAGGAAAATTTACCAGGATCCGGCCCATTAGTGATGAAGTCCACCATGAACCAAGAAAGACTGAGATCTGGTCTAGAGTAGCCATGACCAAGCCATAGTCATTCTCGGCCGCGATTATGTCCATCTTTTGTTGTTCCGTGGGGCCACCTATGTTACCCTCTTCATTGACGACAATTCCCATTGTGGAAAGGATGTCATTTTTAGCTCTTCTGAGCTCTCTGCCAAAGGACTTAGACTCTAGATTAATGGGATGGCCCCTCTCATCATAATTCTGGACATAGTCATCCGCATGCAGAGCCGATACCCGCCTCTGAGAAGCAGGTTCATGATTTGCCGCAGAGCCTGAGGGACGATCAGGAGCCTCATAAGGTGATCGCCCCTATTGAAAGGTTAACGGATTGTTATCAGACAACGACTTTAAAATGATCACAATGAGGTGAGAGAGCGCCCAAGTGTAAAGTTCATAGTTCAGAAAGACATTCGAGGGTCAGATCAAGCTTATGCTTGTGATTGCACATGAACCCATCGCGACTACTTCAAATCAAAAACATGATTGCGATCGTTGAAGCTCCCGCGGTGAGAGATGTATGTATCAAAGACTGCTCTTTTCGGGGAATCGTATATTGATGTATAGTATATGGATATGGAAGTGGAACGTGGAAGGTGGAGCATACCAAAGCCAGTCGATTCAAATACGCTCGGCGCCCCATCGCGTGAGCACCTTAGTCGTGTTCACTCAGAAATACTGGGAAACCATCCCGTCGCCGAAAGAATGAAGTCAAATGTATGTTTTAATCAGAATGATGGATGGTTGGATGGTCTGGACTCTGGGACGATATGGTCGATGGCGGAAGATGACTATTCTCCCCAAAAAGGAAGGCGACATGCACGTGGGCGGCTGGAGCGGCTCCGGCGCTTATATCACGGGCTAGCGGGGATCGGGCCCGGAGACAAACAAGGCAAACATCTCGAAAAAAGATCAGAAGTTTCGTTGCGACGGCGAGTTGAACAGCGTTCAGCAACCGCATATTTTCTTGTTTACGTGGATCCTTTTGGATCTAGAATGGCGCGATAGACTCTCGGACTCCCATCGCAGAATACTTCCGCAGATCATGTCTAAAGCCGTGGTGAAGACGACCTTCGAGGCGTCTCGCACACTTCGTCCTATCTACACCGGAGGAAGCACTGCGCTCGATGCCAGTGGCCGTTTTCTGGTGACATGCATCAGTGAAGATGCTCTTGTGGTGGACTTGGAGACTGGCGATCAGGTCGCCAGTCTTGAAGGAGTGAGTACACAGAAGTCTTGATTTCGTGGCAAGTGGCTTACACGGACATATTTAGGATGGCAAAATTATCACAAGCTTAGCCAGTATGCATTCTTCCGCTTCTGATCATTGTTTCATGGTCCAGTATGCCTAACTATCCTTAGTTTCTCCGTCGGCCTCTCATGTCGTTCTCTGCTCTCGGTCAATGTCTATGCGAATCTACTCTCTTTCCCCTCTTGACGAGTCCACGCGTACGATCGACGCAAAACTAGCCAGAAGTCTCAAGCCTCACACGGCACCCGTCGTGACGACTGCAATCGACCCCACGGGCACTCTACTGGCGACTGGTGCTGCGGATGGCTCGATCAAGGTCTGGGACATTCGAGGCGGTTATATCACACATACCTTCCATGGCCATGGAGGTGTCATCTCAGCCCTGTGCTTCTTTCAGGCGCCCGACGTTACGAACAAATCGTCCTCAAGTAAGAGGAAGAACAAGAACCAAACGCACGACTCCGATGAAGACGAGAATCCGGAAAGCTCAACCGGTGTATTCCGGCTCGCATCCGGAGACGAGGAGGGCAAGGTCTGCGTGTGGGATTTGAACAAGAGAAAGCCCATCGCGTCGCTCGAGTCTCATGTATCGGTTGTGCGCAGCCTCTCATATTCGCCCTCGGAGAATGCCTTGCTTTCGGCCAGTCGCGATAAGACTGTCATCGTGTGGGACATGCGGACATTCAAAACACGGAGGGTCATTCCGGTTCTCGAAAGTGTGGAGGCTTCCTGCTTTGTCGCCGACAGTGGTTTGTGTTTGGCTGCGGGCGAAAATGGTCGCTTGCGCGTGTGGGACTGCAATCGTGGAGGAGAGGTCACTGCGGATCAAGAGCCTGCTTCTGAATATGAGGCCGTCGTGGCGATTCAATACTCTCCTGGCATGCCATTTGCACTGACAGTGCATGCCGATCAGACCATCCGGTTCTATTCTTTGGAGCCCTTGTCCAGCTATACGCCAGGGACTAAACTGGATCCTTTGCCGATCATTCGCCGCATCTCGGGCAACGACGATGATATCATCGATCTCGCATATGTCGGTCCTGACCGTTCAATGCTGGCTCTGGCCACAAATACCGAAAGTATCAGGATTGTGTCGGTAGGACCATCCGAAGACCGGCCATCTGCAGATGGTGAAGGATACTTTGGTGCCGATATCACACACCTTGAGGGCCATGACGACATCATCATTTGCATTGATGTGGATTGGTCTGGCCATTGGCTGGTCACTGGCGCAAAGGACAACACCGCACGTCTCTGGCGTCTCGACCCCAAGTCTTCGTCCTATACTTGCTTTGCAATCTTCACCGGTCACGCCGAGTCGTTGGGCGCTATTAGCTTCCCCCGAGTCCCGCCCCCGGCCAACACCCCTGCTTATAACGACCCTTCGAACCACCCTCCTGCTTTCTTACTCACGGGCTCCCAAGATCGGACCATCAAGCGTTGGGATATTGGAAAATTGCCACCGCTGAGCTCGTCCAAACCCCACCACCCCAAGGCTGTCTACACTCGGAAAGCTCACGAGAAAGATATCAATGCTCTGGACGTCAACCCTTCGTCGACATTATTCGCATCCGCCTCTCAGGATCGTACTGTCAAGATCTGGTCCATCGAGGATGGTTCCACGGTGGGTGTTCTGCGCGGACACAAGCGAGGTGTCTGGTCGGCACGTTTTGCCCCTCGAGGCACGCCTATCTTAAACTCTGACAGTGGAACGAGCACCAACAGAGGTCTGATTGCCACGGGATCTGGTGACAAGACCATCAAGATTTGGAGTCTGGCAGATTACAGCTGTCTTCTCACCTTCGAGGGCCACACGAACAGTGTGCTTAAGGTAATCTGGCTTCCACCTTCGGATCTGTCCCACCAAGAAGAGGATGAGGAAGAAGACTCCGCGCTGGGACAGAACACAGCCGCACAGATGCGGCCTTTGGTGGCATCTGCGGCCGCTGATGGCCTGGTCAAGATCTGGTCTCCGTACTCAGGCGAGCTTGAGACTACTCTCGATAACCACGAGGATCGTGTGTGGGCATTGGCAAGCCCGACGCCATCTGGATCTCGTGAAGACGTTGCATCTCCCGCCACATTCAAGACCTCGTCTCCCTATGGTCTTGTCTCTGGCTCCGCTGACTCCACAGTCACTTTCTGGACCGACACCACTTCTGCCACTTACACGGCTGCAGTGAATGCCAATTCGGCGCGTGTTGAACAGGATCAGCAGCTCCAGAACTATATCCGGGCCGGTGCTTATCGCGAAGCCATCACACTTGCGCTTCAGTTGAACCACCCCGGCCGACTCCTCTCCCTCTTCACTTCCGCCATCGATGCTGCTGATGACCCGTACTCCACCGAGGCAAAGAATACCGACAACGAGAACAGCCTCACGGGCAATGCCTCCATCGACGAGGTTCTCCAAACCCTCGACCCCGATAACCTCCGCACCCTTCTTCTCCGCGTCCGTGACTGGAACACCAACGCACGCACATCCAGAGTGGCCCAACGGATCCTGTTCGCCCTCTTCCGGTCCTATCCGGCCTCGACGTTTGTCGAGCTTGCAACATCCGGCAAGGCCAAGCGACGCGGCACTGATCGCTCTAGTGCAGGTCTGAAAGATATCCTGCAGGCTCTGGCTGCCTACACGGACCGCCACTACCGACGAATCGAGGAACTCTCCGACGAGAGCTATCTCGTGGAGTGGGTTCTCGCGGAGATGGATGGTGGTGTGGGCTTGGGCGGATTGGGCGCCGCGAGCACATACGACTTCTTTACCGATTCTCTGGAGGACAGTGCTCCTGAACCCGAGAAGGATGTGGTCATGCTGGGGTCGTGAAGACGAGGACAACAACGGATCCTAAGACAGGATCCCGGCTATGAATGAGAATATGTATAGATAGACCAAAATAATCTGCTTTGGAAGTATATTGTGATACACTGGCGCTATGAGCGGAGTCCTGCTGCCTTGCTCAATGATTCTTCTGGGGAGGATATCCGGCATGTAAAAGTTATGTTCCTTTGGGTGATAATGCGACATCTTTTTGAAGAACGAAGGAGGCTTTTGTTGGCTGTACTATAGATGTGTATTGTTCGTATGCATATTCTATAGCGTCTTACCGATCGTCATATCTCCGTCTCCGGTGCGAGTCGCGATCACTGTCTCGGTCTCGGTCTCGGTCACGATCGCGATCGCGATGTCTGCTCGAGGTGTTCGACGAGGAGTGCCTCGAACTGTAGCGATCATCGTCGCGAGACCGGTGGCTCCTGTCGCGGTCTCTATCCCTGTCCCTGCTGTCTCTGTCCCTCTCACGATCTCGACGCGAGTCACGGTCTCTGTCTCTATCGCGGTAGTAACGATCATCACGACTATCGCTGCCCTCCTCCTCATACCTGCGCCGTCTCGACTGCTGATCGCTAGACGACCGACTGCGATCCCTCCTCGAAGAGCCATTCTTGCGTCTCTCATAGCGATCACCGTCCCGGTCCTCATAGTCCCTCGGTCGGGAATCGCGATCACGGTCCCTGGGACGATAATCTCGATCACGCCCGCTCCTCTCGAGATTGCGATCGCGCCTAGCCTTCCAATTGTCGTCGTCGTCGCCGCGCTTCTTCGCCTCCTTCTTCAGCGTCGACAATTCCTCCTCGGTGATGAACTCGCCCGTCTTCGTATTGCGCATCATGACCGGCATATAGACGCCTTCAGTATTGGTCTCCCCCTCCTGCCCAGCAGCCGCCTTCCTCGACCCCTTGCGCATCGCCGCCTTACCCCACGCTCCCAACTCCGCCTCCGCCCCTTTGCCCCCCGAAACATCCTTAGCCCCAATACCCAGAAACCCAGGTCTCCGCTCCGGAACCCGCGCCTTATTCCCCTGGGCAGCAGCACCAGCCGCACCGCCATACTTCCCTTTCCCAACCGCCTGCCCTTCCTTCCAGCCCATACCCCGGAGCAACGCCGCACCAAACTCCTCCACAGGAATAGCATTATACTGATCCAACGTCGCCGACTCAGGCCTAGAGGCCATATCCGCGCGAAACGAGCCCGTCTCATCATACCTCATAGACTCATCAGCAGTAGCAGGAACCGCAGCCTCGATGACCAAATCCGAACGACCCCCCTCGGCAGTCTCCCCTTTACTCTCCCTGATGAGCGCCTGCAACGCAATCTCATCCTGCGTCATAGGCTTCCTCTCTTCCTGTTTCTCACCCACCTCAACATCCTCCATCCCCGTATCCCTATTCCCATCCCCACCCTGATCCACATCTTGCTTAGCAAAACTCAACCCATAAGCCATACTCGGTCCCTCAGTCTCGACGATAACGCCCGTGCCGCCATCACCGCGCCTCTGCGCCTCCTGGATAGCCTGTACCTCCTTAGGCAGCAGGTTCTTTGTGCCGCGCGGCCGACGACCGGGCCGATCGCGCCAGTTGTTGTTGCTCGCGACGGGGATTACGAGCGGCTGCTTGGCGGCTTCGTCGGCGGCGGAGACGGCTGAGCCTGTGGCTGTGTCGAAGCCGGTGACTTCTTCGTGGGCGGGGGCGCGGCTGCGCTCGTCGTCGGAGTCGGAGTCATCATGGAGGCGCTGGTGGGGGCGGCGACCGCGCGCTAGGGGGAGGGTGCGAGTTGTGGAGGAGGGGTCGGTGGGCTTGGTGGGTTTGAGATTGAAAGTGGTGGTTGGTTTCTTGGGAGGGTCGCCGTCGCTGCCGCTGTTCGGAGTGTTTCCTCCTTTGCCCAGGGAGAGGGAGAAGGGTTTGGTGGTTGTAGGACCGGCGCCTCTGCTGCCTTCGCTTTGTGATGGTGTCGGTGGTGGTGGTGGATCGGAGGAGGACATCCTGCTCTTGATTCTTCTTTTGTTGGTCACGGAAGCTAGGAATGAGGTAAAAAGTATGTTGTGCTCATGAGTTTTGGATTGGATGACTGCGTAATTGTTCAGTCCGTTTGAGATGATATAATGTTCTTGGGCAAAACAGAGCTTCTCTGCGCCCTCTCCCGATCTCGAATTCTTGTTTGTTGGCAGTGCAGGTTGCGGTGTTATTGTGTAGGCTGGACTCGAGTCTTGGAAAGCTCACTTGCGTAATATAATATGCAGGGCAAGGGCGGTGGCAAAATAGGAGACTCAGAGCTAAACGCGCGCTTAGATGCCCTGGTCGATCAACAGCTTCTGAAGGACCCGAATATTCTACAGCGATCTATGAAGGCAAGGTTGCTTTACTTCTAATCCTGAAACATTTTGAGCAGTAATCGTACAGTCATAGTTCATTAATTCTTTTTACCTCGTCCATTCCAATTGGGCTTCCAAGTTGTATAACCGGCATCCTTTGGTATCCGTCCGTCCTATCAATACATGTAGTACAAAAGCGCAGAGAAACTCGAATGATGCAATAAAGCTCCCGGAACAAGGTTGGGAGATATCAGTATCCGGAACCCGATGGCAGAGCCGAGCATCAACGGCGTATAAAGTGTATAAAGATAAAAGATAACGGGGGTAATGCAAACGTGGGTAAGGAAAGGGTAAAGGTGCAGGTTAGGTCGGAAAGTGAGGTTTGAGAAGGTGGAGGGGTTTTGGTATTTGAAGTCAAAGACAGGGAAGCCAGGAACCTGGTTCCTTGCCAGGCATGACCCAACCAGTGAACGGGAAGGTGGAATAAAAAATAGTAAGGCGGGAGAATGAATATGTACAGTGGAAGAGTAAGAGAGACGTGGTATCAGATGTCGATGAAGGAGCTTGTTGTGTTCGGAAGAATTCAGCTAGTCGCTGTTTGTGCTTGAGGAGGGTTAGGACTCTTGTTCGTCGTGCCGGGCACAGGTCCAGCCTGGACGCTCCCGCTGCGCTGGGTTTGTGGGGTCACACTCCGGCTTGCTTGAGGAACTGCACCATTCATGGATGGAGAGCTTCCTACGGCAACTCGGTTCTGCTGCGCTGGCTGAGGAACACGCATCATGGGCGAAAAGCCTTGAGCCTGGGGTACTTGCATTCCCGGGCCCCCACTCATCCCAGCCTGAGGCGACTGGAAATTGGCATCGTGAGAGACCTGGTAGTTAGCCTGAACACTGCCAATATTTCCAGCTGCGGCATTCATGGCAACCTGCGACATGCGCTGCTGCTGGTACTGGTGCAGGCGATCCGTAGCCAATTTGTTGACTTGTTCAGGAGGCAAGTTGGGGTTGCTTCGTTGGATCTGGCTTTGTAGAGTGCTGATTGTAGGAACGATGCTGCCGGCAAGCAGATTAGGCTGACCCATGCGAGGGGAGGGCGTCGAGACGCCCTGTGGAGTGGTATTGTGAAAGTTTGGGCTTCGCATTCCACCTCCTGCCTGCAGAGCAGTCATCATGGCTGGATTATTTGGGGTGCCGTTGACATTAGGCATGTTGAGGTTCGGAGAATGAGAGCCCTGTGGGACGAACTGCTGTTGACTATGAAATTGTTGCTGAGGCTGCTGGGGTTGGGGTTGCTGTTGATGAGGATGCGGTGGCGGCTGTTGTCTAGACTGGAGCATCCGCTGTTGCTCTTGAAGTCGATTGGCTTCCCGAATGACCCGGGCATTATCTGGAGGGGTCTGCATTGGCATTCCAGGACGGGCAGCAGCATTATGTTGCATTCCAGGCTGCTGTTGCATCATCTTCACCGCAATTGGGTTAGGCGGCATGGCTCCATTAACAGGTGTGCCACCAGGTATACCCTGTATATGAGGTCGGGCTTGGTTGGGAACAACACCGGGAGGCATCCCATTAGGCATAGCATTCGGCATCCCATTAGTAATTCCATTTGGCGTGTTGGCGGCCATAGCAGGTGCTCCAGTATGTGGCATACCGTTAGGGGTACGCCCATTAGCATTCATCATCTGCTGCTGGTTAGGCGCTTGGCCTGCACGTTGAGCAGCCAGATTTGCCTAGCGATGAATTGTTAGCGACCTATAGTACGATGATAGTCCATTGTGGGGAGGGCCTTACTCTCTGCTGGGCGATCATCTGTTGTCGGTATTGTTCCTGTCTCTCCTGGAGCTTCATTTCACGCTCATATTTGAGTCGACTAAACTCGGCAGGCGATGAGATTGGAGGCTTTGGCTGGTTGGCCTCGTTGACCTTGCGCAATGAGGCTAGATGGGATGCTTTGGGTGGTGGGGTTAGTCAAACACCCAGGCACACTCTTTCATAAATTACTCACCATGTTGTTGCTTCTGGAGCATGGTCTCCCGCTTCTTTGCGAGCTTGCGCATAGCATCGAGCAACGCCAGATGTTTCGAAGATCTTCTCCGATCCACCCGAACAGGCTGTGTAGTTCTCCTCCGCACTGGGGGCAATGACTGCGGATTATTGTTACTATTATTGCCTTGCTGCTGCTGTTGTTGCTGCTGTTGCTGTTGCTGTTGCTGCTGCTGCTGTTGTTGTTGCTGTTGCTGCTGCTGCTGTTGTTGTTGAGCAGCTTGCTGTTGCGCCATCACGGTGCGCTGTGCTGATTCAAGTCTTTGGTGGTAGGCCCGAAAATATTGAGTTTTAGACATATCAGCAGGCAATCCTTCTAGGCCTATCCAACGCTCGAAGCACTCCCAAGGTGTTCGCCTTTCCGCTCCGGAGGTGAATTGAGAAGATGGCGTGAGGCAATTAGAAATTAGCGACCAGTTGTAGGAATACTCTTTCACAAGGCGACGGAGCTCATCGTCCTCGGCATAGGTCCACTGAGAGGATTGCCTTGACTCGAAAAAACCGACGGACGGCATAGGATGCTCGGTTGGGGGTCTGAAGGAATGTCCGGGGTGAATTCTGTCGCGGATGTGTCTGTTCTCTAAGCGAAAGAGCGCAACATTTGTCTGCTCCGGAGGAAGTTCCACTGCGCCGTGATCCAAATCAGATCGGTATTGGGTATAATCGTAGCGACTACGCTTTCGAGCAGGTTCGTCTTCGTGAAACGTAACCTTACCAGAAGCGTACTTCGACACGGGGAGAATCTCGGTTTTCCACACCGTATCAGGAGGCTCTTTAAAGATTGGCAAATCCACTTCAGGGGCAATAGTGATTGGAGAATATATGGGCAGCTCATCCAGGAGCTTCTGAGCCGCAGGTGTCATGTCCAACGAGAACGTGAACTCATCTGTACCTAGGGAAAAGATGGCTGCTGGAGCAACAGTGTCGCCCAGAAGAAGACGGGGCTCATCACCGCAGGCTTCGCTTGCAGAATCTTCTTCGGTAGAAGGAACCAGATCTGGCGTTGGTTGAGAGACAATCAGCATCTCATCGCCCGCCTCTTCGGGCGGTGATATTAAGCTGGGCTTGACCTCGACTTCCGCGGCTTTGTTTACGGGTGGAATCTTAGCCTGTATGCGAAGCACTGAACGGTGCTCAGCGTCACTATTGACATACTCCGCACACCAGTCTGCACAACTCTTCGCTGCAGCAATTTTCCATTTTCTTTCCTCTCGGAAATCCGTACGCAACCACTTCACGTGGTTCAGAAGTATGTCCCAATGAGTCCCTTCTCGCGGAGGTTCCACCGAACGCTTTAACTGACGCAAGGGCCACCTGTTCGCATTCTGGAGAGAATAGATCCGACGCAATGTGCGACAGTCCATCTGTTCTTGGTAGTCAAGCAGGTGGTTTGAGGTCGTCAGAGTCTTATGGGCTGAGGCGATTAGTGTGCTGAGACTTGTCCCACGGGGAGGAGTGTACGCGCGACTTTGGAACAAGGTAAACAGGTAGTCCTGCTCCTCATTGAGCTTGCCAAGGTCGCCAGCGTGTTGCCGGATGATCTCCATCGAATCACTCTTCTCCTGAGACTGTTGCTGCTGCTGTTGCCTGGGAAAGACCACCGTGGACAACTTGGTCCGCTCTTTCTCCCGCGCCTTACGATCCTTGAATCGCATCCTCGCCGTGGAGTCAGGCGTTGCTTCAGCTCCCACCCGTGGCGCCTCTGTAGACTTTTCAACTGAACTTTGCCTATCGGACTGAGGGGATGGCTTTGGCGACTCTCCAAGGATCTCAGATACAGATTTGTGTCGTATGGCTCCAGATGACACTCTTGTCGTCATTCTTTCAATGGTCGGTGTTGCATTCGCAGGCGGTGATGGCTTCTTTGCTGGAATCGTTTCTCTAGAAACCTTGACACCTCCTTCAGTTTGAGTCGACGGTTGAACTGAGGGCTGATGCTCGGCAGGAGATTCGACCACGCCACGTAATGTCTTCGGCTCTGCTGGAACTGTTGCAGGCGATATACGAGCATCTGTTGATGGCTGTTTGTTGGTGGCAGGAGTTGGAATGGTAGTTTCTTCGATGACCTCGCTCGTCGCATTACCACTAGCTGAACTACCGCCCGAAGGTTTACTTGCAGCAAGGGTCTGTTTGAGCGACTGCGCCTCCTCTAGGCGCAGTTGTTCATCAGGCGTGGATGGAACCAATGTGGTAAGTGAAGTCGCAACCTCTTCATCCTTGGGACTTGCAAGTCTAGCAGCAGCGTCGTTGACCTCCTCGGCGGGGCTCGTTGCTGGAGATACGGTAACCGGTAGAGGCGTATTGTTTGAATATAGGCCGGCTGATGATACGGGCGAAAGCGGTTGCTCGTGGACTTTAGTTGGGTGCCCCAGATCGAGCGATGGGCGTGCATCATGCTTTTGCTGGGCTGGCAGCACAGTAGATGTTGTTGGAGGTGGTACTGCACAGGGCTGCTCTCGGCCTGGCCTGGCCCCGGTCGCCGCCAATGCCGAATCCTGATCACTGACATGCTTTCCTGGCGTCGCAGGATGTGCTGCCTGATCTGTTATTGGGGAAGGAGCAGCCGGCGCAAGCTTTCGGGGCTGGACAGATCCGTCAGGGCTCTGAAGGCCAGTGGAGAAGGCATCAGGCGCAACCTGAGCAGCAGCAGGCGGTTCAGGTGCGGGTTGCTGGAGCTTCTGATTCGAGAGTTGTTGCGGTCTTGAATGTTGCTCCTCGGTGGTTGGCTTAACGTGCGTGGCAGCCTTCTCTGCTGTCCGCGGCGGATTGGTGATTGTAGCAGTAGCATCGTGAGCTCGCGCAGCAGGTACTACTGGCGGTGGTGGTGCGGGTGCTGCAGTTGCCGTAGGCCTTTTGCCTTCTCGTGATAGTATTGCTGCATAGTCGGGTAATGGTGGAAGCGTAGCTTCGTTGAAGTATCGCCCTCTGAGTATGGTCAGTGAATAGGTCCTGCCAGGAACATGTCTAGTTCATGACTGCATTGAATGAACAGGGTGGGTTTAATGAATAAAAGCAATTACGGAGGCATGGCATAAGATTGAATATACAATTGAGTGGCAGTAGCATGGGGTAAAAATTGACTTACTTGGTGAGGTCGTTAGCATCGAGAAACGCCTGTTCCTTGTGATGGTATAGCGAGTCCGCCGGAGCGTTCCCGGTCGCGCCCGCGAAGCCTACGGTCGCAAAGTAGAGCTCGCTCAGTTTGCGCTTCCGCGACGACAAACAACGTCTAAACAATTCCAAGTAAGCGATAAATTCCAGTCGCTAGGCCAGTAGGAATAAAATGAATCGCTCGAAAGCGATAAAAGAGGGTGATATATCAAGTACGTACGCGATCTCATCTTTCTTAGACCGGAGAAGCTCGTCACGGAGCATGGAGTCTATTTCGGGGAACACAGCATCCGATTAACGCGCTAAAATTAATGGAAACCAATTGAGCGAAGTCATCCAGATGGAAAAAATCGCTCAGAAAGGATGAAAAGGGTGGTTGTAGTGAGGGGAGATGATGCCAAAGATACGACGCGAAGATTTCACCGCGGAAGGGATTTTTGGGGTTCGGGGGGAGGGTGTATGGTGGGAGAGTGAACGTTAGTGGTAGTGGTGGTGGTGAGGACTTCTGGGCAGGGTACGGTACGGGGGGGGGGGGGGAGGGGAGAGAGAGAATTGAGGGAGTTCTGGTATGTATGGGAGGGAGGAACCTCTTGGTTGGCAAGTGATAATAGGGAGGAAGGGAGTGAAGAGAGGGAGACAAGCAGACAACTTAGACACTTACTGTGACTGACTGGGAAAGTCACTGCCGGGAACAGCAGGAAACCCAATCAAGGCACCAGATACAGCCGGGCAGATACACGTATCATACACTGTAACTCTGGGTGACGACGGAATGGGCTGTGTGGTGCGTGGTAATTTCCTTGAAAATCGTGGCCATTTCACTTCCCTCCGGGTATCGATAAGACTATGCCTAAGCCGGACTAGTACTTTCGGTCATCGTTTACTATGTGCAGGCTGCCAGACTTAGTTCCAGTTTGCTACTACTTATCTTCTACATGATCGTTGTAATCCAAGATATTATCATCATTCAAAGAAAAGCCATCAGGGCACCTTGGTCATACTATTTTGGTCATATCATCTCTTCGATGTTGCCGGGGTGAAGCTAACAGCATGATACCACCCTAAGGACAAGACTATCCATATATAGGTCCAAGATCAATGATTCATGCCAAAACATATATTTAAAGACAAAGCTACACTGGACTGGGCTCATCAAGACGTGGAAAGGGCCAAGAATCCAGAAGTAGCTTTATCTTCGTTTCACTTGTCTGGATGATAATGTATCTCCATAGGAGATACTTCCTACGGTAGCTTCTCGAGTCACCGTACCCTATATAACCCGAAAACAATCCTCCAGATCGGTCTTGTGTATGGACAGCGCTCGATCAGTGCCGTGTTTCCCTGGCCTATACTTCTTCCTAGTAAGTTTTGAGGAGCTTGTATCTATATGGCTTCTATGTATGCCTTCAATCACTAGCACAGCATTTCTGTATGGTGGTAAGGGCTGAGCTGAATGTCGAAAAGTTTCGTCGATGGCACCGAGGGCAATTGAGTAGTCTGCCTAACACAGCTCTTGACATATCTACTCCGTATCATGGCTGGAAACTCAATTATCCCGGCCTGGTGCTTCGCCCAAACAAAACAGCCTGGATTGCTGTGTGCATTATCGAAAGGCCTTGTAGTGGACGTGTGTAGGAGATGCAATGAGTCAATTGGGCTCATTTCCTACTAAGCTCTTATAAGGCACGTGGTTTAGGATGATCCGCGCATCGTAGAGGTCATTGCCCAACGAGAGTGGACTATAACCGTGGCTGGATCAGAAGTATAGAGAGGGAAGGTGGAAATCTTCACCCCTTCACTGGGTACCAGGCAACTATCGCAGTCTGGATCTCACTAGCAATGAGATCTACTGACCTTACCTTCTGCCTGATTGTCGGTGTTTGGGGAAGCATAAAACTGCTCTTCAATAGGTAGGCACATGTCAAGTCCCAATAAGCGCTGTGATTGAAAAGTTGATAGTGTGCTCGGTTGATCCACAAGCTCTCAGTGACGGATGATTTATCTCATTTAGTGGGCAGATTACTTGCACAGCGGCCCCAAGAATCAGCGGGTGTTCAAAGGTATCCTATAAGTAAGGAATGAACATCGACCGCTGGCGAGAGTCCTTAGAATAGTCACCGCGGAACCCGTCACATATTGTTGCTGCTGCTGTGAGGTTCGTTAGCGATAATGTTTTTACTGACCAGCAGTTACTCACAAGCTGTGAACAGTGAATTTAAGTCGCTAATAATTCCAACCACAAAGTCCTCAATGAATTCCAAGCTGACGACATGTATAGCTCGATTCAGAACAGTTTCTCAAGTATTTTGATTTGTCTTTGCATCAGTGCCCATTAGTATTAGACTGTTTCTTGGAAAGACAACGTAAGATCACCATTTTGTAGAAGATCACTTCCCGAGCCCTACCTCCAGCTCTGACTTGTGTTTGATGTCCACAGGTCTCTGAATACACTCCGGCCTGTCTTTAGGCAGGCTTTCAAGACTTGTACTTGCCCTTCGGTGAGGTTTATGGCAAAGCTGTTATCCGTGTCAAGAGGTTCGCCCTCGGCAGAAGTTATACTTGTAATCTCCTTAAGCTGCAAGCCTCTAAGTGGCTTATTAAGTCTAGTGAAGTCTTGCTTTCGCGTAACTTAATAGCATGCTACTGCTCTACTGGTAGATGCCTTTCTTGAGTGACCAATTGCACGGTACTTGCCAACAGCTCAAAGATGTTCAATGTGAGTTGAGGTGTATCACCTTCATGCTGAAAATAGCCAGGCTGGTGGAACGGAGGAACTGTCTATCTAAACTCTCCCCTAGAATTCGATGATTCTTGTAAATGAGGGTTGGCGCTCCACGATCAGTCCGGTGAGCCAGCCAACTACTGCACCTTAGAGCGGCAACGCAATGGGCAAGAGGCCGCTAAGAAACTAAAAAGGCTAGTGGCCGGTGGTTACCTCCGCTTCTGAGCAACAGCACCCGGGCAACTAACTCACCGCCCAACTCTCCGGTGATAACGCCTGGCAGAAAAAAAAGTTGCCCGCTTCCTGATCGCTCTCAGATAGTCCATCCAAAACATCAATCTTCTCACCTCTACCTCAAACATCAGACATCAACCATCATGGCCAAGCGCAAGAGAGAAGATACGGTCAAAGACCGACAGGTCTCGAAGCAACCGACTAAGGCCGTCAAATCCACCCCCAGTCAAGAAAGTCCTGCGGCCACCGCCACCGACTTTCCCGCAATCACTTTGCAGGTGGTGACCGGCTCATACGAACGGGTGCTGCATGGCTTCACTGCCGCTGTTTCCCCTGAAGCTTTTGCAAACTCCACCGATGCCGCCACTGAAACAGCTGGGAACTCCGATCTAGTCCAATTTGTGGACAACTTCCTTTTTGAGGCTCATACTTCTGCAATCCGATGCCTCGCACTCTCCCCGTTGCCCAAGGCAGACTCGAATGAAGCTCCTCAAGTGATCCTGGCCAGCGGTGCCACTGATGAGCGCGTCAACCTCTACTCACTGTCAGCCGCCCCAGTGGCGGTCAATGAAGACTACCCTACTGTGCCGACCCTGGCGGGCAACAAGATTCTCGAAAATCCCAAGAACCGTGAACTGGGATCATTGATGCATCACTCTGCCCCCATCTCAGCTCTCAGCTTTCCCTCGCGCTCAAAGATCTTGGTTGCAGCCGAGGACAACACTATCTCCGTCACCAAGACTCGTGATTTTACCGTCGTCTCGACCATCAAGGCTCCCCACCCTAAAGTCCAGGGCCGACCAAGCGGTGACACAGCTCCTCCCGGCGGCTCCCCATCTGGAATCAACGATTTCGCCGTGCACCCAAGTATGAAACTTATGCTAAGCGTTGGAAAGGGAGAGAAATGCATGAGACTGTGGAACTTGGTAACTGGAAAGAAAGCTGGTGTTTTGAGCTTCAACCGGGAGATTTTACAGAGCGTTAAGGAAGGAAAGTGGAGCACAGGCGAAGGAAGGAGGATCGTCTGGAACTCCAAGGGTGACGAATTTGCTGTCGCATTTGAATGGGGTGCTGTTGTCTTCGGCATTGTAAGTATAGACCTACGGCTCTTGTTACGATGGCGGCATCTTCTGACTGACCCTGACAGGACTCGACACCCATCTGCAGAGTATTCCCTAACCCTCGCAGTAAGCTTCACCAGATGACATACGTCAGCTCGAATTCCTCATCTGCGGACGAAAGCGATGAACTGCTTGCTGTCTCGACCGAGGACGGCAGAGTCATCTTCTATTCCACCAAACAAGTCGAGGATGCGCCGGAGGGAGATGAGTCTCCAATCCCCTTTGCTAAGGTTGTTGCCCAGCTCGGTGGCAGGGCACACGGTTTTCCCGGTAGAGTTAAGGACTTCGAGGTGCTCAGTTTGAAGGACCAGCCAGGGCCCAACAAGGACGACTACTTGGTCGTGACCGCCAACAGCGAGGGGTTAATCCGCGTATGGCTGTTGCGTGGCGCTGAGCTGGTAGGAAAGAAGAAGGCGGCAAAGAAGTCCTCCAACTCTAAGGATGAGAAGGCATCCGAAATTACCCAGGTTGGCCGGCTCTTGAACACCTACGCCACCGGAAATCGGGTCACTTGCCTGAAAGCATTCGTGATGTTGGCGGCCGAGGACTCGGACGACCTCCTCGACTCGGACGACGAAGATCTCGAGGATGAAGAAGTTAGCGAGGAGGAATCTAATAGCGAAGCAAGCGATGATGAGTAGAGTCGTCCTTGATGTATGTTGACCTATATACCCAACCATTGTTGTTAGGCAAAAAGCAGTGTGGATTAGTAGATTGGGGTTGTAAGCTTATGATGCTCATGCTCATGTCTCTTCTGTGTTTGTGTGGTACTGTGTTTCCGCTTATGATATCACTTATCATCAATACTATGCTTTCTGTCTTTCTATTGTGGGTTGTCTCTTTGCATTCATTCTGTTGCCCAATGCGATTGTTGTACCAAGCACGGTGAGTCAAACAATCGATAGCCCGGCGGCCAACTGGTCAACTGAATCCTGCCGCCGGCCACCGCCCACTCGCTCTCCACTGCACAAACCCGAACCCCACTGGCTCAAACCGTATCATATCGCCTCTCCGAGCCCAAGCAGCAATTTTCATCCGACCAGACGACCCTCGATATTCGCCCCTCCTACCCACCCCCTCTTCAACCCACCCTTTCCTACCTAACCCGGTTGTCGTCTCCTGGTTAAATCCGCAATCATGGCTACCAACGGCGATTACACAGACGATGAATCCCAGCCTGGATCCCCCATGCTCGATGCGAATGGTCACGATGACATCGAAGATCAGGAGCCCCTCGACCTCGAGGAGAAGCCCTTGAAGTCTGCGATGAAGAACTCTGGAGTGCCCTCTCTTCCCCAGCCCAAGCGGCCAGAGCTGCCCGAGCAGCCCAACCCAGAGACCCTCGACCTGTCCACACTCACTCCCCTGACGCCCGAAATCATTGCGCGCCAGGCCACGATCAACATCGGTACCATCGGTCACGTCGCTCACGGAAAGTCGACAGTCGTCAAGGCTATCTCCGAGGTCCAGACTGTCCGTTTCAAGAACGAGTTGGAGCGCAACATTACCATCAAGCTGGGTTATGCCAACGCCAAGATCTACAAGTGCGACAACCCCGAGTGTCCCAGACCGACCTGCTTCAAGAGTTTCAAGAGTGAGAAGGAAGTCGACCCGCCCTGCGAGAGAGATGGATGCTCCGGTCGCTACAGGCTATTGAGACATGTTTCGTATGTTCCTCTCACCCTGTCTATCGGGGCCAATGACCCCCTCCGCTAACAGGTAACCTTTTTCATAGGTTCGTTGACTGCCCTGGTCACGATATTCTCATGAGTACCATGTTGTCAGGTGCCGCCGTCATGGACGCCGCCCTTCTTCTGATCGCCGGAAACGAAACTTGCCCTCAGCCCCAGACTTCGGAGCACTTGGCAGCTATCGAGATCATGAAGCTCAGCCACATCATCATTCTGCAAAACAAGGTGGACCTGATGAGAGAAGATGGCGCCCTGCAACACTACCAGTCGATCCTGAAGTTCATCCGCGGTACCGTTGCCGATGGCTCGCCCATTATCCCTATCTCCGCTCAGCTGAAATACAACATCGACGCCGTCAACGAGCACCTGGTTTCGCACATCCCGGTTCCCGTCCGTGATTTCACCGCTTCCCCTCACATGATTGTCATTCGATCCTTCGATGTGAACAAGCCCGGTGCTGAGATTGAGGAGCTGAAGGGTGGTGTTGCTGGTGGTTCCATCCTGACTGGTGTGTTGAAGTTGAATGACGAAATCGAGATCCGTCCTGGTCTCGTCACCAAGGACGAGAACGGCAAGATCCAGTGCCGTCCTATCTTCTCCCGGGTCATGTCCCTCTTCGCTGAGCACAACGACCTCAAGTTTGCTGTGCCCGGTGGTTTGATCGGTGTCGGTACTCGCGTCGACCCCACCTTGTGCCGTGCTGATCGTCTCGTCGGTTTCGTTCTGGGTCACCGTGGACGTCTTCCTGCCATCTACACCGAGTTGGAGGTCAACTACTTCCTGCTCCGCCGCCTGTTGGGTGTCAAGACCGCCGACGGCAAGCAGGCCAAGGTCGCCAAGTTGACCAAGAACGAGGTTCTCATGGTTAACATTGGTTCCACGGCCACTGGTGCCAAGGTTGTTGGTGTCAAGGCTGATGCCGCCAAGCTCAGCTTGACCAGCCCTGCCTGTACCGAAATCGGCGAGAAGATCGCCATCAGCCGCAGAATCGAGAAGCACTGGCGTTTGATTGGATGGGCCAACATTGTTGCGTAAGTTTACCACTGCTGTTTTGCGTCCCTCTAGTGTGGGATAAATGTGGCTAACTCTGTCTCAGCGGTAACACTCTCGAGCCTGTTCTGAACTAGAGCAAGCTATTGGTAGCTTGAAGAGTCTCAACTTGGTCCAACCGGGAGATGGTTGATCGAGACGTTGTAGTCTAGCTGACAACTGGCCTTGATGGATTGAGTCTACTCTGGAATAGAAGGGTTTACGGTAATGAAAGCGCGTGTCGGGTTGATTCCCTGAATAGAGAACGCAGTAAGTCCAATCTTCGCCTATCTGACCTGCCGGGAAAGTACAGGGGGATCTTCATCTCCCGCTGGCCCATCCAGAGGTTTGCAGGGACCAAGAGACCATGCATGCAGCAGGATGGATAGGCAGACTGGAGGTTGAAGTAGCATGGCTGGAGTTGGTGTGCGAAGGCTACTTCTTTTGACGTGTGTTATGACGCTATTCTGTGGAAAACTTTTGCTTCATCTCTTTTTTTCTGTTCATTCTTGTTGTTCGGTCCAAAAAACATGGCCTCTTTGTAGATGCTGTATAGGGGAATGATGAATGCAACGAAACAAAAGTCAAAAGAATTTTGCTTATTAATGATGATACTGTGCATATTCTTATGATAATCCTGGGTAGAATAAAGTATATGGTGGCCTGCTTCCATAGTTACAAAAGATGTGCCTGCTCGTTTGATGATCTGAGGAGTTGACTTCCGAGCATTCATTGTTCTTATTGACAACCTGTCTTGTTGTTTGGCCCCCAGTAACACAGCCGCGGTCAACTCAGGCTGCAAGGCAACAAGACGGCCCCCAAGCTCCGTGTACTCTCCGCTTCCCCCCTCCGCGGTGTTCTTCTTTCTTCATCACCTCTCACTCCGAGGAATCAACCCACTTCGCAGAGCAGATTCTATCTCAGATTCTTGCTGTGCTGAGGACTCCGCCATGTATATCCTCGAGGTAAACTCCCCTGTTCAAAGGCAGAAACCTCTGTCTTTCCTCTTCATGAATAGAAGGAAGCTCGAGCTAACGCGGCTTACCGTGTCCGGTATAGCAATTGGCGCGTCTGCTCGACCGCCCATTCATCCCATGGAAAAATGTTCTCGTCGGGTTCTCTCTGGGACAGTTCATTCTAGAGGGACTCCTGTCTTTCCGTCAGTACAAGGTTTTGCAGCGGACGAAGCCACCCCAGGTTTTGGAGGGCGAGGTGTCGCAGAAGGTTTATGATCAGAGTCAGGTATTTGTCCAAACTGCCTACATCATCTCGACAGTCCACTAACAGGCTCCATCTCATATGGTAGGCTTATGGTCGCGCCAAAGCCAAGTTCGGTTTCTTTGCAGGTCTTTACGGTCAAGTCCAGAATCTCGCGTTCATCTACGGCGATGTTCTCCCCAAGCTTTGGGGGGTCAGCGGTCTCTTGTTGGCACGGCATCTTCCAGCTCGGTTCCAGGGTGAAATCGCGCAGACGCTTTTGTTTCTTTTCGGTTTCAACTTGATCAGTACGGTTCTGTCTCTCCCGGTCTCCTACTACAACACGTTCGTTCTTGAAGAGAAGTTCGGCTTCAACAAGCAGACTGTCAAGCTCTGGGTCACGGACATGCTCAAGGGCCAGATGCTTGGTATCGTGCTGGGAACTCCGATCATCAGTGCGGTTCTCAAAATCATCCAGAAGACTGGCAACTCGTTCTTCTACTATCTCTGGCTTTTTGGTATCTTCATTCAGATCTTCGCTATCACTATCTACCCCATCGTGATTCTGCCCTTGTTCAACAAACTGTCGCCTTTGGAGCCGGGTGCAATCAAGACCGGCGTTGAGAACCTCGCCAAGAAGCTCGAGTTCCCCCTCAAGGAGCTGCATGTCATTGACGGCAGCAAGCGGAGTGCCCACAGCAACGCCTATTTCTACGGACTTCCCTGGAAGAAGCATATCGTGATTTACGATACTCTGATTGAGAAGAGCGAGCCTGAGGAGGTGGTCGCAGTTCTCAGTCATGAACTTGGTCACTGGAGCCTGAGCCACACTACCAAGCTGTTCGGTATTGCCCAGGTGTGTTTCCACTCGCCGTACGTATCTCATGGGGTAAGCTGACGTCAAGATAATAGTTCCACATGTTTTATATCTTTGCGCTCTTCTCTGCTTTCGTGAACAACAAGTCCCTGTACCAGTCGTTTGGTTTCCACAGCCAGCAGCCCATCATGATCGGATTCCTCTTGTTCTCTGACGCCCTTGCTCCCATGGATGCTGTCGTCAAGCTGCTTATGAATATCCTCAGCCGCAAGTTTGAATTCGAGGCTGGTACGTGTTTATCTCCCGCGTTTCCCACCTTGGTTATACTCACTAATAAATCACAGACGCTTTCGCTGTTGGACTCGGATACTCCGCGGAGCTGGCGCAGTCTCTTCTCAAGCTCCAAATCCAGAACCTTAGCACCATGGATGCTGACTGGATGTACGCAAGCTACCACTACTCTCACCCGATTCTTTCGGAACGTCTCAAGGCACTTGGCTGGAAGGGCGGAAAGGTCACCGATCTCAAGGAGGAGGACAGCGAGAAGCCGGTCAAGGCCGCGGATCGCGAGCTGTGAGACCTTTCTTTTTTTTTCCCCTCATCTTGAAACTTTTTGGCGAAGCTCAACCTCTTGTTCTCCATCCATGGATCTCGGCGGCCGTCGAGTAATTTGGTTGATATGAAATATGACATTTCGATGGAATGGTATAAGGAATTCGGTGGATATTCAACAAATGGGATAATAAAACAAACCAATAACAACCTCCAAAAGTTTTCGCCCTTGATGCGCCCAATGCAGTATGCACGTCTAATCTTGCAACCCCCAAATCAATAAAAAGTAAATCCCAGAGAAAAAGCTGATGCAAGCCATCGCCAACCGTATCAACAACCGAACTTTTAGGTGCATAACATTTGTTCCGATCTTCAAGCGTCGGTGTCAGCCTTAGCCTTGGCCCGTTTCTCAGCCAACCTGCGCTCCTTCTTCCTGCGCTTCCTCTCCTCCTTGTCAATGCCTCCAGCAGCGGCGTCGTCACCCTGATCTTGCTCCATATTGACATCCGCATCCATGGGATCCTGAGCATCCTCCACAGCTTCGCCTTCCTGCTGGAACTTCTGCGCATCTTCCCAGTCCTGACCCTGCGCCGCATCGGGGGTCTGCTGCGCATCACCGTCCTCCCCGGCCATGAGCTTCGCCAGGGTCAAGTCCCGCCCCAGCACCTCACCCGCCAGACCCGCCTGCACGCGCTTCAGATTGTGCAACATCAGGTTGGGGGCGGCCGCCGTGGTGCGCGACAAAGGACCATGCTCGCTGATTCCGGCATTGGGTTGCAGCGCAGGGTCTGTAGCGGCGCGGTCGAGGTAGGCGGCGAGGAAGTCGTGCGCGGCCGACTGGGAGATGGGTCTCGAGGAGATGATGGTCGTGGGGGGCAGAGCCGAAGGTCCTTGCGTGGCCATTGTGATAAGAGGTTTCTGTGTTTCGTTTTCGATTCGAGTTGTTCGGTGGGGGGTGGTATCCGAGTAGATGTATGTGGTGTTTGTTCGGGGGCGCGTGTAAAGTCGGCAATGCGGGATCGACTGAGTTCGTGCAGATTGACTTGGGGGTTATGGCACCGTGGTAGATCGGTCCAGATAGTGCACCACCGATTGAACTTTAGGTAAAGAGAGGGAGAGAGTGTGTGGACCAAGTCAGAGAATCTGGAGGAATGGAGAATGCGGCATACAAACCGCGGGCGGGCAGAAAAAAAGTTGGTGTAAAGTCGGAGGTGGTCCGTGCGTCGCCGTTCAATTTTCGTCCGCCGTCACTCACTCTCACTCTGTCTCTGTCTCTTGTCTTTGAACTTCACCTCCTCGAAATCCCCCGTCGGTGACCCGGTTGCTTGCTCGATAGCCGCCTCTCCTGGTCCCAACTCAACCCAGCACAATGCTTTGCTTCCAGTGCCGGGCCGTGCCCGCCAGTCTCCGGTCGTCCATGACCGCGGCCACCAGGTACGTGGATGATGCAGCGATGCCCTTCCAATTCGACTACCAGCCAGCCAGCTAGCCAGCCAGTCCATATCCGCCAATATCATCAACCTCCCCACCACCCCTCCCCTCTACCCCGGGCGCTCGCAACCTCAATCTAGCTGGAGAGCAAGAGAATCACCAACACAACAGCATCACTACCTTGCAAGAAACCCAGACACGCCCAAATCGCTAACCACCCACCATCGCAGACTCCCCATCTCCGCACCCACCTCCGCCGCCCGCGCATCAACAACAACCACGCCCATCCGCACGCTCATCACCACCACTTCCGCCTTCTCGCCTCTTCGCGCACAACTCCGCAACCCCCAACGACCCCAATCCTCCACTATCTTCCCCTCGATCTCCGCCCCCCTTCTCCCCTCCACCACATTCCCCTGCACAACCGCCCTGCAACAATCCCGATCCTTCTCCGCCAGCGCCTCCCTGCTCGGAAAGCGCGCCACCTATAATCCCTCGCGGCGCGTGCAGAAGCGGCGTCATGGATTCCTGTCCCGGGTTAAGACCAGGGGTGGTCGGAAGATCATCCAGCGGAGACGTGCCAGGGGCCGGAAGAATCTGAGCTGGTAGATTGATTTTGTGCGGACGGCTTAGATGTTTGATGGGGTGGGGGTTGATTTCTACTGTCGTGTTTGGCTGTTCTGGTTCTGTTGTGCTTGCGTATCTTATTCTTACACTGAGAGGGGTAACTTGTTTGGATTCTTTGGTTCTTGTTGTGGATGGGGTATGTGGGATTGGTGGGACTCTCATCCGGGGATTATTGATCGGTTTCCATGACGGGAAGGATATCGTTCGGTGATCTGCTGTTACCTACTAGGTCTGTCCTGTGGGGGGAAAGAGTGGTGCGGTAGACTCGATGGGGTTTCGTTTGTTCTGATGGCTGTATTTTACCACCTTTATATTACCTGTTTGTACGATATACATACATCTTTATCTGCATGTGCGAATTTCTTTTTTTCTTGGGAGTTTCAATGCATATGTTGCATGCGAGTTATTCTTTTGGCCCTGCGTTTACAATCCGAGATGGATATTCAGATGATAGTAGGTGGGGAGTTCTTTGGGATTCATCCTCGAATTGATCCTACGGTGACACCAGCTCCAGTTTCTAGATCGCCATTTATTTATGTGTATATATTGGCATTAATGCTTTACACCGGGCGAACTACCAGAATCGACTCGCATGGCTAGCATGATCGCTTTCTAACTTGTCATTAATTCGCGGCGCGTCGTCTAAAGCGCAAATCTCTTCCCCCCCCCCCCCTGTGCTCTACCTTCTGGTTTCATAAGACATATCGAAACATATCAGGAGAAAAGAAGACCTTCACTCGTCTTCCTCGTCGGAGTCATCGTCGGAGTCCTCCTCGTCTTCGGATCCGGTTTCTGAGTCGTCCTCGTCCTCCTCGTCCTCGTCATCCGACTCCTCCTCGTCATCGTTGTCGTTACCGGTCTTCAGACCGTAGTCGTCTTCGAACTCCTTAAGAGCTTGCACCTTGGGCGTGAAGCCGGAGGCTTGTAGGCCTTCCTTGATTGTCTGGATCGATGGGTTAGTTAAGGTTATATTGTGGGCCTAAGAAAGGGAGATTAGGTTGGGGCAACGTACCTCCTCCATCACCGTGGCGCAGGTGATGACGATGTTGGCCGTCGTCGGGTTGAACAGGGGCAAGATGATCTGGCGCAGAGCACCCTTGACTTCCTCCACGCTGATGGCGCGCACCCGCTTGAGCATGTTTTCCTTGTAGTCGCTGGGCAGGCGGCGGACGACCTGACGGATGAAGCTGTCCGATGCGGCGTTGGCGATCGTGGCCTGTTCGTTGGCGAAGCTGACCACGATGCTGCTGATCGCCCCCTCCATCATCAGCGGGTCGAACGCGATGGCCCCAGAAAGGTGGTCTTCGACGATCTGCTTGCTCGAATCGAAGGCCTTGTGGGCGTTGGGCGAACGGTACACATCGAAATTGACGAATCCGGTGTCGATGTTGTAGGCGAAGTTGGTACCGTACGCCAGACCCTTGCCGCGGACGGCGACCCAGAGAGGACCCTCCACGGCGTTCATGTACGCAATCGCGACCAGCAAGGCAGGCAGGTTCGGGTCGTCGTAAGAGTCCAAGCCTCGCGCCGTGGCGTACGCAAAGGAAGAATCGATCGTCGGCATGGGCACCACGTACGACTTGCCGCCGAGGTGCTGGCCAGCCTCGCTGAGCAACGGCCTTCTGGCGGTGATGGGTCGAAGAGGAGCAACAGCTCCCAGCCGCTCAGCATACGGCTTCCAGGCCGACACGGGGTTCTGGAGTTTCTCGAGGTCGGCGATAACCACAACCCGCATGTTCTCGAACCGGAAGAGGCTCTTGCGGATCTCCTCCATGCGCGCAACGACGGATTCCGGCTCGTCAGCCAATTGCTTCTTGATCCGCTTCAGATAGCGGGCCTTGACCAAAGTGCTGCGAGCGCGTACAATGGACTCGGCCGCATAGTGGACCATGACATGCACAGCTGCCAGCATGTCGTCGCCGCTTCGCTTGGAGTCAGGAACATCGGAGAGGAGGCGGCTGGTGATTGCGCGCAGTCTCTCAACATCGAAGATCGAGTTCCAAGAAAGCTCCTGAAGCCATGCGACTGCGGTGCTATACTTCTCCAGCTCCACCTGGAAAGAGATACGCAGCATCTCCGAGGTTCCCAAGCTCCTGGCTCCTTCCATAGAGTAACCAACTGTATCTCTCTCCAACTCAACAACGACCTGTTCGAAGTCGATGGTCTTTCCATCACGCTGGATCGGCAGGTTGAAGAACGCTTCGGTGTACACGGAAAGAAGGGGCCGGAGCTGCACCGGAACAGCTGCCGCTGAGATCAGAAGGGAGAGCTGAACGAAGCTGCTTGGGATGTGCTCAAAGTGTATGAACAATGGCAGATCAGAACCATCAGCATCCACCAAGTTTTGAGGCTTGTTTTCCGGACGTCCCAGTTTCAGGGCCGTACCCGAACGGGCAGTTGTCGTTTCGACGAAATGGATAGATTCAACGCCAGGGATCTGGAAGTTCTCCAGCATCTCCTTAGGAATCTCTTTGTCATTCTCAGCCTTTGCTTTCTCGAGCTTGTCCGCAAGCTTTTTCAAGCCCTCCTCGCCCAGCCGCTTCTTCTGCTCGGCGACGCGGGCTTCTTCCTCCTTTTTGAGGGTCTCGGACATCTTCAAGGACGGAACACCCAAGATTGTAACATGGTTGGCATCGGAAATCCACCTCTTGATGAAGCTGCGCCATTCTCCTTCGCTCCACTTCTCCAATACGTCGTATTCCTTCAAGGTCGATACGTCGAGCATGGTGGACCCGTCCCGTTTCCCAAAGAGGAAGTCAGAGATGACATACTCAGCGAAAGAGGAAGCTGACGTTTCCGTCGAGAACTTCCAGGTACGTCGTTGTCGGTCGATACATTCCCGGAGATACTTCATGTCGAGCTCCTTCTCCATAGCATCCTTGAGAACCTCGAAGAAACGCTGCTCCACCTTGGCGATCTTCTTCGTTTCTACACTGGTCAGGGTAAAGCGAATCTCGATGCTGGGGTGATCTTCGGTGGCATAATACACTGCACTGGCGAGCTGCTCCTTCTCCACCAAGATGTTGTCCAGCAAAGAAGCAGAAGATCCAGCCAGATACAGCAGGGCAACGTTGACAGCCCCGGCTATTGATGGTAAGTATCGGACTGATACAGCGGAGGACGCTTGTTGACTTACTTTGAACGGGGTCCGTGCAATCAGGACCGAGGAATCTGATCTCGATCTCTCCAAAAGACTCGTCTTCTTCCGGGAACTCGACCCTCTGTACGGTGGATTTCTCCAGCGGAGGCGCCTGCTTAGAATCCACCCAAGGGCGTGTGAAAGGCGCATCTGGGCTAGGAATGACATCTAGAATGGTATCTTCGAACTTGTCCAAAACGTTCAACATGTTCTCATGATCTACCTCACCCGTGATGATCAGACACAGGTTCTTAGGCTGATACATTTCCCGATGGAATGCTCGGATGCGCTCCGCCGTGAGAACACGAAGCTGCTCCATCATACCACCGGTCTCATAACGGAAACCTACACCATCTGGGTATGTCAACCGTCGAGCAGTCAAGTCGATCAACTCGGCGGAGTTGTTCTGTACACCCTGCATCTCCGAGTAGACCACACCCGCATCATTTCCAGCTCCATCGATGTGGTGGACCTCGGTATAGCACCCTTCATCGGTCAACGTCGGGGCAATCACATGCTCTAGGTACACAGGCAAGATCTGAGCAAACCCCTCCCAGCCCGCTGTGTCCAGCGTGTACGCTGTGTGGTCAGTGGCAGTCCAAGCATTTGTGCTAGAGTAGACCCGTGTGGCGAGCTTGTCAAGGAATCCTTTGTATCTGTAATTCCGCGATCCCATGAAGCACAGGTGCTCTAATGTGTGCGGGGCTCCCGAGTCATCGTGGATCTCAGTAGCCAAAACGAAGTATCCAGTGACCTTGGGGCCCTTCTGGTCGATGACCACTACCCTCATGCCAGTCCTCGTCGACTCATACTGAACAAACTCGCTGGGTGAGTAGTCCGGCTTGAATCTTTGGAGAAGCTTGAAATGACCCTTCTGGCTTGGCGACATCTTGTTAACTGACCCTGCGAATCTGCGGGGATATGAGTATGTTCCAGGTCTTATGGTCACTCCCCGTATCGAGGAACTAATTAGCTGTCAGCATACCATAATCGACACCTCGTGTAATATTACGCGCGAAGAAGGCTTTAAGACAGCATCATGCAAGCTAGCAATGCTCTCAGGTTGAAACATTGGGGATTGGAAGATGGAAGCACGTTTTTCCTCGCGCCTGGAAATGCTAATAACGCGGAAATCTATGATTGGACATATATGCATAACAATAACAGTAGTTGACGAATACCAGGCAGCTCAAAATGAGGCTGTATAAGCGGGATTTGGTGATCACAGAGAGTGGCGGAGGGGCACGTTTTCGGCCGGATTTTCTTTTTCTTGTCTCGAACTCAAGCACAGGGCAGCGACATGGACTCACATGGATTGAGAAGAGGTTGCCCGAATCAGGCCTCGTAAGAGAAACAGTGACGACACGGTGGGCTCTGCCTGACAGCAGTGTCGCTAAAAGGGATCGGAAGAGTAGAGAAGAGGAGAGAGAGTGGTGAGCAGTGAAAGACCGCTGGGGAAAGGTTGACCTTGAACTGTGACGGTTCGGAGTGGAGTTTTGGGTTCCGATGTTCTGATACAGTAGTAAAGATCACCATGCCAACTAGTCAACAACTATCGGCCTATGACGGAGAGACAACACATTCGAAAATTGGGCTCGAAGTCCTTCTGAGATCACCGTGAACCGTCAGCCCAAGGAATGGAGACCCACGAATGAAGAGGGCAGTGAAACGAAGAAGGCTGCAGGCGTACGTTTGAGTTGATGGCATTCAATCCCAATCGGCCAAGGCGGTGAAGCGGTGAGGTCACATGGACTGTTATCGATCGATCAATTGATTGATTGATTACAAGCTGCTTTTCCCTCTCACACTCCCCTGATTGCTAATTGCTCCATTATCTCCCGTGACCTGTGACATCAGTCGGAGCGGCATTGCAAGGTGATCGCCGTGATAATCGCGCCAGTTTCTCCATTGGCGCTGGTTTCCTGTTACAGTTTCTCTCCAGCTGGTCGCCGCGGAGGACACGATACAAGATGCCCGGCAAGACCTCGGAGCAGGACATCTGCCAATCGGTTCTGACTTTTGTCACTGACGGCGCGTATCCTTCTTCCGAGAAGGTCGTTGCAGCGGAGTTCCCTGTTTCGCTTCTATCAAAGGAATTGGAACTGCTCTCCAAAGCGAGGGAACAAGTTGAAGTGAGTAGGGCCATTCGAGACGCGACCCCGCATCAGACCCAGCTTATCTGAGTCCTCCTCTATACCTATACTAACCTCCTTGAATCTACAGGCCGAAATCAACTCTCTTAGCCGCGAGAATAATTTCGACGCCGACGACTGGATCTCTCAGGCGAAACAGCTCCATGCGGACATTGAGCGCTCCAGGGTCACGGCCCGGGAGATTGTGAAGCAACATGAGGACACCACCCCTCTGCAATTGAGGGTGGAGGATGCCGCTGCTAAGGTCGGACTGATTGAGACTGAAATCGCTTTCAACCAGGCGGTGACTAGTGCCCTCGAGGAAGTGCAGGGACTCTGTCGGCAACTGGAAGATGGCCGTTTAGCGCTCGGAGAGGGTCGGATTATGGCGGTGATCGACACGCTGGAGGCAGCTGAACTGGCTATGAAACAGAATGACCATTTCGCGAACACAAACGTCTTACATATATTGCTGGAGAATGTCGCTGGCCTGCGGAAGCAGATTGTGGATGTCCTTCATTCTCAATGGAATGAGCAGCTCAAGGTTGACAAGCGGGAAGGGCAGTTGTTGGTCCAGAAGGACGGTAAGATCCCAGTCTACACCTTGTTGATGATGGCTTATTACCCTGTACTAATGCGAGATGTAGGCAAGCGCCTCGAAGAAACAATCGCGGCATTGAACAGAATGGAGATATTCCCATCTGCCAGAGACAAGTTCGCAAAGGACATAATGGTGGCTTTACTAGATCCAGTCTTGCTGCGTGGGGACGGTGGTCAAAGCCGTGGGATTCGTCTCTCTGAATCGTCAGTTCAAGTCGAATCGCGGTCATCTCAGGCCTCCGTTCCAGACGTTCTCGATCACGTAGCCAACCTTCTCGGCTTCTTGCGACAGGCTGTACCAGCCTCCGTGGTCGATTCATTTTCTGATTTGCTCATTCCAGCATTGTCTTCAAAGATGGTTCATTCGTGGCTATCTCCGTCGATACCCGTCGAGCTAGAAGGACTCAGAAATTTCGAGCGCATCCTGGATGGCGTTATGAAATTCACTAGATCGGTAGAGGGCCTTGGCTGGCATGGCCATGAAGAGCTTGTTTCGTGGGTGAACCAAGCCTCTCGACTCTGGCTTGCCAAGCGGAGAGTCAACTCCCTAGACCAAGTTCGCAAAGTTCTCGCTGCGAGTCAAGGCACCACTGAACAGGTGGAAAAGGTCGAAGTGGAGATGGTTTCTGAAAAAGATGAAACAGTCTTGGAGAACGCCCCAGCCGACGATTGGGATGCCAGTTGGGATGACGACAATGAAGGTGAAACCGAAGGCAAGGTATCTAAAGGTCAAGACGAGGAAGAAGATGTGAGCGCATGGGGGCTTGACGATGATGACACTGCGGACCAAGACTCAAAGACTCAAACAGGTGCTCCCGCTGACGATGACGCCGGGGATGCCTGGGGTTGGGGAGATGACGATGATGAAGTTCAGCCCGTAAACCAGCCACAGCCCGGCAAACCGCAATCTGGTCGCCCTGTTCATGGCAAAAATGGAACGCAGCCCAAACCCTCGAGGGAGGTTACTCTGACAGAAAGATACACTATCACAGATATACCTCATTCTATCTTGGATATCATCAAACAACAGATCCTTGATTCTCAGGCTATTACTCGACCCGAGTACGTTGACATTCACACTGAAGCAGTTGAAGCCCAAGCTGACACTTTCCAGACACTCACATTCGCGCGTTGTATCGTCTGGAACGGGGTTGCTTGCCCTTCCAACCTTGATCCTGGCCATGTTTAAAGCGACTGCGTCATCCTTTTATGACCATAAACTCAATGCCGGTCAGATGTATCTATACAATGATACCCAGTTTCTTACCGGTGAACTGCGTGCAATCATGGAGGAGCATCAGCTCACACGGCTACAAGGTGACATTGACGCGATGGAAAAATTTGGCAAATTCGCATACAGCAAAGAGATGCAGACTCAGCGCACCATTGTGACCGACCTACTCGACGGCGCCCAAGGGTTTGCACAATGTTCTGAACAACCATACCTGGGCGAGTGTGAGAATGCGGTCGCTGCCACCGTTGACAGAATTCGTGGTGTTTATGCGGAATGGCAGCCAATTCTATCCCATTCAGCACTACTACAATCAGTCGGCTCATTGGTCTCGACTGTGATTAGCAAAATGATCATTGAAATCGAGGACTTGGGTGACATCTCAGAGCCTCAGTCGCAGCGACTGGTATCGTTTTGCAACCAGGTTTCAAAGCTGGAAGATCTGTTCATGCCCGAAGCCAATGACAACACTGAGCGTGTACCCATGACAGCCGTCTACGTGCAAACTTGGCTGAAATTCCAATATCTCATCAATATTCTTGAGAGCTCACTGGCCGACATTAGGTTCCTCTGGGTTGAGGGTGAACTGCGCCTGGAGTTTTCACCCGAAGAAGTGATCGATTTGATTGAGGCTCTGTTTGCTGAATCCGAATATCGACGAAAAGCGATCGCGGACATCCGACGAGAATCGAGGGGTTAGTGGATGGATTTGAGTTGCAGAGGAATTTATGTATATAACAAATCGAGTATCTACGCCATTGGCGCAATGTTTGTTTGTAGATCTTCTGTTATCAGCATCAAGGCGGTCGCGGGGAATCTCCGCGCTTTGCACATCTGGCCGCATCGCCCGCCGTATTTTTTCTTCTTCCTCGACGGAGTTTTTCCCACGGCGACGAATTGCGCCTCTGACAACAGTCTCATATTGAAACCGGTCTTTTCAAAGCAAATCAGTCTCAAAGATGAGTGAGGCTCAAGATTCTTCGTCTGCTGCGGGCGCGCAGAGACAGGTGCGTGTGCAGCTGGTCAGCAAACAGGAAGATATTGCGCTTCCTGAGAACACCGGCCCTATCTTGGTTCCCACTGGTAAGACTATCTACTAAGTTTTTGCGTCTGCTTGCAATACTAATTCTCATGTAATCTGAAGGTCTGCGCAGATATGCACTTTCAACGCTAGTCAACAATCTGCTAGGCAACGACAAGCCGGTACCTTTCGAGTTCCTGATTAACGGCGCATTCCTCCGGACTTCCATCGATGAGTATTTAACGGCCAATGGCATCTCCGCAGAAACGACTCTGGAGATCGAATATATCAGGGCTTTGATTCCCCCGCTTCACATCGCTTCTTTCGAGCACGATGATTGGGTCAGTGCCGTGGATGTGCTTTCTGCGACATCGCCTGCTGCCTCTTGGGCATCGTCATCGGTCTCGCAAGGCCAGGAAAGAATCCTCTCCGCCAGCTACGATGGCCTGCTTCGTGTGTGGGATATGTCTTCTCAGATAGTTGCAACATCGCCATCTGCTGTCGACGGCGGACACAGCGCATCGATCAAGTCTGCGAAATTCCTCTCTCCCAACTCGATCGTCTCGGCCGGTCTGGACCGCACTGTGCGGCTGTGGAAGTACGCCGAGAGCGAAGATGGCTTCTCTGGAAAGATCGCTCCCCAGCTTGAGCTCTACGGCCACAAGTCCGGCATCAACTCAGTGGCCGTGTACGCGCCTTCAAACCGCATCCTAACCGCCTCCTCCGACCACGCCGTTGGTTTCTGGTCGACCAAGAAATCCGACGCCCCGGCTGCGCCAGAGAACCTCCTCCCGTCTGCCGCATCCCGGAACTCCAAGAGAAGAAAATTGAACTCCTCCATCAGCACTGCTCAGCGTGGACCCCTGGCCTTGCTCTCCGGCCACACCGCGCCCGTGTCCGCCGCCATTTTCGACGCCAAAGACTCAACCGTCGGCTATTCGACCTCATGGGATCACACTCTCCGCACATGGGATCTGGTGACCACTGCCCTAGTCGACACTCGCTCGACGTCCCACTCGCTTCTATCCCTCGAGCATCTCCCCGAACACCACCTCCTGGCAACAGGAACTTCCGCCCGCCACATCACCCTCATCGACCCGCGTGCCTCCGCGACAACCATTTCCGCGATGACCCTCCGCGGCCACACGAACGCTGTGGTATCCTTGTCCCGCGACCCGCACAGCAGCTACGGCCTGATCAGTGGTAGCCACGACGGTACCTGCCGGATCTGGGATATCCGTGCCACCAAGACAGACAAGGATGGCGTGGTCGGAGAAAGTGTCTACTCGATCACCCGCAAGAGCCTCGAAGAGGCGGGCAAAGCGGACGCCAAGCGTGTCGGCGGCGAGGGCGTCAAGGTCTTCGGAGTCTGCTGGGATCGGTCCGTCGGCATTGTTAGTGCCGGCGAGGACAAGCGGATCCAGATCAACCGGGGAGAAGGCGTTTTGTCCTCTGCGTAAAGGGGAGGAGGGTGGTTGCACATATGGTTTTCTGGCGTTTTTTCTTTTTCATTTGTAGGATGAAAAGTTTGGTCTTCTTGGCTTCTGGATCGGAGGAGCTACTGTGTGAGCTGGCATATCCCTTAGCAATACACCACTAATTGCTTCTTCTACCGAGAAATGCACAAATCCGTAGTTCGTAATCAGACAGTTGATTTGTCTTATATTGTGATACATTCCATCGGGTTTTGCGGATGGGGGGATGATTCAGAAATATACAGGTTACAGCGGATAATGAAAAGAAAAATGATAAACGCCAATTCCATGCCCTCACAAGAAAAAAGAGCCAAGCGCAAAAGGCCCACCAAATCGAAGCAGAAACCCCCACCGTCTTCTTAACCGAGTCTTCTCTCGATCCGGTTGAGCTTGATAGCAGTTTTGATCTAGTTGGAGTTCATGTTAGCGGTACAGCCACGAATGATGCCCAGCGAAGCATCGTCGATACGGAAGATCACAGCTCACAGCCCATACTAGGTAAGTATGGGCCCTTCCACATGAGCGAGACCATCGCATAGACTGAGCCAAAGGGAGGAATGATAGGAACCCACCTGGCTTCGTGTGTTCTGACCGCGAACGGGCAAGCCCAGCGCATGACGACGACCGCGGTAGGTACCGATATCCTTCAACCGCTTGATGTTGTCAAGGACTTGTCTCCGGAGGTCGTTCTCGATCTTCATGTCGGTCAGGGCGGCCGTGATATCAAGGACCTGCTTGTTTCCCAGTTCACCGATCTTGCATGTCGGGTGGATGTGGAAGCGGGAGAGGAGGCGCGCCGACGTGTGGTTACCGATTCCGAAGAAGGACTCGAGGGATTTCTGGACTCGCGGTCAGATGAGAATGGGGTTTGGTTTGTTTGGCCGGAGGTGGCGGGGGAAGTTGTTGCTTGCCTTGACGAGATTCCGCTCGGGGAAGTTGACGCCTAGGATGAAGACCTGTTGAAGGTTGTTAGCGGTGCGCGGGAGGGGGACTTCGCTTCAATTCAGAGCGTGGGTGGAATGTATAGACTTACCATCTTGTCTAGTACCAAAAGCCTTTGGGCTGGCTATAGGTCGTTCAGGGAAAGGGAAACTTGGACCTCGATCTCGACGCTCTACGCTCTCTCGACTGCCCTGCCTCGATGATTGAGCGCGGGAGAAAATCCGCCGGTGGTAAAGTTTCTCCGGGGGTCAATGACGGTAAGTTTCAAGACGCTGTGACGCTGTGCCGGGTGGTTGTCCACCGCTAATGTCAGGCAGAATTACCCTCCGGCGAACCGCAAATTACACAGAGCATCTTACCGCAATAGGAAAGGTCGGGCTTGGCACCTCCGCAGTAAGTAATGCAAGCTGGCCTCGATGCCGTCCAATTGCTATTCCTTCCGTCCCTTCGTCTGCAACTGCGCTCTCCCCCAGACAATTGCATTCGAGGTTCACGGTCTTGAAGGCATTCTTCAGCAATCATGAACTTCAGAAACCTTTTCTTGTCCTTCTTCCTGGTCCTGGTGGCTGGGTTCGCCCTCGTCCACGCCGAAGAGGCTAAGCCTCGGGGTCCGAAGATCACCAATAAGGTATGATACATGAGCTGAGCGCTTGAGCGCTTGCAACGGAGCGGAATTCTGTATCTCTTTCTTGAAAAAGGGGTGCTAATTGACGCTTTTTTAGGTGTACTTTGATATCGAGCACGGCGACAAGCCCCTCGGCAGAATTGTTATCGGTCTGTACGGCAAGACTGTCCCCAGGGTATGTAAACATCCATCCTGCCATAGCAATCCCATTCGCTACCATATCAAACGCTAACTCACTTTCTCAAATTAGACCGCTGAGAACTTCCGGTACGGCTCTTTAAAATTTTGCTCCAGCTACCCTTTTCTAAACCGCTAACATGTACCCTCCAGCGCTCTGGCTACTGGTGAGAAGGGCTTCGGTTATGAGGGATCTACTTTCCACCGTGTCATCAAGGACTTCATGATCCAGGGTGGTGACTTCACTCGTGGCGATGGTCAGTTAATGCTCCCTGTGATGGCTTAATGTAGCCCGTTCCCATGCTAACCGTACTTCACATTGATCAGGTACCGGAGGCAAGTCCATCTACGGCGAGAAGTTCGAGGACGAGAACTTCAAGCTTAGGCACACTCGCCCCGGTCTTTTGAGCATGGCCAACGCCGGCAAGGACACCAATGGATCCCAGTTCTTCATCACCACTGTTGTTACTTCGTGAGTTCCCTATTGTTTCTTCATGCCAGCGGAACCCGCTTGCTAATCCTTCCCAAACAGTTGGCTCGATGGCCGCCACGTTGTCTTCGGCGAGGTGCTCGAGGGTTACGAGATCGTCCAACAGATTGAGAACGTGCCCAAGGGCCGCGGTGACAAGCCCTCGGAGACGGTCAAGATCGTGAAGAGCGGCGAGCTGCCGTCGGAGGAGAAGGCTGAAGAGAAAGGTAGCAGCCACGAGGAGTTGTAGACTGGCCTTCCTGCGGTCTGCGCTTGCTTCTAGAAGAGTAAAGTCTGCGATGTGCTGATATTTGCTGTATCAAAGAAGAATTGATCTCGGAAACCCCGGTACAACCTTCAGCAATCCCTGTGGCTCCCTCTTCAATGGCCTCACCCATCACTTCTGACAGCTATCCCTACATCTTCCCGAAGATTGCAGCCCTCGTCCTTGTTGTTGGTCTGCTTCTGGTGTTGATTCGACGCAGCACCCCGGGACAGCAAGAGAAGGCTGAAAGAAGTGTTGTCTAGGGAGGATGTCCTCCAATGCAGCAACAGACCCTTACTTTATAGCTTGCAATCATGAGTTACTGGCCTGTTGCAACCAGGGTTGGTTTCCGGTACACTTGATACGTCGTAGGAGTCGCTAGCTCATAGCTCATAGTTCATACTCATGGATGCATACAGGCATTCGGCCCTATCTACACACCGGCTTTTTGTGTGTTTGTAATGCGATTCAGCCTTGTGAGAATAGCTTGTAGCCCTTTCTTTCCAGGACATCAAGGACAAGTCGGTCAGGATTTGAAGAAGACCAACTCAATCAAGGCCGACAACTTGGACATGTTACGCCCTTGCTTTATCCTACCCCCGTCACGGATGGGCTGTGAATCCTTGAAAATGTTGGCAAGGTCCCCATTGCTACCCATGCATCCTCACCCCGTCCCACCAGGCTCAGTGTTCTTGATGCAGCACCGTAGCGACGTGGAGAGGATTCGCTGTATAATCTCCGTACCACGTCGCGCGGCGCCCAGGATCTGGTCGTGAGACCGTTCCAGGGTTTCCAGCTTCGAGTTTCGGACGAATTGACTCTAACGATAGCCGCGCATTCCAACTTTACTTTGTAGATCGAGGAAGAGCCCACCCGGTCGTTGTACGATCTACCAACGCATACGAGCTGAAGAAATCGGATCGGAGCGGTGACCACCACTAGTAGAATTGCATTACAATCTGAAAGGACTCCGCCACAAGCACCTTCAACCCGCGCGATCTTGGTTATTAATAGCATCACTAGAGGTCACCCTCTTCTCTCTTTGAAGTCCTGTTATTCTGTATTTCTGACCAGAAGCTGTGTGTAGCTTATGCACGATGATGGCACGCGAGATACTGGAGGCTGGTTATGCTATGGGTTTGCTTCCTACCGGGAAGGTGAATAATGAATGGAGTACGAGTATTTTCCGATATACATGCAGTGGACACGACAACACCACTGTTTTTCTTCACTTGTTCATTCATTCATGAACCCGTTTGGTGAGAGTTCGACGATAGGAAAGCCGATCAGGTGATTGTGGTTTGGTTTGCCTCCCACTAACCTCGACAACTGTTGCCATTCAATCGGGGATCATAAAATATGATTCTTCAGTGGATTGCTTGATGCGGGTGTGATGATGTTACCATCACGTTGTCGGAGGCGAGGGCATGAACGAAGTCAGCCCTTCTGGATAGACTACATGCCTAGAGTCAAGGTGGTGTGCTTGTACTTATACCCCGTACTTATGGGATAAGAGACACAAGATCCCGTATCCTATATGCCGGATCCAAAACACAAGTAGCAGTACACTCACAAAGTGAGCGGGCCATCTTCGAACATTTCCTCAGCGATTCTCGAAAAAGGTACAGACACACACATACCTTCAAGTCGAGTCCTCATGGCAAACCCTTGGCAAGAGTAATAGAGCGGCAAGGAGGCGGCCGGGCCACGACCAACGAGCAGATACGTCACGGGCTCGGGGAGGAGAATGACCGGACCCCAAAGGGCTCGCTCTCGGTGGGCCCGCTCGGCGATAGGGTAATTTTCCGTACCCACGTACGAGTAATTTTTGACTGGATTCCTGCCTGAGGCGAACAGCTCAAAATCAAAGGCTTGGCCACCGCCGTCGCCGCCCCAAGATTTTTTTTTCGGCCGCCCTCAGATTGGCTCAATCCCTGGTCTGTTAGCCAACTGTAGCCAACTGGTGGGAAGGGGAAAAGATCTGACACTGCGAGGAGTATCTATCTCTGCCATGCAAGATTCCCTTTGCTGCATTGAATTTGGTGCACTGATGACTGCAGATGGTGTTCATCTTATGAGTGTGCGTCATAATAACGACGAAGTTGCAGAGAATTTATGTTCTGTTCTTCTTATCTTCATAGATCAGATAGACAAACAACGTCCACCTAAGCAGTAGAAATCTAAGTGTTTGGACTGGGTCCAGCCCGGACAGAGAGAGAGAGAGAGAGGGTGTCGGCAGCACAGCCAAACAACAACCCGCCACCACCGTGTTTGGCTGGCTCTGGTACGTCCTATTTTTCTTTTGGGAATTTTTCTTTTTTTTTTTCTTTTTTTTTTTTTTACATGGCTGTTTTGCTGTTTTCCCCCCTTCGCTTCGTCGATTCACACGTTAAACCTTTTTCTCTCCCTTCTGGGTCCAGTCGGTTCCCATCAAACAATCCCCCCCATCACCAATAAGCAAGCCTACCCATTAAATGCTAACCGCTGAACAACCTTGAAGATTCTGACTTGGTAGGCACGAAAAAGTGACAAGAAAAGAAGGATGGACGAAGGGTGGCTGTTCTATCTTCCTCACCATCACACCTTGTACTGTACATACATTATAGCCAAAGTAGTAAGAAGAAGATGATTTCTAATTAGTGAATTTGTAGTCATCCTTTCTTTGCCTCTTTCTAATCTCTTCCCACAAAAAAACTCTCTTCTTCTTCCTTCTTTTTACTCCCTCTTTAAACCAAAAAAATTACCACCCACATCCCACCCCCCTCTCCCTCCCCTCCGCTGCTAAAATCCAAATCTGGTTTCATTTTTTTTCCTCTCCTCTCCTCTCTCCCTCTTCCTCCCCCCTCCCAACATATCTCCACACCGTATCCTCACCAACTCTCCTACCACCTTCTACCACCCTTTTCCTTCTTCTCTTTTTTTGCTACATCGTAATAGAGGTTTAGATCTGGGAGATCGCCTTGTTTTGCACTTTATCAACTTCTCCCTTAAGGTCTCTCTTTACTCCTTTCTTTCGTCGTCTTCTCGGACACTGTTACTTCCTGTCTTATTTGGTCTCTTGTGTATTGCCACTCAATAGACACAACGGGATTTTTTCATCTGACGTCCTCATTCCTTTCATCTTCTATACAGAACAGAAAAGGAATCTTTTCTCGGACGCGATCCTGGACAGCAGACTGTAATTGCTGTACATCTTGAATCCTTCGCAAAAAAAAAGCACAGATTTTTTCTCTTGTACGTCTGACATCCGCTACGCTTTGCGCCGCACCTACGAAACAAATTCACTGACGGATCTCCATCTGTCTCTTCCAGTCCGTGAATTTCCGCAAATATGGCCGACGGTTTGAAGATGGGAAACCTTTCCCTCAACGAGTCTCAGCACGCCCCTGCTGCTCCCGCCAACACGGGTCGCGCTGCCTACATCCCTCCTCACCTTCGTGGACGCCAGATGGCTGGTGCCAACATGGACGGTGCTCCCGCTCCCGCTGCCGCTCCCCCTGCCCCTGCTGCCAACAACTCCTGGGGTAACAGGTACGTGCTTTTTCTATCCCCCTACAATTCCACTTGTTCTGTGGCACGAAAATAGGTTGCCTCCTCAGAACTGTCCACAGCGGGCTGACTGGTTTGCTTTGACATGACAGAGGAGGCCCTCGTGGTGGCAACTGGGCTAATGCTAACGCTCCTGATTTCAGCCCTCGCGGTCCCTCCAATGGTAACCCTAACTGGACACCCCAAGACGGTCAACGCCGGCCCTTTAACCCAGATGCTTACGGAAACCCAGGTCACGGAGGCTCCTATGGCGGTGGTAGCTCCGGTGGCTCCGGTGGCTCTGCCCGCGGATCCGGAGATGGCCAGTGGCGCGACGGCAAGCACATCCCCGGCCCTGCCAATCCCCGCTTGGAACGTGAATTGTTCGGAGTCCCCAACGATCCCACCAAGCAGAACACTGGTATCAACTTCGCCAACTACGATGATATCCCCGTGGAGGCTTCCGGTCACGACGTTCCCGAGCCGGTCAACACCTTCACCAACCCTCCTTTGGATGATCACCTGATTGCCAACATCAAGCTGGCTTACTACCAGACCCCCACGCCCGTCCAGAAGTACTCCATCCCCATTGTCATGAACGGCCGTGATTTGATGGCTTGTGCTCAGACTGGTTCCGGAAAGACTGGTGGTTTCCTGTTCCCTATCCTGTCCCAGGCTTTCCAGCACGGTCCCTCGGCGGCCCCCGCCCAGGCGTCCGGTCAATTCAGCTACGGCCGTCAGCGTAAGGCTTACCCCACCTCCCTCATTCTGGCTCCTACCCGTGAGCTTGTCTCCCAGATCTTCGATGAAGCCCGCAAATTCGCCTACCGCTCTTGGGTTCGCCCTTGCGTTGTCTACGGTGGTGCCGATATTGGTTCTCAGCTCCGTCAGATCGAGCGTGGCTGTGATCTTCTTGTCGCCACTCCTGGTCGTCTGGTTGATCTGATTGAGCGTGGTCGTATCTCTCTGGTCAACATCAAGTACCTCATTCTTGACGAGGCCGATCGCATGTTGGACATGGGTTTCGAGCCCCAGATTCGCCGTATCGTCGAAGGCGAGGATATGCCCCACGTCAACGACCGTCAGACTCTGATGTTTTCTGCCACCTTCCCTCGCGACATCCAGATGCTGGCCCGTGATTTCTTGAAGGACTACGTCTTCTTGTCTGTTGGTCGTGTTGGTTCCACCTCGGAGAACATCACCCAGAAGGTTGAATATGTCGAGGACCACGACAAGCGCTCCGTCCTGCTCGACATCCTCCACACCCACGGTACCACCGGTCTCACCCTGATCTTCGTCGAGACCAAGCGTATGGCCGACTCTCTGTCCGACTTCCTGCTCAACCAGCGCTTCCCTGCGACCGCCATTCACGGTGACCGCACCCAGCGTGAGCGTGAGCGTGCCCTGGAGATGTTCCGTTCCGGCCGCTGCCCCATCCTGGTTGCTACCGCTGTTGCTGCTCGTGGTCTCGATATCCCCAACGTCACGCACGTCATCAACTACGACCTGCCCACCGATATTGACGACTATGTTCACCGTATCGGTCGTACTGGTCGTGCTGGTAACACCGGTATTGCCACTGCTTTCTTCAACCGCGGCAACCGTGGTGTCGTCCGTGACTTGATCGACCTTCTCAAGGAAGCCCACCAAGAGGTCCCCTCCTTCCTGGAGAGCATTGCTCGTGAAGGCAGCGGATACGGTAGTCGTGGCGGTCGCGGTGGCCGTGGCCGTGGTGCTAACGCTACCCGTGATATGCGTCGCATGGGCGGCGGCATGGGCAGTGGAGGCGCCTCCTTCGGCGGAAGCGGTGGTAGCTACGGTGGTCCTAGCGGTGGCTATGGCGGTGGCGGCTTCGGCGGTCCTCCCTCCTACGGCGGTGGTGCTGGCGGTGGCGGCTACGGCGGCTACAGCGGCGGCGGCGGCGGTGGTGGTGGTAGCTACGGAAACCCTTCGGGCCCTACTGGACCTTCTTCCTGGTGGTAAACCCGAAGTTGTGTTCTCTGACGAGGCCGTCGGGTCTGATTGGCTCCTTTCATCTTCTCTTTTACCTCTCCTTGTTGCGGATACGATCAGAACGAGCCCCGAGTCTTCTACCCTTCCTCCTCCCCCTCGATCTTGCTCTCGGGCCGGCTTTGTCATGACTGCCACGACTTCCATCTAGACTTCGTTTGTTCTCTTACATGTGTTTCTGTCTGATGTCCTTTTCCCGTTCTATGTGCCGGTGTTTTCGTTTATTTCTTTGTCTTTTTTTTTTCATTTGCCGCTGAGCATTCTGTTATTTTCCTTGTTTTTAGACATGGGTTTTCGATGCGGTCCGATCTCCTCCTCTCGCTGCTCCTGGTTATGACCTTTTCCTAATCGAGAGCATTTGGGTCGGGCATGGATGTCATAGAATGCGTTTGTGTTTCTCCTGTGACCGCTTCCATCAAGATACCCTTTTTGTTCTCGGGCGGCCCTGTGGAGATCTGCTTGAAACGACGCGTGCCGAGCGGGAGTGCTGGCTTTTCGTGCTCTGAAAAGTGCTTTTATGAGTTGTTCTCTGCTTGGTGCTAATCAACTGCATCGACCGTGTCTCGCAACATAGATTTTCTTCCAGTTTCGGTATCTCATGGCGGATTTCCATTTTTCATTTCCTCCCTTCTACCACTGTGATCTGCTCTCTGCCTGTGTTTCTTTCTCCGGGCTGGGTGGCTTTTACTGCAGCTCGGGATGGTGTTTCCCGGTTTGCGCAACTGGTCTTGTGCCATGGACTGAGGAAGGGCTTTCCTTTCGGAGGCCTGTCTCATCTTTTTTTCCGCGGGCACTGGTGCCTCTGCTACTGCATCTCTGGGAATGGCGGTGTATTGGGATCACAGAAGGGAACGATAGAGATGGCATCTCTCATATCTGCTTTTTTGCATTGTGTGTGGCGTTGGCTTGAGCTACTGTGGCCACAAAATGATTCTCTGCATCGGGGTCCGTGGAGGCTGACATTGAATGGGCTCTCTATTTCTGTTTTCATAACTCGGATCCGTGGAGGATACGCTGCTTTTGACGGCGCTTCTTTGTGGGTGTCATGGTCTCTCAGGTCGGTAGCAGTTCGGGGACAAAACACTGTTCATGGGGATGGTGTATGTCGCCTAGAAGGAAGCTACTAGCTATTTACTCCTTAACTGAAAAAAAGTTTGATTCATGTATGTGCATTGATTTGGCTGTGATGTAGGATCTCGTAGACATGGTTCGAGGCTGTAAAAAAGTATTCTTGCTTCTCACTTTCAAAGAATGAGTACTGTTATCAGTGTCCGGCGCTGACGCGTCTAGTAGATCTTTCTTTGGGTGCATCTTTTGTAGGATTGATCGGTTACTAAGTTACTGAGATATATAAATCATGTCAGGTCCAAGGTTTGTATTGTCCTAGTCCTCCTCAAAGTAAGGTGGGAATATATACTTCTATGGATCGCTCTTGTAGAGTATTCTGTAGTCAAGAAGTTCTGTTCTGAGTAACACGGACAGGTGCTCACTAGACAACCACGTCGAATAATCGGTGAATGTCGGTGATCAACTAAATAAACTACTAATTGTTCGTAACCTTTATAGCACCTTGTTTTTGTGAATATGAATACTAGTAATCAAGTCAGATCTGAAAGAGAGCGCGACTTGGGACTCGGGACTCAATCATTCATTAGTCACACCCGCATCTGGATGGGGGAGTCCTTGAGCCTGTCTTGAGCCCCCAATCAATTAAGGGCGCCCAGAAAGTGCCGGATCAGCACAGCATCCATCGCGGTCCAGCGTCCTCCCTTACCCAAGCGTCCTTTCTCTCTCTTTCGTTTACACACAATCCTACTCGTGTTATCGCCAGCAACTCCCTTCTCATTCTGCGCATCCTCCTCAATTCCTCTCCATCCCCCCACACCTCCTCAAATCAAATCTTTCTAGCCGTCGCGACATTGATAAGTCCTCCTTCGAGTCTTCCCTCAATCGCCCGCGTCCGTTATCGATCAATCGTCCGATCCATCCTATCGCCCTCGACTCCTTGCCTTTGCGCGATCTGCCGCCCTTCAGGGCATCGCAACAAACCAAAGCCACATTGACTCTATTCTGAAGACTCCTTGGGCTCGTCCGAGCGAAATAGCGTCCCAGTCTGCGGTGATCTCTAGAACCCCAAAAAATGGCGGAAGTCGAGAGCAGCGTCGCGGACGAGTCGGTGGCCCAGTCCGAGGCTCAGGATGAGCAGCAGACCCATAACATGACGGTCGGAATCCGGCGTCAGGCCAACGGCACGATCGGATCAGTTTACTCGGGGAATAAGATCCGGCACCTGAAGAAAGAGGATGGAATCCCCCTATGGCGCAAGGACATCCAGTATCAATTCTTGAAGCTCGTCTTCGAGGACAAAACCCCGGTTTTCACTCGCTGGCCCGACGGGGAGAAGAATCTGGACTTTGCCGATATCTACATCGATGCTATGGCGAGGAGCAGCAAGACGAGCAAGATCCTGAAGGATAAGTTGCAGAACGATAAGCAGGCTGCCATCAGCATGGCTATGGTTTGTCTGCTGGTCAACTTTGGCCGGATGAATACTACGCTTAACTGTATGATATGGTCTATCTTCTTATCATGTGCTGTATCAATGCTAATGCTTGGATGCCGCCTAGTTTTTCCCGAGATGCGTGCGCAGTTGCGGACCTACCACTCCATTCCTTCGCTTCAAGCCCACCAGGACCCTAATGCCTACAAACAGCTGCAGGATGCCCCGCGTCTCAAGTCGATCCTCAAGGGTGCCTCTGAGGATGTCGATCAGCCCAACACGCTTGACAGGATCAAGCGCCAGTCAATTCCTCGCACAAACCCTGTCAATCTGATCTTCGTTCTAGCTCAGTATGCTCCCAAGGTGTCTGAGATGCACTTCTTCCCTCCTCGCGACTTCTTTGACTTGGTCATGAGAGGCACACTCAGTAGTCGAAGCAGGGCTAGGGCCTTTCTCTGGTTGATGTGGTGGTATTTGGAAAGTGATTTCAGCGCCGAGGCAGCCCTTCGTAACCCCTTTGGCAGTGGTCTGGATGGTGAAGGCACCGGCGGCTTACCTATTAAGGTGCCTCAATTTGAGAGTCTTACCGAAGAGCAGGCCAACGAGGAGAATGTGGACACCCAGTCCGAAATAGATTACGGTGAAGCCAAGCGCTTGGAACGGAAACGTGAGTGAATGCCATCACCTTGATCAATGCAGGAAGTTAACAAGAGTCTACAGGCATCCTGGAAGAAGACGAACCACTACCCAGAGTGCCTAAGCGCTCCAAGAAAGGTATGCCGCGCGCCTTCCTGTCTCACCTGCCTACGATCACTAATCTGGCTGTCAGGTTTGCCTGAGCTATATGACGACGAAGCATCAGGAGATGTGTCTGGTAAGCATTTTGTTTCATCAATCTCCCATTGTTCTCTTCCCACCATTTATTTAACATCAATCAGGTCGCGGTGACGGGCGCTTGTCCACCATGTCCACGCCAATGCATCCGTCAGCCAAGCGCCATCCGCTGGACGACGAGGATGAGTACCAAACACCTGGGCAGTCTGCGCGCTCCCGGTCCAAGAGGCCTAAAAGAGAGTCTTCTATCAACCGTTCTCTTGGTCAGCAGCGTCTCATCTTAAGAACCAAGATGGAAAACACACCTGACGCTGCTTCTCCAGCTCCTCCAGGTTCGGGTCACCCGATCTTGAATCGATTCGTTACGGAAGGCACGCAACCAACCTCCGCCCGTCGGCCACGGCCGCTCACTCAACATCAACTCGCTGTCGAGCAGAACCGCCGACAACGGATTGAGTACATCTTAGCCAAGCGCAAGAGTGAGGCGTATCGAGTGCTGCGTGCGAAACGAGAAAGCGAGATACCCATTGTACGCTACGGTCGTCGCCTCTCGAATATCCCGGAGGGCTATGACACGGACGATGAGGAGAAGGCTTGGGGCAAGGGCGGACTGGTGCCGAAGCCCGACGAGGAAGAGGATTATGGCGAAAGTGCTAGCTACTTCCTGTCTGTTATCCGCAAAGCTGCAAGACGCCTGGATCGATGGGACTACGATGATGCCAATGGTCCTCGGCGGGATCGCAAGGCAGAACGTGAGGAACGCCAGAAAGCGAGGGAGATGAGGCTTGCTATGGAGAACTCGGGTGATCTTGCCGGGCGTATCCCCTCTTCTGCTCGTAGTCGAGCTCGTGCTGCTCGCAACGCCAAGCGCAAGCTCGCCAATGCGGCAGCCAATACCCCCTCCGCCAAGGAGCCAGGCGCTGCAACCTCCTCACGGGCCAAAGCCAACCGGAGCCGCTCCCAGCGCGAGGCTGGGGCTGCAGTGGCGGCTACCCCAGGCGCAGCCAAGGATGGTCTGGACGTACCTAGCCGGGACCATGAACTTTCACCGATGCCTGGCTCGACCCACCTGGGGGATGATGTTGAGGGTGAGGAAGGACTGGACGACATTGACCGTGAACTCCTCGGCGAAGGGAGTGGGGACGATGAAGGCGCTCCGACCCCAGCTGCTCGCACGTCTCGACCGGCCGACGCTGGCTATGAGGATAGCTTCATGGAGGCCGGAGATGCCGATGAGGATGTGGAAGGTCTCTCGTCCGACGACAATGACGATGAGGAGGTTGATGACGAAGATCTGGATGAAGGAGAAGCAGAGGCGGACGCGGACGAGAATTCATCCACACTCGAAGGCGGCAATGGGTATGCAGCCAGCGAGACCTCTTCCGTGGCCGGCGGGGAGGGCGACACAATCCTTGCTGATGATAAAGATGAGACTATGACCGATATATGATCGTAGCTCTCTGGGCTTTGGGCCAGGCTTGGGACTTTTCGTGCGTTTATCCTCCATCGAATCACTTCCGATGTGCGTTTGTTTCGACCGACGCTTATCTGGCCTATGAATGTTCGGCACTTTCTTTTCTATGTCCCATTATCCCCCAAATCTCTCTTTCCCCCTGTCCTCTCTTATGTCCCGTTTAGTGTACGATTATCCCCCTGACATCTGAGTTTATGCGTCTACCTTGATACTCCATATGTTCTCCCGCCCTTACCCCCTTGCGGAGGCGATTGTAATGGCACGTACCGTATTCAAGGTCTATTGGGGGTCCTCTATAGAGCTAGGTGCACTCCAGATAGAAACACCTCGGGCCCCGCTTTCCTTTGACCACTTAAGTGCCAGTCGAAGAGCTACACGGAATACCCGGTACAGGGTTTGCGGGAATCGTGATCAGAATAGCCCACTGCACCACGCACGTATGCACTTAATCTGCGGGGAAAGAGGTGGGGTATGCAGCTAGAGACAGTTCGTTGGTTTGGGGGCTTTGTTGTTCATGACAGCCGATAAGCTTCTCCTCTCTAACTCCTCTGTTCGTATGATGGGGTTGGTCATTTCGGACATTGTTGTCGGGGGTTGAGTGTAATGACACGTGTTGTAGACCGGATGCAAGGAGGAACCCGATTCAGGAACGGGGCAACAGGTCGGGTGTTGCCTGACAGTTCGGAGCACGCGTTCACATGCTTGGTCCAGGAGTAGATCTGTTGTTGTTATGTATCCTGCTGATGGTGCCTTCAAGCTGGACTGTCCTGCTTGCTTATTCTTGTCGGGGTGTTTCAGCACTTACTTGCATGGGAAGGGTGCCAAGTGCCAGAGATGAGTGGTGAGATTCAGATTCTTGTTGGGGGGACGAAGGGGGAAAGAGAAGGAGAAAAGAGAGAGAGAGAAACTGAGGGAGGGACCCGTGACGTTTTTGCATGTGATCGAAGACTGTACTTGTACTTGTACTGTACCTCAACTCACCGGCGGTTGATTTCCTCCTCCTCCTCCTTCTCCCACCCCCAACATTTCTGAGCTTCCCCTCCGTTTACTTTTCTTCGTCCTTAACTGTAACTACGGTACCCACCCTCCATTGCGAAGGCAAAGTCTGTCTTACAGCTATTCTTCCCTTCTAGAATAGTTCACATTCTTTCAATTGCTGTTCTTGTTCGTGCTCCTTATTATATACTTGTCCTCTCATCCTACCAAATTCTCCCTTCCTCCTTCTATTTCTCTCTCGCCTTCGTTGTGCCGATCCACTGCAGATCCTGCACCCTTCTTTTCCAGTTTCCAGTGTCCACAGTCCACAGTCCACACCCACACAGTCTCAGACAGTTCCTCGTACTGCTCGTACTGCTGCTCCACCGAGGTGTTAGCTCTGGCAAATCGGTTCGTGGTCCAATCTTCCCGTCTCTCTCCCAGTCTCTCCTTTGCTCGTCTTCACTTCCCCACCTCGACCACACGACGTTGGCTGGTAGAATCGTCATCTACATCAGATGGCAATTGGGCCGTGTCCAGACTTATTCGGAATTGAATAGCCACTGAAGCGTCAGCCCAACTTCTCTTACTAGAGGGTTATAACCCTTCACGACGTCGACGAGCAAAAAGACTATCCGCCGTTATTCACCCTGTCGTCCTCAGTCTCACCGATCTCACCTTCTGGTTCTCATTGAGCTCGAAATCCCTCGACAACATCCTCGCCTGTCATGTCTGATGAACCCACGATTTTTCGCCCGCGTCCACGGCGCGTGTTCGACCTTACCCCCGAAGAGCCCTCCTCCCCGGCCGAACCAGCTAATCCGGACCTGCTGAATCCCCGCGAGGCCAATTCGACGAACGTGAGCCGCAATGTCTCGATCATGAACCTGACATCGCCGACCCTTTTCGGCATCTATTCACCGACCGCATTCGAAGGCTCCCGCGACGACTCCTCGCCTTGGGGCACGGAAGCCAACTCTCCAGAAGCTTTGAATGCTGGCGTTCGACCAGTCATTCAAGGTCCGGCCCCGGGGAAGCTGCAGCGGACGCGGTCGCGCCTCAGTCAGGGACTCTTCCGCGGGGTCATCCTGCCCCAGGCGCTCAAGAGCGCCTTTCTGCTGGGCTTTGGGGTGGTTTATGGAATCATCACGATACACTTGCACGAGAATCATTGGATCACTCCGGTGAAGCTAGAGAACGTCCATTACTACGGATCCTGGCAATACCTGGCATTCTGGGGGGTTGCGGGAGTTATCCTAGGCAACGTCCTCCCGTGGTTCGATCAATTTTCCGATGAGCTGTTCACCAGCGGCAAGCAGAGTGCCCCCTCGACAAGTGACGAGGACACGGTCGATCGTACACTGTCCTGGGTTGCGGCGGTCCGCAGCGTCGGGGCTTTTGTTGGAATTGCATTCGCTATGGTAAGTGATGCCATCTCTAGTGTGAAATAATTTGTCGGATGGCTGACTCTACTTCTGATCTCCAGCGCCGACTCCCCTGGGAATCTACGACCCAGGCTTCGGTGACCCTTGCCCTTGTGAACCCTGTTCTATGGTACCTCATCGACCGCACCCGGACAGGGTTCGTCCTGTCGTCCATTGTTGGATTGGCCGGGATGGGCGTTGTGTTGGGCGTCAACCCCGATCTGGTGCCATCCTCCCTGGAGCCCTCGAGCCCCGCCATCCTGTTGTCGAATGTCACGGGGCGAGATTTTGGCTGGGACTTCGGAATGACGCAGGAAAGCATTGCTGTGCGGACATGGATTGCCAGTGTGCTGTTCTGCGCCTGCGTTTGCTTCGGAAATATTGGGCGACAGTTGGCCATTGGCAACTCCAGCAGAGAATCGCTCAAGAAGTGAGCGTTTTTGAGCCGGCGACTTTTACCTCCCCTTTCACGATAATTGACCATCATCGCTAGTAATGCCTTTGTATACACCGCTCTCGTCTTTTGCTCTCATGTTTCGGGCTTCTCCCCTTCTCCATATGAATTTCCCCCAGTATTTTCCAGTAGGACAGAATGGTCTGATACCAGATAGAATTGATACCATGAGCGCAGCGGATCTAACGACCGCAGCGACGAAAGTGAGGGCTTGGTTACGTTTAATTGGGTACTACGACGCAATTTCATCAAGAGGCATCAAAGGATTGTAGAATCAATCATTGCAATCCCTACTATGGAGTTCAAGCAGGCACTGCACCCAAGATCGACACTCTGCTAGAGAGCAGTTTGTCTTCATTCTGTTTGACGATTTCCGTACTTCATAGGTTATACAAGTATATCCTCGTAGGAACGCTTTTTTTAAGAATGTTGTTATTTTGCGTTGTTCATGTGAAGAAAAAAAGAAAAAGAAAAAGGAGGAAGCCGCGCCAAAGGGTGGCTTTTGTAGAGAATGTGGGTGGTCTGTGCACCGGGTCAGGTGACTGATAGCCGAGTTCTCAGCTGAGCTGCCAGCTGATGAGCATACTGAGTCAGCTAGACCTTTATGCGGATGCCGGAGTTTTGTGAACTGATGCAGTGCGGGCAGCCTCGACAGCAGTATACCTGAACAGGAAAGGCCCGTGTCCACCTATCGTCCATCCGATCTATCAGCTGGTTTCCACTGCGCCAGTGCCAACTTACAGTGCCGAGTTAGTAATCGCCACTGACTGTCATCGACCTCAGGTCCGAAAGCGGCGAAGGAACCCCGCGGCGGGAGCAGCCATGAAGCAACTCAGAAGAAGAACCGCACATGCAACCTGCAACCTGCGTCCTTCAATCCTCTTTTCCTTCGCGGTCTGCCACTATCTAACGCCAACTCTCTAATTCTCCGGTTCCTGATCCTTGGGGACATATAACTTTCCTTCATCTCTTCCTGTCACTCCTTTGCTCAATCATCTTATCTCTTTCCCGCGGAGTTTGGAGGTATGTGCTCTGCTTTTCCCGGCACTAAACCAAGCCCATCGGAGCTTCCCAGGTTCCTTCCAATTGATCGACCTGGAGGGGTTGTGGGGGGGCTTCCTCTTCACCTGAACATTTTTTCCCCTCCAGCATCGTCACTCCTCTTCCTCTCTGACTTGTTGTCTACTCCCAGTGTCTGTCTCACTGTCAGTGTCTCTCAGGATGTCTCAACAAAAGTCTGGTAAGTTCAGAAATGTTGTAGACCAGCCCGGGCAGCGTCACGGTTCGCCTGTTAGTGGTATTGGTCCGGTCGCTGTCTCCACATCTGATGAATTGATTGAAGTCTGGGGCTGACTTGCGACCGTTCTTTTCAATTGATAGCCATCCTCTCCGTCTACGATAAGACTGGTCTGCTCGACCTGGCCAAGGGCCTTGTCAAGCACAATGTCCGGTTGCTTGCCTCCGGTGGTACGGCGCGGTTGATTCGGGAGGCGGGCTTCCCTGTCGAGTGAGTCATCATCTTGAGCGGATGTGGTCATGACCGCGGCCATATTCTCTTCGTTCGTTTCAGCAGGATGTCGAGCTGATGGCCGATTAGAGATGTCTCCGCCATCACTCATGCGCCCGAGATGCTGGGTGGTCGTGTCAAGACCCTCCACCCCGCTGTCCACGGTGGTATCCTGGCTCGTGACATCGAGTCCGACGAGAAGGACTTGGCCGACCAGAACATCTCCAAGGTGGACTTCGTTGTCTGCAACCTGTACCCCTTCAAGGAGACGGTGAAGAAGGTCAACGTCACCATCCCTGAAGCCGTCGAGGAGATCGATATCGGTGGTGTGACCCTCCTCCGTGCCGCGGCCAAGAACCACGCCCGTGTGACGATCCTCTCCGACCCCCAGGACTACCCTGAGTTCCTGAAGGAGCTCGAGGCCGGTGATATCACCGACGCCAGCCGCAAGTCCTATGCCCTCAAGGCCTTCGAACACACTGCCGACTACGACACCGCTATCTCCGGCTTCTTCCGCAAGGAGTATGCTGGCAACGGCGAGAAGCACCTGGCTCTGCGCTACGGGACCAACCCCCACCAGAAGCCTGCGGCGGCCTTTATGGTGGAGGGCAGGCTTCCCTTCAAGGCCCTGAATGGGTCTCCCGGCTACGTCAACCTCCTGGACGCCCTCAACGCCTGGGCTCTGGTCAAGGAGCTCAAGCAGGCCTTGGGCTACCCTGCGGCTGCTAGCTTCAAGCACGTTTCCCCCGCCGGTGCTGCTGTCGGTGTGCCCTTGAATGAGAAGGAGCGTAAGGTCTACATGGTTGACGACATCCCGGGTATTGAGACTTCCGGCCTGGCTCAGGCTTATGCTCGTGCTCGTGGTGCCGACCGCATGTCCAGCTTCGGTGACATTCTCGCTCTGAGCGACGTCGTCGATGTTCCTACTGCCAAGATTGTCTCCCGCGAGGTCTCCGACGGTGTGATCGCCGCCGGTTACACTCCCGAGGCTCTGGAGATCCTGTCGAAGAAGAAGGGCGGCAAGTACCTCGTTCTTCAGATGGACGAGAACTACGTCCCTGCGGCGGAGGAGACTCGCACCCTGTACGGCGTGCAGCTCACCCAGCACCGCAACGATGTCGTCATCTCCCCCCAGAAGACCTTCAACACTATCATCACTCCTAAGGACCTGAAGGGTCTTCCCGACTCTGCCGTGCGCGATCTTACCGTCGCGACCATCGCTCTCAAGTACACTCAGTCCAACTCTGTGTGCTATGCTCTCAACGGCCAGATCATCGGCCTGGGTGCCGGCCAGCAGAGCCGTATCCACTGCACTCGTCTGGCTGGTGACAAGGCCGACAACTGGTGGATGCGCTTCCACGACCGTGTCCTGAACATCAAGTGGAAGCAGGGCACCAAGCGTCCCGACAAGAGCAACGCCATTGACTTGCTCTGCTCGGGCCAGACTCCCCGCAACGAGGCCGAGCGGGCCGAGTATGAGCGTGTGTTCGAGGAGGTCCCCGCACCTTTCACCGCGGAGGAGCGCGAGTCGTGGCTCCAGAAGTTGAGCGAAGTTGCTGTCTCCTCGGATGCTTTCGTAAGTCGATACTCTCTCCCTGACACGCGAAACTATGTAGCTAACCTGCGGTCCAGTTCCCCTTCATTGACAACGTCTTCCGTGCCGCCCGCTCGGGTGTCAAGTACATCGCTGCGCCCACCGGTAGCCAGAACGACAGTGCCGTCTTCGAGACCTCGGAGAAGCTTGGTATTGTCTTTGTTGAGCAAGGCACTCGTCTGTTCCACCACTAGAGTGATCTTGATGGGGAGGATTTATGCTAAGATCACACCTGCGACGGTTGTGTGTTTATGATGATTTAATACCTGAAACTGTGATGATCCGAGGCCTGCAATAGCGATATCCCAATTCAAAAGTGCCTCGTTATGAGAGTTTATACTCGTAGACAGACTCTCGAGTCATCGATTTATCCCGTACATCCAGCCGGGTTCGACCCGTTGGGGATGTCATCGATGTTCGATGTTCTTAGTTTACTACTGAGTGGCGAGCGGCTTTCTTGGTTTCCTGAGTATGCATCATGACTAAGTTATACACTTTGTTTCTCAAAAACGATTTTTCCGTAGCGAAGGGAAGTCACCTCTCTTTCAGCTTCCCAGGCACCTCAGTCTTGAGTAAGAGAGAAAGCGTTCCGGGGGAGAACCCCCGGACGCCCTTTTCCTTCAGCTTCCCAGTTCACCTCAACCCTATATCCAAAAGATAATATAAAGCATCCGGGGGAGAACCCCCGGACCCCCCTTCTTTTCAGCTTCCTGGCACCTCAATTATCAGCCAAGTATATAAGTGTCTCCGGGGGAGAACCCCCGGACCCCCCTTTCTTTCAGCTTCCCAGGCACCTCAGTTCTAAACCAGGTCGTCAAGCACCGGGCACCTGAATCTATACCCAGAAATAAGTTTCGTAGTGATTTCACTTTAGTACTACAGCATAAGTATAACTTTCATGGGGCCCCCAATCAAAATCTACCTCCTATTTCATACCCCTAGAACGCAACAGCGCTCCCCTTTCCTTCTGCCAACGGCAACGAATAATCCCGATAGAACTTCTTCCGGATGAAATCCTGCACCGTCTCCCCACTCGTATCATTCGGATTCAGCGGGTTCGTCGCCTCCAGATCCCCATGCCAGAAGGCCGGCACCGCGAACCGCTCCCCGCCGGCCTTGTTGATCACCCGGTGGAGGTTACTCTTGTACTCGCCGTCGGTCCAGCGCTGCACCATATCGCCCAGGTTGATGACGAACCGGTCCTCGACGGCCGGCACGGGGATCCACTGCTCCGTGGCCGCGTGGTATACCTCCAGCCCGTGCTTGCCGGGGTCCTGGAGGAGGATCGTGAGCCCCCCGTAGTCCGTGTGGGCGCCCGACCCGAACACCCGCGGGTCTGTGAAGGTGTGTTCGGGGTAGCGGAGGAGCTTGAGGAACCTTGCGTTAATTGCATTAGTACAAGGGATTCGGGGGTGAGGTCCAGGGTGTGGCTGGGACTCACATTGCGGCATTGCCGGTAAAGGAATCAAGAATACTAGGAGGATGCCCCATACCCACAACCAGCACCTCCATGACCTTATGCCCCAGCTCAAGCAGCGCTTCGAAATACTCTTCGACCGGTCCGCGGAACTGGCTCGTGGCCACTTGCTCGGGCCACACGTTGGGCCCTTTCAGGAATCCCACCTGGTCTCGGGGGAGATCTCTTCCCACGAAGAAGGCCTTAGACAGTCAGTCAAACAGACTATCAATCATGCCCACTGCGCAATGAGATAAAGAAAAAAAGAAACACAAACCTCCTTCTGATCCGGCAATACAGCATGATGCGGCGTCTGCTCCCCGTACCCCTCATACCCGCGACGCCACGTATTCTTATACAGCGACAGCTCCGCCTTCTGGTCTGTCGGCAGATCGAAGAACGTCTTGCACGCCGCCAGCATGTTGCGCTGCACCTCCAGCGATATCCCGTGGCCTTCGATCTGGAAGAACCCGTGTTCCAGACATGCGGCGCGCACCTGCGCCACCACGGCCTCTTTGCTGGTTGGGGAGCTGGGCTCGTAGTAGCCCCGGAGATCGATGGTGGGGATTTCGATCTTGGTGGCTGTCATTTTTTTTAAGTTTGGGTAGTCGGGGGATACTTACGGTCCTGAGGAGGTCAGATGAGGGAAGTCTGGGATTACTGGGTTGGAGTTTGGTTTGAATGTCGTCTGGGATATATAGTGGTCTCTTGCCCTAAGAGGGGATTCCATGACCCTCGGAGTAATTCGGTTTTTTTCTTTTAAATGTTGTTCATGCAACCTGTGCATGGTAAGCATAATCGGCATTGAAACCAAAGCACCGAATGGCACTGCTGAAGATAGGATACTTGCTTATTGATATATCACCGAACGGAAAGAGAAATCCCCGACTTTGGATCTAGCTTCGAGCGAGAACTTGTGGTCGAGAGGCTACATCGAACAATTGAACAAAAAAAAAAACTGATTCCCTGGTCAACATTGAGTTTCTGATGTGCTATGACTATATAGCAGCAGATGCGTCAAATCAGTTGACTGAAGCCTTTCACAGGGGAAAGAATACTATTGACTGCATTTCAAAATCTCGTAAGAAAAGATAGCCACATAATCAAAACCACAGACTCAGAAACTGTAAAACTAAACCAAACTAAACAACATAAACCAACTTCTGACCCGAAACCGTCTGGCGTCTCACCAGATCCACCCCCTTCAACACGCCCTCCCACCCCCCATCCATAACCCTAACCGGATGCACATCCACCTTGCCCTCATCCAGCAACACCTGCACCTCCGCCGTCAATCGCGTCCCGAACTTCCGGTCCTCCGGGTTCGCCTCCCGACCATACTCCCCATCCAACGCCACCTTGCGCCCGAAGATCGTCAGCGCCAGCAACCAAGACGGGGAGACGGTGAGCGGGCGCTGGGCGGCGATGGCCGCGCGGAAGGGCTCGAGGGTGACGTAGCGGCCGCCGGCGCGGCCCAGAGCGCCGTAGCAGAGCTGAGTGGTCTCTGCCAGGGCGAGGCAGTCGAGCGCGTAGGCGAGGGTGTTCTTCGTGTAGGTGCGGATGGCGGCGGCGCAGTCGGGGTCGTGGTAGTCGAAGACGGCTTCGGCGCCGAAGCGACGGGCTAGGTCGAAGTGCGCCGGGGAGCAGGTGGCTATCGGGCGGAGGCCGGCTCTTTTTTTATAGGTATCAGTACTATGCTTTTTTGTATAGTAATCGTACACTATTCGCATTGGAGGAGGACGTACAGTTTCAGCAGTTGCAGTGCTCGCGTCCCTGTGGCGGTACTCCCACCCGCAACGAGGACAAAGTCTGCCTTAGGGCTACTAACACCCTCAGGTTCCTCCGGGTTGTTGTTGGGTGGTCCACGGGTGAAAGAGGGTAATGCGAGCTGGAGATGTTGGAACAGTCCCAGGCCCGCGGTGAACAGCCCCAGGCCCAGCGACGCGCCCTCCTCGAAACTCATCGTGTCCGGGAGCTTGAGCACCAGGTCCGCAGACGCCGCCACGTATTCCGCGAATGCGCCCACGTCCGGCAGCAGCGGGTTCATGCCATGCACGAACCCTGCCACTCGGTCTCCGACCTTCAGATGACCCGGCGTCTCGCTCCCCAGCGCCACGATCGTGCCCGCGAAGTCATACCCGTGGATCGCTCCCGGCACGGGGCTGTAGTCCAGCATCTTCGCGTCCACGGGGTTGATGGCCACCGCCGCGGTTCGGACCAGGGCTACATCGGGTTGCACGGCGGGAACTGGCGCGTCGTGATGGATGCTCAGTTGGCCGGCGCCCTCGGCGATGATGGCGGTTTGTTGGGTTGGGATCACGGGCGTGGCTGAGGGCATGTTGTTGGCGACGACGTCGATGTGGATGTGGATGGGATGAGGGATTGTGGATTGCGGGCTATTCCCTCATGCCTCGAGCGCGCCTTGAAGAGGTCCATTGCACTTATTGCGTGGGCCGGGGAAGGATGAGATGCACAAGCATTAAAACCACCGAAGGCCGTTCGTGGTTCCTTATCGTGCCTGGAATTGAGGATATTTTCGGGCATTTATTAGATACGGCAGGTAAATATGCAGGTGGGCCTGGAGATAAGGAGTTAGGGCTGCCGGTTTCCGACTCGTGCATGCCATCATGCATAGTCCAGTCAAACTCGTCTTCTCATTTCGGCCTTTCGCTCTTCCGAAGCGCGAAACTCGAGGTGTCAGCTAACTGTCCCCTGTCTTTGTAAGCCATTGCTTTCTGTCGATATCGATTCCAGGATGGATTGCGCTGCAGACTTCTCTCCCAATCAACCCTTGATTCTATTCCTGAGGACCGAGAATGCAGTCCGAAAACAAGTCGGTCCAGGAGGGCCAAGTTTGGCCCTCCAGCTCCAGTTCTGAAGAAGCCTCAGCAGGAGCCCCGGAGGCAGGACATACCCCCCATACAATTGGCTGGGATGGCATCGATGATCCGGTAAAGGCTTCACTGGCAGAGTATGTGGTCAATAGTTAATTTTGCTTCGTACGCCCACAGGATAACCCACGAAACTTCACCACCGCCAAAAAGATCTATATCACCGCCAACCTTGCCATCTTAACCTGCCTCTCTACCTTTGCCTCTTCCATTCTCAGCCCGGCCAGTCTCCATCTCATGACCGAATTTGGAATCTCGAAAGAGGTATCGATTCTGGCCACTGCGTTGTTCGTGCTGGGCTACGCCTTCGGACCCTTGGCTTTTGGCCCAGCCTCCGAGGTCCTCGGTCGTAAATATCCGCTCAGTCTCGGTATTATCATCTTTGGCATTTTCGCGATCCCCGTCGCAGTCGCTAAGAATGTGGCCACCATATTCCTCTGTCGATTCCTTTGTGGCGTGTTTGGGGCAGCCCCGTTAGCAATCGTGAGTCTGTGCCGTGCCTCCCAGAAGCACAACACTAAAACAAAAACTCAGGCAGGAGGATCCCTGGCCGACCTCTACGACCCGCTCTTTCGCGGCATCGCCGTGGCAGGATTCGCCAGCGCGACCTTCCTGGGCCCCGTCCTAGGCCCCCTGGTCGGGGGCTTCGTGACTATGTCCCCGGACCTCGGCTGGCGCTGGACGCAATGGCTCGTCGTGATCCTTAGCCTCTCCTTCAGCCTCCTCTACTTCCTCACCGTCCCCGAGACCTACAGCGCCGTGCTCCTCACGCGACGCGCACATCAACGCGGCCTCCACGACGCCCTTCCTCCGCGCCCGAAGATGACCCTCCGGATGATCGGGCGCGTGTACATCTTCAAACCATTCCTCATGCTGTCCCAGGAGCCCATCCTCGCCCTGATCACTCTGTACATGGGCTTCATCTACGGGTTCCTGTACCTGTGCTTCGAGGCCTACCCGATGACCTTCGAGCAGCAGCGCGGCTGGAACCTGGGCGTCGGGGCGCTGCCTTTCCTGGCCATCACCGTCGGGGTCCTGGTGGGCGTGGGGATCATCATCGCGCACACCAAGACCCGGATGCAGCGCAAGCTGCAGCTGCACGGAGAGGAGGTGCCCGAGGAGCGGCTCGTGCCCATGATGGTGGGCAGTGTGCTGCTGCCGATCGGGATGTTCTGGTTCGCGTGGACGTCCAACCCGCACATTATCTGGGTGCCCCAGGTGATCGCCGGCGGGTTTATGGGCTGTGGGATCCTGTTGATCTTCTTGCAGGGCTTGAATTACTTGATCGATGTCTACAAGATGAACGCTAACTCCGCCATCTCGGCTAATGCCATGTTTCGCGGTCTGCTGGGCGCAGGGTTTCCTTTGTTTGCTACGTATATGGTATGCCACCGAATCCTTCGCAAATCATTTCCGGGCTGACTGAATTAATTTTGCCTTTTTCTAGTTCGATAATCTTGGGGTCCCGTGGGCGATGTCTCTTCTTGGATTCCTGTCCACGGCACTCGTGCCCGTCCCGTTTCTGTTCTATATTTATGGGGCTAAGATTCGGAAGTGGAGCAAGTTTAGTCCATGCTGAGGCCATCATTGGGAGATGTTAGATAGGTGCAGATTAGGGTAGAAAGATAGCGAATCACATATCTTCGATAACACAGCAGTTTTCCGTGCCAAGGTCCAAGTTCGTCCACATGGCAGTGTAGGGCAATTTCCCCATCAGGCCAAGCCGGGTGATCCATGTATATTGACACTTTAAAAATAGCTTAGCTGTACCGTACAGCATGGCGCCATCAATGATCCTTGTCTTACTACAGCCTGGAGCTCACTTCTCATTACCCCTCGTCACAAAAAGATCCTGACCCTTATGCAGGAGACCTGAAACGGTACAGTAGACGACTAATTGCGGCCTAGACTGAAGTACCAATGTAATCAATGTAAATACATAGGGCTAGATGTGGATTTCATCCCTGTCTTAATTGCCGGTCGAGTTCAGTTTCCCGTCATCACCCCCCAATCCCCCTCGGTCCACACCAGTTTCATCTTCCACAGCTTGATTTTCCACAACCCGTTCGAATCCGCAGGGTCCCTGGCCACGTCGACCGAGTACAGCGCCCCGCTCGTCAGCCGGGTGGCATCGGGCTGGTTGCCCTGGCCGGCGCGGAAGTGCTGGGCCAGCGCCGAGGCGGTCACAGTCGCGGTGTCGCTGCCCTCCGAGGGCAGATTGATGCGCACGTTGCTCAGGAAGTGGGTGGTGTCCAGCTTGGAGACGTTGTCCCAGCTGCCGGACTTGATGGCCGCGCGGCCCTCCATCACGCTGCCGTTGAAGTCGAAGGCGGCATCCTCGAAGAAGGCCGACTCGAAGAGCCCGAGGTCGTTGCCGTCGAAGGAGAGTACGGCGCGGTAAATTGGGTCCACGATTGCCTCGCGGAGGGGGAGGGCTGGGAGGGTGGTTGGGAAGAAGGACATGATTGATTTGAGGTCTGTTTCTGTTTCACTTGTCTTTGGTTTGGCTTGGCTTGGCTTGCTTTGACTCGGACTTGGCTTGGGTGTAGCTACCACCTGTTGCTTCTGGCAGGGGGTTATATACCATTTGCCTAATGGGACCACCGACGGAGATCCAGACAAGTGCCGTTGAGTGCGAGAGCGAAAGACCGAGTCCCCTTCGGTCGAGGGCGTAAAATCCGTGGCTAATCTCCGTCCATCACAGCCCTAACCGGCGGGCGGGAACGTCTGACGGACGGGCCGCAGTGCCCACTGCCTGCCAACTGACTCGCCACCATGATATGCTGTGGAAATCCCTCGTGAGTATGAGTATAGAAACTCCTTCTCGGGACTTATGCAGCATGCTCCATGCTGGAGGGGCTCTAAGCCTTACCCAGCGCCTGGAAATTGCTTGTCTCTTCTTGGCTTGCTTGCTCCTCTTCCTCCTCTTCCTCCTCCTCCTCCCGTATCCTCCCGTGCCGTGCCGATGCCGACCCGCTGAAGCGAAAGAAATACGAGCTCAACTCGGGACAATTTTCCCTCTCGGCCGATCGAAAGTATCGGGTTGTCTCATGTGAAGGGTGATGATTACCTGTTGAGGGGGGAGTTGAGGGGATCGAGGTGATGAGAAGGGCAATTACACCCTGCGACTGTTGCCCGTCAACGCATCAGTCCACAAAAATAGCTTGGTGGCTGCGCAATGACCGTCCATCTCCGATCTAGACCAATGTCTCCGTTATCAAAGTTGGAGAGTTCTGCTGAGAGGCAAAGCAAAGGATAGGATTGTGAAGGATTGTGATCATGGTCGATGGATGCCAAACCCTGCCCTGTACTGCTGGTAGTATGGACTCATATCTCTTAAAGCGAAACGCCGGTTGAAGAGTAGTATAAGAATGACTACGGGGTATCAACAACATGATGGCAGCAGCAAAAGCGAAGGAGATGCGCCAAAAAGATGCAACCGACCGCTGCACTTCCTAAGCGGTTATCCTGCGATCGCTGCTACGCGCAGAAACTGCGGTGTCCGCGACCCAGTACCACGAGTACGAGTGACGATGCGAGTTGCATTCGATGTCTCCGTCAGAAGGTGGAATGTGTTTATAGCACTGCTTTGCCCAAGGGGAGGCCCCGGGCTGCGGCCCGTGCTTCTGCTGCTGGAGCGGGAGCTACCAATATAACTACATCTACAACGACGACGACGACTGCTCCGTCTATCTCAGATACTGTCCCTCCCATCTTCTCCGCTGAAGACCTGGCATCGTTCCCCGGTCTCTCCACTTCCGGTTGGCTTCCCGACACATCTTGGGAGGATACTTTTAGTTTCCTATCGCCCCAAGTCGTGCCGCAGCCACCACCACCACCTCCTCTTGATCCCACTCCCCCTCCCCCTCGTTCATCCCCAGCATCGATCTTAGAGAACCATGAGAATTGCGTTGGACGGCTCTCGGATTTAGCCATACGTCTTCACGCCGTCTACCGAACCACACGAGCGCTGTCTGATCATCCCCACATCACCAATGCCGCCTTTGAAGCTGTTGCTACACTCTTTAATGCCCCCTCATCACCACCTCCCAGTGCCACCACCACCACCACCACCACCACCAACAATCTCCGTGAGACATTCACATCCTCCCATCACCTCCTAGAAACCATTTCTCATCTCCTCTGGACCACACCCACCAACAATCTCTCGACTGCACCCGCTGCTGCTGCTGCGGCGGCGGCTGCTGCGACGGCGGACGAAACAGTGATATACCACTTCACCATAGCCTGCTACAGTCTTCTCCTCCTCATCTACGCTACCCTCCTCACCGCCCTCCACCGCGATGCCCTAACTCACGCCCAACCACCATCATCATCGACAACCACCACCACCACCACCACCACCAATACTACCAGCCGCGACAACCCCAGCACCTGGTGCTCCGCCCCCTCCCTCATCGAACTCCGCCTCGTCCTCCTCTTCCACCTGATCACCTATTTCCTGGATCGTCTCCAGCAAATGGTCAGGATGTATACCGCCGAGTTCGAAAAGCAGGCCACCAACAGCAGCAGCACGAGCACTACCGCAACAGCCGGGAGACGACCACCACCCACAAGCACAAGCCGGGGATGGAATGAGGAAGTAGAGGAGGAGGGGGAGGAGGAGGAGATGATGATGATGGTCGAAGAGCCCTGGGAGCAGCATCTGCCGCCCGCGCCCACCTCCTCCTCTCTGGGCTCCATCTCCGAGTTAGAGACCCGGGCGCGATCGGCGTTGATGCAGTTGCGATGGTCGTTGGTGGCTGCTCGGGGTGGGTTGGTTGATGTCTAGTCTTAGATGCTTCGGTTTGTGAGGGACAGGGTGTTCTGGTCGGAAGCTGAGTAAGACACAGATAGATAAGTGATGACTTTTTGGAGTTGTTGTTGTTGTTGTATTATGTTATGTTAGTCTTTGGTTTTGATTATCTGGGTAGAATTTAGAAGCAGAAACGTGTAGGCTTTTGCTGGGTGGTGAATGGAATTCGTTTCTTATTGCTTTGGACTGGACTTTTACAAAGGAATATGTTTGACGTTTAGCTTGTCAATTTTTAGATGCAAGTAATTTAGTTGATAACCATGATGCGCATGACAAGACAGACGGGCCCCGTCTTTTCAATTGGAGGAAGTATTTTGAGTGTAGTAAGGCCTCTTGCAAGTTGAGGGTACTTAGCCGAGCATCCAGCCTGCTTTTGACATTTAGCTCTGATCATCTGACTGACCGATGGTTTCCTGGTAATGAATCTATGTAGCGCCTAAGATCAAATCAAGCAGCCACCCTCGGTCTCACGCGCACCATCAACTCAGGCTTCTGCCACAGCCTCATGACGCGACACCGCTGCAACCAATCGCGACTAAACCGCTCATCCAACTCCATATCAAACGACCAGACCATCTTGGCGAGGATCAAGCGCATCTCCGCGTACGCCAAGTTCCGTCCGAGACAGCTGCGCGGCCCGAAGCTGAACGGCTGGAACGCGGCGCGGTTATCGGTGACGTATCGCTCGTCACCGAGCCACCGCTCCGGCACCCAACAGTCAGGATCCCGGAAGTTCCTGTCCGAGTGATACGCCGCGTAATGACTGACCGAGAGCACCGTGCCCCCAGGCATCCACCACCCACTCACCGTCTCCCCGCCGGGAGGCACCCGACGGATGAATCCCACGGGCACGGGCGGGAAGAACCGGAGCGCTTCGGCGATCACGGCGTTCAGGTAGGGTGTCCGCTTGGCGTTGGCCACGGCCTCCAGCGTGATGGCCTCGTAGCTGCGGAACTCCGTCCGGATCTCCTGCTGTAGGGTTCGTAGTACGCGGCTGTGCGTGCAGAGTAGGTACGTCGCTCCGCTTAGTAAGGTCGCTGTCGTCTCGGACCCCGCTGTTGTCATTAGTGTTGCGTTGGAGTCGATCTCTGCTCGGGTGAGTTTCGTGGCCCCTTGTGTGGTGGTGGTGTTGGCCGCCAGGATGTGGCTCATGAAGTCTGGTCGGGGCGTGGCCGTGTTGATTCGTTTGGTTACTTGGGTGGAGACCCAGTTCTGGGGTTTTCCATATGCTTTGTTAGCGAGATTTGAGGAGGGGGGGTTTACTGGGGTATGTTTGGGGGGTGTACCGCGTATTCCTTTCGTTTCTGGATCAGCCCTTTATCGACTATCAGGTTACCCAGGAGGCGGAGCCACGGGTAGTAGGCGAGGATGTAGATCATCCGGAGGGATCGGAGCGATTGGAAGAGGAGCGCCACGTATTGGTGCGTGGAGAGGTCCTGGAGGCACCCAAAGGGCTCCCCTGCAGTTTATTCATCAGGAATGGATCGAGGTGCGTGCCAGCGAGAGAAAATCATACCGAAGAGAAGATCGGCAATCACGTCAAACGTCGTCCAATTGTACCATTTCACCATGTCCACCGGTTCGTCGTTGGCCGATGTCACCTCCTTGAGTCGATCGATCAGTTGATTCACGTACCGCTGCACCAGTGGCTCCTGGCCCATGAGCGCCTTGTCGCTGAATGCATGGGCGAGTACCCGGCGGCCTAGCGAGAGGGAGGGTAAGAAGCTTGGAGTGAATGGATGAGGAGACATACACACGCACCTCGAGAGTGGTCCTCGTCGTTTGCTTGCAGGATAGACGGCGCCCCATTGCTCGGAGTCACGTACCACACTGGGTCCTATTGATGTTGGCCGATACGATACGCTTCATCTGGCCCCAGGAATGGGTCACTTACCTTGGGCATATTCAAATGCCCTTTCATCTTCCCCGTCCGAAACCCTGCACCCAACAAAATTAGACCCCTGATCCGCCTAATTTTTGCAGTCCGAAGAATGGCCTACCATAGATATCGGCAAACGCCGTCTCGCCACAGATGAGTGAGACTTCGTTGGGCGAGATGCGTACCACTTCCCCGTATCGCTGGTGCAGAGAGACGGTATTCTGAACCGTGGTGCCTGCAAGCAGATGTCTCGCGTAGGGGATCATGGAAATTGCATTCACACGAGGTCCAGGGATATGTCGGAGGGGGTCAAGACAGAGAGCGTAGATTACCTTGCTGAGAAGGTAGATGAAGGTCTTTTCGAGAGGAGTGAGTTAATGAATGGATTTGTTCATGCAGAAGGACACCAACGTACCCATCCGGCACCGATCCCTAGAATCACTCGCGGTGTCGCTAACCACGCTGCTATCGTGGTAATATCCATGACTAATGTACTTATTGCCATTCTGGTTCAGATTAAGTCGAAATGTGGGTGTTTCAGCGTCGACTCCAGTCGGGGTGGGTGCGCGTCGAATGCCTCGAACGAGTATGTTATATTCTGAAACCATTCAACTATTTCCTCGCTGAATGTGAGAATCAGCGCCCCTCGCTGATTTCGGTGATTTGCCCCAGAAGCAGAGCAGAAGACAAGGGTAGGTAGTTGCTAATCCTCGGAGATCGGTGGTTTCAAGTCTACTACAAAGCACGCTATCAATAGTGACCGAATTGTTAGTGAGGGGAAACCCCCGGCGCAGCGATTAGGGCTGATCAATCGGCGATTTTAGTAGATGTCCAACATAGAAGCCATATCGATAACGAACTAGGCTTATCACAATGTATCGAAGCTTTCAGCTTTAGTTAATAAGGCACACATTCAGGACAGAGCACCAGTCAATCATTGCAACCGAACAACACACAACAATGGCCCCTCATCCACAACCCGAACCCATCGCCATTGTAGGCAGCAGCTGCCGCTTCCCTGGCGGATCCAGCTCCCCATCCCGCCTCTGGCAGCTCTTGTCCAACCCGCAGGATGTCTCGAAAGAGATCCCAGAGGACCGCTTCGAGCTGCAAGGGTTCTACCACCCCAAGGGCGCCCACCATGGGACGACCAATGTCCAGCGCGCCTACACGCTGGACGAGGACGTGCGCATCTTCGACGCCGGCTTCTTCAACATCAGCCCCAACGAGGCCGACGCCATGGATCCGCAACAGCGGCTGCTCATGGAGGTCGTCTACGAGGCGCTCGAATCCGGGGGCCACCCCCTGGAGGGGCTCCGCGGGTCCGACACTGCCGTCTTTGTCGGGACGATGTCGGTCGATTATAACGATATCCTCATTCGGGATCTGGAGAGCACCCCGACCTATTTCTCGACTGGGACCTCGCGGGCGATCCTCGCCAATCGCATCTCTTATTGCTTTGATTGGCATGGGCCATCGATGACCATCGACACGGCTTGCTCGTCGAGTATGGTCGCTCTGCATCAGAGTGTGCAGGCTTTGCGGGCGGGCGAGGCCCGGGTCGCTGTTGCTGGAGGTACGGAGTTGTTGTTAGGGCCTGGTATGTATCTAATCTCAATCAAAGGATATGGGGCGTAACCAGCGGAATAAATGACTGACATGAAGTACTGTTCATAGAGCAATTTGTGGGAGAAAGCAAGATGAACCTTCTCTCGCCAACCGGGCGATCGCGCATGTGGGACGCCGATGCGGACGGCTACGCACGCGGCGATGGTGTCGCGGCCGTCATCTTGAAGCGCCTGAGCGATGCTATCGCCGATGGAGACCACATCGAGAGTATCATCCGTGACACCGGGGTCAACCAAGACGGCAAGTCAACCGGCCTGACCGTCCCCAGCTCCGAGGCCCAAGCAGCCCTCATCCGCAGCACATACGCCCGCGCGGGGCTTGATCTCAGCAACACCGACGACTGGCCGCAATTCTTCGAGGCGCATGGCACGGGCACCAAGGTTGGCGATCCTCGCGAGGCTGCGGCCATCAGTGGCTGTTTTGGCAGCCAGCCCATCCACGGCAATCCGCTGTATGTCGGCTCCATCAAAACCATCATCGGCCATACGGAGGGCACGGCCGGGCTGGCCGGCGTTTTGAAGGCGTCGCTGGCCATCCAACACGGTGTGATCCCGCCCAATATGTTGCTCAACCGCTTGAATCCGGATGTAAAGCCGTATTACACAAATCTGCAGATCCCGACCTCCCCGACACAGTGGCCGGTCTTACCGGCCGGAGTGCCGCGGCGGGCCAGCGTGAATAGCTTCGGTATGTTTCCTGCTATTCCCTGCTTTTGAGCTACCGCGACTAATTGTCGAACAGGTTTTGGAGGTACAAATGGCCACGCTATCATCGAGGGATACGAGCCGACGGTAAGTCAAATCGATGTTGAACAACAGCAGCAGCAGCAGCAGCAGCCAGTAGTACCAGTAACTCCATTCGTCTTCTCGGCTACGACGGAGGAGAGCTTAGTCGCTCTCCTTCAATCGTACTCGGACTATCTAAAGATCAATCCGACCATCGACCTCCACAGCCTCGCCTGGACATTACAATCTCGTCGGTCAGCCTTTGCTTTCAAGACTGCCGTGGCCGCCTCCACCAGCGATGGTCTCGTCTCCCGTCTGGAAAGCAAAGTAAGGCAGGCAAAGAGCACACCACCGACTCCAGCCGGCGTGCGCTCGACCCCAGCGACACCGCACCTGCTGGGGGTCTTCACTGGCCAGGGAGCCCAGTGGCCAACAATGGGTGCCTGCTTAATCCAATGCTCCGCTACCGTGCGTGAAAAGCTGGAGCAACTTGACCACTCCCTCGCCACGCTGCCGGAAGCCGACCGGCCCTCGTGGCGGATCGCGGATCAGCTCCTGGCTCCAAAGGGGGAATCTCGCCTCAGCGAGGCGGCCCTCTCCCAGCCCCTGTGCACCGCCGTGCAAGTGGTCCTCGTCGATCTCTTGCGCAGCGCCGGAATCACCTTCGACGCGGTGGTGGGCCACTCCTCCGGCGAGATTGGTGCCGCCTACGCGGCCGGCTTCATTTCCGCCGACGACGCCATTCGGATCGCCTACTACCGGGGCGTGCACGCAGAACTCGCGCACGGACAGACCGGCCAGAAGGGCGCGATGCTGGCGGTCGGAACCTCGTGGGAAGACGCCCAGGAATTGATCGACCTGCCCGCCTTTGAGGGCAAAGTCCGCATCGCCGCGCATAACTCGGCCGCCAGCTTGACGCTCTCCGGCGATGCCGATGCCATTGCCCATGCCAAACGTGTCTTTGACGAGGAGAAGAAATTTGCGCGGCTGTTGCTGGTGGACACGGCCTATCACTCGCATCATATGCTTCCGTGCAGTGGACCGTACATTGAGTCCCTGCGGGCGTGTCGGATTCAGGTCAACAAGGATCGCGATTCTTCGTGCACCTGGTTCTCGAGTGTCTGGGCCGATGGCAAGCCTATGGTGGCGGGCGAAGAGCAGTTGCAAGACGTCTATTGGAGTGACAATATGGTCAATGCGGTCTTGTTCGCTGATGCCGTTAAACGTGCCGCCGCCAACGAGACTCCCAACCTGGCCATCGAGGTCGGGCCTCATCCGGCGCTGAAGGGCCCTGCACAACAGAACATCTCCGACGTGCGCCTTTCCTCCCCCCCACTTCCGTACACGGGGCTACTCAGTCGAGGGAGTAGCGATGTCGAGGCCTTCTCCGATGCTCTGGGCTTTGTGTGGACGTACCTTGGCCCGGACACGGTGGGCTTCCAGTCCTATACCCAGCTGGTGACCCCAGCAGCGCCGGCACCAAAGCTTCTGGTCGGGCTGCCTTCTTATCAGTTCAGCCGCGATCGAATCCATTGGCATGAGTCTCGTCGAGCGAAGAAGATGCGACAACGCGGGGCCGCCTTTCATGAGCTCCTCGGGGTGCCATCCCCAGACAACACTGACCAGGACCTCCGCTGGACCAACTTCCTCAAATCTAGCGAGATCCCTTGGCTGGATGGGCATAAGCTCCAAGGCCAAACCGTCTTCCCCGCGGCAGGATACGTGGCTATGGCGCTGGAAGCCGGCAAATGGCTGGCCGGGGATCGGAGTGTGCAGGTGCTGGAAGTTCGCAACCTGACCATTGATCGTGCCATCACTTTCGACGACGGGGCGGGCTTCGCCGTCGAGACCCTGGTGGCTCTGACTGGGATCAGTCCGAGGAGCGCAACAAAGAGCAGCAGCAGCAGCAGCAGCCAAATGGCCGACTTCGCCGTCTACGCTTGTCCAAACACGGGGTCGCTGGGTATGGAGCTGGTCTCAAGGGGCCGAGTGCATATTGTCTACGGCGCACCGTCCTTCTCGGTCCTCGCCTCCACTCCCCTGGATGACTCGAACATGACCGCCATCGACCGTGAACAGTTCTACTCCACCCTTTCCGGGCTGGGATATGGCTACAACGGCCCCTTCCACACCTTGGCCGAGACGAAACGGCGATGGGGCCAAGCCTCCGCTACCGTAGCCACGTATGCGTATTCGGATGACGAGCAGCCCTTGATTCTCCATCCGACCATGCTGGACGTGGCTTTCCAGGCCTCCTTCCTGGCGCAGACCAGCCCCGGCGATGAGCAGCTGTGGTCCCTCCACGTGCCGACCTCTATCAAGTGCGTCCGGGTCAACCCGGAGCTGTCGGCCTCGCTGCCCGCCGCGGCCTCCGTAGAGCTGCCTCTGTCCGCCGTGTTGCATGAACCGGAGTCCATCTCGCTCCACAGCAGCGTGGATGTTTTCGTCGAGAACAAACGCGAGACCCTGCTGCAGGTCGAAGGGCTAGTTATGAAGCCCTTCTCCCCTGCCACGGCCGCCGATGATCGTCCCATGTTTTCAACCATGGAGTATGGTGTCGCGGTACCCAATGCGGCTGTCGCCACTGGGCATGAGCACCCAACTGATGAGGAGGTCGCGTTGGCGGGGGTTTGTGACCGGGTGGCGTATTTTTATTTGCGCGCCTGGGAGGCAAAGGCGGGTGGTGATGAAACGGAGAGATTCCGCCATCTGCTGTCCACTTCTTCGGTGACAAAAGCGTGCATCAGCGATGGGGAAAAAGATATCCAGGCATTGATCAGCAAGTATCCCGAGAGCACCGACTTGCAGCTCCTTGCGACTCTAGGAGACAGCTTCTCTACTGAGAATACCCTAGCTCAGCCTCTCCTCGATGAATGCTTCACTCGCGGCCTAGGATTTGCTCGCGCGAGCTCTGGCCTGGCACAGACGGTGCAGCAGATCTCTCACCGTTATCCACATGCAAATATTGTCGAAATTGGTACAGACTACCTATCTCTCCCGCCGATGAAAGTGCTGAAATGCTAACGAATCGTATCAGGAGCTGGACGCGGTCATGCCACCGAAACTGTGCTCAGTGTCATCGGTAACGCCTATTCATCCTATACCTTTACCGACACCTCCGATGACATGTTCGGTACCGTGGCCGAGATGT